GACGCGCTGGGCGTCGAAGTGGCCCTCGAGGTGACGCTTGTACTTAGCGAGGATCTCAGGCTTGGCCTCCTCGCGTCTGAGTCTGTGTCCCAGAGGAGCATCGACGACAACTTCGTCGAGGACAGTGCCATCATTGAGAGTGACGGTGAGAGCGTTGGGGATGGTGCGGAGGGCAGGGTCGTGGTAGTCCTTGGTCATCTGTGGGTCCTCAACACAGCGGATGCGAGTGCGGAGGGACTCGACCAAGGGGGAGGTGGCGGCCTCAGAACCGTCAGTGTAGTCGCTGGCGACCAGGCGGTTGAAGGCAAGCATGGTGGCAACCATGTACTGGATGCAGTGGTCACGGTCGGCAAAGTTGTCCATGGGCTTGAACTGCTTGTCGATGATGCGGACACAGGCTTCATGGGTGCGGATGGTGACCTCCTTGATGTCCTCGGCAGACTTGCCCATGGACTTCAGGGTGGCATTGACCTTGGTAGCGGCTTCAATGGCGGTCTGGGAGTGGAACTCGGCTAGTAAATGTCAGAAAACTGTGCATTGAGTAGAGAACTAGAAGCTGAGTGAGAACATACCAGGGTAGGAGACCTTGAAAAGGACATTCTCCATGACGTAGCTGTCATATTCGCGCTGGAAAGCGAACTTGTTGCCCTTGAAGAGGACGTCGTAGAAACCCCAGACTGGAGCAGAGAGGACGGTTGGGACACCGGGCTCGCCCTTCTGGACCTTGAGAACGAGGTTGACGGCACGCTGGCAGGCGTCACCGGCAGCCCAGGACTTACGGGACATGGTGTTTGGAGAGTGACGGTAGGTGCGGAGAGACTGGCCGTCAACCCAGGCCTGGGTAATAGCGTCGGCGGTCTGGCGCTCGGTCAAGCCCATGAGCTTGCTGACGACGGCGGTGGTAGCGACCTTGACGAGAACAACATGGTCGAGGCCGACCTTGTTATAGGAGTTCTCGAGAGCAAGAACACCCTGGATCTCATGGGCCTTGATCATAGCCTCGAGGACATCGCGGATCTTGAGCACCTTACCGTTGGCGAGAGAACCACCAGCACGGTTGGTTCGCGAGATCCAGTCAGCGACGGCCAGGATACCACCGAGGTTGTCGGACGGGTGACCCCACTCAGCAGCGAGCCAGCAGTCGTTGTAGTCGAGCCAGCGGATCATGGCGCCGATGTTGAAGGCACCGTTCACCGGGTCGAGCTGGTAGGGAGTTCCAGGGACACGGGTGCCATTGGGGACCGTGGTGCCTGGAACAATTGGGCCGAGCAGCTTGGTGCACTCAGCGAACTTGAGGCCCTCGAGACCGCAGCCAAGAGTGTCGAGGAAGACCCAGCGAGCAGTGTCAAACTACTGTCATTATTAGCACGGTCTGTCTTCCTTGCTGAAAGATACGGTTTAGTAGAGTATATGGAGGGGCACTGACAGCGAGATCCGACTTGATTTCGTGCTTGTGGATGTAAGAGGCCATGTCATTGATCTCAGGGTCGTAGCTGCGGGGCGCCGCCGGAGCAGCTGGCGCATTGGAGGAGAGAGCAGCCATGGTCGAGAAGGGAGCAGAAGTGCGTCGTGGTGAGGCCGAAGCTGGGAGACGCAGAGAGCGAAGGGGAAGAGGAAGCGCAGGGCGGGCTCTGAGGGCAAGCGAGCGTGGGGCGCAAGTCAGGCGCCGGAGCGGAGCAGCGGCAGACATCTGCAGTTATATAATCAGCCAGGGTTCCAAGTCCCGAGACGCAGCAGCTGCCGGCAAAAGACCCCAACAACGGACAGCTCGCGATATCGTAGCAGCGACAAGGAGGGCTCAATTGATATCGGGCCGCGATCTGATAAGGAATTTAAGGTGGCGGGAGGACAGCTTACCTCTGTAGGAAGGAATCAACAACTTCTTTCTGGAAGAAGAAGGGGCGAGGAAGGGAAGAGACGAGAGACGAAAGAAGAAGGAAGGAAGGAAGGAAGAGGAAGTTGCGAAGTTGCAGTTGAAGCGACGAGAAAAGAAGGTTGGGAGGTGTCGGGCCGAGGATAGCCGAGGTCAGCTGACAGAGATGGGAGACTGCAGATGCAGATGCAGATGTGATAAGATCAGATAAGATGGAGATTAGATGGACTAAGGCTGCTATAATAAGAACAATCAATATAACGACACAGGAGCATAAAATGGGTAACACAACCAACACTAGTTACATGAAACAAAAAAGACGCAGATTTCAGTCGATGGTAATGGGCGTATTGGCGGGCCCGGTCGCTGGACAGTCAGTGTTCCTAAGCGATTTGACGACCTCATCAAAGACAGCTCGGGCAAGGACAGGAGGCACCGCGTTGCCGATTTGCTTCATCACACCGGGGGCACAGAAGGTATGGTTCAATGGGAACGTCTGCAGTGAAGCTGCCTCGCGTAGGGTAAATGTCCTTGTGCCCGATGGATGGAAATTGTCTCCTCCGGAACAGGTCAGCGTCCTTGCTAGCGAGCGTGGGTCATAAGGTCGCCGCTCAAAGGGTCTCTCTGCTCGTTCTAGGTCATGGTCCGGTGCCGTGCTGGGTATACCACTGATAGCGTCAAGAATCGTGACAAGAGGCAGTTTTCCTGGCTCATCTCCATGAGTAGGCTGGGGGAAAGGTGGTAATTCTTCTCCGGGACCAGCAGCAATGAGTATCAATCTGCACCTTGACTGCGGCACGCCGTAGTCCTTGCAATTAACGAGTCGCCATCTCACACTATAACCGAGCTCTATCAAGGAGTGAATAATAGCATCCAGCCAGATAGGATGGCGTTGCTTTAGGCCACTCGTTTGCTCCATCGTTGCCACACGGGGCTTACACAGCTCTATCAGTCGGTATATGCTGAATAGACATGCTTCATTGGCCTCGTCGTGTGCCGCAGCTATGGTTTTCGCCGGGGAGAAGGGCTGACAGGGGGGAGAAACATGCATCACATCGACCAGTAGCTCTCTGGGTAAACTGGTTAGAAACTGCGCTACCTCGCTGTGCTCCGCGAGACAGGAAGGGAAGTTTGCTCTGTAGCTGTTGATGGCTGACTCTGACTTATCAAAAGCCCACGAAAGTTTGAGGCCAGCTTGCTGTGCACCTCTCGATACGCCGCCGGCACCACAGAAACCATCTCCAAAGGTGTATCGCCGCTTGTGCAGCACAGTGCCACGCCAGTTGTTTCTAAGTTCCTCGCGAGAGACCGAAAGGGAGCTCTGACAATCCTCTGGTAGGAGAAAGGTGATTTTCTCTTCCACAATATCAGCAGTACCCCGGCCAGACACTGATGGCCGTCTCTTCCATACCCGGGTATATTTCATCCGGCAAAAAAGGAACCCGTCATCTCTGTTCTCATCTAGTGTAGGGCTGTATCGTTTGTTCGTTAACCTAATAATCCGTAACCGGCGGATCGCAGAGAGTGGAACTTCCACCTCTCCACTATAGGGCCGGTATTGGGAGGCATTGCTGTGTCTGCTACTGCTGCTGCTGCTGTAGTCTCCCTGGTCAATAACCCAGCAAAGCTCATTAGGTCTATCGGGCATCCGACTTCCCATATTTTCTAGGCGTTCGAATTTGGGCCCAGAAACGACAGTCTTGTCCGATGACTGCAAGATCCGGTTGACTCGGACAAATGTTCCATCTTGCAGTTCAATAAACTTCCCAGGTCTATATGTCCGCCCCTGATAACGAATCTCACTGAGGTGTGTTCTAGGAGGCAGTACTCGTTCGGTGGGAATAGTTCTTTCCTTAGCTCTCCGTGGTGTAGGACTCGGCGATTCATCATTGCCTGATAGAGAATGCACATAGGCCTCAAAATCAGTATCTGACATAAAATCATCGCCTCTAAACCCTGGAGATGGCGATATCGAGGACGCTGGCGAGGAATATCCGTTTGCATCTATCGTAGAGTTGCTGCTGCTGATGCTTTCGTGGTCCGAATCAAGCTCAATAACTGGAAGAATGTTGACTGCCATCTTGGGTATGGTTTGAGTGTGCTGAAGAAGGTTGCCAGTGTCATGGTATTTCCAGAAGATGCTGGAGGAGAAGCAGAAGAAGGTATATATGTGTATCTAGCATGGCTGCTAGAGACCATTTAGCCGCGTTAAGGGGGCTGGTTAGTGTGTGTGTTGCTTGTCCTCTTCAGCAACACAGCACCACAGAAGACACCACACAGAGTCATAGACATCTTTCCTGCTAGATCTGCCAATGTATAGACTTCCTCCTTGCCTTTATAGTGTACTATCACACTCTTTATCTTTATCCGCTGCTGTCTTCTGTTATTTTTGTTTCCTTTGCTGTGCTTTTCGCTGTCTTGCTATCAAATTGATGTAGATGCTCGTATCTTATCCACCACTAACCGCGTACTGTACTGTCACAAAACATGTCCTCTCACCAAACTCTGGCCAAGATCTAGTAATATACGTATTCTGATTGGGTAATATATTACCAGCGGCTGTACCGCCGTTACTAGAATTTCATCTCAATCTTTTTTTTTTTTTTTACCTCGCTTTTTTTTTTTTTTTTTAGGGAGAGAAAGAAAAATTCTTACTTAGAAGAAGGAGAATAAAATGAACAATTTCAGCTTCAGTTTTGCATCCTCTGTTGATGTGAATCTCCTTGACTCTGGCACTCCTCCTACTGTGCCTTACAAGTGATCTTGTCTCTTGTCTGTCCTGTCTGCTGCTACTCCCACAATGAGTCTTCCATGCTAGGCGTGCCCGTTGCCACAAAAAAGTCCATCTGAGATATCATATCAACCGACCCTTAAAGCGCATCGACTCTCTATACAGCCAGGTACGACTGCTTTCTCTGCATATATCACTATATATATATTCTCCCTTGCTGCATGATGATTCAAATGGAAAAAAGGATGTTAGACTACTGAATCTCATCTGTGGATAAATCCAATGATATCTGACCACTTTGACACCCCCCAATATCGATATGGCTCTACATATATATATATATATATATATAGTGTTATGTGCAATACAGCTAACCACTATGGATGATACAGCAAGATGTGCGGCATTCTAGCCCTTATCCTCGCTAATCCCACCGAGGCAGCGAGCGTTGACCTCCATGAAGCCCTCTACCTCCTTCAACACCGCGGTCAGGATGCCTGTGGTATAGCTACTTGCGCCTCTGCCGGCCGTATATTCCAGTGCAAAGGTGAATACCTAGGTCTACTTGTGCCTGTCGAGTACCGTACTAAGATAAAAACCGTTAGGCAATGGAATGTGTGGGAAAGTCTTCCAAGACGGCCAGCGCGTCGCTGATCTACCTGGGTTTATGGGGTCTGTCTTCTCTCGCGATATTAAAGTATTTCAACAGTTCTAACAGTTTTCTCAATATAGACTCGGCCATTTGAGATATCCCACTGCTGGAAGCTCAGCCAACGCCGAAGCTCAGCCCTTCTACGTAAACAGTCCTTACGGCATAACCCTCGCGCATAATGGCAACCTGATCAATGCTCCAGAGCTGAAGCGATACCTGGACTATGAAGCACACCGTCACATCAATACCGACAGTGACAGCGAGCTGATGCTGAATATCTTTGCCAATGAGCTCAATGAGACCAAAAAGGCTCGTGTAAACGTGGAAGATATCTTCGCAGCTCTTAGCCGGATGTACGAGCGCTGCGAAGGTGGATGGGCATGCACGGCTATGCTCGCCGGTTTCGGCGTGCTCGGCTTCCGTGACGCATACGGAATCCGCCCCCTAATCATCGGCTCTCGGCCTTCGCGCAGCGGGCCGGGAATGGACTACATGATGGCCTCCGAGTCCGTTGCTCTGGACCAGCTTGGTTTCACCAACCACCGTAACATCGTGCCCGGTGAAGCTGTCATCATCCAAAAGGGCCATGAACCTGTCTTCCGCCAGGTACACCCCAAACTCAACTATACCCCCGACATCTTCGAGTATGTGTACTTCGCCCGTCCGGACTCAGTCATTGATGGAATCAGTGTATACCGTGCTCGGCAACGCATGGGTGAAAAGCTAGCAAAGCGAATCATTACCGCCCTTGGTCCTGATTCTATCAAAGATATAGATGTCGTTATTCCTGTGCCCGAAACGTCCAACACCTCCGCTGCTGCACTTGCTCGGTATTTGGACAAACCATACTCCCAGGGTTTCGTAAAAAACCGTTATGTTTTTCGGACATTCATCATGCCGGAGCAGAAGGCTCGACAAAAGGGAGTTCGGCGAAAATTGAACGCCATGGCATCGGAGTTCAAGGACCGAAACGTCCTATTGGTCGACGACAGTATCGTTCGTGGTACTACAAGCAGAGAGATCGTCATGATGGCTAGAGATGCTGGGGCAAAGACTGTCTTGCTTGCCAGTTGTGCTCCTGAGATAGCGTACGTTTCCTTTACCTACCGTTCCACAATAAAATACTAACTGCTATATAGCCATCCCCACATCTACGGCATCGATCTAGCCTCTCCCCATGAACTGGTGGCTCATGATCGTGATATCAACGCCATCACAGCTTACATTGGAGCTGATGCCGTCATTTATCAGACTTTAGACGACCTTACTGCTTCCTGTGCCGAAATATGCATTGAAAGCGGCAATGCAGAGCCCGTTAAGTTCGAAGTCGGTGTTTTCAACGGGGTATATACAACGCCCGTCTCAGCAAACTACTTCGAACACCTAGAGAAACTTCGCGGTGAAGGTAGAAAAATTAAGAGAGTCGAAAGCGCCAGAGCTGCTGTCCTCAACGGCGTTGCAAGCCACGAGAATCTCCTCATCGCCTCCAGCAAAGTCGACCTAGATGCGAACGGGAAACCACTTGTTGTTGACACCGTCAGACCAGTAGCAGATGCTCCTGCTGCTAATTCGACCGACTCATCCCTCCAAGCGCAAGCTCAGGCGAATAGTCAATCTCAACACCAAAAGCCGACCGAAGTCCCACCTCATGTCAAGGACAGAATGGACATCAGCATTCATAACCTCGGCGATTACTAACTCATACAACCCCCAACCAAACTCGGCTGATACCTCTCGTTGACAGAGCTTATTTCCATTATGTCCCCTTCTCTCTTTGTCTCCTTTTCCCCTTTTCTTCTCATAGAGCCATGATTTGAACGTTTGAATGACCATGAATAAACATAAAGAACAACCGCGAGGTTGCCACATTCTCTTACCCTTCCTGGCCTTTCCCCAGTCTTCAGAGGGCAGTGCGGGACATCCAGCTGCCACTACCACTTCTACCCTTGACCCTGATCCCGATTTAACTCGCTGATCAAAAGCAAATGTGGATGAAGAGAGATGAAATAAAAGTACAGTAACGCGCAGGTACATACTTGCTTAGTGTAGGTAGCAAAGCTCAACACAAATGCAAAAAAATACCATTACATCTTTTTATCTCTTTTTCTGCTTCTCCTTGCCAGTAGTTTAGGACAAGCTTTAGCTTTAATCACCTATATGGCTGACTCCTATCACCCTAAGGTACTCACATCGCCCTTATAATATTTATTTTGAACCTTATTCACTATAGTATACTCCTATAACACAAGACCATACTCTAAATTTATATGGAGCACTTGTCTTGCCTGTACCTCTGTTTTAAGCTTGTACCAAAGGCTGAACCATGGGTCTATGAAGGTCAGTCCCGGTACCAAGCCCAACAGTGGTAGGGACAGAAGATATATGGTTCTTACATCATAGACTGGTAATAGATAAACAAATTTTTATTTATTAACGCCCAAGCTTTTACTTCTGTCTGAATGAATACTCCCGTCACCTAGTTTCATTACTCCTTTACAGAAGGATTCAATCACCAGATTCACACGACTAAATAACAGGCATCAGTGGAGCATAGCTTCTTTATCCTTAAAACTTCTTTCAGACCTTCCCGAGGGCATCGTTAGATTTTCCTTAGACAAAGAGTTGATTTGAACATTCGTTTGAGGGTGGTGTGGGAAAGAAGCAGCGTAGGGGGCAGGGGCACGAGCAGAAGTGTATCAACATCCGGAACATCCAGGCCGGCTTTTCGCTGAGTTATACCTATCTACCCAAAGCGTACCTAAAGAGCTCCCTTTTATTCATCAATATGGCCAGCAACAGGAGCATGATAACCCCCTTACCCCCAGAGGAGCCAGTGATACCTAAGAATGATAACCTCGCAGTACCTCAGGATCACCATGACCGACAAATAGACGACCCGTCGACATATACGGAGCCTAGATATATAACAAGGCAAGTAAAGAGACAAGCCATAACTGGGTCTTCTTCTGCGTCTCCCTCAAAGCGCTCAAAAGTGAAAAGGAAGCAAGGGAACCCGGTCCCAGCTATCGACGAATTACCGCATAATCTAGGTAAAATTGAGATTCTTGATGCTGTTGTAGTGGGTTCAACACAGGACTTTGCTGTTCCCACGGTGCCTCAGCTACATTCAACAGATAGTAGTTCCTCCCCAGCCCCATACGAAGCAGCAACTTCCAGCCCTCGTCGAAATCGTGGCCCCAAAAGTCCATATGGCCTAACACCAGGGGCTAGCCCTTTTCCAGACTGGAAACACCCTACAGTAGCAGAGTGTGAAGAGATTAACAGGCTACTTTCCTCAGTTCATGGAGAAGTCATAGCGCCCAAGGCGATACCACCACCTTCGTTGACCGTATCAGGCTGTGGAGAAGTGCCTAGTATCCTCGATGCTTTGATCCGGACGCTTCTTAGCGGTGCGACCACCGGCAATAACTCTGCCATGGCATTCCAGGGCCTGGTGCGCAAGTTCGGCATTCTTAAAGAGGGTATAGGGAAAGGAAGCGTTGACTGGAATAAAGTCCGTGAAGCTCCAGTGGAAGACATCTACAAAGCGATGAAATGTGGTGGACTCGGAGTCGCGAAGAGCAAATATATCAAACAGATCCTTGAAATGGTATATGAAGAGAATAAAGCTCGGAGAGACGCACTGGTTGAATCGAAGACTGGAAAGGAAATCGACCTCACACGAGCCCCAGGTTCCATAAATGAGACAGAGGAGCAGAAGGACAATGAGATCACCATGGCGAACGAGAATGTGCTCTCCCTCAATCACCTTCATTCTCTATCAAAGGATGAAGCTATGTTAGAATTCGTCAAATATCCCGGCATCGGCGTCAAGACAGCAGCCTGTGTCATTCTATTTTGCCTTCAACGTCCTTGCTTTGCTGTCGACACACATGTTTTCCGCCTTAGCAAATGGCTTGGTTGGATTCCGCCAGATAAAGTCAACGAAATCACTGCCTTCAGCCACCTTGAGGTGAAGATCCCGGATCATCTGAAGTACTCGCTGCATCAGTTGTTCATACGCCATGGTAAGGCATGTCCTCGGTGCCGCGCCATCACAACAGAGAACAGCGAGGGGTGGGAGACTGGCTGCATCATAGATCATCTTGTACAGCGGACTGGAAAGAGAAAAGGTGGACCACTAAAGCAGACAAAGCTCGGCTTCCCAGCGAACAAGTCTACGTATAAGTCTGTATACAGTGGTAAAAGATGATGCACAGGGGAGATCAACATCAGGATGAAAGATTTATCGCCTTTCATAACACAACTGAATGGGGCTGTTGGAGTTGGATCCTAAAATAATGGGTTATACAACGGAAGTCGTAGAGGTATCCCGTGGGTTGAGTAGGGACATCCAAGAACCCTTCTGTCCATCGATCGACGCCTAGCTAGGCGCTCCATCAAATACCCCTCCACCACTATTGTCGCAAGCAACACCTACCCCGAAATGTATAAGGCAGATACATGTACCCAATTATATCGAGAACGTCCCTATAGTGCACGAGTATCATATCGATTTGCTATGAAGCAGCTTCAAAGTTCGTCCACACTCCAAGCCTAGGGTCAGTAAACCAGCGCAGAATATCGAACTGCCAGTTCAAACCACCAGGTCCGGGAAGACAGGGCCAGTCAATATATATTGACGGAAGAAATGAGCAAATGGACAACCTAGCAAAATCCAGCGCGAATTTAGTGCGTTTCTTCTCGAGGGTATATTTAAGAATGTACTCTCAAATAAAACATTAGATATGGATTCTAGGTATCTCCAGCTAGGTATTAATGGAGGCATCTATGCAAAACATAGAATCAACCTTCATAAACAGCCAAATTCACAACTATGTTTTGATATAGAAGCGGTCAACACATGTTGCGCCGCTGGAGTGGAATTCTTGGACATAGTAAAGGTGCAAAAACACAGCCAGCCCTGTTTTGGTCCACATAATAACCTCCAGTTGCATATACCTGGAGAATCGCCGCGCATTGTCATATGCTGGTGTTCGTTGCAATGTTGTCGAGAAGTCGAGCGGATGAAGTTCGTCTGTTCCCCTTTTTGCCTTTTGAGATTAATTTAACTTTAGTGATGTCTTGGCATCAACAACACCTTGCAAGCTCCTTTGAATGCTCGAGGACGAATCTCAAGATTCAACGCATTTCCGCCACGATTCCAAAAGGGCCGGCCAAGGGGATGGATCACCTCAAGCTAGCCTATGCAACGGTGCTGAACTGCACTTTCACCCAATTGCTTACCTCTGCTGTGTTAATACTCCCAACTCTCCTTGTTCTAAAGCTCCTAGCTGCCTCTCTGTTCTCCCAAGATGAACGGCCGGTTACATTTGACGTACCCCTTCCCAAGGAACTGAGCCCTGAATGGAAAGGAGTTGCCTGGGAAGATATCAGTAAAGAGTCACGGGAGATATTGACCTCCCAAGGTACAACTGGGGTAAGTCACTCCCATCTGTTCGACTAATCAGCTATTCCTAACGCGCCCACTTTCTCAATAGACGTTCAGCGAAAAGAAGATTCTGAGCTATTGTCCTGCTGATGGACGTTTGCTGGGAGATGAGAATGGTATAATACCAGCTACGGCAGAGGATATCGATAAAGCGTTCAAACGAGCTTCAGCTGCATATTTGCAATGGCGGGAAACAAGCTTTGCTGAACGTAGGAGAGTTCTAAGGACCCTATTGAAGTAAGAAAATAGATTGACGACACATTTGGACAGACCTGCAGGTACAGAATATATGTGCTAATTGTCCGTTTGCTCAGGTATATCCTTGAACACCAGAATGAGATCGCAACCGCCTGCTGCCTTGACTCCGGTAAAACAAAAGTAGACGCCTGCTTTGGAGATATAATGGTTACGGCTGATAAGTTAAAATGGACAATCGACCATGGTGAAAAGTCGCTACAGACGGACCGTCGCCCAACGAATCTACTTATGATGTATAAGAAAAACACCGTTCGATATGAGCCCCTCGGCGTGGTGGGAGCTTGCGTGTCTTGGAACTATCCATTCCACAATCTGATTTCTCCGGTTATCAGTGCCATATTTGCTGGAAATGCCATCATTGTGAAACCATCTGAGCACACAGCATGGTCATCGATCTTCCTATGCGATATCATACAACGCGCGGTCGTCAGCTGTGGCCATCCAAAGGATCTTGTCCAGACCGTCATCTGCCTACCACAGCATGCTGATGCAATGACATCTCATCCGCTGCTACGACACCTCATTTTCATTGGATCAAAACCTGTTGCCCATGAAGTTTGCAAGTCAGCCGCAAAGGCTCTGATTCCGGTAACTGTGGAGCTAGGTGGAAAGGATCCTGCCATTATCCTCGATGACCCTAAAACCAAAAACGACCTCCCCAGTATTGCCTCCATTATGATGAGGGCGGTGTTTCAATCTGCTGGCCAGAATTGCATTGGGACTGAGAGAATAATTGCACTTCCCAATGTATACGACGAGCTGCTTGAAATTGTCACTCCTCGTATCAAAGCGCTTCGCCTTGGATCTGCCCTCTTAGACGGTAGAGGTGATCTAAAAGCGCAGAAACTTCCTCACACTCCCGATGTTGGTGCTCAAATATCCAGCAGATCATTTGACCGCCTTGAAAGCCTGATATCTGAGGCAGTACGAGACGGAGCTAGGTTGATACATGGAGGGAAAAGATACAACCACCCTGATCACCCCCATGGGCATTACTTTATGCCAACACTACTTGCCGACGTAACTACTGAAATGAAGATTGCCCAGACGGAGTTATTTGCACCCGTCTTCGTTATGATGCGAGCTAAAACGGTAGACGAAGCTATTTCCATCGCAAACTCCATCAAGTATGCCCTTGGTTCCAGCGTCTTTGGACATAACAGGGCAGATGTTGGAAAGTGTGTCTCCCGCCTCGATGCAGGAATGGTTGCAGTCAATGACTTTGCTACCTTCTACGCTGTTGGCCTACCTTTTGGTGGTGTAAAGGATAGTGGTTATGGGAGATTTGGTGGCGCCGAGGGTCTCCGAAACCTAAGCAATCTTAAGGCTATTTGCGAAGACAGGACATTCATCCAGACTAAAATCCCACCGCGACTGGACTATCCAATTCAGAAGGGACAAGGCAAAGGGGAGGATGGTGAAGTCGCATGGAATATGTGTCAGGGAGTGGTAGAGACTGGATACCAGCCATCTCTCTCTGGAAAGATAAGTGGAGTACGGAAAATTTTGGGAAATATGTAAGTCTAGTTCCCGGATTATGAAAAGTATCATTGCTGCAATTATAGTTTTTATACGAGTAAATGAAGTAAACGGCACAGAATATAATCATGCATTAAATCATCCAACGGACTGCGGGGTATCGTTGTCGCAATCCTATTCCTCAAAGCGATACTATCAACAAATGTACAAAAAAAACTGCCATTGAAAACCTTCCTAAAGGATCACCCTTTCCATTTCTTCCTAGCCCGCTCACGGAGTTTGTATAGGTACACTTTAGACAGAACTCATCACGGGTCGTCTCGTATGATGATGCCCCCCGACTCTAGATCGTCGACCTGAACACCAACCGCAGGTTAAGAAGGAGATTATAGCGTGGAGGATGGAAATTGTTCCGTTCACGATTGCCATCAACACGCTCCCAATAGCATTAACGATGGTCATCAGAGCGCGCCCAATCGCGTGGAATGCGCCAACGATCTAAGTGTGGGAAGTTAGACGCATTGTCTCAGGCTGTCTTTAAAGCGTTATACTCACACATGATACGACGGCACCCATGGTTAGTAATAAGATAACTTTTTTCTCTGCTGCAGAGGAAAGCTTGGGTGTCTAGTGGCGTTTGTTTTGGTAATGTATAGTGGTTTCTTGGTTCTTCAAGTATGGTATTGGTAGTTTATTCTATTTTTTAAGAATACACAATCTAGCGAGGGGTAAAGGCAGGTTATATACTCACCAACATCATTTCTATCATGTTCTTCCAATTACCGCCATGTTTGATATATACGAATTCGGTGACGTAGGGAGCGCAACGCTTCCTAGAATCCTGCCTTGATTCCTCACAAAAGCGATGCAAGATGATGATTTTCTGGCCCATGCACCTGTCAGTGACGTCATAACAGACCCACCACGTGGAAATAAGGTTAACCTGCTGACTAAGATAACCTAAACTCCAGGTTTCATGCCCTACGAGATGAAACTTTGTTTCCTGTATATTTGAGCTTTCACAATACTTTTCTGTAGCTCGAATCAAATACACGCTTCTATCATTGTCTATGCAGTCGTCAAGAGTTAATGCGGTTGGCTGTATATATAATAGTGCAAATTCCATAGGACAAGGAGATAGGAAGATTATGTTTCCGTCAAGGTCTCTATCAGTGTACGGAGTAGACATTCCAACGTTGGAGAAGAGTGTAGAATTAAGTGGGCTTGGCAGGCCGATTCAACGGCGAGCTCCTTTCCTTAGTAAGGCTAAGAGGGCTGAGCCGTTATCTAATAGGGCATAACTCAACCAAGCGTAGATCGAGCAAAATATATGCCCTAGAAAAGTCCAAATGCGATAGACAAGATGGCGACTCGCCTTCACCTGTCAACTGGTATTATCGGCTACCTTAATGTGCCCGATTGAAACTGGAATTGCATTTACTCCAAGCAATTCCACTGTTCAGTTCCCAGTGCGAAATGATTCACAAGTCTGAAATTCTATCGAAAACCCCTATCTTTCTCACAGTAGGTATTAATTTGTTTTAAGCGCTATCCGCGAAATGCAGGAACTTCAAAGTAACTTAGACGATGATTTGATCGAAAAGGGATACACCAATTTGACCAAACTACCGCACACTCCCATCCCGGCTAACGAGAGGGAAAAAAAAAAAAAAAGCAAGAGCACAAAATCAGTAAGGAGCAGCAATGAATAGCTCCGAGAAATAAAGTAGACGCCCAAAAATAGGTTTCATCCACCCTGGGGTGACAAAAACTTTAAGGCCGAGCAAGCTGCTATGGAACTAACACGAACACTCGCCTCTAGAGAGAAGGCAAGAGTTAAGAGAAGAGGAGCCCTGGCTGAATAGTGTACGACCCAAAAACCCCCTGAGTACTCAAGGTGAATAGCCATACGGAACTACTCGCTGCAGATTCCCTCTCCGCAAGATATAAATAGGAAGCCATCCCCCTTCCTCAGAATAGGATAATTCTGCGTAGGTTGGCAAAATTGACTCTCCAAGTCACACCAATCTGCATGGAGTGTAGACAGGACATGAACTTTGATTTGCGGTGTATCACCACCGTATATATATCCCCAGAGCCCACAGTGCACCAACATTCGTTTGCCGACTTGGTGTGTTTGTTGACCGGCATACCCTTGGCAAAGGAATGCCGGAGAAAAGGATTCTCACTTGGTTCCAGTATGAGGGGAACTTTGAATCCATGAAGATTCGGATATAACCATCCGTTCGTATTACTGTAAAGGTTTTGAATCTGAATATACTCTTATTTCCCTCTTTGTTGTCTCTTTTTTATTCTGTTTGTTGCGGTACTTGGTGCTTTTTCCACGCGTTTAGCACCGACCTTCTTTTGCCGTTGCTTTTTAGCAATGCGTTGACTTCTTCTTGGTAACCCTCGTTTTCGTGTTCCTATTTGGTATTAGTATGATGATATTCAAACGACCAGAGAAGTCCAAAATTCTGGTTTTGTGGACAGAATTTCAGAGAAATAAGTTACATTACTAGCACGTACCATTTTGTGATGGGGATTTCCGTAACTTCTTCAATATCCATGGAAGCACGTTTATTATAAAAGTATATCGGTCCTCTTCACTAGCCTCTTTCCCTATAAAGTTGAGTAAAAACGGTTGCAGTCGTGTTGGCAGAAGCTTTGTAAGCTCAAAATATATCCCGTTCACGGTGGTAGTGGCTTGTTGTGAGAGCTTTTGGGCGGTCTGAGAGACGGCAAAATGTATGCGAGGTTCTAGGTCCCTGGTGTCCTTGGTCGATCCAGAGCTAATGCTTTTCGAGACCACTTCTTCTGCAAGACGTTGGAATGTCGGCTTCGAGAGAGTGTTTTGGAGAGACGTATTGCAGCGTCCTGAGAGCTCTGTTAAGAGCGTGTCATTCTTTTGTGGAAGGTTGTATTGAGTCGGTTCCGGGTCCCGTGGAGCCGTATACGGCGGTGTTAGCGGTCTTTGGGCCAGCATAATGTCAGCAATAGTCATTAACGGATAGTGAATAACCGTTGTCGATGCCGATGTCGTCGTTCTCGTTCTTCCTGCCTTCTTGCAAGTTATGAAAGGAGAAGATGTTGTCGACACGAACGAGTCACGTGGCTCGTCCCCGCGTCGCGCTTATTCAGAACTCCAACATGTTTGGCGAACGACGAGATACATGTCTTCAGAGTAAAAAGGTGTATTCTTAACAAATGCAGCGTCACACATTTTTTTTGAAAGATGAAGTATTAGTTTTATATAATATATTTATTGTCGGGAGGTGCCTTTATTGTTGGCCATGGCATACCCGTCTCCTGAACCCGAAGACACCAGACCAGAAGAACACCATACACGCGTTATCCTACTCCCTATCTCCACATCAGCCGTGGAATCTTTGAGACTCCCTGGAAATCGAGATTTTGTTGGACCGATTCCATTAACCGGGCTGCCCATTGACCCATCAGTCACACGTGGGAAAGATAAAGTGCTCGCATTCCGGCTATACGAAAATCTAGATCGTCCATACTTCGTCATCGGAAGTGATAAATCGTGCCAAATACAACTTCAGACTACAACGGATGAATGTTGGGTTAATATACGACATTGCCTGTTTATTACGATACCCGATGATAAAGACGATGCAATTCTTCTTCGCAATTCATCCACCTCTCGCTTTGTCCTCCGGGATATTCGCCATAGGAAAGAGGATGGGGAGGAGATATTACCTGGCGATCGACTGAGGATACGACCTGGCCTTATGCATGTAACTTTTGGAGCTGGTCTCGAGTTTTTACTTAAGGTCCTGCCTAGTAGTATCTCGAATACCCGCTCTCCAGTGTCTTCCGGTATTTGCGAGTTGCTGAGCGGACCGACAACTACGGCCAAATCGACCACCCTTCGGCGAAAGAAAACAGCCAACAGAGATCTAACCGATACTCTTCACTCAAACAAACGGATCAAATCTGAGAATTTTCTTATAAAAACTGTCCAGTATGAAGCACGGCCCACAAAGCTGGATCTTGTTGCTGAGACTGGATTAACACACGTTTTTAAGCTCCAACGGTGTGGACGTGTTGTTGCAGCGAAGGTGTGCAGAAAGCCAGATATAGAGGATGCGGTGTATATGTGGGAAAATGAGAGGAAAGTTTTGCAGTCCTTGAAACATGTATGTTCTACGACCTCTTCCACTGTCCAATGTCTCCATTTCCTTCTAACTCGCGCAACTAGCGTAACATTGCACAGCTCCTCGATTTTCAGGCTACTAACCTTACCCTATTCCTTGAATATATTGAGGGATTGGATCTTTCCCAGTACGCTGATGGTGACAGATTCTCAATAATCAAGGAGGAGATGCAACTACGAGTCTGGATAGACATCAGTAGTGCCCTCAAGTATATTCATGAAAAGGGAATTATACATCATGATATAAAACCTAATAATATTATACTTGGAGACCATAAAAGAGGAGCTGTTCTCTGTGATTTTGGGCTTTCTACCCTTGAGCATCGCTATAGCGATGGAGGGTCAACTTCCTATATTCCGCCCGAATTACTCCTAAAACAGAGGGGTAAACCAAGCGACATATGGGCTTTTGGCATTACCATGCTCTTTGTTTTTAGGCACATACAGCTACCTTCTAACGGTTGGCCTATTCGAAGGATCACGGAGGATTTAAAAGTCCGGAAGAAATTCATGGATTGGTGGGATCGCATTGATACCTTACGAAAGAAACTTCCTCGACGAATGACTGCTCTTCGGCAAATGCTGACTCCTGATCCTCAACGCCGGATTTCAGCTTCTGCCCTGTACGACGCCTTGAATAAACAGAGAATAGCAACTGCAACAGAAACAACAACGACGACAACAGCAAAGAAGATTAAAATGAAGAAGTCCTATGTTCTTAAGCGCTGACGAGTTACTGAAGACTTCGTGTGCATGCGCGAAGAACCAATTCGATCCAGCATTATAAATTGCAGAGTGGCTAATTGAACACGAGTATCGTTCGCAGGACAAAGTGTGCCAGATACTCAATGGCTGGTATGTGGGACAAAGTCGACTATTATACTGATAGTATGCTAATTTTTATTTATGTATGTAGGGCCTGGAAATACAGGGAATTACGTCTTGTCTAGTTATCCCTTCATGAATCTCCTTGAACGTCCACTTGGAGAGACACCCCTCTTAATGGGTAGAAGTAAATGCGAGGCTTCCTACGGCTCTCGGGCTGACTTCTTCGAATTCTAATCTCGCTCCCCGCCAACTCCTTTCCTCCCATAAATCTGCCGATCTATATATTGTGGTTCAAATTAGCCCATATATAACATGTAACTTGGAGCCGGGAGCCTTACCCAGAACCGCTTCATAAATGGCGGCATCCACCACTACAGGCACAGCAGGCAATGTTACATTCTGGAAAAGGCATATGTTAATTATTATGCCACAGGGTTGTGCTGTGTGGTCCACTTACTTCCATACCCACAGCAAGGCGTTGCGCGTGATTTGTCTGCGCACCACTGTGCATAATTGTTAATTTGTCTGGTCCAGTATATGTTTTAAGCTCAGAAAAACTTACGAAAAATATATTTGGATTGCAGCAGTAATTCTTGCTTCTGGCTACTTTAGTACCCAGCCCACTCAATAAAGCAGGGCTGAAGGCTGGTGATGCGAGAACTAGCAACGGAGACAAAAGTATGATTAGGATTTTCATCGTTGATAGTCAGTCTCATCAGTTAGCAGACTTCGAAGTTTTTCTTTTAAAGAACAGGAAGGGGGAACCCCTTTATAAGTCTTTCGATTGAATGATAACACGGTGGATTATCTCAATATTATGTGCAAATTCAATTAGAGCAGCGGATATTAATAGCTACGGGTTTCCAAATCCGGCATTTTGCTTAGTAGGCGAGAAGCTTCGACTGCAACTACCGAAGAGGCAACGAAATGAAAATATATCGCGCGAAACTGTGGAATAATTCGAAAGAGTGAATAACATTCTTTGTAACGTGATATACGGAGTACATAGGCATCTATCAAAGCCCTTTCATATTCTCCGCGCAATTCACCGAGTCGAGTATTAACTAGTCAGCCGGATATTTATTGTTCACGTGATAGTTAACTAAGTTAGTTAGTCTGCCCTGACTAATTGACGTTTTAGGCGCGGGCGCTAACTAAATTTTGCGCAAGCGCCGAAGCGCATCCGGAATACAACTTCCTATTCTCAAAGAAAGTCATAATTTGGAGGACCAAGGCATCAGTCTGCCAGTTAGGGACACGAGAAGACACAACATTTTCATCATGCAGTTCAGTGACTGTCCCATGACGCCAATGAGAGTTCGTGGAAAAAAGCGACATCGTAAAGATGTTAGCCAGGGCACTACGGAAAAACGCCCAAGGCAAACTTCACCAAGAGTCAGCACCAAGTATACCCATTATTCACATGTACACTCAGAAGGTACAATCATTAAACCAAAGCTCTGGACGCAGAGCGCCGCCCCTTCAAGAATTTCCTTACAATCATTGCCTATGGAAATCCTGCAATACATATTTTTCGACTGCCTGGAAATAAATCTACTCCGTGTGTTTCCGCAACTTGCGTGTGCGATGTCCAACAAGCGCATATATTCCTGTATAACTATGCTTGCCATCTGGGAAGAACCAAGTCCAATCTATCATACGCTTCAATCAATGGATGAACGGACAGGGGCTTGCTTGGAACGTACAGAGGGAAAAATACTGAAAGCGTTCCGTCCAGTTGGGTATCGATATCTATCCACAATAGAAAAGGCGAGGCTACAATCCCAAATTCTTAACTGTCGGTGGGCGACTCTTGAACTTATCAGCTCTTGTGTTGTTAAGTGTGCCGGGCTGGGGCAACTACTAGAAACTCATGATGACAACCCGCAGATGCAGGAGCCTGATTTGATTCGCATTTTAAATTCACGAGAAAACACTTTACTGAGGTCTTATTTACAGATTGCCAGCGTTAGAAACAACCGCAGTCTATGGTGGTCCTTGAACTTTCATGTTAACGGAAATTTCGATCCTGTGATATTTCGAAACGTTGCGTGCGTCTTTTCCATTCCGGAAAAAGCAATAGATAAGAGGCCATGGTCGTCCCGAAAGGTGGAGTTGTTCAAGTTACTTCGCCTCTTACTCTATCAAGGAACCAGCCCAGCTCCCATTCAGCCATATTCCCGAGAAGTGCTCCATGCAGGTGTGCATCAAGCTATTGTTGAAGATAATCCAAGCATGGTAGAACGGCTTCTTGAATTAGATGAGTATTGTGTTAGTTCCGAGGCGTTCTCGTTCAACGGTAGACCGAAGAATGCCGGCTACGATATCCCATCCGAACATTTCCTTACTGCCATTCGCCATTCCACAACTCTGGATATGATGAAAACGTTAGTTCGTGCAAGCGCAGAGTCACTTCCATTTGACAATTCAGAAATTACTGAATGGGCGCTTGAATACGAGAAGTCATCTTCTCCATTTTGTGAATGGCTCTTAGAGCTTATGGTTCAACTTCCTCACCACAGGAGCCACTCCTCAAAACAAATGTTTATCTGTGGTATGCTCAACTTGGCTGGCTTTAATTGGAGCCTGCCACCGGTGGGCGCGGGGCGGCTCCGTTATGTGACAAGTGACCCTGCTTATAGGCCGTACGTCGTTGCATGGTCGGAGGAGCCATACCCGTGGCCTGCAGACTTGTTTAGCTACACGGACAAAGCTCCCATAGATCTTAGCGTCTTGCAACACTCGAAGTCATGAAATACGTTGGTTCTACTACATTCGCAGTCGCGTAACCCTTATTCATAATACCAACATATATTTTAGGGAATCCGGTGGCTCCTTTTGTTCTCAGATAGTGACTCGTTGGATGGGTTTCTTAACGCGAAGTCTATAATACATTTTCACGCAAGTTTTCCAACAGACTTACGATCCGGTACAGGAATATTTTTCCATTAACGTCATGATAGATGCATCATCTCGGGGAATGCTATCCTTTCTCTTATCAAATAATAGCTGCAAAAAAGGATCTTTGTTTGTCTCCGCATGCCTGGCAGCTACCCTGAAATGATTATGGCTCACTGGCCAAGGGTAGGGATACCTGTATTGTTTGCCACATATATGTAAGCTCAGCAAGCATCTAAAAACATCGAGTTCGCGATCCTCGATGACTTTTCTCAACACTGCTTTTGACCTATCGGGAGGCCAACCACCGTCGATATAGGCATCTGACGAGAGGAGGGTAAGGAGTTCTAGTTTGTCTTCCGTCCAAGGAGGTGTGAGAAGTCGATCTGGCATTCTGCATGGCTCTGCTGGATAAGGAGGAGCACAGGGAAGTCGAAATATATCGATTTCTTGAAACACAGGGTTCAAATCTCGAATTTGGAATGCACCGAAACTGAACCATATTGCAATCTTGCATGGTTGGTCATTTTCCAGGCTATGCGCGCGTATCACCAAGTCTCCTTTTCCGCGTTTTCCGACAGGCGTAGGATCGAATCTGTTTATATTTTGCCAATATTGATCTAAGTTTGAGAGAATATCTTGGTCTTCGTCTGGGGATATCACAAAATGAGAGCGTTTCTCTCTGATAACATGCTCCACATATTCTCTCTGGCATTTTCGAAGCAACGAAGCCGTGAGCCACCTGCACTTAAGAATCTCGGTTTGGATCTTTGCTCTCTCAAGGTGATTAAAGTAAAAGAAATCGAGGGGGAGGAAATGGTGAGATCCATAGATATTATCGAATCTTGACGAGCGATTGCAGCTGCTGAATGCAAGACGGATAAGCCAGGTATATAATATCGACGATGATAGGGTGTGAGCAATGCGTATTGAAGCACGAGGGAAGTTGAATTCAAGGCATTGGAAGAAGATCTTATGCACCAGCTCGGCGGGCAACGACTCTATGGGTGACCTTCGCCTGGATTTTATTTCCAGACGACTTGGGATGTTCATTGATATCAGCTGCCTTGTCGAATTTGATCAGTCCCGTGTGTCTCTCAGATTGGAAGAAAAGGGGCTCGAGGTTAGGTTTTATGTTTTCTCCTTAACGACTTATTCTCCTCCCAGATTGGCCGGAATAAAAGTTATCGACGCTGTTCCTGTGCCGTCTTTGCGTCTTTTAAGTGAGAAAAGTTCTCTACAGCATGCGGATTCGGCAGGAGACCAAACGTTGGAGGGCGTTTCGATACCAGCTGGCCATTTATATATAGCAATACCACCGGATTAACAGTGCATGTTTTGCATTCCCACTCTAGGCTCCATTGATAAACACGAGAAATGCACTATGCGAGTAGGTAGTGATTGCATTAGTTCGCTGGAGCCGGGAGAAAAATCGCGAGACTGGATAGGAAGAAAAGCCATCGAGGAGGCAAATATCGATGTAATAGGAGCCCGCGCTGCTCTAGCATGTCCATGGCTTCGTGCTAACTTGTTGCCGAAGACAGACACAACATGGGGTATGGAGCATTATCCCAACTCGGCATATTAATCAGGGGAAAAAGCAAAGCAGCCGCCATGCTTAATCCCTGGTATTCACTATCTGTTGACATACTGGCATCTTGTGTCCGGGCCCTTGTGGGCGGAGTGCTGCAACAATGCCGCCGCTCTTCTCTGCCACCGGATATCCCGGCCGGTAGACATGTGAGTATCTCCTGTATCAGACACCGAATAACAACAACAGACCCAATCCGGAGGTCCGGAGGGCCCGGAGCCAATTGATACTGCCTGTTCATCCGTCCTGCGATGCCCAATGTTGCATCTGAGCCTGGCTGTCGGTTGTTTGCTTCTGGTCGTGCAGAAACCCCCTCATTTTTTTTTGGCCCTGGATGTCAGCATGAGGATGGCAAGGGAGGTTATGCGATGCGGCCATGTAGGTTACAGAGCAGTTGGTTGGCTGCGAATTGTTTTATCTTTGACTGGCTAGTTCGACTTGGTTGGCTACATTGATAGATTTTATGAACAGCTGCGAGGATGTTAACTAATGCAGCCTCATAAGCCCGGAAGCAACGTAACCAGACATTGCCAGTTGCACAAACGGGAAAACGAATGTAAAAAGGAACATGCTTCTATTTGAAACTCTCGGTTCTATACAGCTGTGGTTGATAGTACTCTCCAGGCAGCAGTAGGATGCTGACGAAAAGGCGTTTCAGGCCACAGAATACCAAAAATACATAGAAAATCGCGGATACAAGCTGTGGCAACGGCTTGGTAGCAGTGTGCGGTTTTACATGACAGCCAAGTCGCCGTATTTCTCCTGTTCCGCGTAAAGGTATCAGTAATCATATATAACACATTCGTAAATGCGGCACCCCGACTGATATAATGTGCGAAGGATGTGATAAGGGAACTACTGACCTTGTAGCCTGGTGGCATCCAGATACCCTTGGATACGAGCTGAGCGGTCTTGCGGTCGATTTCTGGGGCGGCAGCAGCAACATCGTCCTAAATTGTAGCGGTCATATCATTAGCATCGGCAATTCAGGTACGTAGTCATGCGAAGCTTCGCCAATCCGCCCAGCCACCGTGGAATTTCCAATGTGGAAGCAATTCCGGCCACAATTGGAAATTCGAGGTGGCCGAAATTGATGACAGGCACACTTGGTACAAATGCAACAAGATTGGGATATAGGAAAAACATACGACTGTGAGGTCCTCGAATGGTCTGGCGGACTCGATGTTGTCCAAGGTCTGTGACAAAGACTCCAATTCCATCTCGACCTTGCCCTTAGTCTCCTCGGCATTCTTGACGGCCTGAGCCTCAAAGGCTTCGATGGCCTTCAACTGTCGGTTGACATCGTAGGTGACTGGCTTGAAGTTCTTGAAGTGCTGCTCGATCTCATCGACGATGGCCTGGTTCTTCAACACCTTGCGGTAGTGGGCGAAGTCGACAGTCTGGGGCGCTTCGGACAGGACCTGAACCTTGCGGCGGGCGTCGTCGTTACGCTTCTTGAAGGCCTGGAGAGAGGCAGCGGTTTGGCCGCGAAGTCCAAGGCTCTGGGCTACTTTGGCCCAATCGAGTTTGAGAGCAGCGCTCCGCTGATAAACTGCGTGTTAGCCGGCTATGTCGACTCAATGGAGAGAATAACGGTCGAGAACAGGTGAATCGTCTCGGGAGACGGGAGGGAGACGTACTGTAGCTGCCATTGTGACCGTGGATGTGGTGTGTCTGGATGCTGTCGAGACGTGCAGTTTCAACTCCGTCGTTCTTTTCTCCTGCTTGTTCCGATGAAGTTCAGATGTTTGGCAAAAGTTGGTCACGTGGTATATCACGTGACATGACGGGGCCCTGGGGTCGCTTGCGGGCGGCAGGGAGGATTTGATATTCGCGACGACGAGGTCATTGCTGACTGTTATACGGGGTAAAGCTGTGCTAGGCCTATTTGCAACTGTGGGAATAGACAGTCTGGGGGTTAAAGATGCACCATTAGGGTGGTGTCTCTACTGGAAGCAGTCTTTGATAATAGTAGATAGGCGACTGATACTAGCAGGAGGAACTGATTTCCCTAGTTATATCAGATAACTAGTTATATTCTCTCCATTATTAGGATGGCGTGGAGAGCAAATAGGCTATATATATGGGAATGCTTGGTGTTGTTTCATCAAAGAGATTTAGGAGAAATGAGATACAAGAGCATTCATTGATCCATTATCTAGAAGTAGAATTTTTGTGCGCATCAAGTTTTGGTTTACCATACTTATGATCACAGCATTTTGATATCGCACGCATCAGGCGGGGCGTAAGAGGCAAGATACAAAGGTTGGTCCAACATCATTCAAAGATGTGTAGGTACAATGGCAGGGTCATTATATGCTCAGTGCCATGATGGAGTTGACGATATCGTTGTCGTTCTCTTTGAGGGCCTTGACAGCCTTCTTTCTGGAGACGTTTGCTTGGGCCATGACAAGCTCGATATCCTTGGCCTCGAGGCCAGTGTCGTCAACCTCCTCACCATCGTCCTCGTCCTCCTCTTCCTTCTTCTCGGTCTCGGCAGCCTTGCCCTTTCCGAGGTCTATGGCTTCCTGACCAGCAGCTTCACCAGCAGCGGCGTTGGCACTCTCGCTAGCGGCAAGCTGTTGAGCAGCGGAAGCCTGAGCCTGGGAGTTGAGGTCCTCGATCTTAGCCTCACCGAATATGCTAAAAGTAGAATCTAGTTAGCCCTATACTCCGAGTCTGTGATGACGGATGACAGTCGGAGCTGCCTTCACCAGGCATATATTAATAGCATAAGCTTACATCCAGGTGTTGCTGGTTGGGGAGCGGTAGACATCAGGCTGGTTGATAACGAAGAGGATCTAGAGATACGTCAGCATCAGGACATCCACAAATTGTACAACTGCTCGTAGTTTGCCGTATCCTTACGTTCTTTGGTCGGCGAAGGGTAACTCGAGTAATTCCAGGAACATGCTTCAGCCCGAGCTTGCCAATTGCTTTTCTGGCCTTCTTCTCGTTGCGGGAGAGAACGGTAACGCCGGAGCCACCAGGAATGTTAAGCTCCTCGGCGCCTTCATCACCAGCCTCAGAGTCGGAGCTCTCCTCGACAGTGGCCTTGACATCCTCCTCGGGGAGCTCTTCTACTCGTGGGTTGGCCATGGTTGCTGTAATACCGGAGGGGGGGGATTATGTGTGGAAGAACAGGCGTGAACTCTAGAAATCGCACATAAGGCCCATTAGTATTACTTCCTCCGCCTAGCTGCAAATTATTCGAGGCCAATAAAGACAGGAACAGCCACCAATTCTACTTACCTGGGCGCTGGCACTGGGATTCAAATGTTGTGCTGGTTCGGTGGTTGTTGTTGGTACAGCTGCGAGCCGCTGTGGTGTGTGGTCTCGCCCAATCCCGTTAGCGAGGTTTTTTTTTTTATAGCACACAAATCAGATAAATATCACAACAATATCCTACAACAGCACGCTATTTTATAGAATAAATATTTACAGTCACTATTAACTATCAATAGAATTATATTCTACGTAGAATGAAGTTATAGGTTTCTTAGAGATAGTATCAGTAATTAATACCATAGATCAGGGCTTTTTTCGTCGGGATACCAATGTGCGGCACTACCCCAGCCTCTTGGAATGGTGGAAACTTAGATAGGGAGAGCACTATAACCCCGTAAAAGCCTGGATAGGGAGAAGTATTGATCTGAGCATATGGAATTTTTTATTACATATAATACCACAGTCAATCACAGAGTCAAAAGGAAGTTCTTTTTTGCTTTGATTTCTGAAAGTCGTAAAACCATGGTAGTAGAAGCCTGTTGTGAATCCAGTATTATTCCATCTAATCGGGATAAAGTGGTTCGCAGATTAAAATCTGTCCTCAATTCCTCAGGTTGAAACTGATTACAGTTGAACATTCCTTCTTGAACAAGGGGAGGGAGACTCTATGCCATTTTTACCTCAAGCACAAGAAGCCCCCCCGAATTCAATGCGCCATCCTCCGAACATCGTCAACCCTTAATTCCTCACGAAGCAGCGCGGACTTTAGATAGAGATTTTTGGACAGCGAAGCGAGCCTATAATTGTAGAAGGAGCAGTTAGCAATTGAGTCAAGCCTTCATAAGATAGCTTTGCATGCCCGTATATTCGACATGCATAATCATGTCTAGCCTGGAAAAGTAAGACGAACCTGTTTTCTCAGTCTCATGACCTTGAACCGCTCGAAGTCGGTCAAGTTGCGTCGTCGGTCTTGTTGTTCCTTCTTCTTAGCATAGCCAGTCTCAGCCCATTTGGCGTCGATGCCGGACTTCTCCCAAGCCTTCCTCATGGCTCCAGTTCTGGCACGTCGGGGGAGTTTTTCGAGGCAGAGAGATGTGAGGGTGACATGGGCGAGAGGGATGGATTGGCGTGGGACGACCTTCTCTTCATCTCCGGAAGGACCATCAACCAAGACCTATATTTTTGAGTATCCCATTAGATAACCTGATTCCTCCATCCCGCGCATAAAAACAGATACCGTCGGAGGGTCAAACAAGATAAAACGTACGCGCTTGTGATCTATGATCTCAGAGATAGCAGCAAGTTTGTCTGCATATGGGCCTCTTCGGATCAGCACGACTCTGCCGACCTCGACAAGTTTCCATGTCGAGGGCTTAATATCAATCTCTTGAGACATGGCGAAGGAGTCCTGCAAGCAGTTCGAACAGATTAGCCGGGGAACTAGGACAGGCGCGCAGAGGGAGGAGATGCTCACTGTCCACCGAGGGAGTGCTATAGAGGGTGGATGGGGGTTGTCGTTGTTGTCGAGTTGAACGCTGTCTTCTGGTATCGCGAATTTCAATGTGTCCAGCGTACTTTTGCCCACAAAAAAAGATGCCTCGCTTAGCCATCATCGGTTTAGTGGATTTTGCTCCGTTTAGGTTTAGCGCGATTTTGCTGCTTCTTACATAAAGATGTTTTTTCTTTTCAACTTTTTTTCTGAACATCAACAACTTTTTCTTCTTCTTCTACTCGCCATCAGGATCCTCGTCAAGAGAGGAATCTGGGAACACTGCGATGTTACTAACCATCGAGAGTAAGTCGAATTCATTCTTTCACCTCCCTGCTTCCTGATATGATGTGGTAATTTGCGGTTGATCCGGCTTTTGTGAAGCTCCCGCCAGAGCATTCTCAAGCAACTGTCGGGATGATATTTAATTTCTTACATATTCTGATTTTTATTTCGTTCCATTGACACTGTTACGATTCTTACCTTGCTTGGAATAATAAGCTAACAGTTTGGTCAGGATACTAGGATACAACTTTGTGCATTGCTTAGCTAACAGCCAGCGCTCCCACCCACTGGGCCTTTTCTGAAGGTAATTAATTAGTCGCACGACCCTCCGACTCCCTCCTTGGTTTCCTGATGAACATCTTCGCACAAGATAGTAGTTGATGCCTGCGGGCGGTGATATCACTCTTTTCTACCAAGATCGCTGAAAACCATCAAAGTTGCTTCTTGAATTTAGCATCCCACTCATGCATTGTTCAGCGATGCTAATAAGCCAAGAGAATCTTTAGGTATTTACCTCAGCTTAGCACGCCTGTTCGATGCAAACTATTATGCGAGATATTATACGATGTTAGATATTCTAGCACACAATAATTTGCAATAAGACACATTCTTTTGGATACACATGTTTTTTAACTTGGTAAACCGTCCAATAAAGCTCACGTTGACAACGTGCCAGCCGAAGAGTATTGGTTATCGAGACATTTCCGGCATGTCGATTTGGGTTGATATCTGAGATTATCTTCACCTTAAGGAGTCCAACTACATTAAAGGCGCCAATCTCTTTACCATTGATCGGTCATCTTCGTCCTACGGCATTGAGAACACTCACATGAGGCTTCAGTACTCCATCTCCTGGACCTCACCAAGATCTGCGGTATAGCGTTCCCAATAAGGGAATGTGTCTTGTGCTAGTATATAACAATATTGATGGCTCTCTTTACTCCTGTAATAGCTCTGCACTAGCCTTATATTGCAATCTTTTCATTTCTTGGTATAGATACTTCAGGCTATCAATATTTTACCTACTAAATAGAAGCATGGCTGGTCAGGTTGGGTAACCTTCTGGCCATTTTGACATATAATATCATCGTCAGTGTCGTCCGGTACGTTCAAGTCCTCGTCTATTATTCAGTAAGTTAGATGATAAAACAAAATAGATATATGACAACACCAGCTGCTTTCTCTCCTTGTTCATTATCTGGTTCAGAGTCGCTACTGCAACCGAAGATGCAACACCATAAGGTTAGTTAGAAAATAATATATCCGTCATGACTTGAGAGGCAAATCACTTTTGCAGGAGGTGAAAAGAAGTCAGGCGGGAGCTTCCGGTCAATCTCGGGCCATGAAACGTTGGGCTCATGGAGACCAGTGAATCGTGATGGGTATACCTACATGCGGGAAGACGGAAGATGGAAGGCGGATACTACCTTGTACAGCTACACGCGGGGTAGCATCTCAAAGCCCACAGAAGAAGGAAAATTCCCTCATGCATCCTTGACCTATCCAGTCATTTTGCAGTATTATTGCTTCTTTACATCTCCTTCTCATGTTGTTAATTCTCCGGCTTTCCTGCTTTTCTGCTCTGGATGTTTTTGATGTTCTGATGACTAATGCACAATGATCTGATAAGATTGCCAATTCTCCTAACCACAAGCTTACTAGCGCAAACTCAAAACGATATAATTTTTGAGTAATTCTTTTCGACTTTCGCCGACTTCACCGGAACGACGCCCTTTTTACTCATAACTAACTGCGTTCACTGACGCTGCATGACCACCACGCGTTAAGTTCGGCCATGTAAACTGGTTTGGACCTGAAAAACGCCTCCAGGCGTTTTTTTTGCCTTAAGTTGATGAGCGTCGCCTTTCTGCATAATTCCGAGTTGCATACCTAAGCCAGTCTTGCTCCGCACCTGCGATTCAGGCTGCCACCATGTCCAACTTTTCATCGCCAAAGGCCCGTCGGGCCTCTTCCACCCCTCACTATCAGACATTCTCTACGCCGCCGCCAAAGTCAGCTGGTCGCCCTCTCTCTGCCGAGTCGGGCTCTACGAATCCCTCATCGTCTCACATCGCGGGCGACCGCGCGGATGCTCCGACCTCCACCCCTATCCCGATACAGCAGATGACGGTGCTTGCATTTATTGCTCTCTGCGAGCAGACTGCGCTCAACTCGATAAGTCCTTATTTGCCGGCAATGGCGGCATCCTTTCCGGAGGTCGAGTCGCATGAAGTTGGGATCTATGTCGGCACCATTGCATCTGCCTTTGCGCTAGCGCAGTTTTCTACCAATTTTTTTTGGGGTTGGTTATCGGACCGCATTGGGAGAAAGCCCGTCATATTATTAGGAACAGTCCTTACAGCCGTTTGTTTTCTTGCCTTTGGATTTTGCAAAACACTATGGCAGGCTATCGTTGCCCAACTCTTCATGGGTCTGGTCAACGGGAACCAAGGGGTTGTCTCCACATGTCTGGGGGAGATAACAGATCGCAGTAATCAGTCGCGTGCCTTCACATATCTACCCGTGATATACGGAATCGGAGGTATCACAGGCCCAATTTTGGGAGGGTTGCTTGCATCGAAAGATCCAAAGGGCCAAACTTACCCATTTCTTGCTCCAAACCTCGTGTCTGCTGCAATATTGATTGGAGACTTTATCATTACCTCAATATTTTTGGAGGAGAGTGTTGAAGGCGCGGAAATGCTTCCTCGAATCTACAGAAAATTCCGCGACATGTTTACTTGGTTATGGCAATTTCACAGCTCTTCGCGGCCAACCTACTTGCGAAACGACATTGACGCGGATTATCCTCGGCGCTCTGTCCGCCATGGAGTCCATCATTACAGAGACTCTGTTGATAGCGATGATGATAATGACGACACCGATATCGCTATCACACCTCTCTTCCCTCACCGCTCCCATAACGAAGCACTCAATCGTGATGAAATCTTCAACAGAGATATGATTCTCTTGCTTCTCACCTACTTGATCTTTTCTCTGTCGAATGTCTCATTCAATTCTCTCTACCCTATCTTCGCGCAGGCTCCACCACCTACGGGCCGAGAGTTCAATCCAAAAGAAATTGGCATGTCATTGGCTTTTGCCGGTATCGTCACGATAGTTTTTCAGATATGTGTATTTGGACGGCTTCGTGACAAAATGGGTAATAGATGGTCTTACCGTGCCGGCCTGCTTGGATTTGTTGCATCATTTATCCTGATGCCTTTTATCGGCTATAAAGATAAAACGAGTGCTGACATAGCTGTCTCAAAACAAAATGTCTTCGTTGCTGTGGAAGTATGTGTAGTATTGTTGATCAAAACTGTTGCAACTGTTGGAGGTCTTACCAGCGCATTACTCTTGGTACGTGTTCTGCCCTACGATAATAATTATACATTAACTACCTGTGTTGCTAATGTTTTATCTCTAGATCACCAATTCTGCCCCAGACCACTCTGTTCTAGGCTCTCTCAATGGCCTTGCCCAGACCCTCTCTGCAGCAGGCCGTGCTGTTGGGCCATTTTTGTCCGGAAGTCTTTTCACCCTTGCCACAAAGGTAAAGCCGAAGGGCGAAGCTCTTGCATTCGGCGTTTTTGGTGGAGTAGCCTTTGTCGGATTCTTGCTTAGCTTGGGTATTCGTTCTCGCAACCTTGAAGCTGAGGGGTGGGGAGAGGAAGACGATGATTGCGGGAAGTCGGATGAAGAAGACGACGTTTAGCGATACACATTCCCAAACAGATAATCAATCATTATATACTCCCATAACCGGAGTGATGAATTCCAAGAGGAAAAAGCAGTCCAATGATTTGATTCCCTGATATACCAGCGTACCAGCGTTTACATACCCTCAGGCTTGAACGATTTACGAGTTTCTTTCGGTTGTTATTTGGAAGAAGAAAAAAGAAGTAATAGTGTGAGACGGAAAAAGGCGCTTCTGCACCGGAGACAGGTTTATATAGTGTGCAATACCATGGTACATAGAAATACTAACAGCTAGGATATCACTATCCTAAAAGGAAAAACAGGTGTTATGATGAATAGAACTTTATTAAGGGACTATTTTTTGTATAATTTTGGTGTTTTCAAGTAAGACTTAAAAAGCCGCAAAGCTGATATATCAATCAAACAGATAATGCACTTGGACATTTCCTACATCTGTTACTTCATAAGGAGTCCGACGGCCCAAGGAACACTGAGTCCTCTCAAGTCGCCATAATGCTGTCCAACACCAAGAAAGACAATAGGTATACCAGTGGCATGTACCATGCTGACAAGCGTACCAACCATATCTCCTACGGTATCACACTTACTAATGATAAATCCATCAAGGCCTCTGCCAGGGCCAAAGGCCTGGTTAAAATTCCGGGCTTGCATGACGCTATCGGTGCCAACCAGAGCTTCTCCAACCATGAGGATCTTATCAGGGTTAGCGAATTTGGCAAACTTCTCTAGGGAGGACATTAGTCGCTGATCATTGTGTCGGCGGCCAGCGGTGTCAATTAGAACGACATCAAAGTCGTTTGAGGCGGCGTAAGCGACAGCGTCCTTAGCGACATTAGCTGCGTCTTTGCCATATCCCTTTTCATAGAGTTCGACATGGCCAGCATTTTCTCTTGCACTGAGCTCCTTAAGATTCCGCGCGTGAACACGAAGCTGTTCGACTGCACCAGAACGGAAAGTGTCGCAGGCTGCAATTAGGACTTTATATTTATTCTGTAGAAGAAAGAAGCATAGTTTGCTCAGGTTTGTGGATTTGCCGACGCCGTTAACTCCCACCACTGAGATCACGTAGGGTCGTCTGGGATGTTGCTGATTCGTGGGTGAGGTGACTACCTCAATTTCACGGAGTAAATCAAGTGAAGTAGTTGGAGTAAGTATTTTGCGAAGTGATGATTCCATTCCCGCGCGAAGAGCAGAGTCTATGCTTTGGAAACTGGCCGTCTTCTTACCTACCAGCTCCTTTTGGACACCCTCACAAAGGCGAACTGCAGCTTCACGGGCGACATTTTTCTTCAGCAGGTGATCTTCCATTGCCTTCAGGGGTTTCACCAGGTCAGCTTCGGTCAACACTTTCCCACCAACCACGTTGCGGAACAAGCTGCTGATGGCGCCTATGCTAGAGTTGACGACACCAGTAGAGGATCCATTGGCTTTGGCCTTCTCCTCGTCTGCATTCTGAAGAATGGAATGGATCTCATCACCAAGATCCTTAAGAACAAATTGGCCCTTTTGGGTCTTTGTTCCAAAGGACTCGCTGTCAATGGCATCAACTGAAGGCGCTGGTAAGTCTTCCGTGGTACCAGCGCTAGTATCATTTGCAGAATAATCCAGTATTTCATCGCTTTCCTCGTCCGCGATGCCATCCGGTCCCCACTTTCTCATCTTCTTTGCTCCAGATTTGCCATTAGTTGACTTCTTTGCCTTATCCTCAGCGCCAGAAGTATTGTTGGAGTTTGCGTTCGCGGCTTTACGAGCACGACGGGAAATGCGACCTCCTGGCCCAGCTTTTGCAGTGATGACTTGAGAGCTTGGAGTGACGGGTCGGGATGTTTCCGGGGTTTGAGGCGGAGTGCTGTCACTGAGCACCTCCGCCGCTGGTGCAGCTTGACGCTGCACTGTAAAAAGAGGTTAGGAGATATCATATAGTGTATGGTGTAGAGTCAGATCTTACCCGCAAGAAGCCCCGGGACAGGCGGTGGTGGCGGCCCTCCTGTATCCGCCTGTGTAAGCACATCTCTTTTGCTCTCTGCCCCAAGCTGACGTTTGTCTTCGGCCGGAAGCTCCGTGGTCTGGTCAAGCTCCCTTAGCTGTTGCTCGAAGTATTTGTCAAACGGGTAGTTGGCGACCCTGAACCGTGACCCTTTGAGCTGTTCCTTGTATAGGCCCAAAAATATAGTCTTTATATTTTCTAGTAGCTCGTCGATCCAGGTCAGATGGAGAAGAGACTGGTAAACTGCCTGTACAAGAGTATTAGCTGACACTGGTTGCTAATAAGCCCTGAAGTTGAAACTCACAACGAAGATAAGTCCGAATCCCTTTGCCTCCGTCCATCTCAATGTATATTGCTCCTTGTTATACTTTCGAGCCGCGCGGTCAATCCCAGTTCTCTCTTCGATAAAGACATCTTTGATTAGAGCGTTGATGATGTGAGTTCCAACTGGAGCGTATGTTTTTGACCATAGGACTACGCCGGACGTAGTTATAACCTCAAAAGCGTCCAGCATCCTGTCTTTTATTCTCCCACAGCGAACAGGGTTTGGTCCTGAGCAGTTATCTGGCCTTCGTCTGCTTTGTATAGATTCGATAATTTTTTGATAACAACTTTCAGCCTATCAACAGCGCTCCCACGTGACAAGGATTTATTGGACTTTGAGCCAAAATAATGTTAGATTGACTTTAGTGGTATACGATAGAGTTTGATTATTTACTCATTTTTTTCAGAGGTTTTACTGGTTTAAACTCCAAATCAAGCACGTGATAGACATAATATTCAACTACTGAGGCTGACTAATACATATACTCCGTGTTGTAGATGAATATGGAGCAGTGGAGGGATATTCCTGCTTTAAGGTGCTAATAATAGGGAACAAGGAGAAAGGGATATTGGAAGAACAACCGGGAACAAAAAAAAAGACGAAAAAAAGAACTCCCTGACGGGGAATCGAACCCCGGTCTCCCGCGCTTGTTACTCGCTTACTCAGCGAAGTTGACAAGCGGAAATCATAACCATTAGACCATCAAGGACTTTCTGTTGGAAGGTGGAACGGCGCCGATGGCTGATGAGCCAAAATGCGACAGATAACAAGGCAAAAAAGCCAGGAGATAAGAGTGTGATGAAGACGACCATCCAGCCGGACGAGCAACAGATCAACACAACACCATCGCCGTCCAGAGGCTGTCCCGAGGGATACAAGGCATACAAAGCTGTCATGCCATCTTACTAGTTTCCATTACGCCCGTTCTGCTTCTAGAGATCACCAGAAATAAAGTCAGGGAACCGACGAGCTCCGTTTGAGTCTCCCTAATTAGAGACCACGCACACACAATGCAGCGCAACACATTTGCACCCCCTCCGGCCCAGTCGCCTCCCCTCCATCATCCTATCCCGCAACATGTCTCTACAGTACCGATGATGCGGTCACCGCCGCCGCCAGTCTCCCAACAGCCCCAGCCCCAGCACCAGCAGCATGGATATAACAATCCTTATCAGCCAAATCCGGCCCAGGGAGGAGGCCAGTTTGGCCCTGGCTTTGGCGGCTTCATGTCAGATCCGACGGCCCAAATGGGGTTTCAGGTTGGAAAGAGTGCCGTCATGGCCGGGCAGGAGTATATGGAGCAAAACGTATGTCCATTGATCTGTTTCCTGCTTGGATATATTTCTTCGTATTTTATGTTGCGGCACGAGATAGAGATACTGACAGATATTATATAGTTGAACCGTTATGTGTCGATTCCCGCGCTGAAGCACTACTTTAATGTCTCCAATTCATACGTCATTAAGAAGCTTGCTCTCGTCCTATTTCCCTGGAGACATAAGCCATGGTCCCGCCAGCAGGGACGGATGGCTGGCGCAGCCTCCGCAAACGGCCAGATAAGCCAGGCCCAGTACACTTCCATGTACCTCCCGCCACGAGACGACGTCAATTCACCAGATATGTACATTCCCGCCATGGCTCTAGTCACCTACATCCTGCTCTCAGCGGTCATGGCAGGTCTACGAGGGAATTTCCATCCAGAGATACTACGCTCCATAACGTTCATTGCTCTCGCAGTGGTAGTATTTGAGATTGTTTGCCTCAAGGTTGCCATGTACATTCTCAATATCAACAATGACTCCCAGCTTCTTGACCTGGTGGCTTACTCAGGATACAAGTTTGTTGGTATCATTCTTACCTTGGGGGTGTCCGAGATTCTTACGCCGGGCCAAGGCACGGGAGGCTGGGTTGGTTGGACTGTGTTCATCTATACCTTCCTCGCTAACGCCTTTTTCTTGGTCAGTACTAGAGCATTTTGAAAGACCAGTCAAGCAAAGGATGGCCATGCTAACAGTAATTTTGTGTGTACAGCTACGTTCACTCAAGTATGTCCTTCTACCGGACAGCTCATCCGACGCAGCCATGCGAGGCGGAGCCATGCCGACCGTTGCCCGCTCCCAGCGCAACAGGCGCACCCAATTCCTCTTCATCTACTCGTACATGATCCAGTTCGTCTTCATGTGGATTCTTAGCAGACAGGGTCCTATCCCATCGGCTGCCACCACTCCCAAAGTGCCTACTCCTGGCACCCTCTCATGATCTATCTCACTCCCCTTAGGCTCCTAGACACATGATAAAAATGATACCAATCTATCTAGCATCTACATCTACATCTATCCCTTAAAACGTCTTTAAAAGTATTTTTAGACTAATGAGACCATTATATTTTTCTACCCTGTCAATAAGACAGACAAGCTATATTTGATGACCATTAATATCGGATCTTTGCCTACATATATATCACGTTCCATCTTTTTTAAGATGAAGCGCCTCAAGGGTGCTCCCTTACGAAGCACTTCAAACCCGTTCCTCTAGGAAAGCGAAACCCGTTTAATGTTTCCCTACTGCTCTTCTGTGTTATCACCAACCAGCTGACCCCAACCAGCACCAATAAGGCGTTGTGGCAGAGTGGTCTAATGCGATTGACTAGAACTTCTCTGAAGCAGATAATCAATTCCCTTCGGGGGCGACGGTTCGAATCCGTCCGACGTCGGCCTTATATTTTTTTTTCTCTTTTTTTCTTTCACCACACACAACTATATTACTTTAAACATGCTTTCGGGGATCCTATCCGTGTTGATATTTATTTGTTGCTATGAAAAACCGTGTCGTGGCCAGACGTGTCTATTAGCACGATGTTATGTGCAAGAACCAAGCAAACTTTGGTGTTGATGCAGTCTCAGGCCATACAACAACCCTACAACAACACCAGAAGTGGTCACAATCCTCAAGGATGCCGGCAGCTGCAGGCGAAACCATTCTCGATATCCGCTCATCGTCATAGGTTTACTCTCTATTCCCTGTTATGATTAATATTGCTTACCACCTTTATCCTGTTTGCTATGCTGCACTTCATTCGCTGAGTGTGGGTGCACCAACGTCATACCCTGTACCAGCGCCCGCAGTCTCCCCCCAGGTTCACGTCCAAGTTAATGGTCTCGATGAATGGCCGGATGGCCAGTCAGATCAAGCGGATTAGCCAGCAATGGCCTGTCTGCTTCGTCTTAAAAGCTGCCTGTTGCCACTGAGCGGGCTGCTCCCAACTATTTGACTGTGTCACTTGCAACATTTGACATATACCATCTTTGAATACGATACTGCTCTACCAGCAGCTCTTTGTAGACAAGATGTCGGGCGTTGGAGAAGGAATTCGAAAGGTGCAGGAGACCCTCCAGGGCCTGTATCCTCATGATAAGAAGCTAGCGGACCTTGCAAAGGATACCACAGACATCCATACTGCCGGCTCAATCACCACGGACCATGGAACAAAGGTCGAGAATACAGATGAATGGCTAAAGGCATCCGATAGCTCAAACTCGGGGCCGTCTATGCTCGAAGATCAGATTGCCCGAGAAAAGGTATGTTTACTCTCCCAGCTTTGTTGATCCTTGGTTCCATAGACTGACATCTAGTTGTATAGATCCACCGCTTTGATCACGAAAGGATTCCCGAACGAGTTGTGCATGCTCGGGGAACTGGTGCATTTGGGCATTTCAAACTCTTTGAGAGTGCTGCAGATGTCACTTCGGCCGGAGTCTTGACTGACACGTCTCGCACTACACCTGTCTTCGCTCGATTTTCTACTGTCCAGGGAAGTAGAGGAAGTGCAGATACCGTCAGAGATGTCCGTGGATTTGCAGTCAAGTTCTACACTGATGAAGGAAATTGGGATCTGGTGGGAAACAATATTCCTGTATTCTTCATCCAGGATGCCATCAAGTTTCCCGACTTTGGTATGCACTCCTTTTCTCCATTTACCTTGTATACATATACTAAGATCTTACCTAGTGCACGCCGTTAAACCGGAACCTCATAATGAGGTCCCTCAAGGCCAAACTGCCCATAACAACTTCTGGGACTTTGTCTACCTCCACCCCGAGGCTACTCACATGTTCATGTGGGCCATGTCTGATAGAGGTATTCCACGTTCATACCGTATGATGCAAGGATTCGGAGTCAACACCTTTGTTCTCATCAACAAAGAAGGAAAACGCCATTTTGTCAAGTTCCATTGGACTCCAGAGCTCGGTGTTCACTCTCTTGTCTGGGATGAAGCTCTCAAAATCGGTGGTCAGGATCCTGACTTCCACAGAAAGGACCTGATGGAAGCCATTGATAACAAGGCCTACCCCAAGTGGAAGCTTGGTATTCAAGTCATCCCTGATGATAAAGAGCATGATTTTGACTTTGACATCCTCGATGCAACCAAGATCTGGCCTGAAGACTTAGTCCCGGTCAGGTATATCGGTGAGATGGAACTTAACCGAAACATCGACGAGTTCTTCCCTCAGACAGAGCAAGTCGCCTTCTGCACCGGCCATGTTGTCCCGGGTATCGATTTCTCAAACGATCCTCTCTTACAGGGCAGAAACTTCTCTTACTTTGACACTCAACTCTCACGTCTGGGAACGAACTGGGAGGAGCTGCCTATTAACCGTCCTGTCTGCCCAGCCATGAATCACAATCGAGACGGGCAGATGCGCCACAAGATCACCCAGGGCACCGTCAACTACTGGCCAAATAGATTTGAAGCATGTCCTCCAGCCAAGGTCGGGGAAGGATTCCACTCCTTCCCTGAAAAGATAATGAGTATCAAGCAGCGAACTCTCAGCAAGAAGTTCCGCGAACACATCAACCAAGCTCAGCTTTTCTACAACTCTCTAACTCCATACGAGAAGAAACATGTTCAGAATGCCCTTGCCTTCGAACTGGATCACTGCGACGACCCAACCGTTTATACCCGCGTGGTCAAACGTCTGGCTGAAATCGACCTTCCGCTTGCACAGGCTGTGGCACCTCTTGTCGGAGCAGAAACTCCTCAATCTTCTCCCCGTCCTAACCCGGGCCTGAAAACGATCAATCTAAGCCAGGCAGAGATTAACGAGACCCATCCTCAGATTGGCAGTGGTACGCCAACCATCAAATCCCGCCGTGTCGCCATTTTGATCGGAGACGGCTACGACCCGGTAGCATTTATTTCGGCCAAAACAGCAATCAAGGCTGCTGGAGCCCTACCATTCGTCATTGGAACTAAACGTCAGCCTATCTTCGCTGCACACCAACATAAAGAAACAGATAAGGGCGTCGTACCTGATCATCAATACGATGGTGCGCGCTCGACATTGTTTGATGCCACTTTCATTCCTGGTGGTGAACATATTCGCATCCTTAGCAAGATAGGCCAGATCAGATACTGGATTGCTGAATCATTTGGTCATTTGAAAGCCATAGGCGCTACTGGTGATGCGGTCAATCTAGTTGCCCAGGTGCTAGGTACAGATGTGCCGCAGCTTGAATTCGCGGATTCTTCTTCCGCCGGGGTCGTGGAGAGCTATGGTGTGGTTACCAGCTGTAAGTTGCATGAACCGGAGAGTTTGACGGAGGGAATCAAAATATTCAAGGAGGCCAATGATTTCTTGGGTAAATTCTTCTACCATATCTCTCGTCACAGGAATTACGAGAGGGAACTTGATGGGCTGGCATCTTCTCTTGCTTGGTAAGGATGAGCGTCAGATATTGAGAATTGTCTAATTGTCTAGTTCCTTATCTACTCCTTATTTAACCTACTTATGATAACTTTGTGTGAAGAAAATTAATATGAAATAATAGTTCTTTTTCAGTATTGTGGGATATATTTAATTGCCTAATTATAAGTAGGTATCCAAAGATAAGTAAAGTTCGCACACATAGGAGACACATTCCATCATTTATACATTGTAAGGAGTTTAGCTAATATAGCTATACACGCATCGCCCTTATTCCCAGGAGGAAAAATAAACGAAAGACGAAACATAGGAAAGGGTATATAGCTGCATTCAAACCAGTATTAAAAGCAAAGGCGAAGAAAGGACAAAGAAAACATGTTAACTCCTCGCTGGTGTAAGGAGAGACAGTAGAGTACGAAAGTCACTCCAATGTAGTATGTTTTTAAATAGGAAATAACTAACTGCATGTATATATGCAATGTGGGTATATGAAAACAGTTATTACGCCCATCTCCAGGTAGGCCTGTAGACCTCATCTGCCTTTGTCTGCGGAATATTAGATTCGCGCTGTCTAAGGCCCATTTCCACAGACGAAGAGTTCGCCTTGCTGGATTTGACAAGTAAGAGGTGTACAGCAGCATTGATATCGACCGATTCACCGGTATCAGTTCGTTTCAGAGCCCATTTGGCTTCTTCTTCGTCAAATCCTAGTTCATGCACCATCTTTTGCAGAGCCAGGTCAGCTGGGTCTGGGACCACTGGCTCCTGATGATTTGAGTAATATAGTGCAAGACGGCTGGTAGATGGCATTGGTTGGCGGCCTTGGGAGATTTTCTCCTCTACTAGCGGCGGTGTTGGTCGCGGTGATGATACGATTGAGGATGATGGAGATTGGTTTCTTGGACTGAATGCCGGCATTCGAGGAGTGGGATAGAGAAATGGTGTCCCTAATTCGGAGGAAATGAATTTGTTAACGACCACCTCAGAGACTGGGGTTGGTCGTTCGTCACAATTGGGAATGGCATTAGCAATACCCAGCCCTGTGTCGAGAGACACTTTTCTGTTGCGAAGTTCAGCTGCGAAGCCAGCCTGTCTTTGACGACGAGCGCTGTTCTGGCTCGTAATGCTCGATTGACTACTTCGTTTTGACCTTGAGCTTTGGGGAGACGCTCCGGAGGAGTACGATGATGGGTTAGAAGAGGAAAGGGAGCTTGGTCGTGAAGGGAGATCTCGGCAAACTCGTGAGACAGCTTCTTTGAAGAACAGTCTAACCGGCTCATTTTCCGATTTCACAGGGGCTTGCCAACGGGTCCACCCTAGCGATTTGGCACGAGCGAACTTTTGTTCAACAGGGGTAGAAGGGGCAAAACTAATGAGAGTAAGGACGGCATAAGGGCCTAATGTGAGGAGATATTGGGTCCACTCTTCTATTAGGCTTATTAGTTCTCTGTCCATGTAAAAGGTAGGAAAGGGTTGAAAAAACTTACCGAGCAAGGCCTCCTCATGTGTAACGTCTCCTGGAGTTACATCCTTATTGTCAAAGACACCGTATTTGCGTGCCAATTTACATTTGCCATGGAAAACACTGAGAAGGTTAGCAAGGCAAGTCCAAATCTCTGACATGTCGCATAGTTGTTCTGTGCTTAAGCCGCCATTATTTCCTTTGGCAAATCCCTGAGGTGGATCAAGCAGGAGGTTGCTAATGAACGGCATGGGGCTAAAGATAGATGCAGACGGTCTGGTGTCAGACTCAGCCAGTATACCACCTCTGAGCCAGTCAACCTGAGCCTCGATATCGCTTTCTCTCCCTTTCCCACAGCCGAAGAGAGAGCAGAATGTCCATACACGCCAAAATGCATCGTCCATTTCTGCCGAGCGCTGCTCATCCAAGCCTGCCAATGCCCGTGAGGTTTCTAATCGAAGAAAGCTCTCACAGTGTACAAGAATCATGGACTTCAGAGCTGCCATGGCGTAAAGATCTCTGGAATAATGTTGGAGATATAGTTGGGGAGTATACTCAGGCATAGGCTCATCCCTCGCACTGACGGCAAGGCGAGTGACACCGTCATCATCCCATGGCGGAGTCATCTCTCGCAATTCCCATGCTGGCAAGGACATCAAAGATAAGGTGTTTCGAACAAGGGCTAGCTCGTTCTGTTTGAAAATCTGATAAAAGGCTCTATTTGAGAGCGCTAAATTGAACAAATCGTCAAAGTAGCCGACATTTTCGAATATTCGGAGAATAACGCTGTCGACCAACGGTCGCAGTGGATGAGGTGCAGCCTGTGTCGGCTTTGGCTCTTCTCGTGGTGATGGGTCTGCATCGAGCTCTGCAAAACCCGAAGGAATGTCGAGGACCACATTCAAACCAAAATCTAATTTTTCTATCGGATTGATTGTGTGCATTGGAAGTAGTTTGGGAGAAGGTAAATTCAGCTGTGACTTCGATTTTCCTGGCTCTCCTTTCTTTGAGAATGCAGAGAAACGGCTCCATCTTTCCTTAAAACCAGACTGCCCGCCCTTCTGGTTTTTCGTGCGGGTCAGCTGAACCATTTGTTTCGACGCTATACTCTCACGAAGGCGTTCGATACTACCACGCGCCAGATCCATCCTTGGAGAGTTGTCGTTTTGGATTTCAGGGGCGGCAACGGCTTCCTGTTCGCTCTCAGTGTTGGTAATAGCTCGCTGCAGATAAGCGGGGGAGGGAGAACGGGATCGTGAGTTTGGTTGAGATCCTTTAGTCGATGGTATCGCTAAAAGCTGTGCTTCGAGGTCTTCGGCTGCTTTTTCTAATGAAGGTAACAATGAACTTCGATTGGATTGCTGGAAGGTTTCATCAAGCATATCAAAATCGCTTTCTTGGGGTATTTGTGGTAGGCAGAGCGCTTTTGGTGAATGGGTGGAATGAGAAGCCTTTCTAGAGCGTTTGAGTGACTGTTCCGGTGCCTGGGGCTGAGTGAGTACTGTCTCCGGCAGGGGCGGATATGGGGGCAGGGCCTTCATTTTCGATTCTCGAATGGTCAATCTCCTCTTCAAGTTGGCAGCAGGGGTGGGGTGCCCCGATCGGTATTCATCGTTGGAGATCACAGTGTCGACGGAGTTAAGTGAAAAAGGTTCATTCACAGTTATTTTTGGGGGTAAATTCCGCGGTATTTGTTCACCAGAACAGCTGACTGATGACCAGGGGTATATTGAAGAACAAGTAGTTGCGGAGCAGCATGTTGGAGATGTTGGTGATTTGGGGTCAGACGAGGCCCGGTTTTTGTTATCCAGCGTGAAATAAACAGTTTGCTTCCTTGTGAGATCGTTATCGAAGGATAGGGGGAGGATTGCCGATTCGTTAGCTGCTGCATTTGAAGGAGGTTCGTGAGCAGCGCGGTGTGAGATATGCATACAGCTGCCAAATCCAGTCTCAATGGTAGTCACAGTTGCAGGAGACAGGCAGCATATACTGCTGTCATCGCATAGCCTATCGTCGACACTGTCGCCCATAGTCGCAGCACAGGATCTACATGCAAGGGTCACCGGAGAAACAAGTTCAGGTTCTCCGTCGCCTTCTTCTTCACGTTCAAGTTCCCTTCCAGACCCAAAGGCTCCGCCAACTTCCTTGAAGAGCTCCTGCAAACCTCCGAGAGGGGAATAAGGAGGCAGGGGTGGGACCCTAGGTCTCGCGCTTGTCGTCGTCATACGGCCTCTAGTAGCCATGTCACTGGATTTATCCTTGCTTCCGTGAATTTTGCTCTGGACCTTGGTCTCGAGCTTCGTAGATATATCCTTAGCCCAGTGCATACTGCTCTCTGACTGCCTGGCCTGGAGTTTCTTCATCTTCTTTGCAGAAGGCACCAGGTTATTGAGCTTTTCTGACCTCACGATGATCGTCATGGCTGCTGTCTTCCCGCCTCTAGAGTTCATGCATCAGGTCAGCTCTTTCTGCACATCGAACAGTGACAAAAAAACGTCTGCAGGTCATCGCTGTCATCCCCTATCCCCGGGGCATCCAGTAGATCTAAATGCAATAGCACCCACCCCAAGCTCCCAGGGTTTCATTGTTTCAACGCCCCAAGAAATCACTAGCTTATACCGAACGCATGGATAGAGGACATGATAGGCGGAAGATTTCCAAAAAGCCACGACAGATGATTCGTTTCTCGACGGGATATCCAGCAAAAAATGAGATAAATCAATTTCATAGGCAACGGCCAATCTTCTGCGCAAACAATGGATAGCTGCAGAAGGCACTTGCGCAATCATCTTGAGGCTTCGAAAGCGGGATAATATATATGAAGAGGAGAAAGCCATAGTCCCCATTGTCCCGTGGCATACAGACCCGCTTCGAAACTCCAAAAGAGGGAAATAAACAAGAGGCAGACGACGGAGTAAATGCATGATAGGGAGTCGAAAAAAAAAAAAAAAAACTAACCTCTTTGCAGCCAAAGTATTAGATATCTTTCATAACCTTCGTTATTTCCGGCCTTCAACAACCACCAATTCCCCCCAAACACATAGAGAAACTGCGCGATGTGTTGCGATAAGAATGAACGGCAGAGTAGTACAGTAACGAATGCGACCCGTTTAGATTAATGGTGGATCAGTCAAAGAAATAGGCGCGCAAATCCGTCGAGCTGGGTAGAAAGGGTTGATCCGTCCTTGAGGAACAGATAATCGGGCGTCCAACAGGCGTTGAAGAATAATAATTGTTGGAAATTTGGCCCTAAAAGGAAATATATATTTTGCTGTTGAGCAGAACTAGTTAAGTGATAGTTGCTTTGGAGGTCATGATAGAGCATACCTGGGAGCCGGGAGTGTATTCATACTAGTTATTTCAACTAGTTATATGAGTATTGTTTACCGTGTGGTTTTCGTCTCTCGATAAGAGCAGGAAAAAGGAGTAGCCGCCACTAAAACCTGCGGACCCCAGCAAGAATATGGGACAAGGGCAAGCAAGACAAGGACTGCCTGATTGATATAGATTGGGGTGTTATGTATGTGCCTGCATGCAGCTACAAGGGCGAGGAGTGATAGAACCGAAGCCGTTGAAGGATAAGCCCTCATCCCCCAAAAACACACAAGTGCAGCATGTCAGCACCATGCATATTATGTTCACGGCTGGGGAAACAGCCTGATATATGGGTAGGCAATCACATAAGTGCCCGTTTTCGATCATCATCGCCCGTATTTCTCAGCGAATCTTACGGGTTGGAGAGATGGTGTGCAGGGCTGCGCTGCTTGAGAGACAGGTTGGACCAAAGAGACTCAGGAAAAAGCAACGTCGACGCCTCCACTGGGGAGCAGGCGGCGATCAGCCAAAGTGTGGAAAGCCCGTATTGCACGGGAGCAACCAGGCTCAAAGGGGTCTTATGCTTAGTTTTGCTCAAGGCTGGGTACCATCAAAACCTCCTCCGCTGGCCTGTGCAAGGGGAGGCTATATCGCTGCCCTGATAAGCATCCATCAACTAGTTAGCTAGGGAAGTAATCGATCTAACCCCCAAGCACCCCCCGCCAGCCCGGCGAATCCTGGGAGACAGCTATTATTGAATTTTGATTTGGAATGTCTTCCATGGTTAGCCAAGGATTATTAACAGCGTCAAACTCCCTTTTCGCTCTGTTTGTTGTGATAAGCCCAAAACAGACTCCACCATGGTTGGAATCTTTCTCACAGCTGTTCCCGTATTATTGAAAAAGGTCCCGCAGCTCTTCAACGTCCGACAGACCCTCCATTGTCAAGCAGCAAGCGAGGACTTATCACTCCAGCACTTATCCTGTGGTCTTGGATGGATATTGACGCGGTGTTTTACCCCTTAACATCCTTGGTGCTGCAGACGCCCTTGACGCTGCAGTAAAAACGGACAAGGGAGGCTGGCCGGGTTCCAGTTTCCCCCCCCCCAAAAAGCAGCAGGAGGCCATCGTCCCTTTCCGGGCCCTGTTAAGCTCCATCCGGGACCAGTAACTCGTTAGATGGAGTGGTGGTTGACGGGGCTCAGCCTAGCCAGCGTCAGGGCTGCTCCGTCCATCAGCGAGGACATCTGCGGACCCAGCCACGCAGTTCTATTTTTACAGTCAGCTAGTCCGTCACATGAAGCAAAGGCAGGCCGCAGCGATGTTTCTCATTCCTACCGATGCCCATCTTCCACGGTTGCTGTCCTTACTTATTTATGTCTGGGGTCGCCCGAGAGTTGAGAGGTGAAGTCGGAGGTTGTTGAGTCGTCGTCGTCGTCGTCGTCTCGTCCTTTTACCTACGGCGGAATTCGCTGGCGACCGAACAACACCATAACTAGCCCACCAACTAACCAACTAACTACGATGCGCTTTTCATCTGCCATAGATTAACTAACGTGGCACTTCCCTAAGCCAGAGTACTTCGACATGATAGCTCCCGGCCAGTTTCTCGTCTTGCAGAGTATCTATTCCTGTCGTCGCTCGTGTTGTCGGAGAAGCTCTATGACGGCTCCATGGAGACGGGCACTTCCCAAGTCGCATAAACTCCCCAAATATGCCCTCTGAGTACGAGATATGCTAACTCTTATCCCTTCTAGACTTCATCGCTCCGCCTTATTTCACGCCTTTCAACCTTCTTAGCAGTGATTTGCACTCCAAAGGCGATCTTGGGAGCGGAAGATTTGGCCAGATTATACGAGGATCACGCCTCTGTGAACTCAGTATCTGGCTTTCCACATGGACTTCTATTTATATAACCAACCACCCTTTGCCGTCAGATACGAGAAGATGTGCATGCACGGAAGAAGCGTATATCAAGGCAGAACGTGCTTTTCAACGTCACACAGTGTGTCAACGCAGAGTTGCCGTGAAGACTCAAGACGAGGTGACATGTCTTTTCCTATCTGCTGCAGTGGTTACGTCAGTGGGACTGTGGAATACATCACGGCGACTGATTACATATTCACAGAGATGTGTACGGAGTAACGATGTAACTGTCCACTGTAGTGTTCCCATGCGGAGTACCCCGTGCACGCTGGAGTGGCCGCCTTAATGTCGACAAGAGGCGACTGGTCCCGGTCTTGAAACTCTCAATTCACCAGATGTGATAATTAACGGCAAACGCCTTGACCAGAGGGACTAAGCGGCCGGATAATCTCTTATGTCGATCCCGCCCGCCACCGTGGGAGGGGTCACCTTAGGTAGAGAGCATATTGCTAACACCTGCTGTGTACGGAGTAGCCGCTGGCGATGTCAGAAGAGTCGACATCTCTGGCCATTGAGAATAGATCAACAACGGTTCCAGGAATCTCTTCGGTCTCTCCGGCGAAAGAGGGAATCAAGAACCAATAATAATTAACTAGTTAATGCACCGAATTGTTTTAATAGTTCCATCAACCCTCATTGGTCATGTAACTATTACGCTGCGCCTCAAAACCCAACCCAACTTCTACCTAATAGTTGTTGATACTGTTACTAGTTGGATAAGATGGTCCAGAGACATCTACCCCTTAAGGCTGGTACTTCAGTAAGGGGGCCAAGCCCCCAAGATACCCTTGCCGCTATGGATAGATATTTCTAGGCGCACGAAGACATCTTGACCATGGCAACGCAACTGTCGCGGAGGTTCTAGTGGCGTAATACAACTGCGTATTTGCTGAATCTAGCATAGTTGATGAATACTATGATGTAGGGATACCTTTCAACAGTCGCAGAATGGTTAGCATCCTGTATAAGTAGTTAAAGCTAGGTCGATTGCCTTGTCAACAAAAGAGAGACGGCAGCAAAAGCCATTCCGACTATTCCTTTCTCTGATCAAACGGACCAGAACAGTTAGTCGTGTTGATACCCCCTGATATTGGCACCAAGGATTAACAGACAACGACAGCAGTACCAAAGTCAGATTCTTATTGGCCGGAATCAATCAAATGCCAACAATAAAGGTATCTCTTCATCATGCCATTTTTATCGTCTGCACACCGGAATCCTGGGAGGCAACGCATTTCAATTAGATCGGCTGTATACGGAGAGTTCCCCGGCGAGGTACGGCAAAGACTCTGACTCGAAGGATCATGACCCTCAGCCACGCGGATTTTTGCAGAGCTGTTCGAACAGGTAATCTTCGTTGCTTCAACCTCATATTCCCGTTTTCAAACGTAGTATAACGAAGGAACATCCCAAAGGATACTTTATCAAGAGTATACAAACTCCGGGGTATCACTAAAAGAGGCCATTGTCCAATTGTTGCCAGTATCGCGAAATATAGGCGGCCGAGGTAGGTCTCTTCATTGATGCTCCAGCAACTAACCAAGAACATATACAGAGGGAAGTAGTATAGGACAAGGGGGAATGTATATATAAACACAAAAAGATGTGTATCTTGCTCTAGGTAGATTGAATATGTTCCGGCGAGTGCTGCCGGCTTGCGTGGGAAAGCGAGACCTCTTTTATAGTTATGCAAACAGTGCAAACAGCTAGCTAGTTAGTAAGTTCTCGAGTAAGCTTTACACGTGACTGACTTGAAGCTAAGCTTTGACCATAACTAACTAGCTTATGTAATCAAGAACGAACGTCACATGTTTTCTTCTTTCGTCACTTACGTAGTTCGTCATCGAAAACGCTCTTCAGCCGCTGCAGAGACGACAGGTTTGGTTATCGTTTCTGCCTGTTTGCTGCAGACGACAGGATAAATATCAGTTCTTCGCCTCTGGAGCTCAAGAATGATTGCTCGTTAGGTGGTTCCAGCTCATCCGGTTAGCCCTTGCAGCAACGCAACGATGGCTGCGAATACCACCCCACCGGCGTCGCCGCCGTCTCCATCTGCTTCATTCTACGATGTGAGCGACGACGAAGAAGGGGATTATAATACTGTTACTCATACCAGCACTGGCAAAGGCGTGAGGCTGCTCTATTCCAAGAGTAAGGTATGTAGCGTTTCTCTTAGGCACGAGATTGTGGTGAAATTCAACTCGAGGGGCTATTTACGCTGATCAATTGTCACAGGTCTACGTTCATCCAACGGCATCTTCAAAGGATAATATACCCGGTTTTATTGCCCTGGTTCAGCAAAAGCCTGCTCCATCTGCTCCGCGTGAGAGTACTTCGTCCTCTTCTCCCTCCTTGGATAAAACCGTTGATCCGTCATCGCTTTTACTCTCTTGGGTACCTGAGGCATCTCTCGGGGATGAGCGGGATGTCTACGTTAAAGTAGACCTATCAGACGATAACTCTCCCCCACGGACATCCTACTTGGTCCCTCCACTACCTACAACTCTTAGTAGTGCTGGTCCTATTGGATCTTATGCATTTGCTATCCCATTGTCACGTATATACTCACTTTTGGTCCGACCACCCAGTCTAGGGTGGTGGTTTGGTAGCGTGGTTATCAACACAAAGGCAGGAGATAGTTTTCCTGCACTATTCTTCCATGATAGTGAATGCGAATCTACCATACTGCAAAAGAAGAAACGGACAAAGGAAAATTTCGACCCCTTCGCCGATGATGGAAGCATGTTCTGGGGTGGCGACGAAGTACTCCGATGGTTACGGAGATACGTGGACGTTCACCGCTCAGGGGAGGATCCGAGTGCCTACCTTATTAACCCAACTGAGGAAGACAAAACAGCTTTTGGACAAGCTAAGGGCAAGTTGGAAAATTCTAGCGGCCAACCCGGTTCCAGCAAACCTCCTAAAGATGCAACAATGGACCCATTCACAAAAGCTCTTAAGGAAACAAGGTGGATGGTCCTTGAGCAATTTAGCAAAATCACAACTTTCACTCGCAGAACTGCTCAAGATATTGCGGATAACCCCCGACTACCTCCCCAAGTAAGGCGACTCATGAGAAACCCAGAAGTTCAAACATTACAAGACGAGTTTGACAGTGCCAGACTATATCTTGCTCGTTGGGCGATGGGTATTGCAGAACAGAGCGAACGTGAGCGCAACCAACGAATATGGACAGCAAATGATGTTCTGGCCATGGAGAATAGCTCCGTTGGAGAGTTCGAAATTCTGGATATGGAAGCTGCCCAGATGAGTATCAGCGATAAGCGAAAAATAGTTACTTTGGAAGAGTGGAATGGATGGTTCCACAAAACCACTGGAAAACTCCAAATCACCGTTGAGGAAGCCAAGGAGCGTATCTTCCATGGCGGCCTTGAACCAAACGATGGCGTTCGAAAAGAGGCATGGCTATTCCTTCTAGGGTTTTATGACTGGGATAGTAGTGAAGATGAACGAAAAGCCGTCATGAATTCACGACGAGATGAATATATCCGCTTGAAAGGTGCTTGGTGGGAGCGTATGATTGATGGGGCTTCCACACCTAAAGAGCAGGAATGGTTTAGGGAGCAAAAGAATAGAATAGGTTAGATACCCTCCTTGACTTTATGATTCAAGCCATACGTCAAATTTTCAGATGGCTAACTACAAACCATCCCTTGGTGTTCTCAATTCAGAAAAAGACGTTCACCGGACAGATCGTCATATTCCCCTTTTTGCCGGGGAGGACACACCTCATCCAGATCCAGATTCACCGTTTGCTGAAACTGGGACAAACGTCCACCTTGAACAGATGAAAGATATGTTGCTCACCTACAATGAGTACAACACAGAACTTGGGTATGTACAAGGTATGAGTGATCTTCTTAGCCCGATCTATGCCGTGATGCAAGACGATGCGATTGCATTTTGGGGTTTCGTTGGGTTCATGAACCGAATGGTAAGCGTCAACCTGAATATTTCATACACTTATCGTATCGTCTATTAATACATATGTCAGGAACGAAACTTCCTTCGAGATCAATCTGGGATGCGCCAACAGTTATTGACCCTTGACCAACTCCTTCAACTCATGGACCCAAAGCTTTACCTGCATCTTCAGAAAGCTGAGAGCACCAACTTCTTCTTTTTCTTCCGCATGCTCCTAGTTTGGTTTAAAAGAGAATTCGAATGGGTTGATTGTCTCAGGCTCTGGGAAGCACTATGGACAGACCATCTGTCTAGTAATTTCCATATTTTCGTCGCTTTGGCTATACTAGAGAAGCACCGTGACGTTATTATGGCGCACCTTCATCACTTCGATGAGGTCTTAAAATACGGTATGTCGTTTCCCTGTTCACGTTATCAGACTTGGGCTAAACCATCAATAGTTAATGAATTATCAAATACAATTGACCTGATACCAACATTGAGTAGAGCGGAGGCCTTATTTCATCGGTTTGAGAAGAAAGTTGAAGCTATCGACAAGAAGTACAACTTTCCACAGGCACCTGTTCGTCAGCGGACAACACGTCCAACATCTCAGGCCAATACCACTGCATCACCCGCTAGAGATAGTTCTGCCACAGCTACTGGAGCTAGCCCATCAGGCGGCACAGGAGCAAAACCTTCCAACAGGCCCAATACGAAGCCTGACTCTGAGGCTACTTCTGTCCAAATAATTACCCCTGACCTTCGCAAGCTGCTTAGCCGGGAGGTAGAAGTCATGGATGCTAAAGAGGTCCGGCAACATGCTCTTCTTGGGGCGAAATGATTATTTTCAGATGCGTGCATGAAGCTACTTCTACTCTACCATTTGCACATCTGGACCTTTTCTTACGAGTTTCCTTCCTGTATCATTTTGTCAATATATCGCACTTAAGACTAGTATATTGCGGGTATCTGGGAGTTTCAGGTGCGATGATAACATTTATTGCATCGCATACGTTTTGTTGTCGTTTTGTTGTCCCGTTATTACCTCCCTATAGGCGTTCGGGTTCTTGGGTTACTGAGTAATTAATATCTCGGTGTCGCGGACACAGAATATGCACATATTCATATTACGTTAATAATAGGCACAGTAAGAGTCTAATGAAAAATAATAATCGATCATGATTCCTATTAGAAAGGACTAGTCGACTTGTGATAATAGGGGTATATGTTCAGAAGAATATTGCAATGCGAGAGACATTGAATCAATCTTACAGAAATGATTCGCTAAAAGCTGAAATAGCGTATGACCGAGGGTAACCAAGAAAAAATGAGAGGGGAAAAAAAAGGAAGATGGAATAGGAACATAGTAAAGACAAGATAAAAAGGAAAAGAAAAGGCTGAGGCAAAAGAACGTGGTGCTGGAGATTAAAAGAGAGTAGTCATGGCGTTAGATGGAGGAAATAAAGATGAAAATAGGAGATCGAAATGGATATCTTTGAATAACGCCGGTCCAAAAATCAAATCACTCACTCACTTACCCACAACATGCGACCCAAGAAGATGAAATAAAAGTAAGATTCCGAATAGAAAGAAGATAGTGGTGAAAGAGTGAATGGTGAAGTAAAAACGAAGAGGTCAACTATCAAGTTGCACTACTCCTTTTCTTTCCCTAGTCGGCGTAAAAAGACTCGTTTGTTAAGTGACACGCCTCCCATATCACTTGCGCTCCGGAGTTTGTTCTCGCCCCGAACTTTGTTCATTGCAATGCTGTTTGTCGGGCTCTGTTCATTAAGAGTTGCACTGGGCATGCGTCGAAGGACGCCAGAGCTGCTACGCATGGTAGTCATGGATCGCTGGGCTCTAAGAGTAGATGAGCTCCTTCGTGCCTGGCCCATGACGTCTTCAACCCAGGCCTCGCTCTCCGGACTAATGGTATGTTGTTTTGATCGAGGTTTGGGGCCAGCTAAACCAAGTGGTGTTGAATGAGCGGCGCCGGTGATTGTGGAAAAGGAGCGGTGGGATGGAGTGGTGTTAAATGAGTGATCCCCTACAACCGAGGTGCTTACAGAAGTTGCGGAGGATAGTGATGGGCGTCGTTGCGAGGATAGAACAGAAGAGTTGCCAGGACTAACACCTTCCTCAGATAGTCTTTGAATATTGGCAGCGGTGAGGTTTGGTAACAGATCTGCACCTGAGCCGGTTGCACGTCTTGCCCTCCGGACTGCTAGAGAGGACCCCGGGCGAATGTCCATAGCGGAGCCAGGTCGCGAGGGAGGTATGGGTGTGGTTCGACCATTTGTAGAAGTAGGGGTTGGCGCCCGGGGATATTTGCTGACAACGGGAATTCCTTGTACTTCAAATCTACCGTCGATTATGCCTCGTCTTCCGTGATGCATGGCATACTCGCGAAGATATTCCCCGAGGTCCGCCCAACCACCGCCAACACGTACCATTACTCTCTCTCCAGTTTCGCCCACTAATCGTACAAATAGTTTGACTGGGGCTGCTTTACCACCTCTATGAAGGTGATATAACCGCACTTCATCTGGTCCAGGGTTATTGCGACGCCTAGGGCGAGGTGCTGGCGTAAGGGTAAGTGAAGGAGTAGGTGTACTAGAGCGAGACAGCGTTGGAGAAGGAGGATGGATGCGGCCTGAGTTTGGCGGCACCCGTAAATTGTCCGGCGCAGGCGTTTCATTGGAATCCTCGCTTACGGTAGATTTCATACGGATCTTGGGAATAGTATCCAGTATGGAATGTATCCTGTCATCGAATTCATCATGTGGTACTTTGACGGGGGTTCTAGTCCCTGAGTGGGATCTTGTGTTGAGAGGAGGGGGTATCAACTCTAAAGAATCGGCATCGGGGGGAATGTGTTATCTACTTCTGGAGATGAGGAATGAAGGAATGGGCTCAACCTAGAGGGAAGGTCGAGGGGTTTTAGGGGGGTGGATGAAAAATTTGTATCAGCAGAGTCTGTAGAGAGTGACGACTTCTCGAGATATAATGGTTCAGAGCTTGCACTGCGGCGCAAATGTGATAACCGCGTAAAATTTGATAGACGGCCAAGATTTAATTTTTCCTGTAAACGAGGGGAGGAGGATATGCTCGTAGATGAAATAGATCTCCGCAATTCGGATTTTGTGGAAGTGCCGGGGGTTAAGCTATTTCTTCGATCAAAAGTTGAATCTCCAACCTGAAAAACGATTAGTAAACGCAGTTACATTGAATGCAAGGTGCTTGACGTACCTGTCCTCTTGGTGATATATCAGCCGATCCGATCGATGCTGTGCTTATTTGTGATTTGCCATTCGGGTGGTAGGCTCCATGCTGTCCGTACAAGGAGGCAGCCTCATCATTGATATAACGTGCTAGGGGTAAACTCATAGTTCTGCCAAATGATCGAAGGGATGGTGGGGTCTGAATGTCCGGAGAAGGCGATGCGCTACTTGTGGGACGAGATGTGGAGCTTTTCGTTACTTCTGGAGTATGGTGTATTACCGAACCGCTGGAGCTTAGGCCAGGCGATGATGAGAACTGGGCTGGAGTCGCTGGAGAACTCAGGGGTTGGGCGACGTTAAATTCCAAGTCTTCTCTGTCAGGGATGAAGCTTGAAGCATCAGGGGAGTCGACAGGACCAGCCACATCGTTCTGCTTGACGGTTGCATCCGAGCCAGACGGAATTAGTTGTAACCTAGACGGGACGTTGCTCTCGCGCTTACTGGACCTTTTACGCATGTTGGCCAAGGGCGTCAGGGGAGCTGGTGAGTTATCAGGCGACATGTCACTGTAGTTGTCCGAACTTGGGCTGTCAATGGCGTTGAAATCAAGGCGGGAGACCGGCCTAGTCGTGAAATCTTCACCCTGAGTACCATCGTATATTGCTTGATTGGGAACGCGTGGAGACTCAAAGTTCGGGGTGTCATAATCTTGAATATTTTTGGTAACAGCAGTAGCCCGACCATTATTCGGAGTAGAACAGGAAGTAATTCCTAGTTTTTTCACAGGATCTTGGGATTTAGAAGAAGAATTTTCGGGAGAATATCCATCGGACGAGTCGGCAATCGAAGATGTAATTGTCCGTGATTCACCAGTGTGATTTTCCCTGATAGCCGGTAGTAAGGGCTGTGGCGTCAAAGGAGTAAAGTGAGAATCAGGCCCTGTGCTAGGGCTGGCAGTGTGATGTTTGACCGTTGCCTCACTGTGTTGGACTAATGGTTCAGCTACATCATCGGAGCTCTTTTGTGGGGTGTGTGAGACATCTGGCACTGATTCCTCTGAAGACTTTTGCGCCAAATACTGGTCAAGTTCGCGCTGATATAGACATTTCAACTCATTTTGCACTGCTCTTCGTTCAGCCTCAAATGCCCAGCTGGCAATTCTTGACTCAATGGCTTCCATGTCATCGATCCAAATCTCGGGTAGGGAGTCTTCTCTCCCTTCGAGGATATCAAGCATGCTATCAATCCGGCGACCGAGAGATGAGACCATGGCCTGCAGCTCTCTCCAGCTGGACCTGAAACATTCTCTGGAAAATAGGGGATCATCAAGCTTAGGAAGTAGGCCATTTTGCAAGCGGTTAAGTGCATTGGCAATAGCCCGTTTGGTCTCCTGAAGGTCCAAGACCAGCCCTGGAACATGATTAAGAACAAGGAGTCGAGCGTGCCAGTTGCTAAGCAGATTGTTCAATCTTGATAGCACGGGTAGGGCCCGTAGAATGGTAGCCGTTATGACTGCGGTGAAATCACTCATCTTCAAATAGCTAGCTAGACCGGAGCTTGTGGACATGGTGCTAGCAGCAGAAGGCGGACGGGATCGTGAAGGAATATGAGCTGTTAAAACATGCTCCTTCAACTCTTCCACATCCAGAGCTTCCATGCCGTCCTTTATTTCCTTGATCCGGGTTTGATATAGTTTCAAGATGCTTGCAGGCAAGCTTCCAAAGTATATTTCCCGCTCAGTCCCTGGTATGGCAGAATTTCCGGTCTGAGCCTCATCACAACTCGTATTGGAGCTCTTCTCAAGCTCTTTCGGCGGAAGAAACCCATTTCTTGCATTCGGATCACGAGCGGGATCCGGCCAAAGCCAGGAGAGGACCTCAGTATGCCACTCATTGAGTTTCTGCGCGGCGACTGCGGCTCTTATGCCGAATGCACGATCCACGGTTGAGACATCAGATATACTCTTAGCCAAAAGGCTATGTGGAGTGTTTTTATGTATTGGGATAGCGTCGGTAGCAGAGAGGACTTGCAGCGTCATCTCTGGAGAAAGGTCTGAGAGTAGAGGATCGAGCTGGTGAGAGAGGAACTGCGCTCTCCGTTCCGGGGAGCGTGAGGGCGAGCGTGGAGATCGCGAATGGCGTGGAGGGAGGCGGACAGCCGGGTCTAGAGAGTCGAACGGGGATTTCGCCATGACTAGTGTTCGTCCAGGAGCATTGCCAGGCCCCGGATTCTATGGCGTTTGGTGAAGGTTGTGGGCTCTCAGCTGCTCGGCTCTATCTCTGTCTGCTTTAAACGGCGTCTGGGGAGGTCGGCATGGCTTAGGAGAACAAGGAATCCGCACCGGCAACGAGAAAAGAGCGACAGTATACAGGCATACCAAGCGAAATCTTCCGTTCCAGAGCAAGATTCAGACGGCGAGAGGAAACAGGTGCTGGATATCTGCCATCGCAGTTGGAGATGCCGGAGGTCCGTCAAGCATTGCCTCTCCTCCGCGTCCACCTTTCTCGCTGGTTCTCTGGAAGAAGCCTGCAGAAAACGAATGCGCTGTCAAGTAGAAAACCCAGCACCGCAAGCCATAAAGACGGTCATTCGCAGGCTGCTGTGTTTTTGCTTCTTCTGCTGCTGCCTCTCTTTGGTTGTTTTGGAGGTCGTGGAGAGAGAGGAAAAGCTGAGGTTGCGATGGATCTTTTTTTTATTATTAGTTATTTGCTTCTTGTGGCTGCAACCCGAAAAAGGAAAAAGACAACCTCAAGCCACAGCTCCAACCAACGCACTACGAGCTGGCTAGACGACTTTTATACGCCTTACGACCTGATCTACGGCTTCGTCGTCGGCTTCCCTGAAAATAGCAGCTACCTGAGACAAGCGTCTGGACTGCTCGTTCTTTTTTTGCAACCGGCTTTGTCCTGGAACTAGCTGGGCCAGTTGGACACTCCTTGTTTCACACCGGCGGCAAGCTGCAAACTGCACAGGGAGGAATCAGATCAGAGACCACACGCGGTTTACAGGGAAGAAAGGGACAAAAGAGAAAAGAGGGGAGATAAAGCTCAAGGGCTTCTTCATGTCTCTGGCTGCTGCACGCACCGGACGATGAAGCGTACAGGATGCGTTTCAAAAGCCAGCTCACGAACGTAGCGACGTTCTCTAGTCAGTAGCAGCAAAATCTGACCCATAAGTTATCTGTTTTTCAACGCGTCAGCTCTGGGGACTATTTGACTAATCCTTGCTGCTAGAATTTACGGCCTCCCTCTCGTCACTTGGCAAGGTCTGCTGGGTGAGGCTCGAGGATGAGGTCGTCCGATTCTCCATAATCCCAGATCAGGGTACGCAGGTCTGGGCCCAGCTCCCTATTGTATGTATATTTATCTGGACTTGGACCATGGATGAGGGCCATGACAAGTTGATTTTAATCGGAGATGACCATGGGCTAAGAGACGAGTAGCACACTGTTTTCGACTCATATTCTTTTTCTTCAGTTGCAAAGGTCATAAACCTGGAGGTGCCAATTGGTGCCCTGCATCGTGCGCTAAAGTCAGCCACCGGCGCTACCTCTGCACAACTACGATTGACCAAAAAGGGGAACCAACCTCAACTCGCCCTGACAGTGGTTACCTCATCATGGACGTCGGGAAAAGGTGCGTCTAACTCAGACGAGCCCGCAAGGGCTAGCGGCTCCCGTCCGGCAAATCCTCAGTCTCTTGAAAACGGCGGCGCCTTGAGCGGGATACCAGCCGCAGAGCTTCTGCAAGACGGACCCCGGGAACGTGAAACGATTGTGACACAGGAAATACCCATCCGTGTTCTTCATCCCTCCGCAGTCGAGGGAGTGCACGAACCACGTTGCCGTGACCCGGATGTACATATCATTCTTCCCAGTCTCATCCAGCTCAAAAGCATATCTGAACGTTTCACAAAGCTTGCCACTGATGCTGCATCCAGTAAAGCAGGGAATGTCAGTGCTGGTGGCAATGGCAATGGACCTGCTCTAGCGGGCGGGAGTCATAGCAGCGGCCCTAAGTTGGAACTTAGCGCCAACATGCACGGTTCGTTGAAATTGGCCATTGCTACTGATGCTCTTCGCATCTCAAGTGTATGGGCAGGACTAGTGAATCCTCCCCTAGACCAGGCAGATATGACCCAGAGCGAGATCGCTCAGCTGCCAAGTGAGCGGATGAGAGCCCGAGCAGCAGATGGCGAGGAAGGATGGGCAAAAGTAAGGATTGACGGTAAAGACTGGGGCCGGGTACTGAGTGTTGGTAGATTAAGCCCCAAAGTCGTTGCCTGTAAGTATTTTTATTCTTCCTTTATACTTGTTGTTCCCTCTTCCTCTGCTGACCCTGTAGGTTTCATTCATGAGACGGCCCTGGTCCTCTATGTTTACCTCCCCGGAGGAATAGGTGGAGAGGACTCCTGCCTAACATATTATATCAACTCGTATGCTAGCTAGGTAGGAACTGACGAAATTAATGATATATTAAGAATAATAATGCTATAAACTACAGTTAACCAAGGGAAAGCCAGAAAATTATACATGCAAATGAAGTCAACACAAAGTAAGCACAATCAAGATTTTATAGTTGCTCACGGGAGATGTAGTATTAAAAGGGGTATTTGGAGGAAGTGAGAAAGCCGCCTGCGAAGGTATCGATAGACAGCATGGAGAAAAGGAATTAATAAGCAAATAACAGCAATAACAAGCAAAACTGACTCCAGGTCGAGAGGGATATAAACGGAGGCTGAGAAGTGTCAGGGGTAAAGAGAAAACAAACATGTGGTGGAGAGTATGTATAGCAGCCTGACAAAGGCTTGTGTGGTGAAACGTCACTGTTCAGGCAGAGTTGAAATACTACCTCAGGATTTTGCCATAACATCGACATATCGGCCCTTCTTACGTCCTTTCAGGGTACCTCCCTTCTTGGAAGTCGGGGCTGAAAGTAAATCATCAATGGAACTTGCATGGCTCAGGGCAGTTCCAGGTCTTGAAGATGGAGTCAAAGGTGGAGTACCACCTGGAACTCCCAGCGAAGACGGGGGAGGAGCAGAGCCATATGGTGAATTTGGGCCACCCTGAGCCGACAATTGTCTGGCTAGTGGGATGGGGACTGCATCGGGTGCACTTGCGACAGACGCCGAAGTGGGTGGGCGCTGTTCAGCGCTGGCAGACCGGCTGCCGGCTGCTGAGCCCTTTGGCGGAGGCGGTAAGGCAGAGGTGGAGGACGTGGCGCTGTTGGGATCCTTCTTGTTAACCCAACGCTTCAGGTCTTCATCGAAGTAGAACGAGCTTTGTTCTCCCAACTTGGCTCGGATAGGACCGCCAGAAGCACTTGGATCTCGCTTCCCGAACCAGCCAGTAAACCACCCCTTCTTTGCATCCGGAGGTGGACGTTTGGCTAGAACACACAAATTAGTTGTTCTGTTTATTGAAAATCACGAGTAAAACTTACCATCTTCTTCGGCAGCCTTCCTAACAAGTTCAGCTGCTTCTCGTTCCCTACGTCCTCTGTCTGTTTCTACTCCATTTGTGGGTGCGGCTGCGGCTGCTCCTTTGCTAGTATAACTGTCATCATCATCGTCATCCATAAAGCTCTTCCTTGGTTTGGGCTTCTTTTCTTCAGCTTCTTCACTCTCAGGCGACTCAGGTTCATTCATAGGGGGCTCATAAGAAGGCGGCTCATAAGATGGAGGTTGGTATCCGCCCTCTGATGGAGGTTCGTATCCTCCTTGAGATTCTTGCATGGGAGGAGAATAGGTGGCATTGACTGGTTGGTAGGCGGGCTGAAACGAGCTTGGCCTGGGAGCCGACACCCCCATTCCAGGAGCTTGCTCTGAGGTAGTGCTCGGAGCCAACGACGAGCTCGCTTCCTCAACAGGAGCTAGTGGTGAGTGAGCAGGTAATGGGGTAGAGTGCGTAGTAGGTTGGGGGGCCGCTGGCGATGGAGAGTAAGGATTGCCGGCTGCGAGTGGAGCATAGCTATTCTCATAGCCAGTGGAAGGATCTTGGGAATGTCGCCTCTGTGAGTATGACCGAGCAGCAGCACCCCGTGAGGGGGAACGCTGCGAGTCTAGAGAGCGGCGGCCGCGAAGCTGATCCGGGGATGAAAAAGGGGCATATTGGTTATTAGGTGCATAACGAGAGTTCGAAGCAGGGATAGCGACTGGCTGTTGTTGGTGTGTAGGGAAATATGAACCGAACGATTCAGGTCCTCCAGGTGAATGGGTGACTGGCGGAGTACCAACAATATTTGCGAATGGACCTTGGTCTTCATGAGGCTTAGATGGATCAGAAGAGTCGGGGCTAGAGTCGTCACCAGCGACAAAGCTATTGAATTTAGCCCACATTGAGCCAGATACCTTCTCCATGCTGGGTTTTGACATCCAAGACGACGTTGAATCACCGGGTGATTGGCGTAGGCGGTTTGAAAGCTCCTCCAGCTCAATGAAGAATCGCTGGTTATAGTGCGGCGAGAGTTTGGTTGCTGTCTTCAGCAGGGCGCCAATTGCTTCGCAATACTGCTGGGCCTCTGAGCGATGACCTGTCTCAGCAAGAGTCATTGCATGTTGGAGCTTGAAAGCCTGTAAATGAGGCAGAACGTGTAATGGCGTCGCTGTAAGGACAGAAGTAGCGAATTCGTATACCTCGGTGAGCAAACACGCAGTAGAATCAGCCATAAAGGTGAATGGATATCGTTTGTGGTCGGCTCCAATCAGGACGATATAAGCATTCGGGTCCTGAAGGTTTCCAAATATAGGGTTGGTGTTAGATCTGGCAATCAGGAAGCAAATATGGGCCGCTTCCACTCTTCCGTACGACAAAAGCAACCTGCCCAGTGCTAATATAGCCTGGTCATCTTGGGTGCTAGAATTGCTCAAAATCAAACTCAAGGTCTCTTGCCATTTGTTGAGTCCATCAAGTGCGTTCCCGGTTGGACCTTGACCGGTACGGGTATTAACCATTTGCAAACCAGCTCGTGCAGATAGAGGAACTAACTCATCTGCACTCTCCTCGAAGTTGCCAGCCAGTACCTCGTAAAGAGCAGCAAGCGATTGGGTGTTTTCGCCTACAGATCGTACTTCACGACGGATGAACTCCTGAACAACCTGCTTCCAAATGGATGGATTTAATGTTGAGGAGAGTAGCATGGCATGGCCCCACAGCCGGTGGTCAACGGCATCCCATATGGCCTTTTCACGTTCACCAAGAAGCAAGTTATGTTGAATTGCGTCTAGGCTAACATTGGCAGGCTCCTCTTTGCCGTAAAGTGTGTTCATTGAACCCATGGTTGGCGCTCCCTGATCATTTTGTGGGGTAATGGGCGACAGAATACTACGAAGACTCTTTTCTGCATCGGGAGCACCTCGAAGGACACCATCGTGCTCAACAAGCGTTCTGAGAACCTTCCAGAGCATGATTTTCTCTACCTTGGCTTGATATTCTCCATGAGTGAGACTCACGAGACCTTGGGGGTCCTCATGTTCGAAACTCGAAATCATGTTTGATAGCCAAGTAATGACCTCTTTCTTTTTGGATTTAGACTTCAGAGGTCCGGGGAATTTGGCTGGCATAACAGACTCTGGAATAGCCTCATTGAAAGAACGCAATTTAACTTCACCTGGGACCGGCTTCATACGAGGAGCCAGTTGCCCAGTTGAGTACAGAGGAACACGCTTTGGAAACGAGGTTATTAAAGATCCGCCGAAACCGAACTTAATAATGGGAGCGCCCTTCCAACGCTCCAAAGGATCGAGGCTATGGCTATCTGTTGGAGCGATGAAATCAATAGCAGGTGCTGGGTGTGGATCCACTGTCATAGCCCGAGCCAGCGGAAAATGGGAAGCTGGAGCAGGCCCACTGGGAGCGTGGGCAGATGCGGGCCTTTGCGCATTATCCTGTACTATAGAGGGATGTCCCTGGCTATAAATCCGCTTCCCAGGAGACTGGGTTTGTGATCTGCGAGGCGGAGACATTCGTACAGGAGCAGAGGGCGGTGGCATGCTAGAAGGGGGGGATGAGATAGCGTTTGCCATTGGAGCATAGTTCCTTTGCCCAAAGTCATTATGGGCAGCTGGAGGGGAGAGATGCTGAGCTGACTCCTGGCTGCCAAAAGAGCCCTCACGAGGAGTTTCAGGATGAACCTGAGGCCTAACATGACTAGAATCGTGCTGTGCAAGGGGGCTTGAGGTTCTTGGCTGAAATGGAAGTGTAATTCCCGCATGATTTGGCATGTATGAGTGGCTAGGTGCGCTGCTAGAAAGCGGGGGTGCGGGAGAGTAACGTCCAGATGCTGCGGGCTTCCCAGTTGGCCTGGAAGAGTATTGTGTTGCTGGCTTGGTTGCAACAGGCCCAGCAGGAGCTATGACATTTGCATAAGGGTCCATTCTTGGAGGTGCCTGTAATCCATACTGTCCTTGAGGCTGGGGTTCAGTATGCTGCTGAGGTGTGGGAGTCATCATTTGCGAACCTGCGGGGGCCTGTCGGCCTGCTTCTGCAGGGAGAGGAGCATATCTTCCTCTTGTTGATGGCCTTGACCGTGGGGCTATTGGAAGTTCTTCAAAAAAGTTGCTAGGACCCGCTGGTTTCTGAGACTGAGGTTGAGGCTGAGGAGCATAAGGGTTGATTGGCGCTACTGGAGGGGCAGTTTGCAGCGGCGCAGCGCTATAGGAGCTAGAAGGCCTGGAATCGGGAGTTGGTTGATACGGCTGGCTGATATTAGAAGCAGACCGTGGAGCGATTCGGCGCTTTGGTTGCAAATCATCAGGTAGATCATATGGGGATTTGTATCCAGCCTTTGGTTGATTCGAAAAGCTTTCCGCAGACGCGGAGACCGGGCTGATGGGCTGCGCATGTTCTCCATAAAGGGCGGGGGCTATACCTTCCATCATCGAAGAAGATGATGGCTGATGAGGGGCGTACGGATTAATTGGAGGGGGTGCGGGACGAGATTGAGGTAAATACGCCGAAGTGTTGGGTGCATAGCGCTGTGACGGGGGTGGAGCTGGTGGCTTTTCATCTTCCTGTTGAGCTGCGTTATCATTATCGAGCAGGTCATCGTCAAGAAGCTCATCATCAAGTAAATCATCATCAAGGGCTGCTTTCCATCGTTCTGCAAGTTCATTCTCATCTAAATTCTCTGGGGTTGTTGCATCATCCTTAGAAGTCTGGTGCCCATTGACCGCTTCTGATGTAGACATCTGTTCACAAGGGATGCGAGGAGGCTCGATAGGAGACTCATCTCCCCGAAAAGCATCATCCATTCGCAGTGAGTCTAGCACTTGTGAAGTCTGCTTTCGGTGTAATGTGGGTAGTGTCTCCGATGGTTCTGCTGCCTGCGACATGTTAGAGCTAAAAAAACCCGCTTCATCTGTAGATATATCCTCGCTGAAAACCGAATCCAGAGCACTTTGCTGTTTGGGCTGTTCAGCTTGCTGGTCATCGCTCTGGTCGCCGTTATCAACCAACGGGAGTCCTTCCTCAAACCTCGATTCCGCAAACTCGGGTGGGATATAGATGGGCTTAGTCTGAGTGCTGACTTGATTGAAAAAGTCTTCCCCTTCAGCCTCATTGTCCACTTCGTCATTCCATAATGGTGCGGCATGCGTGCCCCCTGAATTAACATCAGACTCTGTGGGAGGAACATTGGAAGAATCGCTATTCGGATCGTGCTGCGATTCAGCAGAATCAATAACCTGAGGCACAGATGTGGTGGTGTGGTCTGGCTCGTTTGTCGAATTAACGGTAGGGAATGAATTGGTTCTCGAGACGATATCATCTCGTGCTAATAGCTCCGCGGTATTAGATCTCGAGAGCAAAGTAGTCTGCTCATCGGAAGACTGCGTTATGGGCTGTATCGAGTCGTTATGGCCAGCTGACGTTGTATCCTCCGTCAGGGTGACCTCTGGGACATTTGGTTCAGAAACTTTTAGGTCTGTAGGTTGGGGAACATCTTCAGTATCATCGACATGCACTGAGGGAGCTTCCAGTTTGTCCTGTTGAGGTGTCTGAGTATTTGACTCTAAGAGGGTAAGGAGTTCCGAGTTTTCTGTGTTTACAGCAGTATCACTGAGCCCAGGAATGCCTGTAGGCTGGTCGAGGGATGTGGATGTCTCGGTATCCTGTGACACCTCCTGGGACTCTGATGGTTGATGGTCATCAGACGGATCCGAACCGGTAGGGGGTCTAGATGGTACGGTTTCCGTTGGAGCGGAACATTCCTGTGAATCCGGGAGAGCGGCGGCAACGTCTGGCTCAGCAGACGGCTTGCTAGATGAATCGTCCGACATTTTTATGAATCAACCTGGATAGCAACCGGTCAGCACCGCATTCTTTTGTTTGTTCAAAGGGCCACGCCATCCCGCGTACTATAACTTACTGTTCAGTGAAGAAGAAACAAAAAACGAAACCAAAACTTGAAACAAACAACGCTGAATTCAAATGCAAATGCCAACCATGGCGGCCAGGACTCAGTCCCAAGAATGTACGCTTCTAGCAACAGAAGAAAAGGCGATGATGCCGTGAAGAAGAAATCGTCGACGTTGAAAAAAGCATCCCAAAAACTTGCCAGCTTTCCTTTTTCGGGGCTTTGCAGGCAGGGCGCGCGACGGCAAAATATCGGGCCGTCAAAGGCTTAGTCATTAATGTTGCATTACGTCAGCTAATGAGAAAAGAAAGAAAGGGAAAAAAATAAAACGACACCGGTGTGATTCGAACACACGCTCCCGAAGGAATTTGCTACTCTCATACAAAGATGGTTACGCGAAAAACGTAACTTTCGAGGCAAACGCGTTAACCACTCCGCCACAGTGCCTTTCTAGTGTAGCGAGAAGGCCCTTGCAGTAGATAGACCAGGGGCTGAGCGAGCGCTAGTTTGTGGTCTTTCCCAGCCTACAATGTATCCATCGTATTGCGGCCATTTCCATCAGTATCGCAGGCTGTACTTCTCTATTGTATTTTTTAAACAGTTTTCCGCACAGCCTCATCAAATGAATGACTCAAGCTGGAATTTCCATGACGCTCATTCAGGTATGTAAATAAGGTAATCAATTGGCTACAAGTTTTACTCGGTAAGGCTTGCACCTCTTTTTTGAAAGAGTAAGCTTGTAAACATTTTGCTAATTGTCTGTTTATTTATTTATTTATTTATTTTATTTTATTTTTTATTTATTTTTATTTTTTATTTTTTTGGGAATACCAAAGCTGTAGATGGCTCTGGGACAATGGCATTATTAACACGGTATTTGAGGGAGCCAAATACTAGCATCTATCACAAATGCAAGTGCAAAACCCAGCCATTTGTTGATAACGGGACAATTACTCCACAAGGAGGTAATTTCAAGGGACTTTGACATTAATAGAACAAACGTAAGAATACTAGACGACAGGCTCTTAGACAGACTTGATAGTTAGTCCATCGTGTCTTCTGCGAAAGCAAAAAACACTAACATACCTAAATCCAGTCAATCCATTATATGGGTCACGTGGAAGAACATGATGAGTAAATAAATAAAAATAGCGACACCGACGCGATTCGAACGCGCGACCCCTAAGGGATAAGATTTCAAGTCTTACGCATTAACCACTCTGCCACGGTGCCTCGGCATCGAGGTCGCCCCTTTACAACACTGTAAGCTGGTGGGCGTTCGCAGCAATCTACAATGTTTGATTAAGTCGTTCCTGTTGTGGTGACATTGGCCTCTTCCACCATAGAGGTATATTCAGGTCCTGCTTCGTCTTTGATATATGCAATGATATATTAGTAGTCTTCATTATTGGAAGAATTGCTCCGTAAGTGAGCAATGTTTTGCGCAAAGGATTGTCACGGGACCCTGCGCCTTCAGACTATCACGTGAATCGAAGCCACCTTAAAGGAATGACGACAAGCCCAAAAGGGTAAAGAGCATGAAATATTCAATGTTGATGCCTCCAGAGAAGTCAACAACAGCACAAGACAGCAGTGAACAAGGGGGATTTTGGTTTGACCACCTTGACTGATACAACGGAGCGTCTGCAGTGCTTTTTAGTGCCGGCAGTCGGGCAGCTCTTAGGGTTGTTGATGGCCAGAAACGCCATAACTACTCAAACAATCATAGGATAACGATGCTATCGAGATAGCAACCCCGGACGCTGTTTTACGGCCCATCTTTTTAATCTCGCTCTATTACTTCTCTCCCACGTTAACTTTTTCGGTGCAGACCTCCGTCACGATGCCTACAAATTCCTACACAACACACCCTGATAGACAGTCGATAAATTCCATAGACGACGATGACGATTTAGAGCTGGAGGAGCTTGGGGTGCACTCGAGTCCGAGATTCGGTGATAGCGATGGACATCGGAGGCCTTCAGATGGATCACGCTGGTATAGTCCTGCGATCTCATTGAAGAAGTTACGGCAGAAGACACCGAAACGGCCCTGGGAACGGGATATAAGGCAGAGCGGAGAAGATGATGACCTGGATGGTCTGCTTTACGACCAGGAGCATGAAGAGGCCCATCTCTCTCATGCAACAATAAGTTCTGCCGATGACGACTCACCTCTCCTTACAACCGGACAACGGCGGCCGCTGTCCCGACAGTCATCTGGCCAAGCTCGTTCAGGCCTGCGGTCCAGGCTCGGACTTCCAATTTTTGGCAACCGTAGCTTGGCCAGAGAAGGGATGCTCGACCGTTTCAAGCGCCCCGGATCTACCCAGACTGCTAACACTGTCCCTCCCCGCGAGATATTGGTTGGCCAGGTACAAAAATCCCGATACCCGCCTAACGTCGTGTCAAATGCGAAATATACCCCCTGGAGCTTTCTCCCACGTACTCTATATAACGAGTTTTCTTTCTTCTTCAATATTTATTTTCTACTTGTGGCTTTATCTCAAACTATTCCCATTCTGCGTATTGGCTATATATCCTCTTACATTGCGCCGCTTTCGTTTGTCGTCTTCATTTCTCTTAGCAAAGAAGCGCTAGATGACATCTCTCGTCGTCGAAGGGATGCAGAAGCAAATTCGGAGGAATACAGCGTATTATCCTTTGATCGGTCATCTTTACGAACCCCTGGCTTGACATCCTCGAAGGGTCAAGCGCCCAGGTGGCCAGAGCCTGTTGAAATTACCAAAAAGTCCAGGGATCTCAAAGTTGGTGACATTTTGAAAATCGGAAAGGATCGTCGTCTCCCAGCAGACGTCATCATCCTGAAATCTCTACCAACCGATTCATTATCGAGCTCTCAGCGCGATGTCGAGTACTTCGTGCATGCTAATAGTGAAGAAGAACACGGAACTCCAGAGACTAATGAAGATGGTGAATTGTCAGAGGCAGCTGGTTCTGCGGAGACGTTCATCAGAACCGATCAACTGGACGGTGAAACGGATTGGAAATTGCGGCTTGCATCACCTCTCACCCAAAACCTAGCCCTTCCCGAGCTTAATAGGATACGCATAACCGCCAGTTCTCCAGCAAAAAACGTTAACGAATTCGTTGGAAAAATCGAACTTGCACAGTTACCATCAGAATCCTATGATCCGGCGGCTGAACAGAGTGGGAAACAGGACGAACATTCGCCTCAGCTTCAGTCAGCTCCACTTAGTATCGATAATGCTGCTTGGGCCAACACCGTACTCGCCTCCAATACGGTTACCTACGCAGCTGTTATTTACACCGGCTCGCAAACCAGGTCCGCCTTGTCGACCTCCGCATCCCGTTCAAAGGTTGGGTTGCTGGAGCACGAAATAAACAGCCTCACGAAGATTCTTTGTGTTCTCACCTTGACATTGTCGGTCACGCTGGTGGCGTTGGAAGGATTCGAACCCACCAACGATAAGGAGTGGTATATTGCTATTATGATTTATCTTATTCTTTTCTCCACCATTATTCCAATGAGCTTGCGAGTGAACCTTGACATGGCAAAAACAGTTTATGGACGGTTTATAGAGAGGGATAAGGGGATACCTGGAACAATTGTGCGAACAAGTACAATCCCGGAGGATCTCGGAAGAATTGAGTACCTCCTGTCAGATAAAACTGGTACTCTGACTCAAAACGGTAAGTCTAAATGCCTTTTTAATATATAATTGACTTGGTCTATGACTAATTTTGAAATAGAGATGGAACTGAAAAAGATTCACGTTGGTACAGTGTCGTACGCTAATGAAGCAATGGAGGAGGTTGCATCGTTTGTTCGACAGGGATTCTCGGCCTCTGCATCAGCTGGTGGAAATGAACTGTTATCATTTACCAATGTATCGGCACAGCCGAGCTCAGGGCCAGCAACCAGAACAAGACGTGAAATCAGTTTGCGTGTTAGGGACTTGATCCTTGCGCTAGCACTCTGCCACAATGTCACACCGACAAAAGAAGAAGAAAATGGCGAAGTCGTAACAACTTACCAAGCTTCATCCCCTGATGAGATTGCCATTGTTAAATATACAGAGGAAGTGGGACTTAAGCTGTCTCATCGAGACAGGCAGTCCATCGTTCTTACTGTTGGTGACTCTGGTATATCTATTAAAGCCAAGATTCTGGAAATTTTCCCATTCACGTCAGAAAGCAAAAGAATGGGAATTATAGTCCAGTTTTCAACGGATCATTATCAAGGCTGCCCAACACAACTACAGAATGAAATCTGGTTTTTTCAGAAAGGTGCCGATACCGTGATGTCGTCCATTGTGTCAGCAAATGACTGGCTTGACGAAGAGACCGCCAACATGGCACGAGAAGGATTACGAACATTGGTAATTGGAAGAAAGAAACTCCCCTCTGAACACTATAGTGAATTTTCTAAGAGTTACAAAGAAGCTTCAATGTCTCTCAATGACAGAGACAGTCTAATGGCAAGGGTGGCTCGAGACTATCTTGAACAAGATCTAGAGCTGCTAGGTGTCACAGGAGTCGAAGACAAGCTACAGAAGGATGTAAAACCTTCACTGGAATTGCTTAGGAATGCGGGCATTAAAATATGGATGCTTACCGGAGACAAGGTTGAAACTGCCCGTTGTGTTGCTGTATCCTCTAAGCTTGTCTCTCGTGGTCAAGTTATCAACACAGTCACAAAACTTAAGAATATGGACGCGGCAAATGAGGCCTTGGATTTCCTCCGCAATAAAACCGAGTCCTGTCTTCTAATTGACGGGGAGTCGCTTGGCCTCATGCTTTCTCAATTCCGGATACCCTTTATAACGCTTGCTGTACGTCTTCCTGCCGTCATTGCCTGCCGATGCTCTCCAATTCAAAAGGCCGAGATAGCAACTTTGATCAGACAACATACCAAGAAACGCATTTGTTGCATAGGGGACGGCGGCAACGATGTGTCTATGATCCAGGCCGCCGATGTTGGGATCGGAATCGTCGGGAAAGAGGGGAGACAAGCTTCCCTTGCTGCTGATTTTAGCATCACGCATTTCCACCATCTTACCAAGCTTCTATTCTGGCACGGGCGTAACTCTTACAAGAGATCTGCTAAGCTAGCTCAATTCGTCATGCATCGTGGTTTGATAATAAGCGCCTGTCAAACTATGTTCAGCATTGCAAGCCACTTTGACCCCAAAGGCTTGTTTATAAACTGGCTACTTGTGGGCTATGCGACAATATATACTAATGCTCCTGTGTTTTCACTTGTTCTTGACCGTGATGTCGACGAAGGCCTAGCAAATTTATACCCCGAGTTGTATAAAGAGTTAAAATCCGGGAGAAGTCTCAGCTACAAATCGTTCTTCACTTGGGTTCTTGTCTCTGTTTACCAGGGTGCCGTCATAGAAGGTCTCGCTCAAATTCTCGTCGGTGAAATCACTGGGCCTCGGCTCGTCAGCGTCTCATTCACTGCCCTGGTATTGAATGAACTCATTATGGTTGCTGTTTCTATTACCACATGGCATCCGGTTATGATAATGTGCATTGTAGGCACCGCCATAGTCTACGGTACTTCTGTTCCATTCCTTGGAGACTACTACGATCTTGCATATGTTGTTACATGGGGATGGGCCTGGAAAGTATCCGCTATCTGTGCTGTTTCGCTTATACCAGTCTGGGCCGTGAAATTGATAAGCCGTACCTGGAGCCCACCAAGCTATCGCAAAGTCCGCGGCTGAAAGTTCATACATTTCATCCATCAACTAAATTCTACATTCTCCTTTTTTTCCCCAATACTTGTTCTTTTTTCCTTTGATTTTTTCTTGATACTCTTTTGATACTCCTTTTCGCGGTTATGAGTTTGGGAAGGCATTTTTTTTATTCCATATGCTGTATTTCATGATCTGGGCTGGCGCCTCCTTTTGGTGTATTATACCCCACGCATGGGGGTGTTCGTATGATAAATATGTAGATTCATTTCACGTCCGCATTGTCATGATAAATAGTTACTGCATAGATTACCGATTGAATTGGCACCCATATATATATTTTTGCAAGCTTGTTTTATATGAAGATAGCTGAGGATTAAATAATATATATGGTACGGTAAACGAGTAGCCCAACTCACGCCGGCTAGGGTATCAATACGTGTTGATAAAATATGTACATACAGGGGCACGGTGGAGAGAGGAAATAAGGAGAGACTGACTGGGTTAGCAGATAATCACTCTCGTAATGACGATCGTGTCAGAAATGCGAATTTTAAAGAAATATCAGTCATAATACCAACAAAAAACGCCAGGGCTCACTAAAGGAAAATAGCCGAGTATGCAGGAGCCTTGATGCACTCTCCTCCCTTTCCCTTTTTCCTCCAGTTGTATGACATGGAGTCCAAAATTATCGATAGCCACCACTGCGGGCTCCAGAATAGCCTCCCCCATCACCCAAAGCAGAAGTAGAATCAAAAGATTTGCTAGTGCCTAAAGATGGTTTGCTGCCTCCACCGTGCAACCGCGCACGAAGTCTGTCTTGCGCAGAAGCGCTAGATAATGTTCGATCCATCCCTTCTGGACGTGACAGTTGGGCACCGGAAGTCTGGTATGAACCAGCACGCTGGCTGGGTAGTGGTCTCGCTCCGCCAGTGGACTGAGATCGGCCTCCAGCCTGAGGTGAAGGATCGCGGTCATATCCGTTACTCTGGCTTCTCAAGCTGGCTCCGGGACGGTGGGGCAGGTGGTTTGGAGCAGGTTTTAAGGACGATGGTAAAGCATTTTTATGGCTTGCCAGGCTATTCTGGCTTCGACCAGAACGAAGACTCCCTGTAGCTTGTTGCTGTTGCGTATTCGAACGCCCAGAGTCATCCCACAGGTCCCCCAGGCCACCACGGCCACCTGGCTGGTTCGCAGTACCACCATAGCCCTGGAAAGATGTCTGAGAGGTCGCAATAACCGGGGTGTTGTATGCTGACTTCTTATCTGGGGGTAACCAAGGGGGTAACCTGCGGCCTTTTTCGTTGTAATACGCGCGTAGAACGTTGGAGATATGTGAGAGGTCCTCGTTTTCAGGGTCATCTGTCTCGTCTGCGGATATAGCACGCCGGAGAGAGGTGAAGCGGGTGCTGAGATTGGATATCGATGTTATGGAAGAGAAATAGGACGCCATGGTGAAACCAGCACCAGCGGAGGAGGTTTGCCGTATGTAGGCGGGCGAGGGGCTAGAGGGGTGGTAGCTATCTGTTCGGTTCAAGAGAAGAACGTCGCGAAATTCCAGATATCAAAGTCGAGGAGGAACGAAAATGAATATAGAAGCCCCTGTAAAGGTCTCGCTGGTCAGATGTTTTAATATGAAACGTGGAGTGGGAAGAAAGTTGAAAGTCTTCAAGAAGATCACCATCCCCCTTAGCTCCTGGGCTCAAACTAAGTCACATGTCCATATTTGTCTACAATCCATAGAGAGCTTATTCAATATATTATGCCCGAACAGCAGGTATTCAATATAATAATTCAGGACAGCAGTTCAAGCTTCTATGCACTTCAATCGACCGATCTTGACTGGAATGTTTATAACCCTTACATGAAACCTCGTAGAGACGGAGCCGTTCGCCCAAGTAGATCCCAAAACTCCGGCCAAAAAGTTAACGCCCGCAAGAAATTGAACAAAAGAAAACACTTTTTGTCTGGCTTGTCAAAGACGTGTTCATGCAAACAGCGACTCTCTTGCCGGTCCTTCAGTCTCGTACTCGATCTCGACATGCGCACCCTTCTTCCGGGGCCGAGAGGGCGCTGCAGGCCGTTTCCTCTTGGGCGCCACGGCGGGCTTCTTCTTTGGCTCGTCTTCTTCGTTGGTCTCATCACTGCTAGCCTCTCCATCGTCACTCTCACCCTCATCATCGTCATCGTCTGCACCGTCGCCGTCCGTCTCGTCGCTCTCATCTCCGAGCCAGTCTTCCAGGTCTTCCATGTCCTCATCCTCGTCGATATCACTAACATACTCAACTTCACCAACGCCCTCCTCTTCCTCTTCCAACTCCTCCTCAATGCCCTCATCGAGATCTTCGTCCCGTTCACCATCTCCTTGTCTCTCTAGACCCTTAAGAACTTTCTTCCAGATATTTTCTTGAACATTCAGAGGTTGTTCACCATACGCCCCGCTCCTCAATCTCTCAATGAGCTCCCTTTCAATCGCCCGCTCAAGTTTGGCAGCAGCTTCTGCTTTTCGTTCCCTCGTTTCCTCTCGTCTCCTTATCTTGGGTGCCAGTTTTGGCACCAGCTTTTCACCCAAACGCTCTTCCTCTTTGGCAAGCTTTCTCATCCGTATGTTGACTTGAGTAAGCCGGGTAAGACGTTGCTTGCACTTGTGAATCAAAAACTTAGGCCAGTATATCAATCGCTCATCTAGCTGGCCCAGAGCTTTTGCATAATTCGAAGATAACCGGACTTTCTCCCACCATTTATTGGGCATGTGAGAGCGTTCTACCGTTTTCATGTAGAGGTACATTGCACCTGTGCTGGGGTCTGATCGAACGGTCGCGTACCGAGAGTTTGCTAGAGGACATGATTGACGGTTGCAAAAGCCAGTAACATTGTATTCGTTACGGCAGAAATTTTGGCCTTTGTCGGTTCTATACTCGCAAAAGGTTAGAGAAATCTTTAGTGAGGAGAACCAGATACCTACTTGAGCTTGTAAGAACAAAACTGCTGGTTAATAACCTGCCAGACGATTTCGTCCGACGACATCTTGATAATATCAAGGCACTCTGATGAGCTTCAGATCTGTATATAGACCGTAAGAAATTGCATCTCCTTCGCTCTTCGTTTCTTCCTTAGCGATTTTGATTTTGATAAAAAAAAATATTTTAACTTAACTTTTAAGTTTGCCTCATCTCACGTGACACATCCTATAGAAGATGACCAAAACATTAAATAAAATGTCAAAATCGCGGATTCACAAGTAAAAAGGAGGTCGACTTACCCCAGAGCTATAAGTATGCCTTGATGTTGATGAAATATCAAGGTATGGCTGAAGTAATAGTATACCCGAGTGTTGCTGTCGTTTCAATACTCCCGGATCTTTAGTTTCCAAATGCTGGGACTTTCCATAGAGCTAAGCATTAGGGCATTTGAAGGCCGTAGAAATCAGTAAATATTCTTAGTATTATTTACTGCTTCTAGCCTTGTCATCCTCCCCTATGAAAGGTTTCTTCCTTGTTTCTTCTTTTCCTTCTTTCGAACCACGCAAAACGCTACTGCTGGCTCTTTACCAAACGCGCTGTTCTTTTGATATCAAACAACCTCCTCCCTCTCTGCCCCAGGGATAATCGGAACCTGCCATTTCATAGCATATTAATATCTACAGAGTATGAATGAGACCTCATCTCTATAGCCCACCAATACTACATCACTTTCTATAAGCCCTAGAAAGCCAAATACCCTCTTATTCGTTACCCAGAGACTATGAACCAGACTAGCACAGAGATCCACTGTGAGCGCTGTAATATTGGGTTTTCTTTACCTAGATATTACCGCGCTCATGTTGGATACTCTATTAATCATAATGTCTGCCACCTGTGTGGGGATCACAAGGACTTTGAGACATTTACTAGCCTGCAGCAACATCTAGAGGAATCCCATTTCTACTGTGAGCCTTGCAGCTGGTTTGCGCCTTCAGCTATCGGACTACGCCAGCACAACACCTGTAAACACTACCTATGTGTTGCCTGTGGTGACTACTTTCCAAATGCGCATGAGCTGAATGGGGTATGCCTATAAAACCAAACCTATAGCGAATGGAAACTAACGCGTTTTTATCTCTATATTATAGCATGCATTCAGACATAGGCCACGCGGAGTTTCCTGTTATTGTTGCCCCCAAGACTTCTCTACGCTCTCTGCGATGTTTAATCACCTTGAATCCGGAAACTGCCCATCGGGAATTGAGCATGATGATATACTAGAACTTGCAGCGAATTTTGTTCGGTCATACAAGCCTGAAAAGGACTACATATTCTTCTGCTATGGATGCCAAAAGCCTTTTCGACGAATGTGTGATCTCTTGCAGCACTCGGAAACTAGCTCCTGCAACGAAGGGTACTGGAGGGGGTCTGGACATCTCGGCTCGATGGTCACGTATATTGCAACCTGCATTCCAGATTACATACCAGACCCGGATGATAATGATGATAATAATGAAGGAACTCAAGGCAAAGGCAATGATACAACTCCTTATCCAGAAATCAGCATCCCAAAAATCGTCATTACAGGACCAACATGAGATTTTCGAATTTCACTTTCTCTCTGTATCTTTCTCGCCCCTCAATAAAGCAGCCACTGCAGGGAATCTTGGAAACTGCAATCTCTATCCTTGATTTGCTTGGATAGACTGATGAACGGGCGTTTGCACCTAGCAGGCCATTTTTCATTTCTTTCTTTATTTCTTTCGTTCTTTCTTTTCCTCTGTACGAATACTGGGAGTGCATTATGGAGGGCTGTTGTGGCTTTTCCTTCCGTCTCTATAGGACCTATAGATAATACATTTTGCCTTTTGACACATAACTAGTATATTCAAAAACTCGACATACCGAGTAAAGACAGCACCGCAAGCCTATACCGTATCTATTTACAGTCCGTAACCAAGTGCCTCATTTACTCCGTATGTTTAGTCAAGAAGATCTGAGACCTTCAGTACATATCAATATAAGTCACTCTGAAAAAAAGCAACGAGAAAAATATGCCGCGGCTGTTTGTTCTGGAGATGCCGAGGTCGCCCACGCAAGCTTCGGCTCATCCGCAACTTCAGCAGCTTTCCAACCACCAAACACGATGGAGCTGGCCTCACCTTCGTGGCCCCAGTTAGTTAGCTTTCAGCGAGACGGAGGCGGAGGAACTTCCCCTGCCCCGGCTATGCGATCTCTGCTTCTCTCTCACCCTCCCTAACGACTCGCTGACCTTTGCTCCTGCGACCCCCCTTATTATAAAACCTCCCCTACGCGCTGGATAGCTAGGCAGACCGACAATACGCTAGAATATATATCCTCTGGAAGTTATAACCCTTGCCCTCTCACATCCGCTGGTTTCACCGGTTTTACGATTCAAGATGTCGTACCCTCTGGACGAGGTGACGGTCACCTACCAGGACCGTGTGGCCATTATCACCTTGAACCGACCCTCAAAGCTCAATGCCATGACCGGTGTACATTACTACCTCCTCGGCAAGAAGATGCGAGAAGTTGCAGCAAGGGATGACATATATATCACCGTCCTCACAGGGACTGGGAGATTCTTCTCAGCGTAAGCTCCCGTGGGTGGAAGTCGCTAGTTATATAGTACTCTGGGGGTTCAACCGCTAACAGTCAAATAGCGGTGCAGACTTTTTGGGAAGTGCGCCTCAAACGGACGATAACATAGATGGACGCCGGGATTATGTCCAGGGCTTCGTTGCTAATAACATCGACTTGACACATACCTTCTACACACACCCAAAGATCCTCGTCGTCGCCCTTAACGGACCCGCTGTTGGATTTTCCGCAGCTCTGACCGCTTTCGGTGACTTCATATATGCTACTCCCCATGCCTACATTCTCACTCCCTTCTCATCTATTGGACTGGTCACAGAGGGAGGCTCCAGCCATGCATTTGTCAAGCGGATGGGCCTGGCTAAAGCAAAGGAAGCTCTTATCATGAGCAAACGTATCTCGTCTGAGGAACTGCTACAAACAGGCTTTGTCAATAAGATTTTCACCTCGGCAAGCGGAAAAGAGGAGGATTCAGATGCATTCCTCAAGATGGTTTTGCATGAAATTGACATGACATTAGGCACCCATCTGAACCAGGAGAGCATGTTGAAGATCAAGGCGTTGATTAACGCACCAGATCAAGACATACTGGACAGGCAGAATGTCCGTGAGGTTTTCGGGGGACTAGACCGTTTTGTTTCTGGTATCCCACAAGTTGAATTTATGAAGCTTGCTTCTGGTCAGAAGAAGCATAAACTATAGACTTATTTCACTCTTAGAGTACTTGTTTGGGCGGCACCCTGATTTATTAACGCTCTGATTCCATTGTTATATACCTAATTTAGAGTTTCAGTTATGAATGATGTACATAAATTACTACATTTGCAATCTTCAGGAATATAACGATGGAGATTATTCTGTCTCCCCTTTTTATTTTAGTTGTCATCATCACTGTCCCCGGTATCCGGCTGTATCCTTCCCTCGAGTATGTCCCGCCACTGAGTGAGAAACTCACTCATACCCCCGGGCCCACTCCTCGATGCATCTACTACATCTTTTGGTAGTTTATGTGCGGAGAATGGGGCGGCATTCATGTTAGTTCCCGCTGGATTTCCTCCCGACAGTAGAAGGAACAATGGCAACTCAGAAACCACTTCCTCGATATCTGACTCTTCATCATCATCCTCGCCTGGTATTGAAGGTATCTCGGCCGCAGAGGGCTCGTTTTGTGCACTAATTTTAAGCCTGACGACCTGTTCGTCAACTCCATTTATTTGATCATTGATGTTTCGTTCTACCTCTTGGCCAATCTTAAGTATCTGCTGCCACGAAAACAGAAGAGGATCCGTCTTTGGAGCAAAGGGATTTATGTCAATTAGCCAGACCCTATTGTGCGGCGGAGGAACATAAACGTCGAATATAAAATTTGGATCAGGGAATGTATCTCGAAGCTTTTCGCCGAAGAAAGACCGAATCACCCTCAATAACTCATTTTGCATCCCGGAAAGAAAGTCATAGTATGTTAGATCCCGCTGGCAAAGACATATTAGTTGCCTATGGCGAACAAAGCACCGAAACTCCAATGATGTGTTGACATTAAAATATTTGCGTAGGACAAGGTGATACGGAATAGGCGGCTGGTTTGACGTGGTAGGGGCGTTATCTTGTTCCTGGTTTGGCTCAACCACACAGTCATCAAATGCATGGTCAAGATCATGGTTCATGAAATTGCTGCTCTTGAGGAGCAAGTAGACATCGTTGGCTGTCCTGCATTGCATATCATTCGTTGGAAGTATCCATTTTGCATCCCTAGGTGCGCTCCAGTTCAGCTTAGGGGCTACTTGGCCGCCAAGCTCTCTGATTTTCGCTATCACTTCAGCATGCACCTCCGGCCACTCTCGCGACGGATCATACGGCTCGTTCTCATCATCAGAGCCATCTTTTTCTGAGTTACTGTCTCCATTAGACGTGGAGAGGGTCCAACTGTCATCATCTGATACCTCCAGGCTTGTCTCATCTGGAGGGAGAACTATCCCATCTGCGCGGAGATAGTTAATGAACGATTCAGTTAGAGGAATAAGTCGTGCTTTTGGAGATACAGCTCGATATCTATCACCTATGGTTAGCTCTACTCGGTCACAGGCGTTGACTGTACAGGGACGTCTTACAGTGAATACCAGGCATGGTATGAGCAATTCAGGATATGCGATCGGGTAATTGGAGGGAAAACCACTGAATTTTCTTTGGGCGGGGAATGTTCCTCTGTAGGACCAGCCATGATCGAGTCGCCCAGCAAAGGGTATCTATCCTTTCCTTCTTTCTTCGTACTTTTTAGTTGATGGAGGTGGAATCATAGAAGATATCAAACCCCGTGGATCATGAAGTCATAAGAGTGGGAAAAATGAACGATGACATCCCTCCTTTTCTCCTATGACGCATATAAGGAAGGCGCGTTTAATTCGCCGCTTAGCGCCTAAGTAGCTGATTAAACAAGCGCGCGTTTCAAGGTTAGTCTATTCATATCACGTGATAATTTTTAACGGTAACTATCTAGTCACCCGCGAGTTTATCAGGAAATTGACAACGCAGCCAGAACGAAAAGGACACAGCTGGATAGAAGTTGACGAAGCCGGGACTATGGCGGCAGATACTCCGGATGCGATTACTCTCAATTCATGGGAAGATGCGTTTAAGTACCCTGTTCCTACAGTAAGGCGCCTGGAGCAGGAACTCCGCAGAGATGCTGAAAGCAATCGGGACAAGCTCAGGTCCCTTGTTGGGTATGTCCGAGTGCGGCAGCGAACATTTATTACTCCTATACACATGAAGCAAACACCCCGCTAATATATTACTACATATAAAGAGTTAAATACCGGGATCTGCTCGAAACTGCGCAAACAATCGTGGATATGAATACAGATATACAACAAGTCGAGTCTACTTTATCTAGTATCGGGAGGCGATGCAATCCACGATCAATAGCGAGGAAGAACGACCATATCTATGAATCGAATAATGATGATTTCAAGTCTGGCAAGAGAAGTGCGCATGGAGCTGATCTTCGAGATACATGCAATCGGGCTAACGTCATAATAGATGATGGACGACAACTTAAGGCCCACCTATGCCTTTTGCGAAGCTGCACAAACTCGATTGTGAAAATAATACGGGAGCGTGGCTCCGTAGTTCTCGCTGCGAAACTACTAGTCGTTTCGAGACTCCTATTGAAGGCACTTTCACACAACGAAAATGCTCCCCCGTTCGTGAATAGTTTAAAGAAGAATTTGGCTTCTCTCAGGGCGACGTTGCTCAGCCGAATTAAGCTACGCTTGTCTGCTGCCAGTATAACCACTGATAAACTTGTGCAGGCATTATGTGCATTTTGTCTGGCCACTAGCTCCTCCTCCAATGACGCTATACGGCATTTCTGCGATGTGCGTAAAAACGCAATTGGAGAACAAATTACAGAAAACATACATAGCGACGGTGTATTGATTGCCTTAAAGCTATATTTGCAAACTTTACGACAAACTGATCATCTCCTCAACGGTCCCCTCTCGGCAGCGTTAGAGAAATTGACAACTCAGCCCCTCCTCGCTGACCCCGAGATTTTATGGTTAGGGGAACTCAACATGGATCTTTTAAAGCCCTGGATTCTGGAGGACATTCGGCATTTCACTCCATGGATCAAGTATAATGATATACCCAAGTCAGAAAGGAGCACCCAACTAAAAACATGGTCTAAGAACACATTCAAGCTATTCTCCTCGCAAGCGAAACTAAAACTAGAGGCATTTAAAAACTTTGAGGATATCTTGGATTTGCGAAAAAAGCTGCTCGAATCGTGGCTGCTTGTTCAGTCTTCAACCCCAACCCATTCGAATCTGGAAGTGTTAGAAGGTTTACGAGACATCATAAACCACCAGCTAATTTTGATTCTTCAAGGCCAATCTGAAGGCATAGCTAACCTCGGGAGCGAAATTACGTCAGCTATAAGCTGCTTTCCAACAGGGGAAAGTGGTAATAACAGGAATTCGTTATGGGATCCGAAACTTGCGTCAGTTGACTTCTCGGAAGGTGCTAAAAGCTTCAAGAATGAGGTTGTCAATAGATCGCTAGGCCGAGGAACTGAATCTTTAAGACTATTGGATTCGTACCAGACCTGGCTTCGAGCTGTCGAAGCTAGAACTTCTTTAATTCATGGAATGAAAGCTGATAACTGGGAGGATATTGTGGAAGATGATAGCGATGAAGATGTCATCGACCATATATATGGATGCTTAACAGAGGACGATCCAGCTCTTTTGCAAGAAGAACATCAAAAGTCTCTGACGAAAGGATTTAAGGGACTCCAAGCTGCTTTAGCTGACGTTATAAACTTGTTTTCCGAATCGCATAAGGCTTTGAAAGCCGTTTTTCTTCTACGCATGATTCGCGAGATTCGAAACAAGATCCCAAGCAAACTGCTGGATGGAGAACAACTACACTTTGCTCAGAATATGACGCCGGAATTACATACCATCATTGCAACAGATATTGTGACCCAACTCTCTACATATATAACAAAGTTGAAGCCTTTCAAGAACTTTCTTAGGTGTTCCGGCAGAACCCTATGGGAGGGCAAGCCCGAGCTTCCAGTTCAGCCCTCTCCGGCTGCATTCAAACTGCTTCGGAAGCTTGAAGTTTCAATGGAAGACCTAGGCCCAGATTTATGGAACCCTACTGCTCTTTCTGTCTTGAAAGCCGAATTTCAGAGAGCGATCAACAAGCTTCTTGAAGATAGCCACGCGAAAGAACTAGCCGATTCGAAGACTACGTCTTCTGAGGATGGAGTGACACAGCAAGAACAACAAACTGTTAGTGGAGATGATTCTAGTACTCAGCAGGACTGTAAAATACAACTCCTGTTTGACCTGATGTACTTGGAAAACGCAATGAAATCCAGCACTGCGACTCGGGAAAACTCCATGACTATCCATACTGAAGCTTTGCAGGCGGAAGATGAAACGATGGAAACTCTCAGAAAAAGATCGATTGCATATTGGGAGCGGACCCGGCTTCTCTTTGGGCTGTTGGGCTGTTGAGCTGTTGATAACTAGGCAATATATATAAACTACAGTGAACAATTTTTAAAATATATTTTATGCCAAAAAGGGGCCAAATCGATTTCCTAGGCCTGTCACGTGACTGGAGTTTTTAGTTTACCTAAAGTTCTGCCCCGTCCGGAGCTGTATGTCGGCATTCTTCTCATTCTGATACATCCTCACTTGCTTCATTCCGTCAGGCAATGCCTACTTCGTCGCAATCATAATATGGCACACCAACGGCTCCCTTTTCTTTACCCTAACCTGCTACGCTCTGTACGAGCTTGTGAGCCTACTACCTATCGATCTATACGTTGCCCGGTCCAGCGAACGCATTCCGCGGGGCTCCATTCGAGCCGAGCATGTGAACAAAATACACGCTTCCAGAAACGATACGGGCCAGCTGTAGAGCCGCGAGTACCTTCGTCGGAAGGTTCTAGCACAAGGCCGGAATCCAGCCAGAACAAGGTATCAAAAGGGGAACCAGATCAGAGAACAGCCAAGGATGATAAAGCGGTAGATGACACTAAACCACCCTCAAAAAGAAGCGCATCGGAAGGTGGTACTCAGTCGCCTGATAAAGCTCAAACCAAGGATGCTGCATCCGGATCAGCTTCAGAAAATACCGTTGATGGGAATGTTGAACAAATTGAACCTCCTGGTTTAATCGAGATTGGGTCCGCTAGTGGTGCCCCTTCTCAGGGTGATTTAGGATCTGTTTACAAGATGTCAAAATCAGAGTCACAGAAGGACACGGATCAGTCTCAATCGAACGCTATGGAGCCTTATATCCATCCCCCTAGCCACAAACACCCCCATTCGAGCTCATTTGTTCATCACTTTGACACATACACCATGGTGAAAGACTTGAACAAAAGTGGCTTTACGGAGCAGCAATCGATAGCCATAGCCAAATCAATTCGAGGTTTACTGGCAGGGAACCTTGAGACAACCCGTAGCAGACTTATGTCAAAGTCTGATTTTGAGAACGAGGTTTACCTTTTCCGAGCAGCATGCTCGGAGCTACAAACCTCTATTCAGACATCTCGGAATACTGAGATACAATCTCAACGTACTCGACGAGCCCTAATACAGCATGAGCTAGACATATTAACGCAGCGCATGACACAAGACCTTGCCGGTTTAAAGGATGACTTAAAAGAGATGTTCAACAATCAGAAGATTTCAACCCGAGAACTTCAGCGGTCAATTGACACAGCAATACAAGAGCTAAACTATCAAATCACTGTGTCTCTTAACAGTGACGGGAAGAGTGAAGTAGAGGGTCTTAGATGGGTGCTTACACGGAGAGCTGTTATTGCAGTTGCTACAAGTGCCAGTGAGGGATTCCCTAACTTCTGTTTATATTATATGTTGTAGCTAACATTTATAGGTATGATTATTCTTGCCTTGAGATACCAGTCTTACAGGGTCCAACAGCACGAAGCAGCGAAGAAGGCTGCTGCAGAATCCGAAGAAGTTGCGATTGGTGATATTGTTCAAGTCACCAAGCAGTAATCTTTCACAATCTTCAAGTGCCCAGATAATACCTACATCTTATCTATTTAACAACTATTAAGACATTTTAGGTCATTTCAGGAAAAAAAACTTTTGTTAGCTTGGGGAAGCCGATAGGGCATTAACCAGTCATTGTAGGGTATTTCCATGGCTTTTCCCTCTATTACGCAGTGTAAAATTCCTGATAAGTGCGAGGGAAAATCATACAACATTAACAGTAAATATGTATTGTCTAACGAATTATGATCCAAGCTTAAGAATGACCTGACTGGCTCTTTTGCAATAATTTATACATGAATAAGAGAACTCTGCAGCACATATTAGGTATCATCGGCAAAGTTGTAATATGGAACGCGTAAAAGGGCTCGTTTTGACAAAGCGAACTCTTCTAGAAATCCATACGTAAGGCGATAGTCGGTGCATTTCTCTCCTGTCCATGTTCGTGTCGTTTGCTGTTATCTTCCTTTTGCCCAACCGTCTTGAGGATCTCTTCCAAAAGACGTTTCGAACCTTGCTCCATATTGGCAGCAAAGCCCCTGAAAGCAGTTTGATCTATCTTTGCAAGCTCTAATAGCCGAGTTGCAGTTTCCTGGTAGACGCTAGATCCGTCATGTTTAGCCCGTGTTAGAAAAGCTGGGATCAATAACGCCATTGCAGCAGGAATAGCAGCTTTCGTAAACGCTGGTGACCCCACAACGGACACCAAGGTTTGGGTAACATTGGATTTCATGTTCTCTGCATCGATTGGCGGCTCATTATTGATTCCAATCGGTGTCTTTGTCACAAATGCCAGGAGTCTAGGGAAGAGGGTGCGAGCTATTACCTCGTCGGTAGAAGAGCGGGCGCCAGGGTTTAGAAGGAGAGAGCGGACACAACTAGCCGCAACACTTCCGAGGCCTAGATCCTGCAAACAATCAAGCAATTCTTGCATTGCTCGTGATATCAATGGATCTTGGGGTGGAATAACAGAACTGGCAGTTGTGAGGATAATAGTAATACCAAGGAGTGTATTTTTGGCGCAGGGAAGAGAAGTGTCTGATTCCCGACGTTGGGCAACAGTTAATATGCCCAAGAACCTTGCCAAACATCCTCGGATTTGGCGGCTAACACTCCGGGCTTCTTGATTCTGAGATTCGTCGGGTTGACAGAGCTTTTGAAGGAAGCGTTTGAAGATAGGGAGAATCTTAGGAACAATTTCCGCTTGACAACTCCCAGTGGCGAAGACCGTGGTAAATATATGCACTATGCATGTATGTAAGTCATCCCGAATGATGGATGGAAACACAGATGTGATGTCCACCAGCGAGGAGAGAGAATGTTGGATTAGAGAAATCGATTCCTCAGATGCCTCAGATCGCGCTTTTGGCGACGATTCTCCAAGGTTGGGTAGAACACCTGCAATAACGAGGATGATATTGCGTGTTAATTCAAACAGCTGTTCGATATCATCCGATAGGTGCTCCGTAGAAGTGCTCTCTCTAGTTGCGGATGGATGATGAAGGGAGAGACTTCTAACAATCTGGACTATAACGGACTGGATGGCTAAATTTTCGGTCATTACCATCCTGTTCAAAGTATCAATAGTTTCAGAAAAGATAGCATCCTGGTAAACTGCATTGCCAGCAACAGAAGGATGTAAGATTTTCTGTAAAGCCTGAAGGATTTCGAGTGTTTGGGCAGGAGTACAGCTCTGGCTGACCAAAGCGTCAAATGCCAATCCAAAAAGGACGAAAAAGAAAGCAACTGGTTCGTCACGGTAGTTGATATGATTTCCTTTTTCTTTTGTTTCGCCAGTATGAATGCGGTCATCTTTGTTGCTTTCAGTCTTTTGAAGCTCCTGTTTACCGTTTAGTGCATCAAACACGAAATCACTATCCTTCTCAACGAGGCTGGCGATAGCATCAACAAAATTTAACCAAGAATCTTGATAGAACTAAGCCAAGTACAATGTTAGAAGGCTGTATAGTTGATTGGGTTAAAGGAATATATACCTTGAGAAGGATTTCGCGGTTAAGGGCTGAATAGATATCATCCGGATTATCCGATAAACTCATTGGGCCCATCGTACCAGATATCTCAGGTTCAAATCTTAAGCGTGCAAACTCCTGGAGGGAGGAGAGCCAAAGTGGAGTTAACATAGCTGTGTATGGCGATACAATATCCACAAGATAGGCTTGTTCACTGCTAGATATTTGAAGCCGCGCCCATGCAGAATACAAGGCTAGTTTTACCATCACACGCGCGTTGGAATTGAGGCCTTTAAGATCTCCAATCTCCGTCATGTCTGGTTTGTCTATTGAGTGGGTTAAAATCCGTTTCATAATGAGGGCTGGGACAGCACCTACTAGCAAAGTTCTCAAGTCCAACAACAAGAAGCTTGAAGATACGGCCCATACGTTCAACACTGGTAACTATCCCAGTTCCAACGAACGTGGCACAGACATTTATAGCCTCGGAAACAAGCTCTGGAGATGAATCCGCAGCGAACGCTGGAGTTAATGCAGATGCAATCTGGGCTTGATATTGCTCAAGTAGAGATGCTTCAGAAAAATCAGGGTCAGGGGTTCGCCCGAACAACTAACAAAAATTAATTTAGTACTGCATTAACTCTTTATGGAGCATTGATAATTCACCTTAAGCACTTGATCCAAAATCTTCAGTCCCCAGATTCGTAGGTCAATGACATTTGCCGTTGATGCAGAGAATGCCATCCGAACAATATCCCCAACTCGTTCCTGCAATGCAGCTTCGGCTGGTATGGTCTGGTCAGCTAGGATTTCACCCTGAACCATCGTTAAAAGTTCACTAAGACATCCAATAACGAAGTTTCGGGTTTGCCATTTGAGTAATTCTTGTCCTCCGGCGGACGTATCGGTAGCTTCTCTACTCTCACCAGTAACTGCTGTGGCAAATCCAGCAACTTCTTCATCCGGGAGATCAGAGGTTGCGGGACCAGTAGCAGTGACAGGAGGAGGCGAGGCCGTTTCATCGCGTTTGGACCTTGTTTTTGTCAGAACCTTTTGGCATCTCTCGATCCAGGTTTTTGTGTTCGATAATCCGGTCTGCTGAAGCCAATTTATGATAATGTCTCTGAGAAGTTTGTTCCCTGGATCATTATCGATTGCAATCCATAATTCATCTTCGAATGTTGATGATGCAGTTTGAATGACCCTATTGGCATCTCTTTTCATGAGATTGCTAAGGCCATAAACTGCGGCTTGCTTAACTTGCTTGTCTATCGAGGCTAATTCTTTCTGTAGCCATTGCACATAACCAGAGAAATCCATATACTGTGGTGCATACAAGGACAAATGGTCTAGACACTGGGAGCTGACGTTTATCAAAGGAGCATCGCGTTCCAGTTGAAACTCCTTGACTATAGTGAAAACCAGATCCCTCGTTTTTGTAACATCTCTGAGGTCAGGCCCAACCACATTCACGAGAGCATCGACACACCGGCCAATTGCTAACGGTGTGGAGAATTCAGCTTCAAAATTTGAAGTCCCCGCGGTCGGTGCCTCGTGGTTATGGGTATCTGCAACATATAGACGGGCCAGCATCCCGAATGCTCCAGATACATAGGCCGAAAATGTCAAGCCCGCGGAGTCTATAACACGAGCCAGGCCCTCCAAGGCCCAGAAATGAACAACGGGATGGGGATCATTGCATAGTGACATTAAGACACCAACGATAGTCTTCAAATGAAACCCTGCTGCCATCCCTCCGACTTGAGCATGTATGGAGCCTAGCGCAGCTGCGCACCCAGCTCGGGCATGGGGATCACGGTTTTCGACGATGACATCAACAAGTCTATTTATTTCCGAGTTGGTATATGCATTGCCAGAGCTATTGCATAAACGGCCAAGCCCTTCAAATCCAATTATTCGGATGATATAATCAGGGTTTGTTACAAAAACCTAATGCGGTATAAGACTTAAGCCATGAATAAGGGTGAAATCTAAAGTTACGTACCTGTATAAGCTCCTGGAAAAGTCTTTCAACTGCAACATGTTTTAGATTTCCAGGGAGATATGGGGTTTCATTTACGGAAACTCGGAGTGTATATAGAAGAGCAATCGCAATATTAGCGGTCATAGCTGCTTTGCGTCCAGGGTTTCGATTGAGGCTATGTGATGACAGCATGGTTGCAATTTGCTCAACGCTGCTTTCTTGAACCTTTGGGTTTTGTAGCGGGAGAGTAACAGAGAACAATTCAATTGCGGAATTGACAACTTCGGTTTGCGGTGGATCTGGAAGATAGTCTGAATTTATGTTTTTGGCATAGTAAAGCAATACGGAATCATGCTCTCTTGCATGACACATTGGAGTCATCAACTGTCAAAGTCAGTAGATAGCCCTCTATACATGGGGAACAACTTGAACTCACAGAAGAGTCAATTGGATGGCCTGTGGCTTCAGTTACGCTTGTGTTAGTAAAAGGTCCAGATCTTGACTGTCCGGGCACAAAATGGCGCACAAATCCCGTAACACCAAACCCGAAATTATCATCAAGATCCCATAAGGTATCAAAGTTTGCAGTGGAAGCTGCGATAGATGTCTCTAATGGGTTCGCGGAGGTGATATCTGGGTCGGCAAAACAAGATATTGCGAGGCCTAGGATACCAGAGAGGGGCAGATTGTCCATGGGATTAAGGTGGCTCAAATTGACTAGCTTGGTAAAACATTGTAGAACTCGTCGTCGAACCAAAGTTGCATAATCCGCAAGTTGAAGTGATGGGGATAATCTTTGGGAGATATCTTCAACGGCTTTCAATTTAGGGAGGTGTTCCAAGAAAGAGACACTTCCCTGAAGCATCATGGCAATTCTTTTCAACCCATCCAAAGTGATAAGTTTGCTATTATATTCCAAAAAGACTAGTATCGAGCTCAATGCACATTCTTTGACGTGGGCTAGAAAGCTCATTTCCAGTGGGCCACGTTTGGTAATATTCTCCTTTGCTATCGGTGACAGAGCATTCTTCCATAACAACAGAAGTTGTGAGAGATGTATCTTTGTAAAGTTTGGTCCCAGTGGCATCAAACCTCCGATCAGGATCCAGGCTACCTGTATTTGAGTGCTAGCAACTCGAAGTTCGGAATCCCCACTTATCTTGAGAAGGTCTGTAGCTTGTGACAATACCTTGGCATAGACGTCGACGGATCCGTATAGGGGCTGCAGCCGGGATGTACTTAGCATAGCGGAGAGGGCATGTGCGTAGCCGAGACAGCGAGGAGCAGACATGCGGATTGACGACAACTGGCCAAGCTCCCTTGCTAAACTGTTCATACATACTGTGACGCATGAGAGAAGTTGTTGAGGGCATGCCACGACAAAATTACGCATACAGTGTGCAATATGGATCTGGACGCTGAAATTTGGATGTTGGAGAAGTTGAAGCAAGGCTTCACGGCAGGTCTCAGCAACAGTTGCCGCAGCAGACCCGAGGGATTCGATGAGGGAAGAGAGCGCACTAAGAGCACTTATGAGGGTATATTTGCTGGGTTCTCGACGTTCAGGAACCACTTGAGGATAGTCCTTGAGGATACTATTGGAAATCCATTTAACCGCGGTCAACTGACTACTTTCACGGAGCATTTCTCGGCCTAGAACATCTTCGAGGATATGTTTGACAAATTTCCGGGTAAGAAGGAGACGATACCGGCTGTATGCAACAGTTTGGTGGTTTAAAAGAGTGACGAGTAAATGGTCTGCAATCTCCGTATAATAATCCTCGACTACTTTCCCACCAAATTCCTTCAGTAAAAGTTCATAGCATACCGCAATTGCGGCTCTAGCACGATTTCCTGTTGATGATTTACAGTAGTGGCTTGAAAGCTGGACTAAAAGGTCCTCCATTTTGAAGGATAGCGAGCCGTCAGCCTTGCGGCCTGACGGGGATTGGGTCCGCTCTATAATATCACCATCCACGGGATCCGTAGGCTGTCTTTTCAATGGCTTCTTTGTTCGAAGGGCGGTAGGTTTCATGTTCAATATAGGCGTGCTGGAGTGAGCTTTCACCAAGAAAGTTGCAAGACAGCCCGCTGCTCCGTGCCTCACTGACGCAACAGAGCTGTCCATGACTTTCCATAGAGTGGTCTTCAAGTGTTCATAATCATTGGTATTGTTAAAATATGGTGTTGACTTGACTAGCTCCTGAAGGCACGAGCATGATCCAACCTGGACATTGTACGCTTTGTCATTGACAGCTGCGTTTCGAGCATGCTTCCATATATCACGAGCTGTAGCCTCATCAATCGGGGACCCAATTCCTGCTATCACTTTCCTCAACGAAACGAACACACAATATCGTAACCCTGCATTGTTCTGTGCCTGCTTCAAGAGCTTGAGAATAGCTGAACAGACGGCACTGGACTGTCCCACCGCACCATCACCCGCAGCCACAAATATGTCACCCAAGGCCACCACAGCAGCAAATTTTGTCTTCAAATCCACTTCACTCTTGCCGGAATTAAGAATTCCTACCAGCTCCGTGACGGTATCAAAAAGAGTTGCTCTATTTCCCTTGGAAAACACAGCACTGAAGCAGCGGCCAATGCCATTGCGTATGACCCGAGTTGGCACCGGCGATACCAAGCGGAGGATCTTAAACAGTTCTTGCTTTATAAAATTCTGCTGTGCGCACAATGCCTCCTTGTCCAGTGTTACCGTATACTGAACGAGGTCCGAAGTGTAGGTAAGGAGGTAGAGGTCCTGCTGCTCGGAGGGGAGGGCGTGGAGCTTCGAGACGTCGAGTTCAGCGCGCGGTTGGCCAGCGCGGTCACTGGTGGAGGGCCGGGCAGCAATTTCGGAGGAAGACATTATATCGCTATTCACAGCATTCTATCTCCTTCGCCGTCCTCTCGATTTTATTGCTTGCGTTGCTGTTCTTCGCATCCAACTTGAGGTTCTGATGCGACCTGCCCAAGCCGCCTGGGCGCCTCCCGGTCCCGTCAGTGGAACCTCTAACTAGACGGCGCGGATCAACTTCAAGCCGTTTTCTCAAACGCTGAGGTCCACGAATCGGGAGATATTCCTACGTAACTACATCGTCTTCTATGAGCTCCCGAATCCATCAATTGCACCTGAGAGCTTTGCAAGATGGCAGCAACATTAGGGCGCAGGCTTTTTTCGAGTCCTCGGATCCACCCGTCCTGGACTTGTAGCAGTTGTCGGTACATCTCGAGCAGCCAGATACTCCAGTCTGGGCACAATCGCTGGTCAACAATAAGACATGATAAAGGCAAAAACGATGCTGCAAAGAGCAAAGAGCGTCAGATATTTAGTAAAGACATTATCCAGGCATCAAAGTGTACGTAATTCCATGTCTGCTGTGCTACCGGTGGCTGACAATGATTAGTATACGGCCCAGACCCGAAGACGAATCCTCGCCTCGCCCTTGTTATAGCTAATGCCAAACGGAGCGGAATGCCAAAACCGACCATAGAAGCGGCAATTGCAAGAGGACAGGGCATCACAGCAGCTGGGGCAGCATTGGAATCACTCACCATTGAGGGAATGCTTCCACATTCCGTTGCTGTTGTGGTAGAGTGCTTGACGGACCAAAAAGCCCGGGCCCTGCAAGATATCCGAGCTATTATCCGACATTCCGGAGGATCAAACACACCAACGAGTTACTTATTCGAAAAAAGGGGCAAGATAGTGTTTGAGCAGAAGCCCGACCTTGATGTTGACAGCTATCTTGAACTGGCAATTGACGCTGGTGCAACAGACGTCGAGGGAGACGAAAATAACCGTCTTATTGTTTACACAGAGCACACAGCTACAAAAGCAGTGGCTGACAAGATGTCTACTGCCACTGATCTGGTTACGGAGAGCATTGATATCATATGGGATCCAAACCAAGACACTCTTGTTAAGCTTGAGTCTGAAGAGGCCCGCGGTACAGTGGAAAATATAGTAAATGAGCTCAGGGATGATCCCAGCGTCCAGGATATCTATATCAATTGTCCGGATATACCAACTCAATGATAACTGGAACTGGGCTACTCCTACCCTTGCCTCAAGGTCATCATCGAATTCCTCATCAACCGACCGATTCCTTCAGACCCATGCTTGTCCAGCCATTCGAGCATCTTCAGTCGGTATTCTTGCCAGTCAGCCTTGATACCTCCAGCTTTATGTAGAGCATTCAGCGCTTTTTGGGTCACTGGCCATGTTAATCGCGCCAGTATCTCTTGCCCGTCTTTTCCAGCAATAGACTCTAGATTTCTGAAACACATTGCCGACATGCCACACAATGCGGTGTGATGGCTCAAGGAAAATATAGATGCAAGCCGCAGTCTGTAAATACCACCATTTTTACCTTTTTTTGCTAGGTCCTCGCCCACCTCCTGGATATACTCGGTGAGCAATTCAACCACGTCACTTCTTACGAGGCAGCCAAGAGCATTAGGCTCATCACCATTCAACCCCCTATTTCGCCATAGTAGGTTGCAGATATCTAGAACATATCCATTGAGGCTGGCCACAACAGCATCTGCATACAACTGCCTAGGGGCATCACCTGCGGAAGCTGTAGTTGCTAGGGACTGTTCAAAGGAAGATTTATAGATCGCTATCACGTTGCTCATCAATGACATATGGCTGAGAACGGGTGTGAAGACGAGGAGGTATACAGTCTCGGGAGGAGGGGTGTTTAACCGTATGAGTGGATTAGTTGGAGCATGAACGTATAACTCGGCCAGTTGTGTGTAGAATTGCATGACAGATGAACTAGAGGGCCGTGAGTCCTTGGCTGGGTTGGCACCACAGGTTGCTGGGCATTCCATTAAGGTCAACGACATCAACTCGGCCCTCTGGACTACGCTCACCAAGTCAAGGGCCTGATCAACAGAGGTCTTCGACCGGAGAATACTGCCATAACGCCGTATTAGTGCGGTATAATACTGAAGAACCAAACTTTTGGACTCCATAGTGTTGTCCAAAATCGCATTCTCCAAGTGCAGAAAGTATTGGCGAAGAGTATCATCACGAAGAGGTGCATATTCTAAGAGCCTCAGCACCGTTGCTCGATGGCTTGTTCCATCCCACACTGGCAGATAATGTTGGAGGAACTTATCAAGAGAGCCAGGAAAGGCCTGTACGGAGTTCCTTTGTTAGTCTAAATTAGAGAATATTATGAAGGGTAAAAGGGAAACAACTTACCTTTGTATATCTCACATATCGGACCAGACTATCAAGAACAAAACCTAGTTCTTCAGACGAAGTATTTTCTTCTCGCAGTTGATCTAGTTCGTCTTCAAAGAAGCTTGTAAGCCAGCTTTCCATCCTCTGTAATGCTTCTTTATTCTGCACTAGAAGTAAGAATTTCTGACTTAGGGGTTCCATTAACGCGGAAGCTATCTGGTTCGGAAGCTCAATTTTGTCTAGCTTCTTGACGAAATCTCGTACATTGCTGAGTTCTTCTAGAGATGTAAAGCCGCGCCGGACACGAGAAGTTTTAGGAACGGGTATAACAACCTCAATCCGGCTCCTTTTGACACCATCTCGACGGATAGCCTGAAAAGCTTCTGGGGCGATCTGGGGAGCGGTATTTGCAGCCCTCTCCTGAAGTAATTTCATGTGCGCGGTCCATTCCTGGTCAGGATGTTTGAAAAAGTAGGTTGCTCGCCTTCGAGGAATCGCTGTATCATCAACGATAATGTCAGGATAATAGCTTTTATAGACTCGCAGCAGCCCCCAAAGCTCTCTTTCATCACCACCCGTGTTGCGGATTAGCTCCAACAAGGCCCATACACGGAATGGTTTGACATGTTTCCTCCGGGTGATGAGCGAGAGTAGATGGCAGATCGGGCGGCGCAAACTAATCATATCCAAGTTATCAAAGAGGATGCTATAAAATTTCTCTAGGTGAATCTGGTTCACTAGGCAATCATAGACCAGTAGAACCCATCTCAAAAGCAAATTTTGCGTCGCTGGAGACGGTTTTGATTTTGTGGCTCCGAGAGAGCAAATCACTCGGGACACAACTTTTGCTGGAACTCTCTCAGCGGGGTATAAATTTTTGATTATTGAAGTCACAATTGACAGATCAAGGTGCCTAGATGACACGACAACGTTCAGTATACGATCTAGTATGTTTGTTTTCAGCCCAGAATCAAAGGCCGAAGAAACTATCACTTTCACCAGCTCAGCAACAGCTGTATGTCGCTGCTTTGCAGGCACATTTGCAACTTAATCTAATTAGCGCAATTCCATCGGTAGTTAAAATAATAAAAGTCGAATTTACCACTCTCGAGCTGCTCTACAGCTTCTTCTAATGTCCAAGTCATTGTAGTATATATTTTCTTCGATTGTTCTCATGTTCGCTGGTTGCTTGACTTCTGTGTTGATGATTATCGCGTTTCTTACGCGCCCTGAAGGAACAAAGTTCGCCTAGTGAGAGTCATATTTTTGCTTACATAATCCACAACATCTACATACTACGATGAAACGAAGATGCATTACGAGAATTGCGCGAATGAAGGTATAATATATCTAAGTACCCTATGCTGAACTCTGAGATAAGAAGGGAAAGTGTCCATAAAAAGGAACCCAGAGATGGGAGTTGGCGGCACAGAGATACATGAGATGTAAATGGGGAAACACTAAGAAGACATCGGAAGGAGAATAAAAATATACGGTAAGTTCATCAATCAAAGCATGACTCGGCCGGCGTGGGAATAGTAAATAAGTATATAGCACATGGCGAGCCGAAAGTATATCCATGCTCAGCTCAATGGGAGCCATTCGCAGGCTCGTGGATGGTTGTCCAGTCGTTCAATCGAAATGAGCCTCTGGGATTATTGCCATGACCTCTGGTGCGAGATCTAGTTGGTGCACTGTTGCCATCTGACGTGGACGATCTGCTTGAAGCTCGTGTCGACGGAGTCGTTGGTGAGAATACCGCGAGCGTTGCGGTCAGTAGCGGTGAGCCTAACTTGGGAGTTGATGTTCAAAGCACCGTTAGCTCCACATGGAGACCAGACAGTAGAGGTCTGGTTGGCCTCGTCGTGAAGGATGTAATCCTTGTCAATTGGGCCCTTCCATGTGGTGCTTGTGGAGGTCTGTGTAATACGTTAGTGTATAGCTCAAACCCTGGAAAAGTAAGGAAAGAGAGAACTAACCTGCTCGGTCTGACCAGAGAAGTAGTAGATGGACTTCTGGGTACCAGATACACCCTTTTCAAGGTTTGCGTAGCCACGGTAATCGGCAGAGAAGACAGAGAACTGGAATCCACCTGGGTAGCGGAGATTGATGTTGAGTTGGCAGTTCTTGCGGTTCTCCTTGGTGTTGACACCTGGTCCAATCTGAGCCACATATTGATCAAAGATGAGGGTCATGATTTGGCGGTCGTCGGACAGAACATGGCTCACGGTGCCATCAGGACATCCAGTGCCGCCATAGGTGACACCAACAATGTGAACCTTGTCTGGGTCAGGAGCGTTGCCGCCACCGTTATCTGGAGGGAGATCAGCGCGCTTTTCGACGCCACGAGTTGGAACGCTACCACCGGGGAAGTTGGGGAGGTCCAAGGTGCGAGTGCCTGGAGTTCTGTCACCTTCAACTGGCTGGGCGGTAACAGCAAGGGCCTGGGCCAAGAGAGCAAGAATAGCTGCAGACTTCATCTTGAGATGGAACAATGTGTTGACTAATTCTCAGGTGGTGAATGAGAGAGATATTGGTATCGAGCTGAGATGCAAGGGAAAGAAATAAATGGAACATTGGGGAGACGCATTGGGTTTATATAACTTTTCTCTGGGATATGGCCAGGATAGACAGATCAGGTCAGGGTAGTATCGAACGATAGCGGATATCCTCTATAGACCACAAGTTCGTGTTCATCTTCCGACCGTACGCGAGGTCAAACCCCCATTAGAGGTGTCCAGAGGGAACCAATATCTGAGAGCGTTGCATCTTCGTGACCCAAACCAGCCGTCCAGTATCCCACCTGACCGCAGCTTTCACAGAATATGGCCAATGCCAAGTCACTGGAGCCAGGCTTTGCGTATGGAAGACGGGGAAACGTGGAGACGCCACTATGCATGCAAAACGATGGCTGTCCTCTTTCGCCAACGGAAGTTAAAAAAAAAAAAAAAAAAAATTCCAATGCATCATTGTTATCAGAAATCTAATTTCCGCTCCAGCTGCTAGTAAAACTAGACTGGATCCTCTCACGGCACAGCTGAACAGCTGATATGTCAGGTCCAGCGGATAATAAAATAATATGAATAACAAGAGAAAGGAGAAGTGGACTGGACCCCCAGGACCATGCGTGCGTTTGCTGCGCCAAAGTTAAACGTGCCAGCACGGTTCACAGGACCCAGCACCAGCAGGCCGGCAACCCAGGCAGGGAGTACGAGATGGTGCGAGGGGAGCCTTGCATCCCCGGAAGAGGCCATGAGGAATAAACGGAGCAGTCAACTGCTTTTTTATGCCCAGCCTTGTGCAGAGTCCGCGAGATGGAGAAACCTGGGGTAACCCCAGAACCGAAGGGCGGTTTCAGGTAGAAAGAGCCCTCCCGGTCCATGACTCAAGGTCAGCCTTTTGAACGCCGGCACAATAACCATCAAAACATCATATCTGAGTGAGAAGAGACGGCCATCTAGAGAATTCTGGTATCTAGAGTCTCCCTTTTCGCTGCGATGTCGATGTTGATGTCGATGTTTTGCAGATCCGACGATCAAACTCCACGAGCTTAATCGCGGCTGCGGGTCTTGGCGCGGGTGATTATTAATCCGGGAGATGAACATGTGCCAAGACCCTGCTGTTCATGTGACTTGTTTATATTAAAAAGAGGCAACCAGCAACATCGTCGAGCACGTCAACAACGCCGGGACATCTGAGAAGACATCAAGACATCCAAGACGGCGGATGCATCTAAGAGCATGCATGGTATCACCCTCGTCCCTGTTTATCTCGCTTCAATTAACTTCTGCTGATAAACATCACATAGCACTAATATCTGGGGGTTGAAGTCCTCAGCAGTCTATTATACTTTTCTCGCCTCTGCACAGGACGGGGTTGCTTGCTCACCCTTGGCCGTTTTCAGGCGCATTTCCGAGGACACGGAAGAGTTATGTCGTGGCCAATATGCTAGTCTAGGGGATCCCAGCGTCAGGCTGCCAAATTAACCGCGCACCAAGTCCATGACGTTCGCCCTTTTTTAGTCAGGTACGCGGGACTTTGGTCTGCGTGCGTTCTTCTGATGTTCAAGTAAGCATTCGATCAGCGCCCAAGGGGAAGCCGTTACTTGTCGGATTTTAGGGTATGTAATATGGAGTACACCACCCTCTGGGAATCACAGAGGAGTTCTGTATGGCGGGCTACCCCGCTCAGGCTCAATGCTGAATGAAGTCTGTTATGCATCTCATGCTAGGATAGCCTTCCCCTTGAGCCGCGGATTCCCATGCAGCATTTCCCTGATAACGGTAAATCAAATGGGGCCTAAAGCTACTCCGCAAAGTACTCAAGGATATCAAAGGCTGTCTAGGAAAGTCAAAAGAGACAACTCCGGGTGGCTGTATATGCTTTTGTTATGAAAGTCTACCAAGGAAGACTTGCCTGACGCTTCCTCCATGGCTAAGGCACTACCCCTGGCAATTTGCTGGCCAGATGTAAAAACCCGAAATTCCAGAATCATGGTAATGATGATCGCCCTCATGCACGCTATGGAGCTGCAAGTGTACTAGACTAGTTAGACCACCCCTGAAACACTCAGGCTGTATGAAGGACGTAAAACCACCCCTCTCGCTCTTCCTCAAACCGGTAAAGCTAAGCTACGGAGTACTGCTCGTGGCACCATCTTCAGTCTCTGGAGTAGAGTTTGGATGAATGGGATTTTGTCTCTGGGACTGTGGGGAGGCGGCTGGGTATGTTTACATCGTCTTATTCTATGTGCAGGGTTGTCAGCGACGATCTTGCTATTTTGATTCTTGCAAGTACAGGGGCGGCAGGAAGGATATATTGGTCTCGGAATACGGCCTTTGAGAAGGTATACTGCTGGCTCTCATTACCTTGCATAATGGGGTGTATTTCGTGCTTCGTATAAGACTGCCTGTTCTGTCTCATCCACCCTTTACTTCGTCGGTAATGATGTGTGTGGGCAGGGGCTTACTCGTGTAAATGAGATATCCTATTCAATTGTTACAAAGTTTTCCGGTTCGAATACTGTAGGGCATATGTATACGGTGTATTATTAGGTTGTAACATGGGTGGTATAGTATTAGCAAGGGGGTTGTACTCATTATGACTATCCGTGTGTTAAATTCAATATTTCTATCGGGCCCGAAGGTTGTCAAAAAAACTATACTCGATATCAACAGGGAGAAGCCATGGGCTATGCCCTCATTAAGACAGGGTATGCGGTGATATTATTATGTATGGGCAGAGGAATGCACCACTTCTGGTTATCAACAGGTGCTGCACTATTGGGGACATTAACCGATTATTTCGTATATATGGTTTTTTTTAGAATGAATGATACCTTTCCTGATTCCCGTAATGCTCACATGGGAGAAGAAGGAATACTAGATGGCTGCTGGGACGGAATGGCCCGTTAGAATTAAGCACTGATTGCAGTCTACTTCCTTTTCCGCATAGACCCCTTTGATGACGCCTTTGCAGAAGAAGAAGCCTCGCTCTCACCCGCTTTGACTGCGGGAACGGACGGTTCTACTGTCTTCGAATCGCCACCGGAGGTATTCTCCTCGCTCTTCCGAGTAGCTTGCACCTTCTCCTCTTCTTCGTCGTCATCTCCTCCTTGGCCAAATTCGTTGACTCGTGTGTAGTCAACTTTATACTTCCAGCTTTGATAGAGCCAGATGAAGAAGATAACGTCATCTCGAAGGGTTGCAAGTCGATGCAGTGTTGGCATCTTGATGGTGAATGCAAATAAGTCATCGATGAATGTGTTCAAAAACTTGTAAGTGAGCGCTTTCCCAGGCATATGTGCAACGGACTATTTCCATACTGCGTTAGCTAAAGCGATTTCTCTAGATCTTTTGTTTAACAGGAGCGAAAACTCCACTTACCTTGAGACGATAGTTGATATACAGGCTTGGGACCATCATGAGGAAGCCATAGGCATAGACACTACCAACAAGCGTCTCAATAATATAGGAGTACCATGATTTGTGGGTTTCATACAGCAGGCTGTATATGGCGTAGCCGATCAATAACGGAACGGCCGCAATGTACAACCATTTGAATGCTATTTCATCGTACTCTTGAGTTTTCTTCTCGGTCTCACTAAGCTTGTGTTTGTCCTCGAGAACAATGATATATGGGAGGAATGAGAGATATGAGTTAGCTGGCGGGGGACGAATGCGGACATTAGCCGACTTTGTGATTTTCCAAGCTTCAACGACTATACCAAAGCCTTGACCGCCGAGGATCATCCATGATGTATTCTCATTATTGTCAAGCAGGTACAAGAAAATGATCAGCTGCATGAAGACATTTGCAATGATTGTACGGACAGAAGTTCCAACGACGTCCTTCTTCTTCCTCCAGTGGGACTAGGAAGTAGGTAAGTATTCGCCATTCAAATTTGTACATAGCCATAGTGCTAACGGGGATACGTCACTTACAATATCATTCTTGAAAGCGAGGAACTCGAAGATCGTATGCAAAACACCAACAACACCGGTGGTGATAAGAAGATAAATGTTGGTATCCAAAAGCACTTCCTTAATCATCTCAACTTCGCTCCCATCACCCGACGTAGGTGGGATTGGGCCCCCAAAGGCCGCCTGGTGCTGCTTCTGCTTGGAATCATCCTCAATGCTAGACATTATAGCAAACTGCCATTGCTTGACGGTGTTCAAGGTGATGCGCAGTGGAACTTCGTTGACAGTGGAGTTGAGCTCTGTCATATGGTTTCTAAGCTGCCAGAAACGATTGAAGAAGAAAGTTGGATAATACCAGCCTACCTCCCCGGAGCCATCTCTGGCACCGGTCCGTTCCAACTGAAGGAACCGGCGAATAGAGGGATGAGTGGACTGGAAACTTATAGCCCCCTGGTCAGGAACGAGAGATACAGTGAGATTTGGGTGATAAAACGAGCCAATCTTCACTAATTTCGGCTCTTCTTCAACCACTTCAGTCTCATTAGCTGCATCCAATAGGTTCCGGAGCTTTTTGGTTTTCTTTTTTGGTAGATACTGGTTAACTGGGTGAGAAAAGTTATACGCTGTGTCAGAGCTATAGCCTTCCTCATTCGAGTACTGCGGATGTCCCGAAAGCGCAACAAAAAAGTGAGCCCAGAGGGTCTCATTATTCTGCACTGCCTTTGGGATGAACAGAGTGGTACTTATTTCTCGAAGCTCCTTTGTGTCTGCAGTATCGAATCCCTTCTCATCTAGTACCTTGCTATCCTTTGGGAGGGGGAATGTAGTAGACGGCGTAACGTGTATCGCAATGTCTAGTTTGCTGTCTGGTTCCCACATCGGCACAGCCTTGACGGGAAAATAAGTCGCGTTTGTAATTGTGTCTTGGTCGGGTCGTTCGGCGAATTTTGGGAAAGAGTTCTTCACAGCAGTTGCACCGCCAGCGCCATTGGGTGCATTCCAATAGTTCATAGCCTTCGTCAGCACGAACTGGGAGACCACTAGCATGACAAACCCCTTTAACATGGGCTGGAGGGCCGACTATAGCTTGTGAGAGCTTGCGTTAGCCTTGTCTATGTAGAAAGTGGTTCCCAGATGGCCAACTCACGGTCTCCTCCTCCTGCCGCGCATTACCTCTGAGTGCTTCTGGCATCTTTGCTGTCGAAGCAAGCCTCGAGATAGCTATCCAAAACTAATCGAGTCTCGCGGCGTGCGTTGTCGAGACGAAGGTGTTGTTGAAGGTCGTGGCAGAAGCGCCAGATATCTTTTACGTTATCGCCCGAGGTGCGAGAAACAGCCAATGAGAGCGCAACGTCCCGCCGCAACCCAGCGATAAACCAAGATCGCCATTGGAACCAAAAGAGCCGCCGCCGCTTCAAACTCCGACGAAACAACCGACATGCGACTGGCTCTTTGACCCTGTTCGACGCTGAGACAGATACACACGCCGTGGCCGGCCGGAGTCACTCTTCCGCTGGGCCTCGAGATGGGCTTTCAATCTACCCGCAAAGCGAATCGATAATGGAAAACAACCTCGCAGGCACAGGAGCACCACCAGCGCCATCGGCCGCTGCAACAGCTTCAGCAGCAGGCCAATCCCAATTCCCGGCACATGAGAACCCGCGAGTCTGGCTGTTCTCCTCTGGCGACTCTCCCATAGGAATCTCGTTAGCTCGCCAGATCCTTGCGCATGGCGACTACGTGGTTTGCGGCCGCTGTCCAGCAGACTCTGAACGAGAAAATCCCAGGGCCACTGCTTTCGAGAACTTCCTGGAAGAGCTAGAGAATGCGGAACCGGGCCAGGAGACTAGCGGCTGGAAGGAAAGATTTGATGTTGTGAATCTTGATATCAGGTATGAATGGAGTGGCATATAGCTTCAATGACAGAAAACTAGGGACATATGGCGAGACGCGGTTCTCATGACAAAAGGCTAACTTAGATGTCTATAGGATAATGAGCGACTGTCAGGCTGCAATTGCTAGCACAATAAACAAATACGGGAGAATTGACATCGTTCTCTGCTGCACAAGCCAAGGTGAGCCCGTCGAACCCTCCCCTGAGTTGCTTCTACTCGAACGGTAGTTGCTGACATGAGCGTTGGTAGCCGTCATTGGATCTGTTGAAGAGCTCGCAACTTCAGAGCGTGCAAGGATGCTGCTGAAAGACCAGTTTGAAACTAATTACTTTGGACCTGTGAACTTGATCAAGTCTGCTCTTCCGCAAATGCGGCTCCAGAGATCCGGGCATCTGATGGTCCTAGGTGGAATAAGTAAGATTACTATCCTCAACTACACGAACCCCCCCCATCGCGCAATATATACTAATGGAATAATAGCCGGACATATCGGAACACCTGGCCTTGGAGTATACTGTGCCGCAGAATGGGCATTAGACGGTTATTGTGACGTGAGCTATATCTGTCAAACCCCTCCTCGAGACAATATATTAATATTTGCAACAGAGCCTTGCATACGAGGTGGCGCCATTCAATATCCGAATCACAATCCTCCAAAGCAGCGTTGAGATAGGGGTACTGTCCAATCTGATCACCAGCGTTCCGCCACTTGACGCCTACAATCCAGCCCAGAACCATGCACCCCTTTTCCGAAGAATCATGAACAGCGTACTTTCCCAGCTTCCGGGTTTCAGCGGGTATGCCCGGTCAGCCCATTTCCCGCAAAGTACACAGGCGCCGTTATCTTCTCCAGGAAGTGTGAAGCAAGAGTCTACAAAGGAGAATGATGAGCCTCTCTCCGCACCTTCTGGCGTCTCACTTTATCCGCCACTCGGCTCTGAGCATCTGGAAATGCTTATGGGGGAAACCATGTATGCTGTCACTGCCATTGGAGGCCATGAAAACCCGCCTGCCAGGCATATAGTTGGAGCGGAGTCGGTTGCATGTGTGAAGGAGAAACTGAAGACGGTCAGCGAAGAGCTAGAAGACTTCATCGAGTGCAGCTGTGCTGTGGATATTAATAGCACAGAGAATCCTTCTAGGGTCACGAGCGACGAGGCAGTGGTCCAGCCTGAGTCTTAAAGTGGCTTTGTAGATATATTTTAGCTATGTGACATCATGGCCTTATGTTCATGTATATACTTACGATGGTGTAGACCCAAAACATGAAATGGTACAACTGCAGCCTTTCGTATTCATTAATCAATTCCTAAAGATATGCCAAGACCATTTACTCCGGAAATAGTACCGCGGAACGAGCCCCATATGAATTGGTTCATTTGACAAATCTATCCAGGATGAGCCATTATCGTACAAAGGGTAATTCAGGGATCTGGGACATATTCAAGCGTTTCCAATTTCTTTTGATAGTGACATCCTGCGGGAGATACACTACGAGTAGCATCCTGGCAATCAACAAGTATTATTAGTTAGACCCGGTATCTTGCCTCACCAATACCAAGCCAGCATGCCTTCATCAACGTCATATTCATCGTTTTGATCGGGTATACCAGCTGTGCCGGACCTCCCAAAGTGTCCCCATGTCCTGGTTGTTTCTGATGCAGCGGAAAAGCATCCATGCATTTGCGACTCGGGCAGACGATTCTCGGCCATCAAGTTCGTGAATCTTTCTAATCAAAGACATAGGTCCTGTGACACCTGGAAATATTACTGGCTCGACGCTATTGGAGCTTTCAGGAACAGGGGCTTCTTTTCCCTCGGAAGGAGAGCTCGTTTTATCTGGCACTCCCAACATCGCCGCGTGTTTCGTGCTGAGAGTACCAGGAGATCCAGTACTTGGCTGATTCGATGTTTCTGGCCAAATATCTGGTGTTCTGGTTTTTGTTTGAGTATTGTCGTCCGTATCGACTTTTGGATGTACAGAGGCTTGACCGTTGGACTGGCTGGTATGTGCTTGGTGAGATATTTCGGAGACTTGCGGCTCAGTTTCCGTTGCGATTGCTGTTTCCATAAGTGTGGGAGATCCATGTCTATCATCTTTTGGTACAAATGGGTGAGACAGTTCGGACCGAGTACTATTTGTAGCATCGGTATGACCAGTTGGCAGCACCCCTACGACCGCAGCTTCAGGCTTAGTAGAGGGTGTAACTTTTCTAGGACCGGAAGTATCTGCCTTTAAATTAAACGGCACATATGGAGTATTTGAAGGTGGTAAAGGTCCAAGCTCTTGTAAAGATCTGTGGAAATCCACATCATCTATTTCATCAATCATATCTGGTGGATCAGACATGATACTGCAGTCATCACTATCATCTAGAAGTTCTTCAATAAAGGGCTTTCCTAAAAAGCGCATTTTCGTATTGCCATTGATTTCCTTGGCTGTTTCTGATTCAATACTGGGAGTAACATCGTCGAATGTGCCAATGTCCATAGCTGTATCAAAGCCTGAATGGTTCTGGGGTATAGATGTCTCAACAATTGCTTTGTTGTCAATACAGCTTTCATTTTTGGTTGAGGACTGGTTAGGTTCTGCTGCGAGGTTCGCGGTGAGAACACTCTGGTTGTTACTCATTATATATTCCTGGGCAATACTTTGGTCTTGGTCACAAACTTGAGGCTGTGTCGAAACAGCTTGTGACGTACCTGTATTCGAAACCTCTTCTGAGCTAGTTTTATGTTCAGTTTTGACCTTGGGTTCAACTGAAGGCTCTGGCGCCGGCGAAGCCACTGGCTGACTCTTGGTCAGTGAAGGCATGAACACGCGCCTACCAGGAGGAATAGCAAAGGTAAGGGTCTCTCCATCCAAGCTCACAACCTGATAGTATACTATGAGCCAAGGCCTAATCATGGGGTGGGAGGGGGAGAGAGTAAACGCAAGACATACAGCTACCTCCTTCTCAACCAGAAACTTTCCCGCCCCTTTTCCCTGAGAACGCGAGTACTTCCAAACGTCTCCCACTTCGAACACACCGTTGGTAACTAGCGTTTTGAAATCGACTGTCGCACTATCACCAGCTGGCACATTGGTGTGATAGCGCTGTTTCTGTCCCCAGAATGCCTCAAAATCTCTCTCTTTTTTCGCATCAAACTTTCCCTCAGCCCTTTCTTGTACTGCTTTATGTGCCTGCTTCTGCCATTGCGGGTCATATTTTCCGTTCGCCAGATCTAGTTGGAATTGACGGGTTGCATCACGCCAAACGGTTGAGCGCAGAAACTCTTCGGAGAGAGGTGGAATAATCCCCTCTGGATTCTCAGCAGAAGGTTCTGCATCCGGATGTACGCTCTCGGGAAGTAGGGAAAGAATTTCTTTCTTCTCTCCTTCGTCTAGACACGTCCATGCCTCGGGTTTGGCGAACAGTTTCTAACATCAATCAATCAGCCAAATGCAACACTCAGATCCTCAAAGTTCATACCACCACATACCGCCAAATCAATGTCGACAAGAGGAGATTTCTCACTTGTCATCACAAACTCGTCATCAACCCATGGATTCTTCTTAGTTCCTCTAGCGGTCTTGCGCTTATTGGAGGCCGTTTTGGGTGGCATCTTCCGCTTCGTCTCATTTGAAGATCGAGCTGTCGATTTTGTATGAGTCGCATCGTCCAGCACACCTGCTGCGCACGCTTACCAGTTTCCAGACCGTAGCATATTCCAACTTCCTAGTGAAAGCAAACAGTCAAGAGCCAATAAAAAAAAAAAAAAAAAAAAAAAAAAGAAGAAGAAGAAGAGTAAAAATCAAAAAACAGTCCTTCTTGTATCGTCGCGAATGTTGTTGGAGTTGTTGTTGGTGTTGAACTTACAGCTTTTGGGGGGAGCTTGTTCTGCCGCCCGACACCGCCTTGCGCTCTCATGTTGTTCTCGTCAAGTAAATAAAAAATAGTAATATCTGGCTTCAAGAAAGAAGAAAGCAGTCAACCGTCAGTTAACTGCGGATTAAAGGACAGCTTATTTCCGCCGAAGTGAATAATAAGAGTCGTCAATATGGTCATATCAACACAGATTTCCCGGCTGGACGGTGGGTAGTGTTCTGTGTCTGGACCTGTGAGGGTGTTGAAGCTGAGATGTTTGTCCTCTTCTAGGCTTGATGCTTGCGGCTTCTGTAGACAATGAACAGGTGCGTGTGTTGCTGCAGGATGTGGACTCTTGAAAGAAATTGAATGCGCTAACGAGTTATCTATAGGCCGAGTCAGAGCTGTCGGATGTTAAGTCGCAGACCAAAGAGATAGTTGCGCGGCTGAATCGCAACTCGGAGCAACAAGCTAGCATATCGTCGGGGCGCTACAGTCTACAGTATGGAGATGGATTTCCTAAGGAGATACCGGGTCATGAGGAGATATCAAACGTGGATGCTAACTTGGCTGCTCTAGTTACATTATTCAGGACGACATCTGCTTCCTATGCATCGCAGAGCAGTCGTATCCCCGCAAACTCGCCTTTTCATATCTATCCGATATTGCAACAGAGTTCTTTAACACCTATTCTCCAACAAGATATCTCTCTTCCTCTTTACGACCATACGCCTTTGTCGAGTTTGACTCCTTTATTCAACGAACCAAGAAGTCGTACCAAGATAGCCGAGCATCCCAGAACATCGACAAACTGAACGATGAACTAAAAGATGTCACTAAGGTGATGACAAAGAATATAGAAGACCTCTTGTACCGGGGTGATAGCCTGGAGCGCATGGGTGAAATGTCTGGGAGGCTGCGCGAGGACAGTAAGAAATACCGAAAGGCTGCTGTTCGGATAAACTGGGAATTGTTGATTAAACAGGTATGGCCTGCCTATCAGTTCATTCGCCCGCACTGTAGAGGCTGGATGATACTAACGCAGCTCGATAGTACGGTCCTTTTGCGGGAGTTGGCTTCATCTTTATCCTTCTCATCTGGTGGCGGTTCTTCTAGTGCAGTATTAATGTCCATAATCATACTCACCAAAATGCCTTCCAGACGACGATGCTATTGCTCACAATGTTGTAGCCTTTTGTGTAAGCCCTCGCATGTCCTGTTATCAATGGATCATGGAATTTCCGAGGGTTTTTTGCTTTTCCCTTGCCGGCAATTGCTGATTCTGCTTAGATTTCGTCCTCTTCTTCATCGAAGTCGTCTTCCTCGCCCATGTCATAGAGGATACGCCCACCCTCTCCGGGGCCGTCACCCTTCTGGGCATCGAAATAAGGCAGCACCACATTATCTCTCTCTCTCCGCTGTCTTTCGGTTAGGCCAAGTTCGAAGGTTGATTCGGGCTCCCATGATTCCTCATTCACTTCATTGTCCTTCCGTTTATACAGTGGATGGTCATCAAGCAAAATGACCACCTCCGTAGCTTGTTTGGCAGAGTATTTAGATGCATGTGGCAGAAAATACCACTCGACTATGCCACGTCCGCTCTTCCGCCTATGTTCCATTTCTAGGACAATTCCATCTTGTTTCTCGCCCTTCAAGTGTTGGTTAACTCTTCCAATCAAAACACCGTCGACTTCTTCCTCCAGTCCAAATACTGGAGGTGCCAGGCTTCTATCTATAGCCGCCTTTCGAGCCAGCATCTGAGACATTGAATGGGTGGTGATTATTGTCGTGGCTAGGTATGTCAACAGGGAGAGCGGTGATGGGGAGTACGGATTCGAGCTGGGTGAAGATGGTATATGACGGTGGTAAACCAAAACAAGAGAGACTTGCACATGGGGTGAAGCAGGCCCCAACAGTGAGCTGAGGTATTCAGGCAGATAAACAGTCTTTGCGCCAGCTCTTGGAGAAAGCAATGGATGTACTGAATCAACTATAACGAGGTATCCTAAGGTCTGTGCTTTAGCAGATTGAACAAACAAAGTCTTCTTCGAATACTTACTTTTGGGAGTGATATTCTGGTTTCCTGTAGGCTGGGAGGCAGTATAAGACGATGTCACCTCTTCTGCGATCAGCTCGTATGGCTTTCCAGCAGCGTTTATGAATGTATCAGCCCCAGCCGGGCGGGTCAATGTATCGAAGGAGACGAAGGTTACATGTCCTTTAGATAGCTAGTGGAAAAGCCGTCAGACGCACTACTCTAAATCATAGCTATAGGGGGGAGCTCAGGCATAGATACTTTGGTTCGTCGAATGTATTCCTTTAAGAGCGGAGCGGCTGGCTGCTCCAGCGAGTCTTGCACAAGAGTCAACGGCGCAGCACCCTCTCGGAGGTTGAGCAGCTTCGATATCAGCAGCAAGTTATGGGTTCGACGGTGAGACACATCATTAGGAGCCATTTCAGCAAGCCCTTACTCCTCTGTATATTGCTGTAGTTCTACCTAGCAAGGTTGTTGTGTCTTGTGTCTATCAAATCTTTCTCTGCCCGCAAAATCACAAAAAGAAAATCATTGAAGCACTTTTGGCCTTTTTCGTCCGCCGTAGAAGTTTTTCGTTCATTTTCAATCTTGCAAGCATGCAACGAGGAAGCAAACAAAACACTTGAACCCGTGTTAAGCAGCAGCATAGAGAGATTCAGGTGATATCAGCAGCTATTCGCTATAGCTTTGTCCCTTATTTTCACCGAGATAACTACCGTTGTGATTGTGGATTTTCACCTCATGCTTGACACTATGGTCGAACCACCAGCCAAACGCGCCAGAAGGACAGACAGCTCAGCAATGTGGGATATGAATGATAATACCACGCGGTCCGATGGTGAATCTAAAGAGCCTAGTTCTACTCCGAAAAAAATGGCAGCGGGCAGTGAGGAGGTCTCCAGGAATGGTCCCAAAGGGGAGCGACGAGTGCGATCTCGATCGCGATCTCGGGACAGAGGGGAGAGACGACGAGACAGAAGCTGGTCAAGGGACAGACGAGCACGAGATTACCCACGAGATACCCGGAGAGATCTTGACAGAGATGGTAGAGGCGGCAAAGGCAGAGAGCGGAGCTTGAGCAGGGACAGATACAGCTCTCGTCGCGGTATGTGTATATTGACACCCTACACACGCTCACTAATTCATGAGTGGTATAACAATAGAGTGCTGATATGATGCTGTATATATAGAATACACTTCTAGGTCCAAGAGACACCGCGAGAGATCTATCAGCAGGTCGCCGTCGAGGTCACGATCTCCTGCACGAAATGGCCGCAGGGCCCGCTCACGGTCACCTACCCGTAGGGGCGGGCCTGATCGGGGAGATGCAAAACACAGCCGACGTCGAGGAGACAGCATCGAACCTAATGGCCTGTCTGGATATGCACGACCGTCCACCAAGTCCGGCCGGCAAAACGAAATGGAGGTAGACATACCTGACGATCCTGACGACCTAGACCAAGTGATGATGAAGGCCATGGGGTTCTCATCCTTCAAGAGCACGCAAAACACTAAAGTCCCTGGGAACAACGTCTCCGGTGTTCGAAAAGAGAAGAAGACACAGTACAGACAGTACATGAACCGTGTGGGAGGATTCAACAAGCCGCTGAGTCCAACTCGATAATAGCACTGTTTTCTCCTTTCTTATATCTATCCGCCTTTTTTGAAACAGCATTCTGAGCGTTATTTCTTTTCTTTCTTTTTACTGTTTTCATACACTATCTACACCTGGGCGACCAGTGAGAGTTCTGAGCTTGTTTGTTGCTAATTTTATGGCCTTTTCTTGCCTTTACTTCTGGGATATGACCACCATTTGTATAATTAGAGATGCTGCAGCATTTGAGAAATATACCCGATTTTATTTTATCCGTTGTCCTTGCTGTTTTCGAATCAGTTCGATATACGGGGCTGCGGTTGTGGATTCTCCCTTTTCGCGGGGATCGAAGAAATATTTTTACGACGTCATAGGTAAAAGGCACAACCTTTTTTGACTACGAACGGAGGAGAGAGACATCTAACCTTGACAGGAGAAAACGCCGCTGAGGACGTTGATACAGTTTAATTCTCGGTATATGCAGTACTATCTCGAGAACACCTTAGAGTCACCAGCGAGAATGACCGATATTGGCAGGGAGCGGGACATTGTCATTATCGGTAGGCTTCACCCCCTACCTGGCCTGATAATCAGACACAAGTCTAACATCTAATTTACCAGGCGGCGGGATAATTGGATGCTGCTGCGCCTATTTCCTAACAAGACATCCTTCGTACGATCCATCAAAACACAGAATAACAATTCTCGAGGCCTCGGAGATTGCTGGCGGAGCGTCTGGCAAGGCTGGCGGGCTGCTAGCACTGTGGGCATATCCCAAAGTAATCGTCCCTTTGAGCTACCAGCTACATGCCCAACTAGCCAAAGAGCATAGCGGAGTAGACAGATGGGGATATAGAGAAGTTGGATGTGGACAGCTTATCGCAGATGGTCGGGCCAGAAACCAGGCTGACAAGTCGAAGCCCGGCAAAGCGGCGGTCTCTCTGGGAAAGAGAAGCGATGATGCCATGGCAACGTTGAAGGCTGCCGGGTTTCCAGAAGACCTTGACTGGTTTGATCCTGCAGTGCTAAGAGCGTACGAGGAGATGGGAGGCAAGGGAACCACCGCACAAGTGCATCCGTACCTTTTTACGACTTCAATGGCAAAACTGGCAGAAGAGAAGGGCGCAAAAGTTGTCCTGGGCACGGTTACTGATATTGACTACTCAGAAGGCCCTGTTAAGTCTTTAACATATCAAAGCAAGGCCACTGGTGCTACGAAGACTATCACTGCTACAGACGTTATCATTTCAGCGGGCCCCTGGACATCAAGGATATTCCCACCAGCCCCAATCGAAGCCCTTCGAGCACATAGTGTTGTCCTACGTCCAACACGCCCTGTCTCCGCATACACTCTATTTACCGAGATCACTCTTCCAGTGGGACAGTCCAAGTCAGGCAGACTATCTGCAACCAGCCCTGAAATCTACGCTCGGCCTGACAACACCGTATACGCCTGTGGAGAAGGAGATACTTTGGTACCTTTACCATCATCTACAGCTGATGTTGAGGTTGATCAGTCCAGATGCGAAGACATTATCAACGCAATTGGAAGTGTGTCTGACCAGTTACGGGATGGAGAGGTACTGGTCCGGCAGGCCTGCTATCTTCCTAATGTAGCTGGCACCGGCGATCGAGGAAGCCCCCTTATCGGCAAGACTAGGACAGAAGGCTTGTATCTAGCAACCGGCCATACCTGCTGGGGCATCCAGAACGCACCGGCAACAGGCAAGCTTATGAGCGAGTTTGTTTTCGACGGCGATGCTAAGAGTTTGAATATTTCTTCTCTGGATCCTCGCAAGGTGGTATAGAAGAATCCTTTCTGCTGTTTGGCGTCGACGCTTCATGGAGGTTTCTCTAGAGGGCAATCATTTGACTAGTTATCAGTTTGATAACATTTGTATAGATGAATGACGTCACTATAGCTTATGATTTCCTATAGTTCCATATGTCCTTGATCTCAAGGGTTAACGTTATAGGCAGGTTCCTTATATGTTCACGATCTATATCAAATGCTATATGCGCGACAAGCAAATGTATCCTTAGGCCCCCATAAGATACGTCAATTGGATATTCTGAGCAAACAACTATCCAAGGTCTATTTTACCTACCTAGGTGTTTGAGGGTCTGGCCCACCTACGATCTTAAAACGGACCATCGTATCTCCGGCGGTTGTGTTTGGCTGCAAATGGGGACACGTCAAGACATCGATTACTCTTAAGTAGATGAAAGGCAGGGCCGGACCCATTGATATCTAAGCTTGAACGGCTTATGACCTGCTGGCTAATGACGAGGTCGGGGCAAGCGGTCAACATGGCTGCTGTATCTTTTCTGTGGGTTTGTATTCTCTTCGTGCTGGGCCCCGTTGCAGCTGAGGATACAGCTGCCGCTGCCCTGGCCGTGGATACGGCATTGAACCAGACGTTACTATGGGGTCCCTATCGTCCTAATTTGTATTTCGGAGTGCGCCCGCGGATTCCAAAGAGCTTGCTTATGGGGTTGCTGTGGGCAAAGGTCGACAATTACCAGACAGCTCAGGAAAGTATGTAAACAGGGCTGCGTCTCGAGCGAAGATGAACTCTACTACGAGATTAGTGATTTGCATAAAAGCTAACTCGATGCTATAGATTTCAGGCATACCTGTGAGCAGAATGAAGGAATGGAGGGCTATGGTTGGGAGGAATATGACATCCGAAACGGCGGCAGACAGACCATACACGATTCCCGCAATACACTTGACCTTACGATAGACTTCGTAAAGATCCCGGGGGGAACAGACGGCGGTAGCTGGGGTGCTCGCATTAAGGGAGTACCTCGTCCCGATGCACCTCCTAATCAGCCGACAACATTGATATTCTATGCTGGGTTGGAAGGACTGGGGAAGCTGGGACTGCACAATGAGCCCAATGAGCTTGGATATGCAGGAGATGTCAGGCTTGGGGGAAACGCAATAGGCTTGGGTGACTTTACTATTGATATCACCCGTGGTCCGGATACCAACACTTATCCTGAGCGGATGCACCCAAGCTATGATGACAAGCCATTGGACAGAACGATTGTTTCAAGCATGACCGTCCCGCCAGAGGCACTTTGGCAGGGAAAGAGTATGAGACCACGCTTTCATTTAGCTGACTTTGAAGTGCTGCTAATATTTCTGATACTGCTATAGCTATACTCTTCACGCAGATGAAAAAATATATTGAAGCTGCCGTAGAGAAGTTTGGAGAAGGGAATGTACCTCCTCCTCCGGCATTGCTCACCCTTACAAATACTCAGGGCGGAGGTAACATTCACTATATACAGAAAGTCTTCCGTGGATCTTTTGAGGTATGTAACCGTTTAGTTATCTTAACTATCAAACCATTGATCGTTGACTTTCAGTTAGTTTGATATCATTTTCTCATCAGGGACAGCTGAAAGACCACTGACTTGTATGTGCGCAATAATCCTCTGGATCATACTATTGCTAATTTCCATACCCAGCATCCTCTATTACGAAGCGGATTAAGGATGTATCTACTGCATTCTCCCAAAAGTTTGAGAATATCTTCAAACCACTCGCTCCGTTTAACAATAATTCAGAGTACTTGCGGTTCTCAAAGGAAATGCTCTCCAATTTAGTAGGCGGAATCGGCTACTTTTACGGAGATTCAATTGTTGACCGCAGTTATGCCACTGAGTACGATGAAGAAAATGAAGGATTCTGGGAAGAGGCTGCCGAGGCTCGATCCCGTGCCCAGCTCACAGTCGCAGATCCATCCGAATTATTTACTTCAGTTCCTTCCCGGCCCTTCTTCCCCAGGGGGTTCCTGTGGGACGAGGGCTTCCACCTGCTGCCAATAATGGAATGGGATCTTGACCTGACGTATGCCCTTCTACCCTTCTCTGCCTATCAAATAGTGAACTAACAATGAACAGACTCCAGATTGTCAAGAGTTGGCTGAGTCTCATGGATGAAGATGGATGGATTGCCAGGGAACAAATCCTAGGACCTGAAGCTAGAAGCAAAGTTCCAAGAGAGTTCCAAACCCAATACCCTCACTATGCCAACCCGCCAACATTGTTTCTTGTTCTTAGAGAATTCATGAACAAAGCTTCACTAGGAAAATCGTCTGGCCCCAATAGTCCTAACAACTCCGCGTATTCTGACAATAAAGAGCTTGGCATAACATTCCTCCGTTCAATATATCCCCTCCTCCGTCGACATTATTTCTGGTTTAGGAAGACCCAATGGGGAGATCTCAAATCTTATGAGAGAGACTCTTTCTCTACGAAGGAAGGATATAGATGGCGAGGACGTACGGTTGAGCATATCCTCACGTCTGGCCTGGATGACTACCCTAGACCCCAGCCGCCTCACCCTGGAGAGCTTCACGTTGATCTCATAAGCTGGATGGGCATGATGACCCAGTCTTTGCGAGACATTGCCGGAGCATTAGGTGAGACAGCTGATGTCGAGGAATTCACCAAGTATGAAACTGCTATCCTTAGAAATATTGATGATCTCCATTGGAATAAGGACGCAAAGACATATTGTGATTCCACTATCGATGATTACGAAGACAGTGTTCATGTATGCCATAAGGGGTATATCTCAATTTTCCCTTTCATAACTGGTCTTTTGGACGCCAACCACCCGAGATTGGGAGATATCTTAAATCTCATCCAGGATTCAGACGAACTCTGGAGTGACTATGGCATCCGAAGTCTGAGCAAAAAGGACGAATTCTTCGGAACTGGCGAGAACTACTGGAAAGGCCCTATTTGGATCAATATGAATTATCTGGTCCTCAAGAATCTTCTGGTATGTCTTCATATGGTTCACATATTTTCATAGCTAACTAAGGCGTGCTCTACAGAGTGTTGCTCAGGTTGCAGGTCCCCACCAGGAACAGGCATCTGAGATGTATACGAAGCTACGCAAGAATATAGTAGAGAATGTTTACAGGGAGTGGAAGAACACTGGCTTTGCCTGGGAACAGTACAACCCCGATACAGGCAAAGGCCAGCGAACACAGCACTTTACCGGTTGGACCAGCCTTGTGGTAAAAATGATGACTATGCCTGACTTAAATGCCCAATCCAACGCTAAAGACGAATTGTAAATTTTATAGATATTAGAGACAACTACGGAGTATCTGTCTATCTATAAAAATGAAGCGTGACCAACTCTAGAGACCATGCCAATGAGTAACAAGAGATTATCCACCAAAACGCCAAAACCCGTCATTATATTTGAGTTGTATTATCGTCTTCTGTCGTAACGTTCATATCGTTTATCGTCTCTATAATGTCGGGAGTCATAGGGTGATCGGCTCCGTCTGCGATGGCTTCGACGATCTCGTGTTTCCCGATCTCTGCTGCGTGAACGTGAAACCGAGCGTTGCCTCCTAACGGCCTCTCGGGACCGGGACCTAGAACGTGAACGATATCTTTTTCTTTCATGTCGATCTGAGCGGTGATCTTCTCTCCGACTTCTATAGTGCCTTGCATGATCTCGACCGTCTCTTCTGCCGTGTTCCTTTCTTCTTTCCGAGTGGCGGTTACTGCGGGGCCGGTTGTCAGCATTGGTCTTTGCAGTTTGACTGTAGTTGCTAGAAACATCTCCTATTGGCTCCAGCTTCTCAATCCCTTCTCCAGCTAGCGTCTTGCCAATGAAGCCACCAAACCCGACTCCCTTGACGCGGTCAACATCTTCGTGGTCATCCGCTCCTTCTAAGACTGCTCGCTCGACCTCCTTTCCCCCCAGCGGTTCCAGGTTGGCGTTCGAGCTTTTAGACGGCACTGATACTGGTAGACCAAGTGCTCGGGCTATAGCTTCTTGCTCAGCCTCTTTAACCTTCCGGATTTCCTCCTCTCGAGCCTTCTTCGCTGCATCAGAGTCTTCTCCTTTGGTATACCACGAGAGGTCACGGCCTTGTTGCCACCGACCAACGGGGGCCATCAAGGAATGGCCAAGGTAGTTTTCCCGGCGGCTTGAGTCCTTAACATCTGACCATTTGAACTCTGTTTGACCGCCCCTATGAGCCATGTATCGATCAGTCACTTGAACCCCACGGGCCGGCTCCTCGCGAGCTGTGCAACGTACCTGCTGCCTTCCTTCCGAATCGTGGACACAAGATCCATGCTGGCTCGGTACCTAGAGTGACAATCTCGGTCTTTGCCACGTTTTCTCCTTTTGCTGGCTCGTGATTCTGGTGTCTCCGTTGCTGCCTTCTCCCTCAACGCCTTGTTCGTTTCATTCTTCAGCTCGTTTCTTCGGAAGAAAGTCGAAACTTGAAACTTCGCCGAAAATTAGGTAGTCGGGTAAAAACCTAGGTCATGTGACAAACGGTTAATGCACCGATCAATAAAAAGACCGTGCGTTATCATACCGGGGAAATAAAGTGAGCACGTGATTAAGGTAAACTTTCGTACTTTTCCAAGAACGAAAAAGTGTTTGACGTAAAGCCGGAAATCACTGGCAGCCTCATCAGCTTTCTCTCAACGACAGGTCAACATCTTGGTGGTGCAGCCCGGCGCTGTTATTTTGGCGAGCTGCTAACCAACCTGTTACTGTGATGCACGTCGGAGTGAGAACGCTGCTATTCTGGACTGCAACTTGATCCCGGCTCTTGCTTGGTTGTTTCCGGCAACTAAAGAAAAACCCCACCACATTTCTTCGCCTCCACCAAGAATGGTTGCTTCATCTCTGAGACAGCGCCGAATCTCACGCATATTTACTTACCTTAGTGCTTCAACAGTCTTAATCGACCCACAGCAGTGCCGATGACTTAATTTTGATATACCCAAATACATGACCTGACCGTACAACATGGATCAAAATTCTCCGAGTGATACTGGTGCTGGCAACCCGGTCTGGATAGAAGTTCTCGATGAACACGCTGACCATGGAATTACTGTGGAGCCACACGGTGTTGAACGAGGAGATACGCGTGTATGTTTCAAAAGAAATCCCCCCTTATATGTTGTATAGCAATGTCGCTGACTCAAGCTTGCAGTTTCCGTATGTTACTCCGTTCTAATTCTCCTCCAAAAGATCCACTACTCGACGGCTGACTGAGTTTCTACATCAGACGGAACGCTCCATCGCCTCCTATTGCAACTTGGCGGAATAATCTGGTACGTTCTGATCCCTCCTTTACCATTCGACGCATGTAAAATTAACTATGATACGCTTCTTCTAGACTGCTCTATCCCAGAGGCAGAACCTTTATTTTGTTGCTTACTCTAGTCGAATATACGTGTTCCAGCCAAGTTGCGGACAGATGATCGGCTCACGGCCGGCTCTTATCCTAACCCCCAAAATGGCACGACCTGATGCTCCGGGTTATATTGCGCCCAATAATCCTCATGCCATCAATCAAATCACTGTTGGTGACCTTGGCTCCGATGAGATCTTACTTCTGGCAACGGATTCAGGGAACGTGGCCGCTTATAGGGTTGAACGCATCTTCTGGTGTATTGAAAATCGCAGGGCTGAAGATACTGACCCAGTCCAGGTAGGCAATGGAGTAGAATGCTTTTTCAGTGAGTGGGTTACACAAAGTGCCTGGGCTTTGGCAATCCATAAGTTCGCGAGAATGATTGCTGTGAGCTCTAATACCACAACAATAACCATATTTGCTTTTGCCTTGGTGGATAATACGGAAGTTTCACATGTGACTCGGGAAGGTTCATCTTCTAGGGCAAAGCACCCAAAGGTCCATAATAATGACTGGATTCATATTACCAGTATTTCGGAATTCTTGAAGCTACGAAGTTGGTCGCGGCAGCGCCGACGCTCTCAGAATATTCAGCTCTCATTGTCGGGGCATTCTGCAAATATACCTAACGTCTCATTTTTGAACTGTGACCTAGATCCTCATGGAGACTGGCTAGTCAGCACGGATATCAATAACAAACTCCTTGTATGGAGGATCTGGGAACGTTTTCGTCCGGTTAACTACTGGGACTTTTATTCCGGAGATGATGACCAACAGTACGATGACCTATTTGACGAGTAAGTTAACCATTAAAGAGGGTACGCATCGAAACTGTCTAATCTTTGTGAGAATTGGTAGCCGACAGCGGGGATGGAATGTTCTGGCTGTTGATCCAAGGTCCTTTCGCATGAAAAAGGACCTTCTTGAAGCTTGCGGCGGCCCTCCACATAAGTACCCAGACAAGGACGCCCCCTATGATCTTAGCTTTTTAGCCAGCAAAGTCCACGATGCTACCCAGTATTATAATGTCTTTTCGTCATCAACACCCCTTACTCAGCGTCGAAATCAAGGTCCCCCGCCTGATGAGCTTTTTCCACTTACTCACTCTGATGATTCCGATGGAGATGTTGAAGATCGCATTAATCGTCACGACACAGTTCCTGGTATAAAGACACCCCCTGTGAGAACAGAAACACCCAGCGACGTTCCTCCAACAGTCGGAGCACAAGGCACCTTGCAAAATAATTCTCCTTTGGCTGCCCATAACTATTCCAATATCCTTGCTGATGCTATATCCAATACCCCTGTTCTAAATGAGTCCGATGAAGATAGTGACGAAACTTATAATGAGGACGAAGAAGACGAAGAAGATGAAGAAGGCGCGGAAGACGAGGAAGACGAGGGTATCACACCTGCTCCTGGTACCAACACCAGCCATGCTACGGTAAGCGATGCGGACATTGATATGGACCATGACAATAGCGGTGATAACCCATCCGACGAGGATTCATCCGAAAGGAGTAACCTAGATGAATTGGATGAACTCTCTGATACTCCTATGAATGAAGATATCCACTCAGGGTCTAACACAGCAGCCAAGGCTAACGGTAGGGTGCGGTTGCTAAGAGATGAACGCCCGACTTCCGATCTCTTTCATAGCTTTCAAATTCTCCATTTTTCTGAATCTCATATTCGAATGCTTCCCGGTCCCTTTTCTACTGGTCCTTCGGTCATTTTCCGCGCTGCTTTATCACAAGTCGTAACAAATCCTGTACAGTTTATCGAAGCTACGGATCGATTCAACATGGCTCTTCAAATACCTGAGCTGGGTGTCGTTGTTGCAGCATCTCAGAAAGGAAGAGTTGCGATCCTTGGTCTTACTGAGGTCCGCAATAAAGGAAAGGTGTTCAGGATGGACCGTATACTACCACTTGCAAGTCAAGAACGAAAACGGCTTCGTCCACTTTGCCCGCTACTTGGAATCGCTGCTAGTCCAGTTGTGCCACACTTAATACCACCCGAATCCCCCTCAGATGATTATGAAGATACATCTACTGGAATGAATGATGTTGATGTCCAGGAAATTCGCAATGCTTCACTGCATCCTATTGGCTCTAAACCTGGCTTGTCCGGCAAATTTCCTTCTCACTTACCCTTTGGTGGCACGAAGAAAGAAAAGTGGCATGGTATTGAATACTCGCGTCGCTACCGCCTCTTCTTAACGTACTGTGACCATACAATCCTACACTACGAGCTTTACTATGACTGGCCAAAGGAGCTTAGAGGACCAGAAGCACAAATGGCATACGATAAGAATGAGCCATTTATTCTCAGACCCTAGGCTATGGATTGTCAACGGAATTTGGCTGGAGAGCCCATAATTGAATTAGTTGGGTGTTAGTTCGGCGTCCTTCTTCGCAGTGAGACATGTGTGACTAGCGAGAAGGGGCGCCGGACAAAAATTTAATTTGACATTTGGAAGTTATGAGGGCTTTGATTTCTTTTCCTGGCTCGTATCATAGTTGAATGGAGTCAGCGGACAAGTGTGATATAACATTACTATTTTATAGATTGCCGACATCACTGTCTTAAAAACATTCATCCTTGAGATTAGTAAAAGTGTCAAGCGACAGGACATTACTAGGTGTGCGTCTTAAAATACTAAAACTATGTTAACCTGTCCGTAATAGAGATGATTATGGCAAGTAAAAATCATTATTAGGTTGGGCCAACCAACAACGCCTTGCCGGGAAATATAACAGATTCTGTGCTAGTATTATATCATATTACCAAGCCTCCATCTGTATGGCTTTCTCTAATTCAGGGCCTCCTCCAATATGAGGCACAAATTCTCCGTCCTCATCAACACCATTATTTAGTTCTTCTCCGAACCACCCCCACCCAATTTTCTCCAGTTCTCGTGTGAAAAAATCTCGCTCTTCCTCTACCAATGGTTTCCCATTCTCAGTAGACAAGACATCCTTGTACTGCCTAACATGCCACCAGTGGGTTAACCCTCTTAGTGCTTGTTCCATTGGTAGCGATTCCTCCACTTCGGCATCAACATCACCGCCAGCAAGCCAATCATCGCGCAGCTCAGGCCGACAATACAGATAGATCGCCGTTATGACTCTCATGTGGCTTAACCGCCATTTTCTGCCACAGTAAGGAACTTGTGACTTAAACAGCTTGAGAGTATATAGTCGAAGGTGCGGGTCTGGTATCTTGAGACCCTTCCGTAGCACAGCGCTACATTTATACTGCACAAGGTGTAAACACCTATGAGCCTTGTCGCGGGTAATCTTGTGCATGATGTGCAGGAAGTTGATAGCAGAGAAGAAGTTTCGGAAGGAGTAGGTCGAAATAGGTCCTGGCTCAATTGGTGCTGTCGGAAAACCTAGCTCATCGACTTCAAGGAACCTGGAATTTTCTTTGCTATGTTCAGTTGCAGCCAATTTTGCAGACGCCTCTTCGAGCATCGATATTCTAGAACGGCTCTGCCGAAGTATCGGGGGTGGAGCTGCTTCGTCTTCACTACTGTCATCCGCAATTTCTGTGGGTTCGAGAGGAGGGATTGGTTCCGGTGGTTGGTTAGAATGAACATGACAGAAGTGAAAAAAACTACAAATTGAATTAGTATGCATGGATTCGTAGATAGCTGAAATAGTATTCGGACATTACCTTGATACTAGTGGGTCTTGGGGTTGGGCGACAGCATGGTCAACTTCCTGGTGAATGAACATTTTTAATATTAAAGGAATATAATTTGAGTCGAGTAGTATTTGCGACAAATACTCAAATTTCAAGATATCTAGGCAAAATGTTAGAAGAGCCAAAAGTTTACAACTTTAGTGTACGTACGGCATCTTTTGAACCATTTCAAAAGTAGAATCAATGCTCCAGAAATAGCTTCAAATCTGATCTCTCGTGATCTTGCTTCTTGAAGCTGTTTTGTAGATAGGAATGGCTCTAGAATGCGATTCTTGTTCGATGGTTGTTTCTGGCCATTCAATGCGTTGCTGAAGGGATGTCGTGAGCAAAGTGCTAAATAAATTATTGGGAGAATACTTACTCTGCTCTACCATCCATATCATCGTTGCCATTTGTTTGGCTTGCAATAGCGGTGATGCTCGTTAAAAGTTCCTTCAACACAACAATCACGAAAGACTGAAGGCTTGGAAGTGCGTGAACCTAGGAGACGTTAGACACACAATTCAGGGGTAGCCGTTTAAATACACGTACGTAAAATTTTTCGACTTCATCCAAGCGTCGTTGAACATCTTCATCTTCAGTTTGACGTCGAGGCTTCAATTCTTGATCAGCTGGTGATTCTGATTCATGGCCATTGGACGGCCTTCGGTAACCACTGTCGGGCGCCCTTTCATCCCATCCACGATCGTACTTCATGAACGCTTCTCGCTCTTCCCAAAGTTGTTGCAATGCCCGTGTCATCCTCATGCGGCTAGAGAACAGTTCGCCGGCCTCAATTATTGACGCAGGAACATCGCTGCCTTCCCACTTCCTACCCACAAGACTGTCCTGAAGGTCGCTAGTTCCTTTTCCTCCAATATTATTACTTGAACCGTCCAATGGAGGGTACATGAAAGGGAAATGCTGATTTGTTTGGTAATTCTGCTTCTTGCCCACCTTTCCAGGGCCCCCTGGGGATGGCGGAGGGGAAGGGGCAGGTGTGGCAATGTGGACGGATTGATGGAGAATAGAGTCGTTGTTATTCGCCAGGGTAGACCCAACTCCAGAAAACAGAACGGACGAAGAATTGCGGCTTGAGGACGTGGGAAGGGGAGGCAGAACTGAATTGTGTTCCAGCTCAAAAGGAACCAATGGTGGTGGTGGGTTGTAGGCAGGATATTTTGATATAATCTCTTGTCTAAATAGATGATAGTCCAGTGGAGAAGCAGTAAGGGTTGGAATATTTGATGACTCGTTTTGACCAGAACCAGTTGGTACATGCATGGGCTCCAAGATAGTTTTTGCTCTTTTCAAAGGTTCGATGCCACCAAATAGAAGAAGAATTGATTTCCAGAAGAGAAGGAGGACCTATGAAAGCTATTAGAATACAGTGGACAATAAGACAAAGAGTGGAACTTACTCTCGTTAGTGGAAAGATGGACGGATCATCCCACCGAAGCCGTGCAACGATTTCAACAAGAGTCGCGGGTAGGTTGGGATTTAACGCGGCTAAGTGGATAGAGTTAGTAAGAGTGGCTCAACTACAGCCAGTCACTCATAGGTATATAAATATCACCTACCAAATGCATCTCTCAATTCCAGGCTAGAGTATTCCAGCTTTTCTTCTCTCCGTGCCACCTCAACAATGATATAAAGACAGGTGAGTATTAGATTAATTTCCCTATCTCTTGTAGCAACATAGACCGTTGTGCCGCTTTCATTTGCAAAGGCCTTCAAATCTTCTTGTACTAACGTCCTATTAAAAAGAAATATGAGAAACTCCTGTCAAAATGTCCAAAGATAGGTAGGCTGCTCCACTCACTGATCCTTGTTGAAAAACCGTTGTAAATAAGCAAATAGAGCCTCGATACCTTGGCATTCCAGAAAAGTATGGGCGTTTTTAATCATCCATTGAATTTGCATAGATCGCTCCTTTGGAGTCTCGGCCGCATCATGATCAGTAATGTCAGAAGGATAATCCCCAGCCACCCTTCCAGCAGTAGAAACCCAGACACCTGTTAAGGTGTAGCAGATGCTCTCCAGGGCCTCGATTCGGGAAAAGATATCGGTGCTGGTAAACAGTCCTATCATCTTTTCTATAAATGCCTCTTTGTCCTCGTCCGTGGCGCTTAACCAAGATGATTCACTTTCGGGGAGATCAGGCAACGCCTCACAGAAAGATAACCAGGTCTGTTCAAAAGTGGTTTTGCAGCCCAGTAACATGAGTTTATCAGGCTCGTTGTCGCCAAACCATTCATTGATCTCTTCCGGGAATGGTTGACAGTCGTCATATTTGAAGGCATAAGATGGTAAATCGGCCTTTGGAAGATCTTGAACAATTTTGCGGAGTTGAGCAAGGCTCACTGAGTCCGTCTGGGTTTCAGGGTTCTGTACTGGCGCAGGTGGTGGTGGTTGCAAGGGTGGGGGTGGTGCCACTCTGTCACGCCGTAATTCAGGTCTAGTTGAAGGCTGAGACAGTCTCTGCAGTACAGATGCATCGCCAAATCCATCCGCTTCATCGACTTTTGCTTCGTTATCTTCAGGGAGTTTCACGTCTGAGACGGTATCTGCTGCGACCACTGGTTCCTCAGTGGATGTGGTTATATCGACTCCAATGTTGTCAACTTCGTCCGCGCGCATTATCGGCTCCTCCACCAACCCTTCCTGCTCGGTATTCTCCAGAGGCTCCATTTTTCTAGCAATTAGATGGTATGATTCGGGCTGGTTGAAAGGTCGCCAAGGCTCAAATCACCTGGAGCTCAAAGGGGTATGTAAGCTAGGTAGCTGATGATCATGAAGTCGTATCGTAGTCAGATTTCCATTAATCAGCTGAACACAAAACAGGGGCATATCCCGAGTTGCATAATTTGTATCACCCAGATCTAGCGACTGAGATGTCCTTTTATCACGAATGTGTTCTGATATTTCAAGAGTTGAAGCTCCACGCCGCTGTCGAAGGTTTGATATTGGGCGTCGAAACTACCTAAAGCTGACTAATCCTGGATAAAAGAAAAGGCGAAACTTTAAACTCGCTTACCTAAGGCACCTAAAGTTAATTTAAAGACGCGAAAAGTTTATTTATTTTCATTTAGCAGTTGGCTTAAACTACCTAAGTTAAAAGAATACATGAAGGGCATTAATTGAATAAACAGTCCGCTCGCTAGATGCAGGCTCGAAGATGTCGGTTTAAGCAAAGGTAATTTTCTCCCTGCTATATTGTCTTATGTTAGGCTGAAAACAAATACGATACCGCATAAAAATTGATCTCACCAGATACTTATTTGGAACCGGGAGACAATTGAGTTTCTCAAGACACTAAATGTCCCGCAAAATATGGACAATTTGCAAAAAGGCTCAAAATACAGGGTATGGGTGTTCTCGATGTCGGTCCTAGGCCGTATGCTCAATGGTGTGGGATATTCATATTTAATGACGCCCTACCAAGAACGGCCAACATTTCTGATTTAGGTTGATTCAAAAGATAGTGGATAAACTGCTAGCAGGACTTTTTTTTTCTGTGAATTATTCAAGCCTGCCAGAGGAAACAAATATGTATCCGTCGCTGGCAGGATATGAGTGTAAAGGTCAAAAATCATCGTCCATTTCGTCACTGTCCCATTGGTCTTCCTGGTCATGCTGAACAAGGTATAAAAATCGCTGCAGCCCTCGCAGCTGCTCCGGAGGTACCTGTTCGTTATTTTCAGCTCCATTTTGGTTATTGTTGTTATTGGCAGCTCGCCGTGGTTGTGCACGGCGTCGATTTGCATCGCCCCCACGCAACCCCAGCCTTACTGGACCAACTTCTTCTGCAAGTAGTGGTAGTCTGCGATTTCGGGGTCCCGCTCTTGGAGGTACTGGTGCAGGTGGTGGAACAGCTAGTGGGTGCGCAGTATCATCTTCATCGTCACTCATCTCAATCTCTCCATTCACAATGTCCGGGTCTTCGATATGGAGAGGAGCTCCTACTCCGTCTCCACCCTCCAGCTCCCAGAGTCTCATATAGCAAGACGTCTTTTCAGTGTTGAAATGCGCGTACGGATTATTTGCAAAGAGCCAGCTGGAGCACAGATAGCAGAAGTGAGTGTTGCACTGGAAGCATATCATGTGGTTGCACCCCATAGACTTTTGACATCTTGCAGCACAGGTGGGGCATCTGGAGGTATATATGTCTAGGTAATCCTCGGATGCCTTTTCCTCCGCAGATAATTCTTTCTCCCTTCGAGGGAAACAAATGCTCGTCGGCCCATGCCAGCCTTTCTTGCAAACACTGCAAAATGCATAAGCGCAATCTTCACAGACAGCCAACCGTTCCGACATTGGTGGTAATTGCTCCTGTGCACCTAGCGGATCAAATGGAGCAGCATTATCTTCTTCCTCGTCTGAAGATTCTTCGTCGTTAATCAGATCTACCGGTTTTGGATGCTTTTTTGAACGGGCGGCACCCTGACACCACTGACGGGGGCAATAAATAGTCGTCTTATCTGACTCCAGTTTCTTTTTCCTCTTGAGCCGTGCATAGCGTTGTACGGTCTCAAGTGGGAGGGGTATTTGTATCAGCTCTCCAGGACGCAGAGTCAGGTCATGTTTCTTCCGTAGACCAGGCTGGGTATCATCAGCTTTCTCCTTCCCACACCCAGGAGAAAGACACTTCACATTGTCAACATCACCGTCCTTTATGCATGAGTTATAAAAGTCCTGTAAACACTGGACACAAAATACGTGAAGGCAACGCTGCATCCTATGGCACACCTTGCCCTTCTTTGGTTCAAGGCACACTCCACATTCAAAGGTCTCTTGTTCAAACTCTTCTTTCCGAGCTTTATTTTCGAAGTCGAGCAAGCTTATCTTCAAGTTCTGTGGAAAGACAGCCACGTCCTTTGAGCCATTGCCTATACCCAGACCTTCTTCTGCCGCAACTTGGAGGTGGTCGATGTACGAAAACACGACCAAATTATTCCCTGACTCTTCCCAAAGCCTCATTCCATCTTCGATTAATTTGTTGATATTCGAGATGGGAAGCCAGTTCAGGTCTGTCGATATCGAAAATGCTGGAGGTTTCTCGGCTGGATATCCTTCGGGGAGCTCGATTCCCAGGTTGAGAGGAGGAAGGTGTGTGAGGTTGTAAACCTCGTTATCCACATCCTCCTCAGCTTCTTGAGTTTCTTTTATGCCATTTTCTCCCATTTCGACATCGCCGGGCTCGGTAGACGGAGGTGAAGGAAGGCATGAGATGCTGACCTCAGAACTGGACTTTCGGAATATCGCCTTTATGGGGTTCACTGGTATTATTGGGAGAGTAAGGGATGCTTTAAATGGCGTAGAAGGGTCCACGACTATCTCGGGATAAATAGCCGCTATCGACTGAAGCTCCTGGCTTCTCTCGTCATCGGTGTCCTCGTCCATCAGCCCGGGTTGATGAACTTGACGTTCGAGTAGTTATAGTATAACTACGAGTCAGAATATGAGTAAAAGAGATGCAGTACCGAGACGGGTAACCCGGTCTGGCTCTCTGGCTGCAGCTGGAATGTACTGAATAACGCCCGATAAGAGCCTCAAAAGGGACTTCGGGCCTTAATTTTTTTGCCCCTCCGAAACTGGTGGGCTGTAGAGAGGAATCTCTGCTCGAATCTTGCAGGAAATAGTACGAAGAGACGGCTGCTGTATCTGCTGTGAGACAAGAAGGGAGTGATTGAACTGAAAGGCACTTCTTCGCTGCTGTGTCTGAGTATCTGCTTGACTGTCTAATACTTTGGGTTGCTGGATGACTGCTAAACTATTTTGGCTCACCGAGGACCGCCTTGTCCTGTGCTTATCGATAAGCAGAAGCCAAAAACCCTGAACTTTGTTAGTTAAGCCGCGGCATCCTCTTTCACTCCGCCTGCTTCACTTGCTTGCTACAACCTACCAAAGGAGTGCATTCCAGGTGAAGAAGCCAGCGGTCTATCTGTCTGTTGTTCAGGTAGCTGGGGACACACTTTATTCCTTCACTATGAAATATTTAGGTTGTTAACTTGTTATCTAGTTAGCATATTGTTTCTGTCTGGGTTTTAAAGCCTGTTGTCTCCTCCGTCTATCTCTATGGTTACTTAGGGAGTATCTTGGCCTAAGGATGGTTAAAGATTATGTCCCTGTGGCATCTCTGTCACTAACTCATGTCAACTATGTAAGTAGGACTATTATCTGTTCCTGGAAGCATCAAGACTTGCACTGTATACTAATTCCCAAGGATAGAACCCCGAAGACCCTATCTCGTATATCTGCGCCTTTCTTGCTCTTGTCCCACAGGCCCTAATAATATCCTATGTCTCGCTATGCTGGGCTACACGCGAAGTGGAAATCATCTTCATGCTTGCTGGGCAGCTTTCTTGCGAAGTCCTAAATTTCGGATTGAAGAGATTGATTAAACAAGAAAGACCTAACCGTATTATCATCCCCCCCAACCCACATACGGTTAATGTTAATACCACCGCTATACTAACTGAAGCTAGAGATGAATGGAAAGGGATATGGCATGCCATCATCTCATTCTCAATTTATGGGATATTTCGCTGTTTTCTTCACCCTTTTCCTGCTTGTCCGCCACACTCCCTCTGCATCGATTCGGTCCGGTTACCTTAGTATGCTCGAACGTGTCGGTCTATCCTCACTAGCCTGTGTGGGGGCTCTAGCCGTTGCTCTGAGCCGTGTATATTTAAACTACCATACTCCGCAACAAGTGATAGCTGGAGCTGCTATCGGAGTCGCTTATGGATTGGCTTGGTTTGGAATTGGAAGCTTCTTGCGGGAAAGCGGCTGGCTAGGGTGGGCTTTGGATCTGCAGCCCGTCAGATACTTTAGAATTCGGGACCTTCTTCCCCGGGAAGACCTGGCCGAGGGTGGCTGGAAACGTTGGGAAAGTATACGACAGCAATCCAAGAACCCAGCAAAACGACATAGCAAAACATCCCATGTGGAATGATAGCGCTGCCGGAATGATGCATTAGAGATATAAATATACACATAGATATATATATTGGGCAAAGGAACCAAGTATCATGTACCAATTACTTTTTAATAACGATATGGCCGGTACCTACAAGGTCTGCCTCTTTATTGAGAGCGTCGATCTCTGCTTGGACATACGGGATGCCGTCTTTCGCTCTTTCTTGAGAAGTTATGATTTCAATCTCACCAGGATAGTAGATCCTGTCCACCCCCTGCATCTTCTCGCAGGTAACAACCCGCTTATAGAGATAGTCCATTCTATCCTTGAACTCATCCAAGCTCAAAAACAAGTCAGGTTTCAGAGCCATTATGAAGTGTCCCACCCCAGCCGGTTTTGACGGGTCATACGGGCCGGTGACATGTCCGGCGAATGAAGAGCCAGAAAGCACGCCAGAGAAGACGTCCATCATGATAGAGAGAGCAGAGCCCTTGGGACCACCTACGGGCAACATGACTCCTCGAAGAGCCGCGGCGGGATCGGTAGTATGAGAACCGTTTGCGTCCAAAGCCCAGCCTTCAGGTATAGTCTCCCCCCTACGGTGAGCCTTGTATATCTTCCCCCTAGCAGCAACAGACTGTGCCATGTCTAGGATGAAAGGAGGTGAGTTGGGGCCAGATGGTGCTCCACACGCGATTGGAGATGTGCCCATAAGCTTCTCCTTTCCTCCCCAAACCGGTAAAGCGGGCGAGGAATTGGTGAAAACAAGGCTCATCATGTTTGCATCAACGGCTTGTCTGACGAAAGAAGCTGACATACCAAAATGGTTCGAATTATGCACTGAAACCATGCCAATGCCGAACTCCTTGGCCATCTCGATAGCGCGGTCCATGGCCATGGTGGCAGATATGAAGCCGAATGCATTGTTTCCATCAACACGGGCGACGACGGGAGTAATCTGAGTCAGGGAAGGAGATGCTTTGGGGTCTAGGACGCCCTGACGAATGCGTTCCATGTACGATGGGATGCGATTTATGCCATGGGTATCAACGCCGCGGAGGTCTGCTTCCACAAGGCATTTGGCAACAATAGAGGCGTTTGCTGACGGTACACCGTTCTTCTCGAGCACTCTTTGGACAAAGTCTTCAGCATCTGGCGCTGCAACCCTCTTCTTTTCTTGGTCTGCCATGGTGATTGACAACGGCATGCCTGTTGATGGCGGAGACATAGCTAAGGTTATTGCTTGAGTATGGAGGTACTAAGTAGCATCGGAGAGAGAGAGCATGCAATTGAGCTGGCAGCAGCTTCGACTCTTATAGACGCCTACATTTACTCACTGGCCCTGGTAGCCTTGTGTCTCTTGGACTTTTGGCCGCTCCCAACGCTCCACTAGAGGTAGTTAGTCAAGGTACCGTTCGCCCCGTTTACCTTCACGGAGTTCTTCATCGCTTCGTTGGAAGTCAACAAACCTTATTTTGGCCAGATTAAGATTACCTAAGCATCCATGTCTTTAGAGATTGTGATTAGTAAGCAGTATTCAGGAATAATAATTTACCAAGACTCTATGACTAAGCTTCATATTTAAAATGGAAGCACTTGATTGGCTATATGGGAACGAGAAAAGAAGAGTCGAGGAAAGCAGAGAAGAGGCAGAAAGCTGCTGGCATGGTCGCATTTCGCAATCCTACCAGCATCTCAGACCACAATTGTCAGGTTAACATTCCTGGCTTCCACATTTCCACGCTTATTCTCAACTAAGAACCCGGCAACATGTTCAGCAGCATTCTGCGCAGGCTACAGGGCGGGAACCTGGAGGTTTTCAAGGTAAGCGATAGAGCACATCCGATGTGCCATGTTGGATCATATTCAACTGTTCTGGCGGAATATATTATCATACTTTAGACTAATGGGGTATTTGTTCTAGTTCGGCCTCTATATTGGGTTCCCCATAGGATGGATGTACTACTTTGGCACGAACCTGGAGGAACGCTTCAGTGTCCCCGACTTCTGGCCGACTACGGCACACTCCCATAAAATACCTGCCGACAAGGGCGAGATAGACAAGGAACTAGCCCGGATGAATGAGCAGAGAGCAAAGCGATTGCTTGAAAAGCAGAGAATCCAAAAGGAATTCGAAAATATTGCTGCAACTTCGAATTCGACAACCGAATAATGGTGCGTGTGCATCCATGTATGGAGAAGTGTTATTTATACATTGTATCATACAACCTATTGTACATTTGCGGGCGTTTGGATGGTTTTGTGGAGTTACACTGGGTGAAGGAGCTATATCAAGCTCGGGTTTAAACGACTCATGTCGACGGCATAAGACTTGCGCGAAACACAATTTACATGCATAATCTCATCTCAAACACGATGCACCAAGTTATATTTGTGAACTTGGGATAGAACAAATTCAGGAGCCTGGGGGATGTAGCTGGAAAAGGGGTGCCATACAGCAATCAGTAAATACTATACATACAAGAAACACGGCATTATACCACATATTCGCTCAAAAAGCGCCGATATCCGCTAGCAGTAATTCACAACAAACAGCTGTCGTCGAGAAGCTCAATACCATCAAAAGGAGTATAGCTTGGAAGGGAGGTCCGAAAGGAAAATTAAGCACATGGAAGTGCAATTAAAAGGTATAACGTAAACATGCAGAAGTAATCCATGGGCTCATATAAGTCGCTAAATCCAGTATCACTCATAATTCTTTCAACGCCTCAGCTGTCGTGGCGGCGGCAGTTGCAGTAGCGGTAGAGAGTTTCATGTTAGCAGCATGTAGCGCAATCTGGTCAGCGACCGGCTGTCCAGCCCAGTAATAGTTGATATGCCGGTATAGAGAAAGGACATGGTCAGGCAGATATATGTAGGCGGCAGTGATGAGCATGGAAATGAAAAGGATAAGGATGGTATCTGGACAGTGAATTATTAGCCAAATCGTGCGATAATCCAAGGAGGGAAGCACCGAAAGAAGATCAAGGTATACAAGGTCAGGCTATACTTACTGAAAACTACTTTCTCGATAGGAGTCAACATGTAAAGCGAGAAGGTCACTTCATACTGGTAGTTCTTTAATCGGAGCCACCGGAAAAAAGACATGAAAACCCCTGGAGATGCCGTTCCTTGTGACATGGTGGACTCGGTTGACTTGACAAGCGCCGCGTTCTTGGGACAGCTTTTTGGTTCGAAAAATCTGTTTTGATGTAGGCAGTCCAGACTCTGTTGCACAGAATAGAAATGAAGGACTTAATTGCGTTAAATTGCGCATTTGCTGTGATTGTTGTTATCGCGAGAACTTTTAGAGATAAAAAAGGTTGCGACAAGGTCCTTGCTAAGTCAGCAGACCTAACTTCCATCATTTTAATCTAAGCCGAAGCCAACAACAACGAACAACATATCGCCTGCCGCGTGGTGCTGCCTGCCATACTATTATCTTTTGACTTTACTTTGCCTAACACTATACAACATATCTTCTAGCCCCTCAAAAAGCGATGGTCATCCTGAATACATTATATCAAACCAATACACCCTGTTGGAGCTTGAGTGTTTTCTTCATCTAGATACTATCCAGAAGATCAAACCGTGCAAGCCAACTATATGCTCTACTTTATCTGCTAGGCTATAGCTACTCCAGAAATAGGTGAGGGCTCTGTACTACATTAATGCTTCTCTGCTCTATGAACGAATACTTATAGGGGGCTGTAGAAAGGGGTTGATGATGTAAGCTATCGTCTCTGCTCAGTTTATCTTTGTCACGTTGTTGGAGGCATAAAATTGGCCAATAAAAATTCGTTAATGGGAAAGTTAATGCAGTCTGGAAGGACGTTGGGCTTAATTAACTAGTTAACCAATAGGAATTATATAGTCACAAATTCATATCTTGGTATTCCAGGGAACGAATGCCGTTTCGGACTCGACGAAAGTAAACCATCCATGTCAACAACCATCGCCGCGGTTGATAGTCGGCATCATGTTCAAAATATACCCACAAGCCCCATTCCGACATATATCTAAGCGAACGACTCAATGGCAATTAATCCAATATGCTGGTCATGTGCGTTTCTTCCAGGCCTCGCCCCTATCATTAGCGAAGCAGATGCCTCCACGCCCAACAATAGACGAATCTGAAATAACTGGAACCTACCTCAAAGGATCAGGCCCAGGGGGCCAAAAAATTGTCAGTCAATCACTCACTCCTTGATCGTTAGTTGTGCTTCACAAACTAGCTGTTTCACAAACTTGGATGACCAGGTGCATATATGACTCGCAAAATGGCGCTGCAATAAAAAAAAATACACAACTAATGATTGAAATATATGGTAAAAATATTTACTTACTATATCCCAGAACAAAACAAGTTCGGCCGTACAACTCATTCACATACCAACAAACACGGTTGTGAAATGTCAAGCAACACGTTCCCAATCACAGAACCGGAAAATTGCCAAGAGGATACTCGCTGAGAAGATAGAATTGCTTGAGAAAGGAGAACAGAGTCGAGCGGCTATAGTGAATAACGTGAAGAAGAAAAGGAAGGCGAGTAAGATGAAGAAAAGCAAAAGGAAGTATCGGGCTTTGGAGGAGGAGAAGAGGAAGAAAAGGGCAGAAGCTGGATTGGAGGGAGAGGGAGAGATTCGTGAGGGTGAAGCAGATGGTATAGAGGAAGTTGAGGAAGCAGGTAAAATCAATGAAAAGGTTAGCGAAGAGGAGAAATAATTTGGTTTCATAGCGATTGCTCAGCCAGTTGTTATATATCTTGGGGATTAGATGTACTATTAACTTGGGCTCTGTCTGGATATGAGTTTGTATTTTGAACTACCTGGATTCTTCTACATCGTCGTCACCATCATCGGCATCATCATCTGTGAACATATAAGGGAATAAACATTCGTCCTTATTAAACTCTGGTATTTCGGCCGTCTAAAATTCGAATCATGAAAGATCCCTAATCTATGCGAGAAGTTTGGCCAAACCGGGTAAGATCTGAGGATCTAACCTCTCTTGAGCGAAGTTCTGAATCTTTCCATTATTCTTGCTGTTCTGCTCCTTCAGGTAAGTAGCAACCCACTGGCCGACTTGCGGGCCAGTCTCTGGCCAAGGGTCTCTAGGTGGCATCTTAATGGTTGTTAGCTGGGTGAATCCAACTCCAAATGCCATGTCTTCAACATCATGCTCGGTTACAATGTCGTCGCCAGTGGTAGGCAGGATCGGTTGGTCGAGAAGATATAGTAGGGCCTCGCATGTGAAACCCCATCCCTTCTTGTACCGAGAGGCGAAAGCTTCAGAGTGTGCAAGAGTTTTGGCAAATGAAATAATTGCAATTTTGCGATCAAGAGGGCGGGCAAGCTTCCTCGATTCCGGAAGGATTATGCTAAGGTAAATGGGGGTGAAGACACTAGAAAAATGTTAGGAATTTACGTAGTCACTAATGATGAAAGGTGGGGAGAAGCAAACCCGTTTTGAATATTTTCAGTGCATTGAATGAAGAAATCTGCTCCGTACCCATTCTCTAGGTGAGCTGAGAGGAAGTGGTAGAATCGAACAAAACGGAGTGAGAAATTTTCAGTCTTCGAGTTCTGAAGTCGGGTAAGGATGATCTGAAGGATTGTAGGGAAGTAGCTTTGTAGCATCGCCCTAGAATAATATATAAGTCAGATGTTGAAACAGGATTTCAAGGGCCATATATGGACGGAACTTACGAGGGGAATGTCGAAATCACAGTCTCCAAAAGATCAAAGCCGTAGCTTTCGTTAATTTTGGAAGAAACTAGCTTTTGGAAGATCCCTAATATGGGCTCGATTTGGTTGTTTTTGCTCAATAAATCCGCCCCACGTCGAACGATAGCTTGCAGCAGGCGAACTAGTGCAGGAACATTTCCTTTCTGTTCCCACATAACTGGCGCAAGAATGGGGGCAATCATGTCCTTGAAGTAGTCTGGGAATGAGCCAGTGGGGTCTACTTCAAGTAACGCAGCTAACAGCTGGAACACATATGGCATAAATTCTGCAGGATGTTATTATCAGAAGCACATGGGTAAAGAATAGGGGTAACTTTCCTGACACATCATTCCTCAAGAGAGTAAAGAACGGAGTATACAAGGCCTGACCAAGCTTATCTGGTTGGGAAGGCCCAGTGAACCTAATAAAAAGGTGAGCAATTTACCGTGCAATTGATTAGGAGGCATTATATCATACCTTATGAGTGCGCCCAGAGCTTCAAAGTGGTAGTAGTAAAAACGTGGGTTGCTTGGGTTGGAACTGATAATCTCAGTAATCCGGATGAGATGGTTGAGAATGGACTCTGTCTGGGGAACAGCAGCATCCTTGATTACCACAAGAACTCGCATGATGCACTTCATGATAAACTCATTCTCCTGAACTTTGGGTGCAGATGACTCTTTCTGAACTAGTTGGAAGAGATGCTCGAGAAGCTGTCCGGCCAGGGGGGTAATATCACTTGCTGGAACGATTTGAGCACCAGAAGCATCGGTAAGGACAAAGACTCTTTCAACAGCAATTGCGGCATAGGTGTAGACCACGTAGTCTGAAGATGCGAGATGTTTCACTAATAGAGGCATAATCTCCCGCCACTGGTCCTTGGTGATGATGCTTCTAAATGAGTAGAGGTACTTAATGGCATCCACCTTCAAGATTGGCTGCACACCAGTCTCGGCGACAAGATCGGAAGCGATATTCTTTTGGAAAAACTCGGTGATGTTGACATGGGAGTTGATAGTGGTGACGCCGTGGCTTGCGGTTGCAACGCCTTTAGCGGCAATGGAGGAATACAGGTAAACTGCAGTATCCTTTGACTTCCAATTGTCAGATGGAGACTTGGCATAATCAGCCAAGTAGTGCTCGACATATCTTAGTACCACTGTAGTGACTAAATCCTCGAAGTTTTGGAGAAGCTGTCGGAGGAAATCGGTGGCAGCTCGTCGTCTTGTATCACTGTCAGAGCCCTCAAGATCTCTTCGGATAAATTCGATGGGTTCATCCTCGAACATTTCCACATCAGACTCTCGAAGGGTGATGTTAGGTAGGATGACCTTCTCGGTGACCTGACCTAGGGTTCCTTCGTTCTGGAACGCCGCCGCGTGCTCCGAAATCTTTGCAATAGATGTCAAAAACTGCAGCGCTTTGCTAACCAAGATATCATACTTTGTCTCCTGGCCAATTGTGGTAAGCAGATTCCATGAACTGCCAATGAACTGTTCAACAAGCGAGCCGAAAACATCGAGGTACTTTTGAACATAGAGGGTGAGAGCTTCAAAGGTTCCTGCTTTGACGAATTCCAGTACACCAGACTCCGAATCGTCATCTGTGTGTAATAGCTTGTTGTCGTACATTAGGTATTTCAGGAACAGCGTCGCGATTGCTCCTAGATTCTCTTCGAACATGGGGGGCAAGTCGTGGGACGAAAGGTCATAGAACAGCTTGACCATGAGGTTGAGCTGGGTAAACCCGAGGGTGAGGTTCTCCTTGTTGTCCTTATTCTTCTCGATGTATGCATCAAGAGACTACGATGCATTAGTACAATGGCAATGACAGTTTAAATTTTTAAAGTAACTCTTACCTCGAACAAAGCCAAGTATGGAAGTCCGAATTTCCCAAGGACATGGTTGATCTCTCTATAGAGGTCATCGGAACGGAAGAGGGGCCGCCATCTCTTGAAGATGGAATGGGCTACTTGCAAGACACCGATGTTGGTCTTGATATTCTCCGGTGACAGTCGGGATACAAGGTCCTGAGGCGAGATATTAATTAGCTATCAAGGCTTCCATATGCATACCATATAGAAAGGGAAGACAAACATCGACCAATGTGTCCCATCTCTCCCAGAAGTCACTGTCTGCAATGACACTGACTGCCTCTCCGAGCTGAGATTGTATGCCTGTGGGCACAGATATCATCAAGCTTATCAGCTCCTGCTTGATGGTAACGACATCGCTCTCCGGTAGCTTGTACTGGCCCTCCTCGTCGGTCCAGTTCCTCTTTATAAAGTTCTTGAAGCAAAGTGCACTGGCAAGACGGGTGTTGTATGCAAACGTCTCAGATGCTGTGATATGCAGAAGTTGGAGGGAAAACCCTGGCTTAGCTTCCTCTTGCTTCAAGGCAGCCTCGGCTAGAGAATGCAACCACACATCAGCTTCTTCATCCTTATAATACCTAGGACTAATCAGCGAGCTAACCTACCCTGTTTGTGCTGTCGAGGATCCAAACTGGCCTCCAGAAGCTGCGCAATTGGAGCTAGATTGCTAGCCATGGCGGGGGTAGATCTGATCTATAAAAGATAACGGAACAAGGGAAAAGCGACAGGGTACTCTCGTCTGAGGAAGATGAGCGCGAGTACTTTCCAGCTGACCAGACAGCCTGACGCCCCTTGCTATGTGGCTGTAGACTGGAGAGAAAAAATGTGTAGTTCAAAGCCGGGACGTAGAGATCTTGATATCCTCCTTTTCGTCGTCTTCTTTTCGATCAAAACAAAAAAGAAAAAAAAAAAACATCAAGAGGGGAGATGATTATGTCATGGCCTATATGCTTATGTCATAGCTTAGTCATTTATTAGTCAGTCAGTCGGAATAATAAAGATCCGACCTCCCCCGGATTCGCCACGAAAAAAAAAGGGCCGTCGAAGTTTCAACTCTTTTTTTCTTTTCTTTCGTCGACTTCTTGCTTTTTTTCTCTGCTTATGGCCTGATATATATTTTTTACCTGCTTCCTCTATTCTTAGCTTTGATGGTGACTGTTTTGCTGCTTTGATAGCCCCTATAAAGCTGCTTGTTTGAATAGGTGAGCAAAACTAAACCACCCCGCAATTCCCTTCCTTTGGGCTATCTTTGTCTTGCTATCAAGTAGCGCGCTTGGCGTGGACTTTGGTAGTTCAAACGCCATTTTGATAGGCATGACCACTCTCTTGTTAATAAGCTGCTGACCAGGTCACAGTGCTAGAAGACATCATCGCCAGCTGCAGATTGATCCTGCTCCCCTGTCCGATACAAGTATATAACAGCCTAATGCCCAAAGACCTTACAATGTTGGCGCGGATATAGGAGACCTGGCCTTTTATCCTCAGCCAACGAGCTGGACAAAACCAAAATTCACAATATCAATACCAACAAGAGACGGGATAGAAGGGAAGAAAGGGGATACAAGCGACGCTCTACGACTAAGCCTACGACTAAGCGCAGCAGTGAACAAGCCATCCTGTCACTGTCCTGGCTATCAGGACCTTGACTCATTCGCCCGTCAGGGCGGATGTCTTCCGACGATGTCCCCCAAGCGCCACAAAACAAACCGTCTACCTCATCCTTCGCCGACGTCTTCAAGACTCTCGCGGTAGGCCGTCCCAAGTCGCAGTCACCGGTTTTACATGCGCAGAACGCAGGAGGCGCGTTGTCACCCGAGATGGAAGGCAGGCGAGGCAGCCGAGTAACGTTTGGATTCGAGGCCCTTCATCGAGGCAGCGTGGCTGCGGGTGCGTCTGATGCATCAAACACGCCGAGTTTCGATACGATCCTTCATAATCTGGCGGCGGACCAACCTCTCCAGAGTGCTGCCGACGAGGCCGAGAAGGCGGTACGCTATCTACACGGGTTCAGTGGTGACCAGGTTATCACCCTCTGGGAGCAGGCTGCCTATCTCCTCGATCACCCGAGTTCGTCGGAAGCACGTACCTCAGGCGGTATTCTGCTGGAAAATGTCTCTGCCCGCCAGGATCTGTCACTAGCCGGCCGCAAGTCCCTCTTTCGCTCTATCTCTCAGCCCTCGCATCCGGATGTCATTGCTCGTCGAGTAAAGGCGCTTATCTCCCTCTCAGATTACGGGAGGAAGTTTGATTTCACCGATGAGCCCATTCTACAAATAATTGCTGCATGGATTGTACCACTTTACGAACAAACCGCTGCTATACGATCGAGGATTAAGCGGTCCAGAGGACAGAGACCCAGCGGTGCTACTTTCGATGAGGCCATCTTGGGCGAGTTGTTTCAACATATCGTCGATGTCGTGACTCTACAACGCCACCCCCCTGGGCCGGAGGTTATCGAACTCGTTCTCGACCAGATATTCACTGTTTGCAGAAAGACTAGTGCTGCCGTGGATATCAAAAATTCCCTGGTTGTCTTCGATGCCATCATCGCCACTTGTGGTGTCCCTGATGAAAGCTTCATTCCGTTACTCGAAGTCTTGTGCAGCATTCACGCTTCGGTCAAGTCGTTAGCAGGCCCAACGTCAAGAGCGGTCCGAAGTCTTGCCAAGTCTAGCAAACAGTCAGATATGATACAGAATCTTCACACGTTTCTCATGGAGACTACCGAACGGCCTGACAGGAACCTGAACGTCACACGCGGCGCTGTTGACATTTTCCGTGATTTACTAGTTGCATATGGTCAAGATGGGATGCCTACGATTGACTTTGAGCCTCTCATCGCCTCTCTGCACCAAGCTTCGCTTCGAAAAGACGGCCGCATTGATACAGACATCCTAGAAGTCTGTCTTAACGTGTTACAGGGTGAATTTTCGCAGGTCGCCCTTCAACACGACTGGTCGGAGTTTGTTAATGTCATGCTGGCTTGCTCGGATCGAGCCATCGACATAACCGCCCCTACCTCTCCCACTTCAAACTTCTCTCCCGCCCCCCTCCCAGCGGCCTCTACTCCTCCATCTAAAGCCTCCTTGGCAGATGATATACGCTCCAACATAATCGCTAATCTTACCCGCATTTCAGCTTCTCTGGAATCGCTTTGGCCGAATTTGAGCAAGAATCAAAAGCTCGAAGCATGGCGTTTGTTGGCTGACACCCATAGACACCTTACCCATTCTCAGGCAGAACTAGCTATACGTCTATTGGGAGCCGAAAGGCTGTGCCATCCATCCACTTCAGACGGTTGGGTCACTTACTCCTGGAAATTGGTGCAAGATTACATTTTGGACCGTGAAAAGGCCCCCGAAACTCGCATACTTGCTTTGGCAACTTTCAGAGATGCATATTTCAGTGAAAATGCTCCAGAATTATATCTCAAGGAGGGTCTTGTAAGTGCCCTTACTAAGGATTTCACCGAAGAAGATTCGTACCTGTTTCTTCAGGAATTGGTGGCTTTTCTGGTGGACGGGACAGCCAGCTCAGACGACGATACACTCAACCTCATTGTCGATACCCTAAGCCAGCCCATGAATGCCGATGAAAATACAGACGACATGTCCCCTTCCGGGACCAAGCCGGTACCGCACTATGTTCTGGCCTCGGACACGCTTGCACCGTCTCTTAGTGACGCGACGACATGGGGACTCATCCGCATCTTCCTAAAGGGGCTGGAAACCAAATCTCAAGTTGTCCTGAAAGTATACCAGAAACTGATAGACATTGCGTTGTCGACAAGCCGGCCTTCTGACTCCCGTCTCTCAGCCCTCCGACTACTTTTCCGGCTTCGATGCGATACCTCCGGTGTTGTGCACATCGCATCTTTCATAGACAATGGCCACTTGACTGCGAGCATGCTGCGAACTGCCGAACCAACCAAATCGACTGCCAGTGAAGAGTCATCTACAGAACGCTCAAAAGATAACGATACATCATCCACTCCTAATAGCAGATCATCTCTGAAAGACCATTCTGTAACCCCGATAGGAGGTCATGGCCATCGTGTTATCTCGCGACGCCCATCGCGATGGGTTGCACCAATATGGGCCTTTGATGACCAGAGCAAGCTACCTGACATGACGGTTCTCAAGCTAGGAAGCAATGTTTACGCATTTAAAGCTCAAGACAAGGAAGGAGGACAAAAGGCCGAGGAGCAAAAAGGCGAAGAGCAAAAAGACGAAGAGCAAAAGAGCGAAGAGCCAAACAACAACGATAAACATAATAACACCATCGTATTGAAAGTGAACCTCTGGGCCGAGGCCATCATTGCTCTTCTTCAGCGCGAGAAAGACTGGGATATCTACAGCTATGTGTCTGCTCACGTCAGTGCCCAACTTGCTAATCGGGACTTTTTCCGTGCCGCAATTCCTCAAATTACGCTGCTTCGAAGTGTTTTGTGCGAGCAGATTAAAAATGAGAGCTTCCCTGAACCACTTGGATGGACAGGAGTGAAAAAGAAGGATATCGCTATCTGCCTCCTAGAAGCTCTGACAATGCTTATCAGCTTCCATGCACACTTTGCAAAAGGCGAGCAGGACGAGCTCGTTCGCTCGTTTATGTATGGAATTGGATCATGGGAGGGTACGTCTCGTGGATGTATCCACGCGCTGAGCGTGTGCTGTCATGAAATCCCCTTGTCGGTAACAAAGTCATTAAACGCTATTCTTGACAAGATGTCTAAGGTTATCACCCGATCCCACATTGCGGTTCATATCCTTGAATTCCTCGCTCTACTTGCCCGTTTGCCCGAAGTTTACGTCAATCTCCGTGATGAAGAAATCCGGACTGTATTTGGTATCTGCATCCGTTACCTCCAGACCTCGAGAGAACAACGATACAAGAATAGCGAGGCTGCCAACAGCCGGTCTGCTTCCATGACCACGCGTATTAGCAATGGCTCAAAAGACCCTATTTCTAACCCACCGGCAGAGGCAGTTGACATTCATGGTGGGGAAAATGCTGCCAGATATGTCTACCACCTGACATACCACGTTATGGTCTTTTGGTTCCTATCTCTTAAGTTACAGGACCGGCCTAACCATGTTGGTTGGATCACGAAACGGCTGCTCTTCAATGATGAGCAGGGCAGAGAAGTTATTGAAGAACAGAGCCAGGTGTTCATCGACATGATGCAGCGAGTTGCATATTCGGACTTGGGAGACACCATTCCATTCGAAAATTTCCCACCTTCGCCATCTGACGGTCCAGTAGTGAAGAGAACTTGGATTGTTGGTACCAGTATTGTGACCATCGAAACAGCATGTGCTTCGGGTCTAAATCAAGTCACCAAGAGACAAGCGTCTGGGACCACATACTCCATCTTCCAACAGCGAACTGCACCAGTCCTTCCCCATCAGATTCCCACTAACCCCCGCTCATATTCCCTCTCTGACGACCCGTCGACTCAAACTTCGGTACTGCCGAGTCATGCTCTCTTGCAGATGACCGCCTCTGCATTCCCAACAGCACTCCCATTACAGCCACTGCCGTTGCCTGATGATGACTTTACGCGACGAGCAATTAGCGCCTTCGATAGGAACAGTATTGTCGATGGTCATAAGATCGGAGTTTTGTACATTGGTGAGGGCCAGACCGACGAGACCGAAATTTTCGCCAACGACCACGGCAGCCCCGATTATGAATTCTTCATCGCAAGTCTTGGAACCAAAGTTTCCATTGAGAACCCTAAGTTTAACCCTCAGGGCCTGCATCATGAGAGAGATGGCAAATATATCTATGCCTGGCGTGATCGAGTCTCTGAGATTGTATACCATATCGCTACCATGATGCCCACGAACCTGGAAGCAGACCCGCAATGCGTAAACAAGAAGCAGCACATCGGCAATGACTTCGTGAACATTATCTTCAACCGCTCTGGTTCCGAGTTTGACTTCAATACCATCTCAACACAGTTCAACTTCGTTGATATTGTCATCACGCCAGCATCCCGAATAGGCTCAGAAGACAAAGCAGGAAAATTCACCGTCGACGACTTCAACCACAGGCTCTACACCGTCAAGGTTTTAAGCAAGCCTGGCATGCCTGAATTATCTGCCGCGGCCATCCCAAAGGTCATATGTGGGAAGAATCTCGCTGCTTTTGTCAGAATCATTGGATTGAACGCATCTGTTTTCTCACTTGTCTGTAGCCACGGCGGCGAATACATTTCTTCCTGGCAGAACCGCCTGAGAGAAATCCGTCGTCTTCGGGATCGTGCATACGCCTGCTATTCCCCTGACATCACTAGCCCAGACGCCTCCTCAAACAACCTCACAGGCAGCGGTAGTACGTACGGCGATGGTTCATACCCATCCTCGCGACGCAATACCAAACAGTATGCCGAGGACGGCAGCCTCCGTAGTGGCCTGGGTACAGAACGCAACCTTACAATGGACGCTAATGCCTTCCAATGCCTGGATTTCTCACGCTGGACTCGCTGAATTTCGCTTCCTTCCCTGCCAACATCACGATGTATCATGCCTTGCACTTTTCCAACCCCCGATTCTTCTCCGTCCTGCATTAATATATTATCCCCTTTCACCCTCCCCCTCCAATGTTACGACAAGCTCTGTTTTTTAAGGTATACCCCCTTGCTAAGATAACGGATTAAAAAGTTTTGTGCTTCGATTTCTTTTCCCCCTTCTCGACGCATGTTGACCCTTCGTCCAGGTCTAACATTCTAAAAACTAAGAAAAAAACCACTACGACCCCTAAACCCCTTTTCGTTAAGCGTTGGAACTGTTATAAACTATTATAATAAATCGCTGCTTTTTGACAACTTGTTCTTCACGTAGCCGTAGCTTCTTGTGACCGCGTAGCCGATGACGTCGTTTTTCATTTTAGTTCTTGTACTTCGTCTACTTGCATCCTAGCACTTACGTCGGCTCCTCACAACGGGTCAAAACTCACTGCCGATCTCTGTCACTGGTGGGTGTCAAACGGGAAGAAACGAGACTATTTGAACCTTCTGGCTGTCTATCAAAATATCATGAGCCAACAGAGTGTGAGAAACCACCATAAGACCCGACCTCCCTCAAACGTTCGCTGAAAGCTAGATTAACACGAACATGAAATCAATAGCAGGGAAAAAGCAAGGAGATTCGGCTGAAGACCTCGTTAATTGGTTATAAGGAACTGCGATTCTGACTTATTAAGGAAAATTGCTGGACATACTCCGTATTGCGTCTATCATTGCGAGGTTATTCTCTGCAACCAAATATCGGGAACCAACGCGAGAGATGACTCGACCATCGCGATACAAATCAATAGTTAGGATGAAGGAAGAAAATTGCAAACCAGGAGAGCAGCCATTGATGAACTTAAGAGATATAAATATAGACTGGCTGAGAAAGAAACGAGGTCTCAAAATATGGAGTGTCAACATCAACCCTGTGCCTGTTATCCGTGATGTCCATAGAAAAAGACTTAAGCCGCTTTTCAACTTCATGAATCCCCCCCCTTGAAGGATGCAGAGGATAGAAAATTTCCTGATTCTGTCATGCCCATGAAAGAAAAAGAAAAAAAAAAAAAAAAAAAAAAAAGAATAGAGGAAAAGCCTGTTCATTTGTAGGTTTTATTCGGTCGAGGTGATTGATGTATAATGAAAACCGAGTACCCGTGAAATGTGAAACAGAAAAGCAAGATCAACTAGAATCGACTGAAGAGATAACAAGAATAACATGCCTTGGACGCCAGCCCTGTGTTCCTTTCCACCGTATGTTATCTCGTACCGTTGGAAAAGAAACCATTCCCTAAACTAGTTGGTAATGAAAAAAACTCCCTGAAGACCCATGATAGCAGTAATATCGATGATGAAAATGTCACCGTGACCGAAAAAAGGGGGAAATGCGAGGCATGAGGCGTGCAAAAGGGCAGGCAAATAAAATGGAAGTAGGAGAACGCAATGTATCTTCAGTTCGAAGGGAAAAAAAAAAGGAGGATTGTGAGGATAAGTAGGTACGTTGGAAGATAACTATGGATTGTGAAGAGGAAACCAGAGAAGAAACCGCCATTTATACCTGTTTGAAAATAAAAGAATGGAATGGAAAATGTCAGCGCTAATCGGGGGGTGAGATGCCTAGACAGGCAAATTGTTTGCTTGAAGTTGCTGCAATGCAATGCGACGCGATGCGATGGACGAAAACGTGACCGAGAGCGACCGAGAGCGACGAGTGATGTTCCTCCCATCCCTAAACCCCATGCTAAAAAAGTATATATCCGTTTTCGTTTCCATTATTTGAAAGGTGGTCGATTAGATTAAGTGTACAAATTTCATAATGCCTCGCTAGATTGGGTCGGACCGGGCTGGATTGTGAAATGGCCCTTGAAATCTTCATTGGATTGTGGATATTATATGACTGCTGCTGGCTTGAGGATGGCACTGCCGTCCTCCTTGGCCATTTCATTCGGACATTCTTCCAATACGCTAGTGTTTGCGCTTGGTATAGAGCTCCTGTCTGCGGTGACAGGGGAAAGATCGTAGACAGGACTGTTATCACGAGTGTATGCGAGACTGTTCGCATTGTTGTCAACATCCAAGCCTAGTGGTTTGCCGCTCTCCGCAGGCGAGGTTGGGGATGAAGGAGCCGGGTTTCCATATTTGTGAAGATGCCCTTCAATGCCGGCAATCTGTTTGCCATAGCTGCACTTTTTCAGCAGTGGCATCAATGGCAGAATTCGGCTTACAAGCATCTTGTAGTCGTCACCTTCCAAGACGCTAAGGGATTTTTCTATATACCAAACATCAGATATGCTGATATTGACATTGTGAAAGAATCTGAGGAGAAAAACTTACGAATGACATAGTTGCCGTATTGGTCGCGCATCAGGCCAAGCAAGGGGCCCTCTCCCTTCTCGTTGACAGCAGACAGAATCCGGGTAATGGCTAAACGTTGCTCCATAGTGCCGAAGGTGATGCTCTTCTCTACCACGTTGCTGGCAAACTTGTGCTTGGAAAAATGAACCGCTTGGCCAAGGACAATGGAAATGATCTTGTTCTTGTCAACCTCTTCTCCAAACTCGATTATGTGCTGGATGACATAATTGCCATATTGGTCGGAAATGAGGCTTGGAGTACAAGCGTGGATTTCAGCGAGAATGGATAAACGGTCAGCCAGAGGACAGTGCTCTAGCATGCGCTGGATTACCCGACATCCGTAAGTATGAGTGGCGTAACGTGGAATTTGGCCACGGAATTCATCAATGATGAATCGAATGTGCTGGTTTGGAACACGTTCAATTGCCTTTTGGATGACATGGTTTCCGTTTTGATTGGTAACGCACTTCATCACGCTGTCCTCAAGTTCCTTGACCATGGTGGCTTGCTGTTCAACGAGGACATGCTCAAGTGCCTAAGACTTGGTTAGTCCCGTACGTGTGTAGATTATGGTAATTCAATGAAAGCTTACCTTTTGAACAGTGCGGCATCCATACGTCTGTACAGAGAGTGAGCAAATGTTGCCTTGCATCTGCTGTGCGAGGAGACGTTTTTGTGCCTGGTTGCCATGCTCAAACAATTTTTGGATAACGTAATTGCCAAACAAGTCCATCATAAGCTGTACAGCATTGGGCCTAATCTCCTGGAACACCCGCTCCTTTTCATCGCTGTTCGCAGTTTCAAGCTTGAGCTGAATGAAGCGAGAGCCATGCTGATCACCACAGAATTCGACAATGTGACCATAGATATCTTTCAACTCATATCGTTTGTTGCCCTTGTTGTTTGCTCTGAACTCCTGTAGGACTGGACTACGCGTCACCTGGTTGGAATCTTGGTCTGAAGTGGAAGGCCGAATCAGCGACGGGGAAACAGGGCTGAATGGGCCCATAGAGTAGAGGGGTAGTTGTACGGGATGGATACCGTTAGGCTGGGGGGGTTGGAATGCTGCATATCTGTAGCCAGGGGGAAGGTGAATACCTCCGGGGAGCTGGCTCATGGCCACGGAAGGGTAAGCTTGCTCCTGCTGCTGTTGCAAGGTTGCTCGCAAACCCTGGGCTAGGAGTTCAGCTTGTTCTTCAGGGCTACGCTCACCAGCAGCGTAACGGTATCTTGGAGAGTACACCCCCTGGCTCATGGATTCCTGGATCTGACCATCAACGCTAGAATAGTAGCCGGGGATAGAGCTGCGCTCGAGAGTTGGGTGGGTGCGATCTTGTCTTCTAATGAGGGAGGGTAAAGTGACGGAAGGAGATGAGATTGTTCGGGAGTATGTTGCGTACTGGGTACGGGGTTCCTCGGGCTCGATGTTATAATTGGCACGGGACAAGACAGCGTCATACGATGCGCGTTGTTGGAATGACGGTCGTGGAGGTAGAGCTTGTTGTCGGTGCTCAGCTAAAGCGCCAGCAACCTTGACATCTATTTTTGATAAGGCAGCTGCAAGCTCATCTTCAGCTAAGCTAGGCCTACCATGACCTGTTGATATAGAATGACGTGGAGTGCCGCCTCCAAAATGGCTCGAGGAGGGAGTCATTGAAGCCAGGTTTATGGACGAGGCTGGAGGAAAGTAGGAAGATTGATCATTTGACCTAGAGTTTTCCCTGAATGGGAGGGTGTTGCCATGATCAAATGGATTCATCTGTGGTTCCTGCGTAGATAGCCCATTGTGTGCACTACTTCCGTTTGTGATTCCATTAATAGTAGATGCATGCTGACTGTTTCTTCCAACACCATTGTCAAACGCAGTGGTAGATGCTGGGGAATCACAGGTTGTGTGATAATGACTCCAGTTTGAAACCCGGTTGCTATTTGGCATGTTTGAAGCGGATGGTTGGGCTGATGCTAAATAGGATAGAGTTTCACTTCGAGTAATAGGGTTGACAGTTGTGGAGTGTCCTGGGGGAGTGTTTGATCTTGCATTTCCCGAAGACGTATGAGAGCTTGAGGTAGGGGAAAAATTCCACGGAAGAGGCTGTCCAGCCCAGCCTTCGGCCTCCGATGAAGGCAAAAGAGAGCGAGATCCCGTCACTGCATCTCCGCCAGCAGTAGTAGCCACTTCTGGAGTTAGCATGGAGAATTTTGAGAAAATCGTATAAAACCAGATGGGGAAACTATACCTTTTGGGTGAGTATTTTCCACCATAGTGCTAGAAATCCCAGTCATAGCGGAACGTGACCAAATATTGCTGTTCCAGCCTCCACTTCCAAACGCCGCAGAAGACTGAGCAAGAGTGGTTCTTTCACTGGCATAGCCAGCTGAAGGGGTTGAGTTTCGACCATTTGTACGCGCCTAAGGAACAGTTAGCAGTGGTCTATATGTTGAGACCATAGTGTTTTCCTTACCGCCTGCTGTGAAGCTGCGTTGGACATCCCTATAGCAGCCATAGTGCTTCAAATAGACAGGATGCAATGACAACAAGGGGGTTTTAACGTAGAAATCAAAAGGAGCTTTGTGTAGTGAAAAAGATGAAGAGATTTCTAACGGATTATCTGCAGTCGCAAGAAGGTCTGAATGTGCGGGGGAGAAATAGATAAAAGGAAGAAAGGAAGAAGAGGAATATGTTCCAGGGGCAGCAAATTTATTTGCGGGAGATTATAGGCATAGACAGGAAGAGGCCTTGCGCGTGAATAAAATTAGTGTTGATAAGTCACTGTTCGCTAGAATTAAGCAGTTAGTGAGCTGTAGCAGTGAATATTTCAGCAACTTCTAGTGACGGGGGAAGCAATGTGAATGTGTATATTTGGACTTTGGGGAGGGAGTAGTAGTATCAAGCTGTTGCCAAAGCAAACTAGATCATGTACAGAAGACAGCCGTACGGAAGAAAGGAAGAAACGGGGAAAAGGGGACCAGAGCTTGCACAGATAGGGAGAGAGAAGTAGAGGGATATAGAATAATGTAGATCGAGGCCAGAAGAAAATATTATGGCACGGGGGAGTTGATATATGGTGAAGGTAGAGTGACACGGCCTTGGACCGTGGAATGAGACCCTTGAACGGAACCAACCAGGTCTCTCTCGGACAGGCAAGACAGGGAAGGTGAAGAAATAAGAAGGGAATGAAATGGCTGGAGAGTGAAGGGGAAGAAGGAAACAAGCAGCAGAGGGTCTTAGTGAAGGGTAATTAAGAGCAAGGCACCCGAATGCAGGCAATTGAATGGGGCAAGGTCGGGATGCGTTTGACAGCACAATCGCGGCAAGCAGCCGCCTGGGAATTGATAAGGGCAGAGGAGGAAGTACTCCGTAGCGGGAGAAGGACGAAGAAAAGGAAGAGCTCCAACTGACCTCTGGTGTTCACATTATACGCCCCGGGGTGAAGCGCGACCAGTCTCGACAGTTCATACAGCAGTCCCCCTCCGGCCGTCTATCCGTCTGTTTGGCTGGCTGGGCTGGGGCTGGCTCTGGCTCTGGCTCCAACGGTCACAACAAAACGGCGGCAAGGCAACGTACAGTGAGCGAGGAGCTTGACGTGCGTGCGTGCGGTATGTAGGTGTATATGTGTGTCTCTCTCGTGGGGGCCGTTCCGAGAGGAGGGATTCTGAGCTGCCGGAGCTTCTATTTACAGTGCAAGCAAAGCTTTGTTTCGGTATGGACAACGATTGGGGGAGACCAGGTTCGAGAAGACGTAGGAGAGAGCGGCGGCGGGAAGATCGAATGCGGATCAGGGGGCCCAGCGGGAGCAGAAAGGACGAGGACAGACGCTTGTCTTGCTTTCCCCTTGCCGTGGCCGTTTATATGCTGGTTGTGGTGCTGGTGGTTGGTGGTTGTGGTTGGCGGTGGTGGTCGTCGTGGTGGACGCTGGCGGAGATCTCTGTCTGCACGCAACACCTGCGAGACTGCGGACTGCGAGCGGCCAGCAACGAAAACGAAACGAAACGGAGCAGCGTTTGCTTTCTGTTTCAGCGAGAGGAAACGAAGAGACGCAGCTCAGCAAAGGCAGCGGCTTGCGATGGAGGACAAAGAGAGGTCAAAAGCGCATGAAGCTGTCACACAGACGGCAACATGATGGCACCGCAGGGCTTCCGTCCAGTTCTCGATGGTAGGCGAAGACGGGCAAAAGTCGACTGCCGTCTGGAGGCCTCACTGTCCGCTCGAGTTAAGGGACTTTTTTGCTCGTCGTCGTCGTCGTCGTCGTCGTCGTCGCCGTCCGGGAGGTCGTTTTGGTGGTGGTGGTGGTTGGCCTGAAGAAAGCGGACGCAGAGACGAGAGAGAGAGAGAGAGAGAGGAAGGAAAAAAAAGCCACCCACGGCCAGCAGAAGAAGCAAAAATCAAAGAAGTATCAGCAAGAGGTCGCACAGCGTGTGAAACTACGGCGTACAAAGGCAACGGGCAGCGAGGGACAAGGCCGGTACACGACAATGACCTGACGATGCGGACGGGAGAGCAGAACGAAGGTTGAGGATTATCCCAAGCTACTTCAGGGATGCCGGATGCTAACCGTCGTGCACCAGGATTTGATATTAAATATATCTACGCCCAAACACAGGCGAATACCGCGGCCAGAAACGTCGAGGAGAGGCTGCTCGACGCCCGCAACCTACGCTTGGCCATGGCTGGCCATTTGTCCGGCTGGCTGTTCTACGCTGCGGCCGACCTGACGGGCCCAGGTGCTGCCAATAATACTCTTACCGGCCTCCGGCGACAAGCTAACTATCAAGCTCGCCAGCAGCCAGAGACGGACCGCTTGAACTCCATTCTGTCTCTGGATAAACCGCACACGCCCGCCTGCCTCTCGCTGGCTAGATGTCACCTTGTCACGGCGAGGTGAGAACGAAGGGCCAAGATAGCCTAGCAGTGGGAAAGGGAGAGAAGAGGCCAACTTGGCCCGCTGTACGTATCACTTTTTCCTGTTTTCGCTCGTTTCTTTTTCAAGCATCTCTGCTCTTAGTTCGAGCGGATGGGTACACAGTTCAGGGCCTACGGAATATGCAGCTACGGGAAGGGGGAAGCTTTTTAGGACATGCAGCATGAGCATCATCCCAAGACGGAGGCAGGCAGCGAGAAGAGCGCAGCCGGGGGGGGGACGATGGGGCCGCAAGCACACACTAGCCTGCCCTGGGTATTACCCGCCTATGTGCAACATTTCGCCTTCATCGTACATCGTCCTGCTGTGTACAGCATCTTTGTCCGCCATGGCCCAGCCCCGTCGAAGGGGGACCCGGGGAGGAGAGAGGGTGGAGGATGGGCAGGAAAGCAGAAGCAGTTCGCCCTTCTTCTTTTTCCTTTTGGCTTTTCTTTTCTTCTTTTGGCTTTTCAAGGGAGGAATAATAATGGATGGGACCGCTGCTTTCTCCCGTACCATCGCGCCAATCGCGATGGTGGACCAGCGCGGAGGCCAATGGGCCACGGATCGGCGAATATCTTCTACTCGTCTCATGGCTCATGGTCGACTGCCAACGTCAGGGTGTGTGTGAGTGGTATGGAAGCTACACCCCCCCTTCCCAATCTCACCATGACGGAGGCACTTCTATCATGTTTTACAGCTCTATTTCCACAGCCCGATATCTACCTCGTGAGAGGTGGACTCCGTGCAAAAGGTTCCAGGCCCTCCCCCCCAACACACCTGAAAAACGCCTCGGCCATTTTAGTTACTTGAGCGGTTATGAAGAAGAGCATCGCAGGGGGGGAGGCTAAAAGTCTCAAAGATAGGGCCAGTGGCCCACCCAGCAGATCGTTTTAAGGCCGGTATAGGGGTCCACTTGATCCTGGGAAACTAGACGATCCACAAAGAAGCAAATCCATATACTTATACGCCAACACACCCTTGACTCCTCAACCTGATAGTCCTTCCCATTATTGCCGTTCTGGCTCTGGCTTGTCCTCTCATGGTAATTTACTAACTTACGATCGATAGTTGGGGTACCGATGCGGCCCCCCATACTCTAGCGGGAAAGTTGTACAGAGACTTCGAATGACAGGCAGCGTTTATATGTGAGTGTGTTTGCTGTGTGACCTTTTGCCCGGCCCGGTGTGGAATTGCCTGCCGTTTTTATCATTGGAAGACGAGGGATGAATGATAGGGGATGGGGATAATCGTCCATATTACGCACATATAATTGGCATGTCCACTGCCTCTATCCATGCGCTGGCCCTAGTCTCTATCCCCTCCCCCGTACTCCAAGGTTTGGAACCGTCTCTGGGAGTGCTTTTGCTCGCACAGAGAGGAGAGGGTTATGATGGTGATGGAGTACAGTACGGAGTACTCCGTACGGTTACCCGTCCTCGTCGTAAAACGGACGGCACGACGAATACTGACATCAAGCTACATCTTGCTGGTTCGTCAAACCTCCCAACAGTTACTCGGCTGCTTAACTGGTCATCCTATTGTGGCCTCGCCTAGCTGAACAGGATGGAGATGGCATATACGTGTCATGATCGATTCCTGTACATCGCAGATACGAGCAGTCAGGCAGCAACCAGCAGCCGTCGAAATCAGTCTGTATGGAGTACAAGCTACCAACCACGGGTAGACAGTCTCTGTTTCTTTTCTCTGCTTGTCGACTTGAGCCCCGACCTGGCCTGCTTGTGCAGAAATTTGTTAGCCATCGCAGTTGCGTGGGGTAGCACACGAGACTGTTAGCTCTCTTTGCGTGGACTGGGGCTGGCAGATGCGCAATTGGGAGCACTGCCGCACTGCTCATCTCCTTCGTTTGTACATGTACCAGTCCCGCTACCGCATGGGGGAATGCTCTGCTATATCCACAGATTTTATGCACACAGTCGCGAGTCCGTCCTCTATCTCTCTGGCGGTCTGGTATAACAACCATTCGGACTCTGGGGAAACAGCAAAAAAGCAATAAAGTGTGGTCTGCCCAGAAAGCTGGGCTATACTGAGAAGCTGATCACCCGGTGCAGGATTGGGGGCCTGCACCACAGATACACTACTAAACCCAACTTGAAAATTCGGTACTTGTACTGCTCTGCGACCAAGATTATTCTCTTATAGCAGGACTGATGACTTCATAGTGGGAGTACCTGTTCATCTTAATCTGCTGATCCGTGGTTGAACTCATGGCTGGTGACAAAAGAAGAAAACCAACTTTTGCTCTCAGGAACCGACCAAAAAACGAGGAACATTGTTGCTTTTTCCCCTTTTTTTCTTCTTTGGATCCAAGCCAGGTACGGGGAAGGACGATTCTCAGCCACTGTCGATCGGTAGAACAGTAGTAGTGGGAGGGTTCGGTACAAGGCAAATGCTTCATGCTGAATAGATGGGTACAGCGTTGTTCAACTGTAGAAAGGTGAGCTGCCACCATCATACTGTCTGGTAAAAATAGTTGATCCCTAAAATGCACATTCAGTTTGGTTTCTTTAAGCTATATATCCATTATTTGTACTCCGTACGCTCTCGTATATAAAGACGGACGGTATATCAAACAGGTATTTCTCGTCTAACCACCCCTTCCAACCCATTTAGGGCCACCACCACCACCACCACCACCACCACCACCAACCACCATATTCTAGACTTTCCACTGCATGCTCTCCGGCGCCTGATATGATATCCAAATAGTGGAGGCAGCCCTACTGCCGGGCTTCCAACTTCTTCCATGCAATGCACGGTAAATGAGTGGTTTGGGACCGGAACTAGGCACAAGATGGTACAGAAAATGACGATCTACTTATATGACCACCTCTTCTCCCATTTGCGCCAGCAGTCTCAAAGATCTATTTACCGCTATGGGGTATTCCAATTTGGGTATCAAACCGACTTCATCGGTGGCAGTGAAAGTAAATAATGGCCTCATAAGAATCCACTGGCAACTTAGCGTCTACCGAATAAACAACCTGGGTTAAACGGGCAGCATACCGACAGATACTTTTTATATCCAGGGAAAAAAAAAAAAAAAGAAAACTCCGAAATTGATAGACGCATAGTGTCTTAACTCCTGTTAATTAACCATTAATAACATGTCGCTTTCTCTTTAGTTCACTCGGCCCCTTGCATGAGAGGGGGCCAAGCGGCCTGAGCTTTTCAGAGTGAAAATCCCTGGCGGTAACCCTGCTGAAGAGGCGAGAAAGGAGGCTATAAAAATAGGAATCCCCGTCCAGTATCCCACAGGCTCGGTGCAAACTGGCCTCTGGCTCCCGGCGAAGAGCGACGATCAGGGAATTCACCGACACGAACAGGGAAGTATCTAATAGTCCTATGTACGTAGCTAGAAAACCTCCGCCAGACCCAGGAGGTCAACCTATCTCGATAGACAAAAAATAGTCGAATGGCGGCACGATGGCCAGAACCGCTGTCAACTTCTCGGGCCTGGTCCGCTGGACGAACGGAACGAGGTCTCTCCTATCTTGTATTTTGGAGAAAGCAAGTGGTGGCAGGGGGATATATATTGGGCCTCAAAACGAGGCATTTTTAGATTATCTTCTTTTAAACGACCTGGGATTAAAATGCTGGATTGTTCGATGCCCAAGACCTGCATCCCTCTGTCCGGCGAGACGTTTCTTTGCTCGATGGCAAAAAACCGTACTCCGTAGTTGTACCCAGCCAGACCAGGCCAGTCGAGCCGGGGAAAGGCCTCATATCTCCGTACCTGAGCAATTGCCGCTCACCACGCCACACTCCGATGATAATAATAATAATGGCCAGTCCTGCAAGGGTGTTCTGAGGATGCTCTCGCCATCGACTTTTCTTCTCACGTCACTCGGAGTTGCCTTGCCGTATCACAGGGAGCGTCAACCTCTGCATTATTGTGACAATAACTCGGCAAATGAAACCAACGTCTCCGTATGGAGTACTCTGCTGCATCTTCACCTATCGAGAGCATATGAATAATAATATTAGCATGAATTCCTGGCCAGCGGATGGTGTGTTAGAGTTCGCAGTCACACAACCTGCTGGTGTGAAAACCTCTGTGGTTCGATAGCGCCGGCGCTTCCCTGCAGTTGTTGGCAGGGCATGTGGGCCAATGACGCTCCTTCATGTCTGGCAGGGCAACGATGCAGGCCCTCCGACCACCACACGGCGGCAAGCCATCTCGCACGCCCACCCCGACAGCACACAGCACCGCCTGTCTTCGCTCTGCGACTCCTACTCTGTAGAAGTAGAATATCAGGCTCCCTCTTTGTTCGTTTTTTTTTTTTTTTTTTTTTTTATTTATATATATATATAAATCTTTCTTGTGTTTCTTTTTTTATCTCTTTTCGCCTTTTATGCTTAAACGGCTTAAGCTGGTGGGCTTCTGACTAAGCAAGCAAGGCACCTCGTTGCTCTCATTGGCTGAATTTCCCACGGGACCGGCGCGAAGTGGAGAATGCCTCATCGCTATTGGCCAGTGCCTCCAACGCTAGTCTTCTTCAGGACTAGCGGCGTCTGCCCTGGGTGCTGCCGCCCTTTTTCCCCCTTTTGGCACCGCCCTTTTTTCTGCCTTCTCGCTTCGTCTTTTGTTTCTTTCTTTTCTTCCTTTTCTCGACCTTCAACAACATCACTGGCAGCACGTCTTCGGCGCTTCGAGCTCGACTGCTGCTCTTCTTCTTCTCCAGCCTCCTTTGACTCTCCCTAGTGGGTGCCAGATTCATTCTTTCGCTGGCTGCCTCACTGTCCGTTCATTCTCTGCTTGATTGACGCTCGCAACTTGACCCGCGCTCTTTATCTTCGCCTTGACGACCTACCGATCTTTCTATTCATTCACGACCATACAGCAATACTCTGCCTGGATATCACGCCAGTCCTGCCCGAATACAGACCTTCATTGACCAGATAACCGCCGTTCTTTTCGAAAATATACTTAGTCTTCCGACCATACTCCACCCGAAAATACAACAAGAACACCACAACCGCAAAGCAATATGGACAACTTGCGCACCATTTTCAAGCGCGGTGATGGCAAGGAAAGTGGCAACAATGACCTTAACCCTACCCTCGTCAACCTCCTGATTGCCCTGCTTGCTATCATCCTCTTTACCATGGCACTGGTCGGTATCCTGATGTTCCTCAACCGAAGACGCCGCCTCATGCAGGAGCGCCGCCAGTCCGAACTCCCCCTCTACGACAAAACCACCAGCCGCCGCCGTCTCACCATCACCGCCACCTCATACGGTCAGTGCATGGTTGACGAGAAAGAGTCCAGCCGACCTTCGAGTCCGGTCCCTGAAATTCGCATCACCTTCCCGGAGGAGGAAGATGCTGCTGGCAAGCGCACCTCTGGCCGGGTTGTGGTTGTCAGAATAGGTGAAAAGGGTGGCATCGGTCTCGAACCATGCAACGAAGACCTGCCACCATACCAGTCTGACAGCACCGAGCGATTTCAGTCCCTCGACCTCGAGCGGATGGGTGGCCTTAAAGAAAAAGGAGATCTCAAACAGTATTCATAGACAATGAATGCTTGTTTCCTACTTCAGCCCAAAAATTATAGATCTCCTCTTCTTCCACGCGCGGTGAATCCTCCCATTTTACGACTACGACGCTTGGGCGTTTATTCTTTTCGTTTCGATACCTCTCGGACCTATGGCTCCTAGCAGCGTGCGTTTTTCTTTTCCCTTTATACTCACATTTTACCCAGCTCGACTTCCCTTTTGGCTCTTCCCCCTCACGCCTAGGCATGCGAGCTTGGGTCTTCCGATCGTTCTGTTTCTGTATATTCCTTGTCATGACCCACCATACCCTGAAACGTTCCTAGGGTGTGAGTAAGTAACCCTGTGGCATACCCCCTCCTCCTGTTTCCTTGTCCCTTATTGGTTTTCTCCCTCTTAATTCTTATTCTCTATTTCATTTGGTGTGTATGATGAACCTTTCTACTTCTTTGGTCATGGTGCCGTCGGCATGTTACCGGACGGCCCCTGCGCCCCCCCAAATTGGACCCCATTTTTCTCTGTTTCTTTTTCCTTATCTCCCAAACCACTTACCTTTCTATACACAGCACTTGCGTTAATCGTAATGTTTGTGTATCTCGGCTATACTTCTTAGTAAATCCATTAATTTAACTATTTATTCTGAATATAACGCCGGGGTCATTGTAGAGCCACGTGATATCAAATTTGTGCAAAACATCCCAAACTTGAAGCTACCAAAAACTGGGTTGATTTATACCACCCTCTTGTTAGCTCTCACGCTGCTTCCAATTCCTACCGCTCGCCAGTAGCTCTAACTAATTGCTCCGGGTACACGTTTTAACAAGGCCTTTGTGGGCTGTTCGTCAGAGGTTCCGTGTCAAGCTGGACAGGAGGGCAAAAAACAATACCAATTGGCTTCACATCAGACAAAACCAACTGGCAATGCTTCCACTCGTTTGACTAAATAATAAAGAAACAGCGGACGACATGATTTAATTGCATACATCCGTACCAGAATACCTGCCTCCGAACGGCGCTCCCTCCCCGGTCGTCCCGCTCTTCCGTTTGATCTGACGCGCCATCATGAAACCAAACACCTCCCAAAAAGCCTCCGCCGCGCAAACTCCATCCTCCTCATCCTCGAACGTCAATCATGAATACCGCGAGATAAAAGCTAAGTTTGCTAAGCTTTTAGCTGAAGAGGAGGCTAAACGTGCTGCTGGGGCAGAGAAACCATCTCAGCGCGCAAAGAAGCCACCAGTGGACCAGTCGGAGCTTGCCAAAAGAGCAAAGCAACAGGACGATAAGCGGAATAAGGAGAAAGAGAATGAGTTTAAGATCCAGCATATAGGCATATTGCTGTTACTTGGGTGGTTCGGGTAAGTCGATTTCCCAATTCGATGGAAACTGTTTTATATCTAAAATGCATGGTGCTAAGCCCTGGGACATAGCCTTGTGCATATAATAGGGATATATTTCTTTACCAAAGGGTTCTTATTGACCCGGCTGGTACTGGAAGATAAATCGCAATGTGATGTCCTACCGTTACAAGATATCCCCGATGCAATTGCACCAGCAAACCTGGGCATCGATGCGCCCAAAGATGGCGCCGGAAAGGGCTGTTGGCACCCCAAGACCTTCGATAAAGCCGTGGTGATCATTATCGATGCCCTACGATACGACTTCACCGTTCCATCCAAGAGCATGGTTGAAGACGGACCACCTCGTCTGTACCACGATAATATTCCAGTTTTTTATGATACCGCAATCAATTCGCCGAATGATGCATTTCTCCTCCCGTTCATTGCCGACCCGCCTACTACCACGTTACAGCGTCTCAAGGGGTTAACTACTGGCACACTACCAACGTTCATTGACGCTGGATCTAACTTTGCCGGAACCGCAATCGACGAAGATAATATCATTGCGCAATTGAAATCGGCTGGAAAACGTGTTGTGCATTTAGGAGATGACACCTGGCACGCACTGTTTCCTGGATACTTCGAGGAGGAGCTTACGCATGCATACGACTCATTTAATGTCTGGGATCTATTTACTGTTGACAATGGGGTCACTGAACATATCTTTCCTTTGCTACATGCAGACAACTCCACGAAATGGGACGTGCTGATTGGCCATTACCTCGGTGTGGACCATGCCGGTCATAGATATGGACCAGATCACCCTGCCATGGCTGACAAACTGGCCGAAATGGACGCCCTTATTCGTAAAATGATGGATGCAATTGATGACCAGACTTTACTCGTTGTGATGGGTGACCACGGAATGGATCCTAAAGGTGACCATGGTGGTGAATCTGACGATGAAATCGAAGCTGCACTGTGGATGTACTCAAAGAAAGGTGTTTTTGGTAGAGTAAGTGACGATTCTCTGCTGCCACCCACAACGGCAAAGGAACGTCCAATCCCTCAAATAGACCTCGTGCCTACTCTGTCCTTACTCCTTGGACTACCTATTCCATTTAATAATCTTGGATCTCCAATCGAAGAAGCTTTCGCTGGCAAATCAGGTCAGGACTTCCGCAACCTTGCAGCCGTTAGTCGACTGACCTCGGCGCAAATCAAACGATATCAGCATGAGTATTCCAAGGCTCGTGGAAATGAGGCAGCCCAGACATCAAACCCACTTTCCACATGGTCCGAGGCCGAGCAGAATTGGAAAGTCATCCATGGCTCAGGCCACAATGAGAAAGTTACATATCAAGCAACCTACGATACCTACCGAGAGTACCAGCGCCTTACGCTCTCCGTATGTAAGGAGCTGTGGGCCAAATTTGACATTCCTAGCATGGTCCAAGGAATCGCTATACTCATATCCGGTGTAACCTTGCTACTATACTACGCTCGCGCAATTCGGGGCAATCGAACAAACATTACATACTTTACGCTGCGGAAAATCGGATATGGTTCCCTAGCCGGTGTTGGTGTTGGTGCGATATTAAACGTCAGCCTTGCATTGGATTTGCATATCGCTGAAAGCATAGCACTTGGGTGTGTTACAGGTGGTGTTATATCAGCAGCCTCAATGGTGCTTCAAAGCCAAAAGACTATTGGCACCATTATACCGAGATCCCTGTGGGGGTGGGCAATGTTTATCTTCACCATTGCCCAATCTGTTGGGTTTGCCTCAAACTCTTACACCATTTGGGAGGATCAGATACTTTTGTTCTTCCTTACGACTTTTGGTGTAGTTGCTGCCTTTTCGTCCTTGAGGCAGAAGGTTACGGCGGATAGAGTCCTTGGGTTCTATCACTCCATTGTCTTCACATTGCTTGGAAGGGTTGCATCGATGTCGAAGCTTTGCAGAGAAGAACAAATGCCTTACTGCAAATCAACCTATTATGCCTCCAACAACTCCTCCACGTCTTCTCCTTTGCAACTGCTCATTCCTTTCTTCTTATCTCTACTTCTCCCTGCTGTGATCCGGTCATATTACCAGGGAACCAAGTCGTACGAGGGCTCGGCTATCTTCTGGATCGGTTTCGCACTTCGAATGGGCCTCCTTATTGTTGCAGTCTACTGGACACTCGACGCTGCAGATGACGGAGACTGGTTTGCCATTCGAAAGGACCATATGAAATCAGCACGCATGATACTGGCTCAAGTTGTGCTCGCCATAGCGTTTGCCGCTGGGTCTACAACGTTTGCATGGGCTAAACCATGTGTCAGTATTGGTGTCACCCCAAATAGCACCCAATCCGGCGAAGCCAAAACATCCGTAACAATTCTAGGCTACGCAAACATTTATGGCACCCGTTACTTTTTGCTCCTGGTCAACTTTACTCTAGCTATAATCCTCCTTCAGAAGCCTATGGGTGGAGGCGCTGTTGGCCTCCAGATCTGGCAAATACTCTCACTCATGGAGATTCTTGATACGAATAACCTTACCACCACTAACTCTACGACAGGTCCTATAGTCCTTGCGCTCCTTGGCTCGTTTCACTATTTTACAACCGGCCACCAAGCTACTCTTAGCAGTATCCAGTGGGAGACTGCCTTCATCCCGCTCAAGACTGTCCAATACCCGTGGTCCCCTATTCTTGTGACTATGAATACATTTGGACCCCAAATCCTAGCCGCCCTCGCCGTCCCACTCACGGTTCTCTGGAAACGGCCGATTGAGTCGCGCCTAAATTCCAAGCCTCCGATCAGTGCGCCAGCAGCGTCATCCCCGGTACCAGCACAGGGTGATTCACAAAAGGCCTCTAAGCAATCTTCTCCAGCCAACAAACTTCTGAGTGACGTTGCACAAGCAACAGCAACTCACATGCTATACTATGCAACCATCAGCTTAGCCACAACTATGTGGGCTGGTTGGCTCAGGAGACATCTAATGCTGTACCGCATCTTCTGCCCGCGATTCATGATGGGTGCTGCTGTCCTGGCTGTTGTTGATATTGCGGCCATATTCATCGCAGCCGGTGGTGTACGATGGAGCACACTCAGCGTGGGAGAAATCTTTGGGTGGGCATGACACAGCTCATAAACGTTGTTTAATCAATCCGATATATAGACTATTCGACTTGACTTGTTCGCATTCACCAAGCATACTTTGAAAAGCATAACACTGCCGATACTGGTCTAATTGGCCGGTACATTTTCGTCCTTGAACAAGGTTTATTTGACTGATATAATGTAATTAATAGTCCTTTCTGCTGTATCATATATACTTAACGAGACCCAAGTTCGCTCACTACTATTCTTTGGCCTTCTCGGCGTATTACATAATCTTATATGCCAAGACATTACAACCTCTGGCAACGAAAGCTTTCAATCTGAGCTACGAAACGACCGAAAAGACACGACAGGTTGAAGAACATGATACAGAGGCCGCCCTCGATACTCTGCTACCCTGGCCTATAAGCGAGATTACTATTTGGCCCGTCCTACCTCTGGATACGAAAGGACTTCCTGGCGCATTAATTAACTATCCTCATCAGGTTGTTCCAGCCTCTTAACCCAACAACCAGAGTGATCTTACAACACACCGAAAAATGAGTTCAAACGTTGGCCTCACTACCCCTCGTGGGAGTGGGACATCTGGATATGTCCAGCGCAATTTATCGCTGCTGAAACCTCGCGATCCGAACTACGCAACCCCACCTGCTGGATATGGTGATAACGGGCCAAGCGATGCTGGATTTAAGCAGAGGCAGCCAGACAGGCAAATTCTCGAGCACGACCGGAGGAGAGCTATTGAAGTTCAGATCATAGAAGAAAGAGATAGGTTGAAGGAAGAAAATGAGAAGATCGCGGAGGAGAATAAGAAACTTACCTCGAAGAACAAGACAAATTCGGAAGAAACTAAGGAGGAAACACGACAAAGAAGAGTCGAATTAACTGAGGAAGAGATAGAGGAGAGGCTTGATAAGCTCCGTGAGAGGCTTACGAATGAGTTGGAAGATGAGTTGGCTGGCAGACACAAACCGGGACCTTCCCGAGAAGGGAGATACAGAGACCAGCCTGGTTATGAACCATATCCGTCCAGGCAAAGACGGCCGAATAGCCATGAGGAGAAAAGTGGCTATAAAGGCCGCAAACAGTTCAAGACCTACCAGGTTCACGAGCAGGCTGAGGCTAAAATCCAAGAGAGTGAACGGCTACGAAAAGCACTCGGTATACGCGGAGAAGAACAAGACCCATGGGATTCTGGTCATCGTGAGGGCCATGAAAGAGGAGGTAGAGACCGCTATGCTGATAGAGATTCTAGCCGACGGTGGTAGGTAGATGTAGAGAGATCTTGCGCATTTTTTGATTGATACCATATTACTGTATTCTACGAGCCAGCCATGGTTATTTCACTGGGGAATCGGCGTTTGGGGGGGTTTTCAGCTAGCGAGATTATGGGTCAAAAGGGATTTCCGCCATTTGGAAATAATGTCTATACTGTTACATGCTATCAGACATTAAGCTTCATACATCCATTATCTAAATATCAAACAAGTTCGTCCTTAAGATACCAGGGGAGAAAATCTCCTCTATCAAGGAGCATATATACCCGATTACCTCTATTGAACGAAGCGGTCGATAATCCATCCATGCTTCTTATCTCTGACCTGAATAACTTTTTTAGCTGGTAATGGCCAACCAGTACTTCCAGACTCTCCAACGAGTGAAGGGACCACCCAACATTCTCGTCTTTCAGGTGACCCTCCCAAACTCTCAATCTTCCCGATTGGTTTGCCATATTCGATCAGTGGTGTACCCTGTGCAAGGGCAGACAATTGAAGACCGCTTACAGGTGTGAGCGGGAACATACGAACTTTCGGATTGTCTCCAATATGGGAAGGTGTAGACTGTTGCAAATGAGAATACACCACATATTGGGGGAGCTCGTTTAATGAAAGCTTAGCAAGAACAGACGAAGGGTGTATATAAACTGCCCTGTCCTCTAACTCAGAGGAATAGTGGTCGCGAGACGGAAATAGTGTCAGGTATGGCACATCAATGGCCCTTCTTGGTTTCCGGGGCATATCGGGGCGAACTGGGGCAGCATCCGCACGGATAGCAATTTGATCAATAAAACCTGCAGCTGTAATCTGTTTCAATGCCCTAATTTGTTTTTCAGATGGTTCGCGTAAACGGGGTTCAAATTGCGCCAACAAGTTTGGATTGTTAATCCGGACCAGGTTGGATATCTGACGGCGTAGTTGCGACGCCTCTTTCATAGCATTCGGTCGCAAAAACATTTCAGAGCAGAATTTTTCCCCGTTAGGGGCATATGCATATGCGCAAACTGCTGTGAGGAATTTCATAGCATCAGACTTTTCGTCGTGCTTGCTAAATATCCTCTGCGCTCTGTGATAGTCCTTTCGGCGCTGCTCTCTCGCGTCGTCTTCGAGCCGATCAGCGTTCGTGTAAATTTTGTCTTCTTCCTCATCTCCAACAGGTTTGTTTTTCGTTAAGTCAAGCTGGTTTTCTTGAACGAACACCTCCGACACTGAGAGCGCGGATACCAGGGCTATTGTATATGGCATGCAGTCATGCTGTTGGCCGATATGTAACATTTTGCCAAATCTCGGGCTCAGGGGAAACAATGTAAGATGTCGTCCTGCATCTGTGACCTGGCCATCTAGTGATAGAGCAGAGAGGTTTTTGAGAAGACGTTCTGCTTTGGCTAGACCGATACGGTCTGGAGGAGTAGGGAAAGGGAAGTTAATGATGTGATGAAGACCCATGTGCTTCATTTGCAACACCACCCCCTCGATAGGGGTACGGAGAATTTCTGGCTCCGTATGCTCTGCAAATGAATCTTCATAGACCGCAGATGAGTAGAGCCTGTAGCAATGCCCAGGTCCTGTACGGCCAGCACGTCCAGCACGCTGGCTTGCACTCGCTTTACTGATCCATCCAATTGGGAAACTCTGGACACCAGTGGATAGGTCATACTGTTTCTCCTTTGAACGTCCACAGTCAAAGACATATCTGATTCCGGGTATTGTCAAACTGGTCTCAGCGACATTTGTTGCAATCACAATAAGACGAGAACCTTCGGGCACCGGTTCAAAAATCCGAAGCTGTTCTGTTGTTGGCAATTGGGAATATAGAGGCAGTACGTGGACCGTCGTCTTTGAGTCGACAGCACCCTCCTCCTCATCGAATTCATCGTCTTCCTCGTCTTCATCTGTTCCCCTAATATCGATATCGCTATCAAAGTCATCGTCTCCATCAAAGGCGGTAGCAGACTCTCCTCCACGACCAAAGTCAATATCGTCTGCCTCTACGGAGGCCTCTGACGGTCTGATCTGAACCTTAGCTTGTGAACGGCCGGAAGTCTGTGTGGATTTTAGTGCAGCTTTGAGACGCTTTGAGAGGTCCTTGATTTCGCTCTGACCCGTGAGAAAGACAAGAAAACCACCGGGAGGTAGTTTACGATGGCCCCTACAAACCTTTCGGAACGCCTCTTCAACATAATCTCGATGGGTTCGACGAGAGAAGTGAATAGTGACAGGAAACTGTCGCCCTTCCGCCTGGACTAGGGGTGGAGTTCCACTGCGAAAGAGATTTGGGTTTCGAAGGATATCAGATGTCCGTAAGGTTGCAGACATGATGACTAGTTTCAACGGTTTTATGGATGGATTTTCTGCACTCATGGTTTTTCGCAAATCCACAATACGGCTAACCATGCCTATTAGTAAATCGGTATTGACACTCCTTTCGTGGGCTTCATCAATGATGATCGTGGAATATTTTGAAAGTGAAAAGTCCTGTGCCACCTCTCTGATTAGGACACCATCTGTCATAAACTTGATTGCAGTCTTTGGGGTAACTGAAGTATCAAAACGAATTTGATAGGATACCCTGTCCGAAAATTGCGCAAGCTCCTCGCTGACACGCTTCGCCATACTGACAGCAGCTACTCGTCTTGGCTGAGTGATACCAATCATTCCAGGATTGGGACTATCAGGGCTTCCATAACCGGCCTCAAAAAGAAACTGGGGTAGTTGGGTAGTTTTTCCACTTCCTGTTGCCCCCCATATGACTACACAAGGGTTGTTGTGGATGGCTTCCATTATCTTTTGCTCCTCCCCAACAACAGGAAGATTCAAGCGAGCAGCTTGGATACGTTCGGGCCTGTTTATCTGGATAGCAAATGACTTCCTATCCGTATCTCCATTTGTCACTCTCAGTTCTTGAGGTAGTGGTTCCTCTTCTTCTGTCCTATCTCTCGGTTTAAAATTTTTGGCATTTTGAGGAGGAAGCGTGGGAGTAGCAACGTTATCTGGAGTAAACCCTGCTGCCTCATTGATTTGTTGCACCGCCCACGATTTAAATGCAGATTGGCGAGGTTTAATATTCTTTTCGGTTTCAACTTCGCTTTCAGAGGACATATTTTCCTCACTTTCTAAGTCTGAAACAGAGTCTTCCTCGGACTCACCACTGTCACGATGTGAGTCCGCTTCTGAACCTCCTGGTGCTTTATCTGCGCTAGACTCAGGTTCTGAATCAAAACCCTCCCACGCCGGTTCTTGGGTTTCGATTGGCTTTGTTTTTTGCATCCTCTTCCGCCGCTTTATGATAGGACGCCCATCCTCGCCAATCTCTAGTGGTCGCTTAAGGCCACTTCCAACTGCAGTATTGGCAGATATGTCTCCGTCTCCCCGAGCATTGGTATGAGACCGTGACGAAGGAAGATCATCATCGGAACCAGAACTTTCAGATTCAAGTATCTCCGAGCTCGAGCCCTTTTTACTGCCGGATGGAAATTGCGGCTTCTTGGATAGCGGTTTATTTGATCGTGCTAATGAACGGGAGCTCTGAAGCTGACTCGTGTCGATTTTCGATTTAGCGAGCTTTTTGATAAGTGTCAGGTTCTCGTCCTTTCGTAATTTGGTATCCTACCAGAATGTTTAGCAGTCACAACGAGAGATTACCAAAGAATCAAAGTCTTACGATATACTTATCCAATCGCTTTTGTTTTTTGCCCGATATTTTCGACTGCTGAGCTCTCAATTCCTCTCGCAACTTTTGTCTCTTCTCTTCCTTCTCTTTCTTGGACACTGGAGCTACCTCGGCAACATTGGTATCTTGTGGCAGCTTAGGCTGGTTTTGCCTATCTCGAGCTTTGTGCTTTCGCTGGCGGGGGACGAACTTGGGCATCTTCACTAACAAATATCACCACCAAATGCTGTCGAGTTCTTCCTCGTCCACCAAGATTCGAAGCTCAAAATTACAAAAATTAAATATTCTGCCATCTGAAGGCGGTGAAGATAAGAGAGATAAAGTTGGACCAGCTTATATAATACAGCCTCAAGGCAAAATAAGCAAACATGCCACTTCTGTGTATCAACAACAACTCTTGATCTTCCGTCGACCTTCGTTTAAGCCGCAGCTTGAGAGTAGTTGGAGCAGTTGGGTTGGTGCAGGATGTCGTCAGAAGCCCAAACTGAGGCTGTAGATGTGCAGTCGATGATTCCCAGCCTAGAGAACGCTCCTTATCCCGCTTCCACGAAACAAGCTGCGGGCGTTGTTGGTGGGCAGCCTACCGATGTCATGGTGGTCTCGTTCCAAGACCGGATACTCGTGACCATCACACAGAACGGACGATTAGCACAATGGGTACGCAATACTCTCATGAATGATAAAGCTATTTTCTTGCTTGTTCTAACGGTCGTCGCGCAGCTTCATGTGCCAATGGAAAGCCCAGATCCAGCAGCTGACTTCCAAACTCTGACCAGCAACCAGGAAGATGCCCTTCTTCCCCGCCCGGAATTTAATGCTACTCCTTTACTTGGTGGACGATCCGGTGATTGGGAGGTTGTTGGCCAGCTTTATGCTTGCCAAATCGCGACAGCAATAGCTGCAAAATCCCCTGAAGAGAAGAGGTTATTGGTTGTGGGACTTGGTCTAGAAACGCCTGACATTGATCGGGATATATATCTAGGTATCGTTGATCTTGTTCTGCAGTGCCTATGAATTGAGTTATGGCTCGTGGGTCAGAACATTGGTACACTACCACCACGTCAACCCTCCATAAACCGTACGTCATATGCATCAATGATGTAGGATACAAGACATTTGGAGAACCTTGCCCACATAATCGATATCAGGAGACTAGCCATTCACGAGGGGCTAATGGGGATTTAGCACCAAATGGGCCATGCGGCCGCGGTACCCATATATCAATGGTACACTTTTTTAATAGGAACAATTTGTTATTTCGACCACTATATTGATGTTTCAGTAAGCAAATTATTATTTGGTCATGAGAATTGTAAGTGTGTCAAAAATTCCACCTGTGACAAAACAATTAAGATACGCAATTACTTCATTCTATATATCTGATTGTCAGCCATGTTTAGCAATCAGCCCAAACTTTTTTAAGTCCGAATAAATTCCGAAATAGTTAGTTACATCACGTGCAAACCCCTGTTCATCAAGTTCGCATACATACAAATGCGCTCCTTTTACCTTCAGTTCTTCAGGGCGAGAACCCTGTTCTTCTGCACCTTACGAGTGCAACCATTATTGCAAGCACTGGATACTTGTGCTTGCAGTTGATGGGTGGATACTGCTTATGCCGAACCCTGTAGTTAGTTAAGCAACGACCTGCAGGTCATGGCGTGTCAATCGGAAATACGGGGATCTTCTGAAAAGGCCGACAGCTCCCTCCCAACGATTTTCAGACATGGCTTATTTTTATGACTTCTGTCCCCGGGGCTATTCGTTGTGTACTATCGATTCATGCACTGCGCCGAGGCTAACATAAGATACCATCCTGCTGCATGTTATCATTCCCCGGTCTTTAGTGTCAAGCTTGACTTCTGCAAACCCAAATAACACGCGATTAGTCTGTGGGGCTAGCCAACCAGTTCGATAGTTGGCATTGTTACCGAGCTCAGAGAGACCAGGTGTCTACCTCGGCAGAGACATGGCATTCAACAAACCCACATTGCTAGGGACGGAAAAGGGCGGAGATCTCGCTTCTCCGCTTCTATATATGCCCATATTCAACCATGGCCATGTTCATCCGTCCCCGGCAAATGAGATATCGAAGTTGAATTCTATGACAACTTTGATTCAGGGGCGGGTATGGCAGGAGAGAACTTGGTTCCTGTTGTTGTCGGGGTAGGGGACATAAAAAATGAATCAAAGAGGCTCGAAGATGCAGTTGAGCCAGCATATCTGATGATCGATGCCATTTACAAGGCAATTTCTGACACTGGACTTTCACCCGATAGCTGTATGAAGCTTCAATCATGTATTGACAGCGTGGATGTTGTTGCTACTTGGACGTGGCCTTATTCGGATCTCCCTACTCTTCTATCAGACAAGCTCAACATACAACCCCGTCACAAGTTATATAGTCATCATGCAGGAAATGCACCTGCTAAATTGTTTGATGACGCTGCTCGACGATTGTCCCAGGGCAAGAGTCAGATAGCTGTAGTGACTGGAGGAGAAGCTCTGGCATCGTGTATGTTCTATTTGTATATTCTACGAGAATTTTTTGTCGGATACTAAGACAAACTTGGTGGTAGTGAGTGCCTTCGCACGGGCGGGGAAGCCTCCCCCATCAAATTGGACAGAACCGGCTCAGAGCGTGTCCGAAGTGTTCCAGCCAAAGGGATCGGGGAAGAGAGAAAGTAAGTTCTAATGTCTAGTTACTGCTGGAGTACAGTTCCCTTACTAATACTAATGTAGACGTTGGAACGATACACTCTGTCGGTTTACCTTTACATGTCTATCCGCTATACGAAAATGGATTCAGAGCATACCGCAAACAGTCATTACGAGAAAACATGAAAGAATCAGCGAAACTATACGCCGAGTTTTCAAAAGTTGCAGAGAAGAATCCCCTTTCGTGGAATTTTGGAAAACCGGCAGAGACTGAGCAATCGCTCAGCACCGTCACAGGGAAGAACAGGATGATTTGCTACCCATGTATGTTACAAATTGCATGTATTATATGAAACGATGTGAACTAATAATTGATTATAGATCCACTGCTGATGAATGCCTTTAACACGGTAAATTTGGCAGCAGCTTGCATTTTGACCACAACGCAGACAGCTCGGCAGCTTGGAATTTCGGAAGACAAATGGGTCTACCCCTTGGGGGGCGCAGGTACTCAAGACAGCAACAATTGTAAGTGGGTGAATTGTTTTTGTTCCATTGAGCATTCAGTGCCATACTGACCTTAGCTTCTGTATAGTTTGGGAACGGCCGAACTTCTACAGTAGTCCTTCGATATCAAGGTCATTGGATGCAGCTTTGTCCTCCTCTGGGCTGAGTAAAGAAGAAGTCCACCTGTTTGACTTCTATTCGTAGGTTGATAATACCTATAAGCCACATCGCTCAGATGCTAATAACATGAGTGTACGCTCGAACAGATGCTTCCCAGTTGTTCCAAAGCTTGCAGCTTTTCACTTGGGCTTTCCTAGCGATGGCTCGAAACAATTAACTCTTCTTGGTGGACTCACCTCCTTTGGAGGAGCAGGGAACAATTATTCTATGCATGTAAGCGATATGCTAGCTCAAAGTATAATAACAGCGACTTACATAGGTGTATAGGCTATCACTGAGATGGTGCGGCAACTCAGAAAATATACAGGAACTCCTAGACATGGTCTGATACTCGCAAATGGCGGTTTATTGAGTTATCAACATGCTATCTGCCTCTCATCCTGCTCTAGGAGAGATGGGTTATCATATCCAGTTAAAAATCCTCTTCCTGAGCTTGTCACTGACGTCGTGATTCCGGGTATTGATGTTCAAGCAGAAGGCGAGGCTGTCATCGAGGTAGAATCTTCCAATGTACTTTGAAAGGATTCTGGCCATGCACTAACTCAATTCTAGACATATACTGTTGAGTTTAATCGAGATGGAAACCCTATGTTCGCATATATTGTTGGGCTTTTGAAAACTACCGGCCGGAGGTTTGTTGCGAACCATGCTGATGATGCTACCTTGGAAGAACTATCGGATCCTGGGAAAGAGCCTATTGGAAGATCTGGGTACGTGACTACTGATACTACTGAGGGCGGAAAAAACCTATTTTCCTTAAAATTACTTACGAAGCTCTGATTGTGCATTTCGCTATTGAAGTGCTTTGATGACATGGCAATATTAGTATTTACACTCTTTGTATATTAGTCGACTACTTTCTCAGTATAGATTTACTAGCAATTATTCAGTTGTTAATTACGGCGAAATGAACAATTGATGGCATTCTTTATCAGTAATATGTAAGAATTGAATGACCACTTGACACTTACACCTTGTTTAATGAGAGGCCATGAAAAGCCCTTCTAGTGCTAAATGAATAACTCTCGCCTCTACGCTCCAGAAACATTGACTCAGAGGTAATTCTGGCTGCTATTCCCAGATAGGGTAAAGAAAACGTGCTTGAGAATGTTTTGTAAACCAACCGCTGATATTACTACCTGATTGCATGACTTAAAGTTGACAAATTATTCACCCCATAAGGAAACGAACCACGGCTTTAGGAACTGCTGCTTTTACGCAACGTTGTAACAACCTCCTGGAACCGCCCCTCGCCAGCATCACGGTCATAAAGCCGTGGATCAACCGAGTCCCCGCTAAGGTTACATTTGAAACAGCGGCCATTCACGTAGTCAAGATTGCCCTTCTGTTCATCAAAGAAGCGACGAGCTTCTTCAGCACTAAGGCGGCCAATATCGTACATGCTTGGCCATGCCTTCGCGTAAAGAGCCAACATCAGCTCGACCTTATCTAGGCCCGTAATATCGACTTCTTTAAAGGCTTGGTTAAATGTTAGCTCTGCTAATATTATCAGATAGTAAGGATGAGCATGGCGTACTGGACATCCTGACACCCAATAGATAGCTGCAGTTCTAATTTTCGGTAGGAAAGTGGAAAATTGTCAAAGAACTTTCAAGTAGGGTCGTTGTAAGAAAAAAAAAAAAATGAAATGCACTTATGGTCGTTCTCTTGGGCGTCCTTATGACTTTGATCTCTGTAATTGGTGTAGGATAGTTGGGAGTCTCGAAGTAATTGTTGATGAATATGTAACTGCAGAGGAATAGGATGCCCTTATATATAAGGATCCCTATTCTTTGGTCACAGAAATTTATAGCGCTCCAAAACTGTCGGAAGTTTTATGTAAAGGAGAGAGGCACTTAACAATATGTTGAAGTTCAAACAATGGTCTATTCGTGACAATAGAGCAAACAATGGTTGCCTTTTACCATGGGGCTTGGATTGACTTCAACTGTTTGCAGTGGTACAAATATCGCGGATTCAATTTTTTCTTTTGCTGTGGTTGTTCATTCTCAAGTAATATTACCTTGAGGCTCCAGGTAGTTTTCTAGTGGCCTTGCCCGTTGAACTTAATGTAGAGTGTAGCCATTCATACTATTTTGGTTAGCCACAAACATCTATTGCAGGAAACTAACATATTAACAATTATTCCTTTATTTAGCAAAGCCATCTAACTGGGCTATCTGTATAAACGAAGTTCCCAGTCGCCGGTAGTGATGTGTGTGATGGCGTTTGATATCTTGAGGCTCAGCACGGCGGTAGTTATTTTTAAGTTAAGTTTATGACATAAGCAATGCCAAGTAGCTAGTGCTTAATTATTCGGTCACGTGGTACTACTCCTGCACGTCAGCGGAAATTAATGTAGGAAGAGCGCGACTTCGGGAGCAAGTCCATGGGCTATGGATTAAGCGCGGTGTAGATTTTCTATTACCGTGGAGCCCAGTGTTATACACAGGCTATTGGCTGTAAGCCATGGCTTATAGACAGAATGGCCAGTATCCGCCGTCCCAATCACCACGGCAGCCCTATCCTCCAGCAACGCCTCCGCAACAATCCTACCATCAGTCTCCCCAGGTCTACCCACAGGTTGTAATTCCAGCATATCCTCCTCACTTAGCACAAAGCCCGCTGTTACAGCCCCCGATACGACCGCATGATTTCACCACCTCGGCTGTCTCTCAGCAAGTCCCTCCTCATTATCCTGCTCCGCCGCATGCGAACTTCCAGTATGGAGGGGTTTCCGCTACTCCAGGCTCGCCGTATGCGATGCCGAACCGACATCCTGACTCTTACGCCTCTCCACACTCACTGTACCCGGTGACCCTACCACCCCATTCTCAGACACAAGTTCCTCCGCGTCCTTCTCAGCCGGTACCTCAGCGACCAGTTTCACAGCCAGTTTCCCAACCAGTTTCTCCTCAGGTACAGAGTCTACCACACACCCAAGGATACTCACAATTTCCTACACAACCAAGTCCGACGATACAGAACAACCACAATATACCGAAAACGGCTAAGACACCCACTCCCCGACCTCAAACTCGGCCGTCACCACAGATGACGGGAACAAAATTGTCACAGCAGCAGAAACAGGGGGGACATGACAATTCAAAGCCACACGTGGACTATCAAGTTTTGCTTCTGGCCCTCGCCGATGAATACCTTGATGCAGCACATAGCCAGGCTACTTTAATTGCAGTTTCCCAAGATGAGCACGAGACAGAACAGTATTACAAATTGATTGCCACCGGGCTGCGATGTATGGAGGCACTGCTGAAGGTTTGTTTCGTACTGTACTGTTGACTGCAGTTATTGGGATTGCCTAGGGTGGAAGTAAATGTACATGCTGACATATATAGAACTGGAGACTTGCTCCCCAAACAGAAGCACTTGTGACCTTGCGCTTCGCTAAAATACTTTATGAAGAGACGAATAACGACACTGTAGCCGAGACTATATTGAGCAAAGGGGTACGCTTCACTATAATCCCATCCATACTTAGGCCCCCTACGTTCTGATTTTCTCTGCTTGTGAGATGCTAATACTGTAAAGATTGACCTATGTGAACGGGTGTGTAGTTCGTGTGTGTGGTGATCCAATAGTCATGGATTTAGCTTACAGGGGTATTGTATAGAATAGGATGTTTGATCTCAAATACGGTATGCAGCAACTACTATGCCGAATAGTGTCCAAATCCAACCCGCGAGCCGCAATGAAGACAGTTGATGGAGTGATTCGTGACATAGAAACGTAAGTGTACTTTGAGGCGTCTTAAAAATTCTTCTAACTTGAGTAGGTATCGACATACTGGCTGGGAGTATGCGTTTCGGTTACTGAGGGCTTCAATATCACTCTCGCCGCCGCCACACCAGGATTTGGTAGGTGCATTGCATAACCTTCAAAAAATATCATCGTTAGCGGCATCATGCGGTGATAAAGCGGTCTCGACTATAGCCGCCGTTCTTGAGGCTTTGATCCACCTTCAGCAGTCCACAAACGCAGACTCCATCGAACATGCACAGCGAGCAATTGCTACAGCTCGAAGTCACCAGCTTGATCCTGAAATTCGTGGTATACCCCAACTTAACTCCGTCATTCAAATGATAGATATATGCTGCAGTGTCCTTGAATACGATACAAACCAGTCTAGCCAGAAACTCAAAGAAATGCAGCGATCCATGGACAAAGATATTCATAACCCAAAGTGGAAAGATGATGGGTCGTTCGCTCTGCCTTTGAGCGCCGGAACTATGAAATCAGCGTCACCTCGAGAGCCTCGACACGACGGTCACATATTTGAATTAACAATGAGCTGGCTTCCCGAACATGACTTGTATGCACTGTGCTATTTTCTAAGCTCTGTCACCTTGAGTGCAAAGAATTCGCAAGATGGCCATAAGGCAGAGAAATATCTTGAGGAGGGCTTGGGAATGATGAGAGGTAAGCGTATTACTCACTCTTAGCCCTATTAATCAAATCGTCACTGACATGTCTTCTAGCTGGTCTCTCATCACCCCAGGGGATCTCTGAGTCTCTTGTAGCTTCCTCTTCTCGAATTCACTGGAGGAGAAGTTTATACTGCAACATGCTCCTCCAACAGGTTTTTCTCTTTTGTTCTCGGACCGAATGGCGAATGGCAAATAAGACACTTAAAGAGGTCAGGAGTACGCTGGCCGAGCTCGGTGACTCAGTAAGCGATGATATTAGGTGTCTGGCCGAATATGCACGCGGCATAATCCACCAAGCAGTCGGCGACATCGAAGCTGCGATGGCTACCTTCCAACAGCCCATGTTTTCTCTGTCCCAGGCCACCAGCAAGATCCCACGAAGCAATCCTCACCGTGATACCATAATCCTAGCCAATTTGAATCTTGTACTTCTTTTGAGAGACCCTTCAAAAGCAGATCACTCTCTTGCTTCGGAAACACTGAGCGTTCTCGGCCCACATTGTCAGAATAGCCCTAACAAATACATCCGGGCAGCTCATTCTCTTATAAGTGCTACTGTGCACACTGAATCTACAATTCAGACAAAACGTGATCTTCACCAGGCACTACAAGCGGCCACGGCAATCCAAAATTGCCAAATAACCTGCATCGCCCTGACGTTTATGAGTTGGAAATATTTCCGTGGCGTGATTGGTGAACAGTCTGAGAAGAGTGCCATGGCAGCTAGAGCCATGGCAAGAAAGGCAGATGATAAGTTATGGATGAGTGTCACGGATGATTTGCTAGCTGAAACATTGGACAGACAAGGAAAATCAGCCGATGCCCAGACACTGAGGGCCAAAGCAGATAAAAAGTTGGAAGCATTGCCGCCGGCGTTAAAAATGAACAAGCCTGATGGGACTGGAAACGGAAATCTAAGCACCAACGGTGGTGCCTCAAAGAAATATGTCTAGATATAATGCATGTGATATATTACAGCGAATATGGCGTTAGAAACATATCGACCTCATGGGGAGAACGGCGTATTTAAGGGGGCAAAGGTAATAATGCATTTCAGAGCGCAATCTCACACCACATAGGTCGGTTTATTACGTTCTATATAATGGGATGGCCGACACACGCAATGGCGATTGTTATCCGTATGATACGGAGGATGACTGATTGAAGATAATCAGCTTGCTTTCCTTCTAACAGAGCATATATACAGTTTGCCGAGTTTACCTTGGTCAAGGACGTCAATTCAAATGCAAATAAACAAGGCTGACAATAACCACCCATTAACCCAACTCCTTTGAGGGTATACAGAGGTCTTCTGAATTGTCCCTTGCTCGCCAATGTAGCTAAGCCCCAAACTCCAGAAAACAGAAAGCAGAGTAGTAAATATGCATAACTCGAAAGCCAAAATGGAAACAAAACAGCAATGCATGCAAAGGGGGAATCATTGTACAACAGAGAAAAAGGACAAAAAGGAAGAGGTGGACGGATCAGCCCAGTCCGCCCCATGCGCCTCTTATCCTTCGTGCTAGTTGTATGTCCTTTTGCATGATGGTGACTCGTTTAGCGTGGATGGCGCAGAGGTTTGTATCTTCGAATAGGTGGATTAGAAAGGCTTCCGCGGCTTCTTGCAGCGCTTGTATTGCTTGTGACTGCCACCGTAGTTCCTGACCAACTTCCGAGGGTAGCAGATCCATGGCAATTTCACGGACTAGACGAGCGAAGGGTAGTTTAAGAAGAAGAAGATCCCATGATTTCTGGTATCGTCGGATTTCCTTTAGCGCAACGGTTCCAGGGTGATAACGATGTTTCCGCTTGGCAGGTAGGGGGTCACCAGCTGGACAATTCTCAAGTTAGATAAGGAGATTATTAGTGTCAAGTATGTATTGGAGAAAACAACATACGCTGTATATCTGATGTTCGCGATTCTCTGGCTTTCGACTTCGTTACTCCCCCTCTACTTCCGCGCGACGAAGAGCCGCCCCTCGAGCTACTATCTCCACCACCTGTTCTCCTTGCCACAGAGGATGACCCGGGCACCGTCTTAGCCCCCTTTTCCGCTCTTGGTGGCATGCCTTATCTCCTCAAATATGATGCGCGCGCAGTGTGATAGCTTCTAAGGATTGCGGGGTATAGACTCGAAAACGATCGTAGCTGCTGCAAATCTCCCTGGAAGCGATTGGAGGAGTATTCCGGAAGGTATTCAGTTCAATTGAACATATCTCGCCAAAGAGTGCAAGGATGTTGGCTTCAATGACTTGGTATTTGACGTGAGCGCCGAAGAACGGTAGGTATAAAACGGCGCAAAAACGGAATTTGTTCGAAAACAGGAGTCGCAGAGACAAGGATGCCGCATCCAGGCCTGGATAAAGAATCAAACAGAGTCACAACGCAGCAGCTTCGAGAGACAAGTCTGCCGGCTGGTCGAACAACTAACGGGCGAAGAGAAAAGAAGTCAAAGAGCCGAAAAGACGAAAGGACCTCCGGGACGTTTTTTTCTGTCTCCCCCAGCCATCTCAAAGTGGAAAACGCGACGTCGAGGCCAGGGAGCTCTCTGATTGGTTGAAGCTCGCGCCCAGCCACTTTACGCGTCTGTCACGCGACAGGGGAGCTAGTCCGTATTAGGATTAGCGTAATTAACCGGACAATAGTTATTCCATCTCACGTGACTTTTACTATTACGCCAGTTATTACATAATCTGATGACAGATAAGCTTCCTGAAGTTTCCTAACTTATCAAAACGAACGTCGAGGAACAAAAAGAAACAACAGGCTGGCTTCAATTTCAGGCCAACGAGGGACTCGCAGTCACTTTGCTTTGCTCTCGATTACCCTGGTTTCATGGAAGTCGGCTGCGCGTGATATGCTAGGCACACGTCTCCATTGACCTGGATTTGTTCTTCGGAGAAGACGCTCACTACATCCACCCGTGCCCGCGCTGAACTTCATCTACAGCAAGCATGGCGGCGATCTGGGGCAACGCCGGTCAGGGCGGACAGTTACCGCTGGAACAGTGGTTCTATGAGATGCCACCGTGTACAAGGTGGTGGACAGCTGCAACAGTGCTGACATCGGTTCTGGTGCAATGTCACGTTCTTACTCCTTACCAGCTATTCTACAGCTTCCGGTCGGTGTTTATCAAGTCACAGGTGAGTCCGGTTATTGAATGCAGCCCGCTGGCTATCGGATATACATACTGACTCTGGTGTGTAAAAAACTAGTACTGGCGACTCATTACAACATTCCTCTATTTTGGACCGTTAAATCTAGACCTGTTGTTCCACGTCTTCTTCCTCCAGCGGTACTCGCGACTACTGGAAGAATCTGCCGGCCGTTCTCCCGCCTTTTTCTCCTGGTTGCTACTTTACGCAACGTCCATACTCCTCCTTGCCTCGCCATTTCTATCTCTACCATTTCTCGGCTCTTCCCTCTCTGCTAGCCTGGTGTACATCTGGGGCCGGAAGAACCCAGATACAAGGCTAAGCTTTCTGGGACTACTCGTATTTACAGCACCATACCTGCCCTTTGTACTCATGGCATTCAGCCTGATTGTACATGGAACAATTCCTAAGGACGAAATATGTGGTGCTGTGGTGGGACATATCTGGTATTATTTCACGGATGTGTACCCTCAAATGTATGGAGGGGTGCGGCCGCTGGATCCTCCCGCCTGGTGGAGAAGATTATTCGAGTCAACCAATACTCAGGATCAACGAGCCACGAACGCAGCCCACATAAACAACGACATGGCTGCCATTGCCGCTCGGGACGTGAGATAAGCCATACTATGGTTTTTTGCGCCCCGCGGCTTCCGGATTGTAGCCTTCTCCCTTCTACGTTTATGAAAAGGATGGCAACTATGGGCAAGTGGAACTACTCTCTCAATGGACGATGCCCTTTTGCAGCAAAATTGGTGACTAAGGAATAGATGGTGGCATTCTTTTAATCTTTTATTTGTTGACCTTTATAAAGCATTCGGCACTACTCTGGGATACCCACTTATTGTACACAATGGCGTTTGGTTGGTCGGGGCTCGCATAATTTATTTTGTTTCATAGCCTAGAACTTGAATTTGAGCTGCATTGCTTCCTTTAATCCTTACACTGCTTGGTAAATAGGTTGAAGCTGGTGCATTAAATATGTTGTTACTGCTACTATGCAATGGCCAGAGTAATAACTGGAAGCACTTCCACGAAATATATATAATGCCAATCAAAGATAACTCAATTAGCGGGATTAATGCATATAAGTTATAAAGGAACAGAACAATAAACTGGGAGCTAGAGAAAGAAGGTCACAAAGGGGAATTGATCGTTGCATAGTGCTTAGACGCTGGAACGCATTGGACATTAAGTATGTAAAGAAGAAAGATGTGATGCGAGGCAAAAGTGAAAGAATCCCTTGAGAAGGGGGTATCAAACGAAAAATATGAAAGAACACCCCTGTAAACATCTACAGTGAAAGGAGAAAAAGCAAATGGCTATTGTGATCAATCGGCTTTGACAGCACTGTATTGGTGTATTAGCGAATTAGACGTTGTGATGGTAATGGAGAGGGGCAAGCATACCTGTATATCCGCCGTACGAATATGTACGCTGCCAGGAACCCTACGGTGCCCGTTAACAGGCCGTATACGGCACAGCCTAGAAAACTGTAGCTGAAGAACAGGAGGCTCGAGATGAAGCCGTGGATATGAAGTTTTGTGAAGAAGTACCATATGCAGTACATAAAGATCCAGACTGCGCTGCTTCCGCCGACCATGAAGCTGTGCCACCACCAGCGATGGTTCTAGGGGTGGAAAGTTAGTCAAACACGAGGGAACTCTGCTGACAAGGGGGTAGAGAACCATACCTCTGCGCATAATAGGGTGTAGGTAGTTATGATGGCCATCTCGGCGATGGAAAGAAGAGTCAGAAGCCCGACTATGCTTAGGTAGCCGAAGACGTAGTAATATCCACCCTTGTCCTGTAGCATGTTGCGGAACAGGAAGACCAGTTCCACAAACAAGACGGCGAAAGGAGCAAAACCAGCAAGAATGATTCCTCTCAGCGATCCCGAGTACCATGGTTGTGGAGGTATCGGTCGTGGAATAGAACTAGTGCGCGTTGGATGGCTCCATGGCTTCGATCTTTCGTAGCCATACCAGCTGCCTGCGTAAACGAGGGGGACTTGGATGAGAAGCCAAAGAGCAAGGAGACCGACCAATGTCCCAAATGGAAGAGCCGTACTTGATGCCTGAGCCCACACGAACAGGTTCAGAACGAAGATTAGGGAGAAGACTAGTCCGGGGAATAATAGAGCAGTCTATGTATTACTGGTTAGAGGCCGCTTCTTCGTAAGAAAAAAGAGGTTAAGGGAGAGACCTACTATGAATGCGTTCTTCCGCCAGTTCATACCCCCTAAAGTCCTGTAGAGCCGAGCAGAGAAGTATCCTGAGAATATACCTGCAAAGATGAACAGGCCAACGCCCACGCTGATGAAGCCGCCTCTAAAACTGGGGTTCAGCACTCCCAGGCAGCTTAGAGATAACAGCCCCGTAGCCATGAAGAGAAGCTGCATGCCCGATCCAACAAACGGTGCAAGAAGACCGCTATATGCTGGCGTTCGAAGGACGTCGCCGTGAAGTCTCTTCCACGACGAAGCATCATCAAAGTCCTCTTCAGACGAGAGGTCGTCGTCCGAAACGGCACCGGCACCGCCATCGAGTAGACCGTTAGACGACTTCTCGTCCACAACCGGAGCCGAGCCGCTGGATTTTCGAGATCGAAGCCTGCTGGCCTTGCCATCCTCGAGCAAGCCGTCTGTTCGACCTTTGGAGTCTCCATAGCCAGTACGACGGTATATGACCAGCACAGTGACACTTAAAACACCACATATCACCAGGGAATTTAACAATGACAGCCAATGCGTGGTGGTACCGTCCTGCTGGCTGTACAAGTATAGATCCCATCTGTTCGCCCATTCTACATTGTCCTCTCGTTTGAAGAAGACAGAGTACGTGTAAGGAATGGACAGGGTGGCACCGTCGTCCACCTCGTCGTCATTCTCCGGCAGGTAAGATGAGCCCGGGTACTGCTGTGCAAGACGGGTGTTGTTGGGCTGCAGATATAGCTCGAAGCCATGATGCACGGTGTGCACATCTCTGGGACACCCGTCCCGCTTCCTGCCGTCGCGGCTGATGCTCTTGGGGTATATCTCGAAGCCGACGATGACTTTCTGCCCGTCACGACCACGCGGCGCATCTCGCCACCGAATCACGAAGGAGAAATGGTTGTGGATATAATGCGTCGGCCGCCGGCTGGTCGATGAAACAGCCTGGTACCCTAGCTTGAAGCCGGTGGTGTAGTACTTTTGAGATTTGTCGACGGTGATGAAGCTGGTTGCGCCAGGCAGATTATCCACGATCCACTCGGCCACGAAGCCGTCTGATATCAAGCTCTTCGCCCAGTTTACGTCTCTGCGTCCGATCTGGCGGGTACAGAGTGGTTTACAGGCGACGTTCTGTCCCATCTCGAGCTCGAAGTCGGACAGGCTGATGCGGTCTCCGCGCAGCACCTCGCCCAGGTTGAGGGGGATATTCTGGCTGCTGCCGGCCCTTGCGGTGGCCGGACAGGCGAAGGGCAGGTCCGAGTAGGCATATTGAAGCTGCGAGTTGTCCGAGAAGATCTTGTTGACGAGGACGGGGATGCGCTGGCCGTCTTGATATGTTTGTATCGAGTATCCTGGCGCGCGAGTCCGTCAGCCCGCACCCACCACAAAGTATAGCAAAGTAGACGGCTATACAGTGTACTTTTTTTTTTTTTAAGGCCGTATAGAGCGTTAGAAGGATAACTACTTACCGGGCACGTAAAAGGCCGTGGCGTGCGGCAGAAGAAGCAGAAGCAGAAACGAGAGTAGATACGCGAGCTGCGCCGTCAAGTCCATCTCGACCCAAAGTTAGCTCACGACGAGCCTACATCCACGCAGCCGACACGGAGAAGAGGAAGAGAAGAGGCTAGATGGCAGTGAGGACCCCCCCGCCTCTTGTCCGTACGTAGTTATTGATCGTGATTTAAACGAGGGACGAGGGTGAGACAGAGACGAGGACTTTGATGGTAGCGATCGAAGGATGTAGAACCGCCGCAAGGCTCGGAAGACAAGAAAAGAAGACCTTTGGCTGGTCAAGTGCGACGGTATGACTTAATACAAATAAATAAACGAACGAACGAACAGTCAAGCCGGGCTCTTCTTATTGTCTTCGTTTCTTTTCCCGATGATGAACGAGCTCTGGATGAAACATGGACGTTGCTGGCGAATTAACTAGAATTACTATTTACACAGCGAAGAAGAAAAGAAAAACACAGCGAGTTCAAGAGCAAGAAGACGGGACGAGATGGAACTGCTTGGTTTTATATGTGATTTGAGAGGTAGAAAAGGGCCCATTGCAAGCCGGTGGCCGCGGCATGGATCTAGATATTTAAGAAGAACAGGCCTGGGAGGGGACCCCGGGCGATGGAGGATACGATCGAGACTCTTACATCGGCCCAGCTAAGACCGGGATGGCTGCAGATACGGCAGAGAAGATCAGGGAGCGGAAAGGGAGATAGAGACGATGCAGGAATGTCATATTTATTAAAGCAGGAAAAAAGTACATCAGGGTTATCGTAAGAAGGACGTGGTGGTTAAGTTAAATATCGACCGACACGCATGCAGTGATGGGAGGATGCAGGAGAACGTTAAGGAAAAAGGGGGGAGAGGACTAGGAGAATTTCGATCACGGGGAGTTGAGCAGATACTCGATGGCTCCCTGGACGCTGCCGCCGGACCGTCTCAGGGCCTCGATGTTCCTGTCAAACTCGAAGAAGCCCATGTCGTTGAGCTGCCGAAGCTGCTCGGCGTACCGCTCCTCTGGGGGACGGTTGTCAGGCGGCTGTGGAGGCTGCCCGCCGAAGAGGGAATGTAGTAGGGGATTGCTGGCGTTGGGGTTGGGGTTGGCGCTGGAGTTTGCGTCTGCTCCAGGACCGCCGCCCATGGCTTGCATGAGCTGAGAGAAGAGAGCTGGGTTCTGCATGAAGGGGTTCGGAATCGGTTGGCCGGGCTGACCGTCTGCGTTTGGCAGTTGACCGAGCAGTGCTGGGTTGAACAGAGAGGCGAAGGGGTTTGGCTGGTGCTGCTGCTGCTGCTGCTGCTGGTTGCTGTTGCTGTTGCTACTGCCGCTGTTGTTGGTGGTGTTGGGTCCTGCTGTACCTGCGTCTCCCGAGGCTGCACCAGCGGGAGGCTGCTGCATGCCGGCCAGGAACGAAAAGGGGTTTCCACCGGCGCCGGGCATGGCGAGGAAAGGGTTAAAGGGAGGCATCTGAGGTTGGGTCTGGTTGTTGTTGTTGTTGTTGTTGCTGCTGCTGGTGGTGGAGTTATCTTGACTGCTGGCATCCCGCTGTGTGGTGTTGGTGACTCCGGGGGCAGGGAAAGCAGACTGTCCACCGCCGCCGCCCTGGCCCATGGCTCTCTGCATCTGGGTCATGTACCGCAGCATATTGGGGTCTGTGAGCATGCGCCGGAACTCTGGCGACTGCAGTATCTGGCGGGCGTTGGGCACATCCCGTAGCATGGGGTTCTGTTGTATCATCATGTCGATGATCTGGGGGTTCTGGAGGGCTTCGTTCATGGTCGACTGGAACTGAGGGTTCTCCATCATGCTCAGGATCTGGTCAGTATCGGGCAGAGGTCCCATCTATACGAATGTGTTAGCTATCACAGCTTCAATCTTCCGTCGTCTATGTGATAGGGGGGCTACTCACCCCTCCGTCAGGGCCAAACATGCCCGCGCCAGGCAGCTGAGAGAAGCCTGCGTATCTGGCCCCCGTCAGGCCAGCCAGCATCGAGTTCCCCGTCCCAGCTGCGAGGTTGGTCGGCACTCCAGCGGCCCCGGACGGCGTGCTCTGGGCGCCTCTGCCTGCCGCACTGCTGGCTGTGGTGTTGCTGCCGCTGCCGCTGGCTGCGGTGGTGTTGGCGCTGCCACTGGCGCTGCTGCTGCTGCCGGCGGGCGCAGAGCTCTTGACCAGGTGGATGGTATGGCCCTCCTTGACCTTGTGCGCGGCGAGGGTATCGGTGTCCTTGAGAACGCGCCCCGAGTAGATCAGCCGCTGGCGCTCTGGCGGGACGTTTGCGTACTCCTCGCCGGCGAGGATCTGCTTGATCTCAGCGACGGTCGACGACGGCTTCAGCGTCAGGCTGAACTTGGGCTCTGCGGACGACTTGACGTGGAACGTGAACGGCGCGTCTTCCTCTGCCATTTTCTGTGTCTTTCTCTCTTCTCTTCTTTTCCTTTCGGTATCTTCTTCGCTGTCTTCTGTAGCTCTCGCGGTGTCTCTCGCAGTGTCTCGCGGGGTGTCTCTGCTGGCTTCGCTGGCTTCGATAACTGCAGCTTCAGCTCCCGTCTCAGGCGTCTTATAGCTTTTTCTCTTCTTCTCAGTCTCGCCAGTCCTTGTCTTTATCCTCTTCCTTTATCCTGGCGTCTTTCTCTGCTTGCTTTCTCTGTCTCGCTGTCTGAGGTCGCTGTCTTTCTTGCTTGAGGTCGCTGTCCACTCTACTGGAGGTCTCTTTATCCTCGACGGTCCGACTCCGCCACCGAAGGAAAAAAGCCAAGCAAGAAACTTCCACAACCGCAGAAAAAACTCCAACCTCCAGCGACAACCAGCAGACAGCCAGCGCCAGCTACATCTACAGGCTCCAGCTACAGGCTCCAGCTACATCACGATAGCTACGGCTACAGCTCGATCCACGGTCATACCACCGGCTGCAGCTCGGCTACGGCTACGGCTATAGCTTCGACCGGCTGACGCAAGCGATGGAAGCGCGCTGACCGCGGTCCATCCAGCACCATGGCGACCACCTCGTCCATGTTCATGTACTCGCTCACCATCCAGCCGCCCACAGCCATCACGCAGGCCATCCTCGGGCAGTTCTCAGGCACCAAGGAGCAGCAGATCGTCACCGCGGCCGGCTCGAAGCTGACCCTGCACCGCACCGACCCGGCGCAGGGCAAAGTGCAGACGCTCTTCTCGCAGGACGTCTTTGGCATCATCCGCTCCCTCGCCGCGTTCAGGCTCGCCGGCAGCAGCAAAGGTATGCTCTCCCCCTGCTGTGATGTCCCCTCTCCTGCTCCCTAAGGCCAGTTAGTGATGTTTTTTTATCTTAAAAGAAGCTCCCCCGGGGTCTCAATGGCGGCCTTTTTTTGTGTTGATTCCGTGGATCTCAATCGTGTGTGTGCATGTATATATGAGAGCGTTGTGTGCTGAGTGTTGATAGACTACATCATAATCGGCTCGGACTCTGGGAGAATCACCATTGTCGAGTACGTGCCGGCCCAGAACCGCTTCAATCGCATCCATCTCGAGACCTTTGGCAAGTCCGGCGTCAGACGCGTCGTCCCGGGCCAGTATCTCGCCGTTGACCCCAAGGGCAGGGCCTGTCTGATCGCCTCCGTCGAGAAAAACAAGCTTGTCTACGTGCTCAACCGCAATGCGCAGGCCGAGCTCACCATATCCTCGCCCCTCGAGGCCCACAGGCCGCAGACGGTCGTCTTTGCTCTCACCGCGCTTGACGTGGGCTACGAGAACCCCATCTTTGCCGCTCTCGAGGTCGAGTACACCGAGGTCGACCAGGACCCCACCGGCCAGGCGTACGAGGAGACCGAGAAGATGCTTGTCTACTACGAACTCGATCTCGGACTCAACCATGTGGTCAGACGGTGGGCTGATCCGGTCGACCGCACTGCCTCCATGCTCTTCCAGGTGCCCGGCGGTGCTGACGGTCCCAGTGGTGTCCTCGTTTGCGCAGAGGACAACATTGTCTACCGTCACTCGAACCAGGACGCCTTCAGGGTTCCTATCCCCCGCAGACGTGGGCCTACCGAAAACCCAGAGAGAAAACGATGCATCACCGCCGGAGTCATGCACAAGATGCGCGGTGCTTTTTTCTTCCTCCTGCAGTCCGAAGACGGCGACCTTTTTAAAGTTACCATGGAGATGGTAGAAGACGAGAACGAAAAGGCTACCGGAGAAGTAAAGAGACTCAAACTCAAGTACTTTGACACCGTCCCCCTAGCTTCAAGTCTATGCATTCTCAAGAGCGGTTTCTTGTTTGTAGCCAGTGAAACCGGCAACCAGCATTTCTACCAGTTTGAAAAGCTAGGAGATGACGACGACGAGATTGAATTCATCAGCGATGACTGCTCAGCCGTCATCTCAGAACCCTTGCCCCCAGTCTACTTCCGGCCCAGACCAGCCGAAAACTTGAACTTGGTAGAGAGCATTGCCTCCCTAAACCCGCTCATGGCTGCTTCTATTGCAAACATCACAGAGGAAGATGCTCCTCAAATATACACTTTATGCGGCACTGGTGCCAGAAGTAGCTTTAGAACGCTAAAACACGGCCTCGAAGTGTCGGAGATCGTCGAGTCCGAGCTTCCCAGTGTTCCGTCAGCCGTTTGGACTACCAAGCTGTCCCGGAATGATCAATTCGACGCCTACATTGTGCTATCCTTCTCAAACGGCACCCTTGTCTTGAGCATTGGTGAGACCGTGGAAGAAGTCACAGATACTGGCTTCCTCTCGTCTGCTCCCACTCTCGCTGTGCAGCAATTGGGTGAAGACTCTCTCATCCAAGTCCATCCAAAGGGTATCCGACACATCCATGCAGACCAGAGAGTAAATGAGTGGCCGGCTCCTCAGCATAGATCCATTGTTGCCGCTACCACAAACGAGAGACAAGTAGCCATTGCCCTGAGCTCTGGTGAAATCGTCTACTTTGAAATGGACACCGATGGCTCACTGGCCGAATATGACGAAAAGAGACAGATGTCCGGCACAGTGACCTGTCTGAGCTTGGGAGAAGTTCCAGAGGGACGAGTAAGAAGCTCGTTCCTCGCTGTTGGATGTGACGACTCGACCGTCCGAATCCTCAGTCTTGATCCAGATTCCACACTGGAGAATAAATCCGTCCAGGCGTTGACATCCGCGCCATCTGCTCTATCCATCATGTCGATGATAGATTCTACCTCTGGCGGATCGACGCTATACCTCCATATCGGACTCTACTCTGGAATCTACCTGCGTACTGTCCTAGATGAAGTAACCGGAGAGTTGTCAGATACTCGGACCCGCTTCCTTGGTGTCAAGCCGGTCAAGCTGTTCAGTGTCTCAGTCAAGGAGCAGAGAGCCGTCCTTGCGCTCAGCTCCCGGTCCTGGCTAGGATACTCTGATGTCCAGACAAAGAGTTTTACCCTCACGCCCTTGAACTACGTCGGGTTAGAATGGAGCTGGAACTTCTCCTCTGAGCAGTGCGTGGAGGGCATGGTCGGTATCCAGGGTCAGAACTTAAGGTACGTTTCAATCATTCCGTCCGCTATTTATGTTTATGTCTTCGTTTTTTGCATGATGAGTTCCAACTCCTATCGCCTACACCGGCATGAGGATGAAACTTTTTTATTTATTTATCCAATTGTTCCTACTGAGCAAAACCTCCTTCGCATCATCTATTCTTCTTCCACTTGATTATTTGAATAGTGACTAATGCGTTTTGACAGAATATTCTCCATCGAGAAACTGGACAACAACCTCCTTCAAGAGCCAATTCCTCTTGCTTATACCCCTCGTAATTTTGTCCGACATCCTGAATACCCCCTTTTCTACGTCATTGGATCCGATAACAATATTCTCTCACCCGCTACTAAGGCCAAACTACTCAGCGAATCAACCACAGTCAACGGTGACAGTGCTGAGTTACCTCCAGAGGACTTTGGTTATCCCAGGGGCACAAATCATTGGGCCTCATCCATTCAAGTCGTGGACCCTATCCACACCAAGTCTGTCTTGTCTAACCTCGAGCTCGAGGACAACGAAGCTGCTGTAAGTATTGCAGCGGTGTCATTCACCAGCCAAGAAGACGAAACGTTCCTTGTAGTAGGAACAGGCAAAGACATGGTCGTCAGTCCCCGCACCTTCACATGTGGTTTCATTCATATCTATCGATTCCAAGAAGAAGGTAAAGAGCTGGAGTTCATCCACAAGACAAAGGTTGAACAACCGCCACTAGCCCTGCTCGGATTTCAAGGCCGTCTCCTTGCCGGTATTGGTCCTGATCTAAGGATCTACGACCTTGGAATGAGACAGCTTCTCCGAAAATGTCAGGCCCAGATAACGCCGCGCGTGATTGTCGGACTTCAAACCCAGGGAAGCCGAATCATCGTCAGCGATGTCCAGGAGAGCGTCACATACGTTGTTTACAAGTACCAAGAAAACGCCCTTATCCCCTTTGCTGACGACATCATACCCCGCTGGACGACATGTACCACAATGGTAGACTACGAGACCGTCGCTGGCGGCGACAAGTTCGGCAACATATGGCTCCTTCGATGTCCTACAAAGGCATCTGAAGAAGCTGACGAAGACGGCTCCGGCGCACATCTCATTCATGAACGACAGTATCTCCAGGGCGCACCGAACAGGCTCAGCCTGGTCATCCACTTCTACTCCCAAGATATACCCACAAGCATCCAAAAGACCCAATTGGTTGCTGGTGGACGAGACATTCTTGTCTGGACCGGCCTCCAAGGTACAGTCGGGATGTTTGTTCCATTCATCACCCGTGATGACGTCGATTTCTTCCAAACCCTCGAGATGCAGCTTGCTTCACAGAACCCTCCATTGGCTGGACGAGATCATCTTATCTACAGAGGCTACTATGCGCCATGTAAGGGCGTCATTGACGGAGATCTCTGTGAGACGTTCTTGCTTCTGCCTAATGACAAGAAGCAAGCTATAGCAGGTGAGCTCGATCGATCAGTTCGGGAAATCGAGCGTAAGATTTCGGTACGTACTATCCCCCCTTTGGCAAACATTATTGACTATTTATCTAACATCATACAGGACATGAGGACAAAAGTAGCCTACTAACCTCACTATCGCTACCTCGTTAATGAAAATACCTTCCATGTTGGCGTCAGACTTGGGTACATGGTGCAAAGGGATGTACATCGTCTTCACCTTCAGCAGCTTAAATCACAGCTTCAACGGAATATAAATACATTTAATACTCGAGGATGATCAAAAACATCCACCCAATCCCGTCACAACTATGCTCCATATTAACGCGTCTCTTGCCTCGCTCGGTCAGCGCGTCTTTTCAATCGTCTGATCTTGAGCTGGATGCATCCGTCTTTCGTCCAAGTGATGTAGATGAATTGTATGAGACTAGAGGAAACCTTTTAGCCGGTGATCTTTGAGTACGGTCCTTTCCGATCCTTCCACGGAATTGGGTATCGTAATTTATCCGTCGGTACATCCAGAATCTCGTAGTTATAGTTGTGGTCTTCATCTATCTTCAATCCATGCTCAGTTTAGTTGCTTCGGCTATTACTCGGGAATATATAAAACTAGCATCAAGCGGGGACGGGAGTCCGGTTGATAACATAGCAACTACCAGCTACATAATATCAATCCATCTATGCATCCGTCACATTCAGAACCACCATCAATCACTCTAAGTCAAAAGTACTAGTTAACTTAGATATGTCGCAAAAACTCAACGTTGCCATCGCGCAGTGCCGCACCCGCGATACTCTTACCGAGACACTCAACGCCCTCGAACAAGTCACCGTCAAGGCAGCAAACCGCTTAGCCAATATCCTTCTCTTCCCAGAGGGATATCTAGGCGGATATCCTCGAGGCTGCAACTTCGGGGCAGCAATTGGATCTCGCAACGATGCGGGACGAGACCAGTATCTAGAATATTTCAAAGCTGCAGTTGACTTTGGAGATACCCCCATCCCTAGCGGAGATGACTGGGTTGAACGGAAGCTCCCTGTTGCTGAAGGGAAGAATTATAGAGGCGATGGTACTCGAGAGTTCCTTGAGCGAGTGGCTAGGGAGAATGGCGTGTTGCTTGTTGTAGGTGCTATTGAGAGGTGCGCTGGCAGCTTATACTGTGCGGTTGTCTACGTTGATCCGAAGAAGGGCATGATAGGTAAGAGACGGAAGGTCATGCCAGTAAGTAGCCATAGTATCCCCCATCCCATGATTAAATGTCTATAGATGAATTGCAGTTGTCCTAATTAATACTGCAGACTGGAACGGAACGGCTGGTGTGGGCGCAAGGTCCGGCATCAACTTTGAAAGCTGTCACTACGGAGATCAATGGAGTGAAGCTTACGCTTGCCGCAGCTATATGCTGGGAGAATTACATGCCTTTGCTTCGACAGGCTATATATCAGCAGAATGTCAACCTCTACCTGGCCCCGACAGCTGATGGAAGAGATACCTGGCTTCCACTGATGCAAACTATTGCCCTGGAGGGTCGTACGGTCGTCCTCAGTGCCAATCAATGTCTAAAACGCAGCCATTTGCCTTCCTGGGTAACGAATGATGTCAAACAGGAAGGCCAGGGTAGTTCTGATGATGCTTTCATCACTGGAGGAGGCAGCTGTATCATCAGCCCTGCTGGAAAAGTATTGGCAGGCCCGATATGGAATGTTACGGACGAGGATGAAGAGAGCCTGCAGGTAGTTGAAGTTGATTTTGAGGATTGCGTGAGAGGACGACTGGAGCTGGATGTTGCTGGCAGTTATTCGCGCAACGATTCGTTCAAGTTGACAGTTGAAGGGCTGGATTTGAACCCTCCTCCACAGTAAATACGTAGGGCTAGCCTGCGCTTTCCATAGACTTTGGACTCGAATGAACTGAACATCCACTTAGTGTAATGACTAATTTCATTCTATATGCAAATGCTATTCTTTTTTAGTCTCTATCCTTTTGAAACCTTGTAACTAACCAAATGTAAACGCCAAAGTGGTATTTCGCCCAAAAGCAAGAGAAAAGTATTCACCAACGGAATAAAAAAAAAAATACCAAATAAGCCTACCTGGGGAGATTGCTGTCACCGCGAAATATAAAGTACGCTCAGCATTATGCAAGCATATCATCCAACTTCTCCCCCAGGATATCTTCGATCATGAGCACCCATTTCCTAACCTCTTTCTCGACATTTTCATCATCATCCTCCATCAATTCGCTGATAAAAGGTAGCATCTCAGGTAGCAAAGCAAGCCACTCTTCGCCTAGCTCTTCAGTCAGGCTTTGCTCGCACTTGACCGCCGCAAGTCGAGTAAATGGGTTTACTCCTTTGCAAGAATCAGCATTGCCTCCACTAGCACGCATATATTTCATAATATGAGTGTTCAGTTCCTTTTGGTTATCGGGGGAATCCGCTGCAATCGCGAGAGCGACAATAGCTGGGGTTGCTTCGGCTGTAACCAACTTGAAGGATGCTTTGCTGTTAGCAATGGAGAGTTGGCTGATAAGGTGACTGGAAATTGAGCTGAGGTGACTAGGTGATTGCCAGAATTCTGTCATGTACTAGTTAGTGTACAGATCCTTTTTTATATGATCCAAATTCACGAGTCTGGAGAACATACCATCCTGGTCATGCTCGAATGAGTTTCGGAGTGTTCGCATTACGGCTGTCCATAAGGCCTGATTTTCTTTTACATTTGGTCGGACGTTCTTCAGTATGTCGACAACGTTTTCAATGATATAGCTGGAATAACCGGTAACGATGGACTGTAGATATTCTTAATTAGTATAGAAACGTAATATATCGGTTCGAAAAACCAAGTACAAACCTTGAGGGTACCAAAGAAAGTCTCGAGAAACTTGTAGAATGTCGTCAGTCTTGCTTGTCTGCCAGGCAAATCAGACTTGTCTAGCTCCGCTGTAGCCCACTCGGTGAGTTGCGTGAAGAGCGGACGGAATATGGTATCATTCAGTTTATATATCATCTTAATCGTTAGGTCGTTGATGGAAGACTCGATGTCATGAACCTGGTGTCCCTCAAATCTATCGCTGGCAGGTAAGCTGAGTTGAGCTCTTCGGAAGTCTAATACTTTCCACAGCAACCTCGAGAGTGCAGGAACATTCTTGATAGTATCCGACTTAGAGTGTTTCTCAATCGATAGCTTGACAACCTCGAGGGTTTCTTTGGCGGCCTACACACACATTATTAGCCCCGTGTACAATTTCTCGAAAAATCTCAAACTCACCTTTGAGCCGTTCGACACTGAGAAGTACCAGTTGCGTTCAACTGCATTATATACTTCCTTCGCATCCACACGTTTTGCCAATAGCTGAAGGGCCTCTTGTCGATTGATGTTACAATCTTCTGACAAGCCAGCGTGGGCTGAGCTTGAAGAAAGGCATAGAACTTTGTCCAAGTCTTCTGACGAGATCATGTAAGGAATGTGAACGAATAGTGCTGAAAGTAGCGAGTATATGGCATCGTGTAGCTCTGGGTTTTGTTCCTTGGCCTGAATACTGCTTTGTAGTAGATCCAAGGAGCGAGGGAGGGCGGTAGGTAGTACAGGGATTATTGCATCCGCAATGACTTCCGTCATAGATGCAAGGCACAATGCACCCATGATACGGATGCGATTGTCTGCGAGCCCCATACACTTGTCGCCAGCGACCACGATTGCTGCCTCAACGACCTTTTCTGGATTCTTCTTCCCGTACTTCTCTGAAATCTTTTCCATACAGGCGACAGCCGCATGTTTCAACAATATGTCGGGAGACGTTTCGACAATTCCGACAAGAACAGACAGGAAAGAGAGAGCCTTCGATTGGGATGCTGTATCTCTATCGTTGCTATTGTCAAGACGGTTCTCAAGTAGCCTGAGGACTTGTCTGCGGAGGTCATCCTTTGGTCTTTGCAGTAGAACCTCAATCGTGTCAATAAAATCAACAAGAGATAGAGTGCCTAGCAAAGTAGCAAGAGCATCACCACAGGCTATATTTATGGCTCTAATGGAACGAACAGATTCACCTAAGGCCAGGAGACGTTCCAGCATACCAGAAAATAGACTGTGCACCTTCTTGGCATCTTCTGTATCGTCAGACTCGAAGTACTGAACCATCTTATTAGCAAGAGAGGTAAATTTGAGCAGATGAGAGAGCGTCTGAAGTAAATCAACAGCAACTTTATGGGGCTCTCGTCCATCCTCACTTCCAATACCAAGGAGAATGCGGGAGATGGTTGGCTTTGGCTGAAGTGCATCTTGAACCAGACTCAAGTACCGGGCGTACGTCTATAAAAACGTTAGTAACCAGTAATTCCTGTGTCCAATATTCTTCAAGATGCTTACCGTAAGCTGAAGTTGAGCCTCCGCATTAGAAGCAAGAGCAGTCATAGTGACTAGGACATCCCGATCCATGCCGTACTTGGTGGCTAGCATGGCCAAAACAGCAAAGAGGAAGTCCTCCTGTCCAAGTTTGTTCACGAGAGACTCAAATAGCCTGAGGCGGCGATATGAGGGAATATGTTCATATGCAGTGGTGAAAGACAATAGTAGCTCGGATGTTCCCGTAACCACATCCCTCTTTTGGACTCGGAGGGAGCGAACAAGAGGAGGAATAACTTGATCAATGGTCTAGGGGAGTTAAGGTCAGTATCGCAAGGCTATAGATATATCATCAACAGATGCTTACCTGGTCAATAACAAGGGCTGAATAGTCATCATCTTTTCGGAGGACGCTCGAACCCATGAAGGTAAAGATGGGCATAACACTGTGTAGAACAATTTCAGGAGCTACCGTCGCCAGGGCTGCAACAAGCAGAAGAGCAGTGTTCTGAACCTGCTGACTCTCAGATGTGCGAACACAGTCGATAATAAGGTCGGCTCTAATGACAGAAGTATCAAGTTTCTTTGGTGAGCCCTGTAGGTATTGTTAGTAGATGAATATGCAATAAAGAATGTATTAATACCAACCTTGTATTTATTGACAACAGATAGTAAGACACCAAGGTTGAGGCTGAGAAGGTAGCTCATTTCTGAGCGAACTTGGAGCTTTAACTTGTGAACAATGGCAAGAGTTTGAAATAGGCCACCAAGAAGCTCGGGGAATCTTTCGGGTTGAGAAGCATCAATTAGCTCGAGAATAAACGAGATTCTCCGAAGAGGGATATTCGCTTCTTCCCGACTGGCAGGGCTCATGACTGCCATGTTGCTCTGGCTCATTCTCCGTCTCTTCGGAGCAGGTGACTGAGAATCAATATTGAAAGAGGCCGAAGTTACCGTGCTCAGGAATTTGGAGATAACCGGACCTGACAAGTCCACAGACCGAAGAAGTTCTTTGCTAGAATTCGCTAGGTCATCAGTTAGGGGCCTAGTCGAAAGACACATATCGAGCAAAGTCTCTGATGCGAATAGCTCTTTCTCCTCATCTAAGAATGGCCAGGTATCTTTCATGCGTTCGAAAACAGCCCCAATGAATGAAGCCCTTGTAGATTGAGGAGTGTCCTTCAATAGTGAGAGAAGGGTAGAGATTGCAGTCGTATCTTTTGGATAGATAATAGATAGAACTTGTTGCTCCAGTTCCTGAATCGAAACGTGCTCTTGCGTACTAATGCGCTTTATCTTCTCGGAATCAATTGTTCTGCATTGCTCAAGCATGGGAGATAAGAATTGAGTACGGGGAGTTGACCCAATTTTGCTGATTCGGTTTACAATAGACAGGAGTCTGAGTTTTGTCGCAAAGAGAGGCGTATTGATGATATGTGAGCAGATGAAAGAGAAGAAATCTCGGCGGACTGATTTTTTCAGCCCTGAACCATCTTCCGAAGTTCCTTTGATAGTCTGCACAAACGTTTCAAAGACTCGTGAGGGATCAAGGATGCACTCCTCCAAGCTGGGCATAAACCCTTTATCAAACAAGGTATGGATGTCCTTCCCAGGCAGCCACTGGACAGCCTTTGACTGTTCATTGTCACCATATATGATACCCTGGCCCCAGGGTGCTTCCTCGATGTCAGGGATAAAATATTGGTTGTCGATGGAGGTAAGTAGTGCAGCCGCTTCCCTTCTGACGGGCGTTGAAGGATCGGATAGAGCGGATATAGCATATGGAATCAACGCTTGCAAATCAATTGCTCTGCCATTTGATTCAAGAATAGATGTTGTAACTATATTGATGGCCTTGGTACGCGCTAGAGGTGGATGAGGGCCGGAAAAATATCGCACGAGGAAAGAGAAGTACGTCAAGTCCTTAAATTTGGTATTTCTGCGAAGGATTGGTAAACCGAGGAATTGACCCAGCTTGTTCGCGGATGTTGTTGCTTGAGTGAAACAAACAACTAGTTCGCTAAATAGAGGTGAAGGGGACTCGACAAGGAAGTTTTCGGGTTGTTGACTTCGTCGTTGGGAAAGAGATGCAATTGCGGCTGCAAACTCCTCTTCTTGGGTGCTGTTTTCAGGGATGTCCTCCATTTCAATGTCTTCTGTCCCAGCGGTTCCCAAGTTGTTATCAATGGCGAGTTGAAGGGTTATTTCTAAAGCTTTAATATCGACGTTGGATTCGGAGATTGCTCTCTGAAGCACAATATCAAGTTCCTTAGATTCAACAAAGGCTGCAAGCGTATCTGAAGACAGCTGGCGTACTTCCTCAGACATATAACCTTTACGATGAGATTCATCGATTGTCTTCAGGAGCGCTATTATTGTCTGTGTCTTGTCCCCGGCGCCCATTATATCACTCTGGAGTACCTGGCCAACAAGAGATACACATTTAGCTGCAACTTCCTCATTATCGTTCTCCATAAGAACATTCATCAAGCCAGAAAGCAAGTGGACTATTGAATTAGATGCTGCAAGGCCTGCAAAAACATCAGCCACATCTTCTAGGCGAAGAATCGACTTAACAACAGGCTTCGGAAGCTGTAGTTGTTCCTTGTGTTGAAAAATCACTGCAAGACAGGTGATTCCTGAGGTAATGGTATCTTGGGTCCAAGATCCTGCTACGGCCTCCATCAAGCTATCGATAGCATGGTCACTGAGAGACCCTTTGTTGGCCAAGACAACACACAGCATGTAGCAAGCAATGACGAGCTCTGGAGCTTTTTTCAATGACAGGCCGGTGCTAAGTGTTGGCAGAACACGAATCAAGACATCTTCCTTATTTCGGCGTTCGACTTCTAATCTCCCTGATTGCGCAGAGTCTAGCATTGTAGATAGAGCCTCCGTCATAATGCCAGCCCAGAAAGAAGTCAGACCCTGATAGTGCGCTCGAGCTTTGCCGACTTGTATAACATAACTATTCAAGGCAGAGAAAAACTCCTTATTTGTCGACGCACTGTGTACAAGGGAGGTTCGTGTAGGTAGAATTAAGCTTCGCTTATATGGATGTAGGACTTTAAAGGTAGGCGTCAGGTTCTCCGGCAGGATGGATAGCAGGTTGAGGAATAAAGGTGTGGTATGGTATGGTAGAAATGTGAGAATGATAGCACGGGTATTGTGCTCATGTGCCCTAGATAGAACGATATATCGGTTAGCAAGCTGCTTGGCCAACTTCCAACTAGCCGTTGAGTGTTGACATACCGAAATCGACGAACAAGCCAATCCACAGCCTTCACGGCCGGATTGAGAAGCAGTCGGCCACCAACAAGGGCTAGGAATTCTTCTATGACAACATCTAGCTCCTTATTCTGTGCGGCCGTCATCTGGCTTCTATCTTCCACTTTGCTCTGCTCGCTGAAAAGATTCTGCTGGAACGGCTGAAAGCGAGGATCGAGGGCGCATAGTTCTTGAAACCCTTCATAGTATAGCTGGTATATCGTATCGAAATCCTGTGTGCTAGCAATCTTCTTCTCGAATATCAACGATTGAGCGTGGGCCGATCGCTGGGCTTTCAGGTCGAACTGATGGGTTGCTTTGGCCGCAACTTGCGACAGCTGCGCGGCGAGCGACGACGCCATTCTGCAGGGAAGAGCGAATGTTATTAGTTAGCGAGGGTATCTAATTCATAATAGCAGCTGTCCCCTCGTCCGCCAGGCCCAAGAGAGCTCTTCTTGTGCGCAGGTTGCAAGCTGTTTCTTCTTCGTCCGCGAAATCTTTCAAATCTCGAAGAAAAAAAGCATAAAATTCTCTGGTTGCCAAGGGAAGTTTTTCCCGAGTCTCCATCTGCCAAGAAAGTGCAAGTCTAGCCGGTCTCTTATCAACGAGCTTCAACGTCAACGCGATCAATTAATCGATTAATTAAATTGGACAAGTTGCTGGAAGACGGGAGACAAGCCACAGATGCGCAGCGATTAAGAGGGAGCCATGGACTCCGATGGGGGGAAGGTAAGTGGCAGCCTGATTTTCTTTCAAGCAAGCTGTGACTGACCTGCTTGCTACCTTCACTCAGGGAAAAGCGCAGATTCCAAAATTCGGCAGCTTCAAGCCGCGACCAGTAGCCCCAGCGCGAGACCGTGAGAGCAGAGACGAAAAGAAGTCCTCAAGGGAGGCTTCAAGTAGTCGTCATGGAACCAACGAGTCTGTTAGCTCATCAAGACATGACCGTCGAAGGGAGGACAGACGAGAAACGAGAGATCATCGTACCAGTAGACCTCCACGCGAGCAACCTGCGGGCAGATTGAAACCACAGGATGAGACGGATCTCTACGTGCTCGATCCTACCGGTGATCCATATACCTTGATCTATGGTTCTCTCCATAAGTACGACATTCCCCGATACTATCGTTTTGGCGCAGGCAGAGTTCTAGGGCTTTCCACAGCTTACACCATCGATCAAGACCTCAGCAGTGATTCAAAGATAGTGATAAAGCTAAGAGGGGCAGAAGATACATCACAGCGCAACCACAAGACGCTCTGGAAATCGGCTTCAAAATTGACAAAGCTGCGGCACCTGCTACCGCGTCCAGCTGAGATACCAGAGCTGGAGCGGGATTTTCTTCCACTGAGTGAAGGTGGGAGTAGAAAAAAACGGCGCATAGCGGATGGGCACTATGATACTGGTTATGCGGTCACGGTAACGGAAGAGGAGAAACTCCCCGACTACCGATCGATTGAAGGGAAAGCTAAACCCCAACGAGAATCTGATGATGAGACTGATATGGGGTCAGATTGGAGTCTAGAATCGGATGGAGAAGGTGCTAGAGTACAGAATGCTAGGCTGTTCTCAAGTGCAAATGACAATCCGGACGACGTGGAAGGCTGGCTCCGACTTATCGACCATCAAGAGAAGATGGTTGGTTTCACGGACAGAGAGGGTTATCGAAAGCATACGCTCGCCGAGAAAAGAGGTATTGCTGATATGAAGGTATCATTATATGAGAGAGCTTTGAAAAGTATTTCTCCCAAAGTTCCACGAGACAGGCTTTTGCTTGGAATGATGGAAGAGGGATCTCTACTTTGGGACCAAAAGACTCTATTGGACAAATGGAAGTCAATTTTACAGTTCAACTCGCGCTACATCTCTCTCTGGATTAAATATTTGGACGTTCAGCAGACAACGTTCAACAATTTCACTTATGAAAAGTGTCGATCAGTATTCTTAGAGTGCTTGAAAGTCAACGAGAACCAGCCGGATAGCACCGAGAAACAGATTATTAGCCTTTATATCCTCCTGCGTCTTAGTCTGTTTATGAGAGAAGCTGGCTTTATTGAGCACTCAATTGGCCTTTGGCAAGCCTTACTAGAATATAACTTTTGTCGCCCGCAGGACCTCAATCCAACAACTAATCGAGCGGTCACTGTTTCGGCATTCTCTAAATTTTGGGAGACTGAGGCTCCCAGAATCGGTGAAGTGGGATCAAAAGGCTGGGACAGGTCTACTGAAGATTCACCAGATCCGAAAACAGATCTTAGCATGCCAGACATAGATATCAAAGATGTCTTTGGCTCTTGGGGAGACATTGAGCAAACCTTGATATCCTCGTCATTTTTACCAGCTAGAACACTGGACGAAGTGCAAGAAGACGACCCTTACCGAGTAGTCCTGTTTTCTGATATTTCTGAATTCCTTGTTCAATTTTCAGATCCTCCTATGCTACATTTACTCGTGGATGCATTTCTCATATTTTGTCGCCTGCCGACAATATTGAACGAAGGTAGTGAAAGAACGTCTAGTTGGCATATAGATCATTTTCTGTCGAACAGGAATCTAGATGATATGCGCAGGTCTCCTTCAGAATGGTTCGCTCACATCGCCGCAAAAGACGAAGAGAGAGAGGGACATTCACCATTTACCTTTCCCTGTTCGTCTTTTAGGCATGGTTTCGATACGCTGTTTGGCGATGGAAAGCACTGGTTCTCAACTTTTCAATCTTGGAAAACCACTTATCTGGCGAGAAATAGCCCGATTGATGTTGAATGGGTTCGGAGGTCCTTGAAAATGCTAGTCTCAAAAATACCGGATAATGACCACTTCGCAGCCTACATTATTGCCTTTGAGTACAGTGTTGACCCCAAGGAAGCGAAAAAGTACGCGAAAAGCCTCTTGAAGCAGCGCCCTTCCAGTATCAAGCTATACAACTCCTATGCCCTGCTTGAGGCTAGGAATGGTCAGCTTGCAGCTGCCGAGAAAGTCTGGACAACCACCCTTTCCATGAGCCAAAGTTTCTCTAAGGAGGCAACACTTGACTGCATCCTTCTTTGGCACAGCTGGGTATGGGAAGCTCTTAACAGCCAGAACCATGGAAAAGCAACCCGTTTGCTAGTTGCGGTTCCAAATAGTACCTTCAGCCCAGATTCTTCTATGGATACTGGAGCTAGTGACGTTGTGGTCAGTTCGACAGAGCTGCTAAAGGCAAGGAGAGTATGTATTTTGCTATTTTCTTATAACCCACTATCTGAACATTGCTAACCTTTTGATAGTACCTGAGTGATATCCAAGCCCATGGGCTTACATTCCGCAATCCAGACATATTTGTATATGCTACTGACTGCTTAGCCCTGTTGCTCTACCTTACGCAAGATCAAGCGCTTTCAGAAGCCCTCGAGGTGTACGATAATGCAGAACAGCGTCTTGAACCCCAGAAACAGGATAGAGCGGCCTTCTTGGAACCTGTCCATCAAGCAAAGGCGAGGTTGCTCTATCACCACACTATTGAAAACCGCGTATATAAACCTGCACAAGTTCGCGAGGAGTTGTACAAGAGCGTCTTACTCTTCCCACAAAACACAATCTTTCTGAGTCTCTTCGCCTTTAACGAGGCTCGATTCAGAATTGAAAACCGCGTTCGCTCTCTTCTCACCCGCCAAATCCTGGAGCCAGCTGGGAATGGCCGATCCATTGAGAAACAGGCAACCCTTATTCCTCACCTGTTTTTAGTATACTCTGAACTTCACAGGGGTGTCTCTGCCGGTTCCACCGCTCATTCCGTTCGTGCTGCCTTTGAGTCAGCGGTGTCTTCGCAACCAGGCCAACACAATGCCGGGCTATGGAAGTTATTCGTTCAATTCGAGCTAACACTTGGTGAGAGCGAGAAAGGACGTCAGGTGTTTTTCCGCTCGATTCGAACATGTCCTTGGTCCAAACAACTGGTTCTTTTGGCGTTCACTGAGCCACGCCTTAGAAAATCAATGGGGTTTGAAGAGTTGAGAAAAGTCTTCAACGTGTTTGTAGAGAAAGAGTTGAGGGTCCATGTTGACCTGGAGGAGTGGCTTGAGGAGAACGAAGCACAAATCAGGCCTCGTGAGAGTGATGTAGGGCCAGAGCCTCCGATTACCATGCCTGACGATAGAAGCTCAGATGAGGATTAAATTAATTTTGTATCCTTCAAGTCCAGCACTGTACGATATATATGAAAACGGCATCCAGCATCTATGTAAATAAGATAGCGAATATCTAGCTAATTATCCAAAGTCCCCAACGCCTGGCTCATGGTAGGTAGAACAAACCCTCTAGCCTCTCTTCGTTCCTTTACCCAGGATCCTAGCTCGGCCCAGATAGCCTCCTTCTCGGCCAGACTCATTGATGCTGCCAGCCCGCTGGTGGTTGTAGCTACAAACACCCTCGCACCAGGCCATGCATCTCGACTGTTGCCTCCGACCACTGGCCTAACCCGTCCCATATTCTCCTCTTCGTCCTGCCACCCGTACTTGAACTCCTCCTTTTTGATATTCCTCCCATGTTTCACTCGCCAGACAGCCTCCCATATGCCCTTTCCTACAAGACAGACAGCCTCAGGCCGGAACCGCGCAATCTTCTCTTCCAGCACGGGCACTCCAGCGTTCATCTCTTCCTTTGATAGCTGGCTTGCATCGCGCGTAGGACGCACCACGATGTTTGTGTTGCCGATACAGTAGAGCTCCGGCATGCGGTATGTATCCGACGGCGGATGGCGGAAGGTAGTTATCCCTGAGGAGTGTAGGAGGCGCCAGTACAGGTTCGACGGGTGAGCGTATGCATATCCTGTCTGGCCGGTCATGATGCCTGGGTTGACACCGATGAGCAACAGGACGAGATTCTCCGGTATAGAGTCCCTAAGGCGAGAGACAGGTCCCCTGGATGATTCTGATGCTGTAGATGCATCATCTTCCGCCTTTACGGGGGTGCCACTGCTGGCATTCCTGGGTGTTCGTGGAGGAGCTGACCGGGTACTTTGCCTGGACGGCCTGGACATCGCTACCAGGGTCGACTGCGTCAGAGACTTGGACGAGCGAGTCTTCCGGGGAGATACAGGCGCCGACAGGACCTTCTTCTCATCTTCGGCGTCTTCGTCTTCCTCTTTGATGCCGATTTTGCGTTTCAGCGACTTGACCGGTGATGCACTGGGTGTTGCACCGGGGGAATGGATGAATTTGTCCAAGCCGCCGTTGAACGACCGGGGAGCCTCTTCGTCGTCCATCCTTGAGACAAGCAGAAAAGAAATTTAAGAATCAGCTGCAGTGAGATTAAGCATGAAGTTTTGGTTTTTTTTGACGGATAACTGGATAACGGTTCTGTCCAGAGTTCGGCAACGGTGAAAAAGCATGAGGTTATTCAGAAAGTATAGAACTGATCAGCTAACTGGTTAATATTGACAAGGAAATTCGTTAATTCATAAGATCGCTCAAGGTGTATCAACAAGATCTTGCTTTTAATATACATTAAGTGTGCGTGTATGCAAAAGTCGACCGATGAGTTGGGATACAAAGTCTTCCAGCAGTTGGTCGGGATTATAGGTCGGGGTATTATGTACGAGGTGTCGGTGCCTGGGGTGAAAATATATACAGGTGCGTTCTAAGGTGTCTGTTGATCGGTATAACTAACGGGCTATACCTTTGACTCTATCGGTATTGGTCTTCGCCGTGGCAAGGTCCACGGTTCGGGACATACAGTCTATATCAAAGTCGTTAGTTTCATTGTTATATGTACGGTTAACGCTTGAATGGTGGACGAGGTAACGCACTTCTCCTTCGCTGTACCCCCAGAAGTAAACGGCCATGCCGATAAGGTAATAGATTGCAGGGTTTGTGCCTTGATACAGCAGAGCCGAAGCAAGCGCACTGAGAGGGAGGATAAAGAGCCTGATCTCGATGCTGCGGTGGAACAGAGTCCCCGCGAGCGGCTTCAGGGGCCACTCCCAGGCCAGTCCCAGCAGTCCGAGCAAGACGTTGATGATCTGTAGTATAGGAACCGGCTTGACTGCTCGATCGAGGTTCTTCGTCAGGAAGTCCCAGAATATCTTTGGCCAGAAGAAGCCATGGATACCGGCAGCCAATTGAACTATCACTTCTGTTAGTTCCCAGAACCGCATAGTATATATGGATTGGTATGGGAGATTTGGATATACATACAGATGGCAGCAGTGAGGATGATGAGACGAGCCCAGTGGTTTTTGATGAGTTTGCCCATGATTTTTCAGACGGGAAGAAATGGCCTTGCGGCCCTTTTCCCTCTTGGTGTTCGTCTTCCTCTTGGTGTCGGCGAGCGGGACTAGGAGATAATAATATATACCTCACGGGTCAGACCTGAGCGATTTTCAATGTATCAGAAAGCGAAAAACCGCCTGAGGTCTGGCCGGATATAGAGTAGTCGAGTGGATGACCAGCAACCACGGGGAGGCAGCTCTCTTTGAGCAAGCGGAAGATTTCGAGCAAAAATAATGCGTGGAAGTCGAGGCCGGGCTATGTAGTCGGTGGGTACACTGATGTGAGAACGGCCGGCTGATATGTTGGTGTACACTGAGAGATGTTCAATGTTCGACGTTCAATTCGATATCCCTCTGCTGCAATTCCCGGCTGGTCAGTCTCTGTAACTCTTCTTGGGTGCTTGCTGCGGTGGAGTCAAGTCATACTGTCATCGCCTGCGCTTCATATCCCTTGAACTGTCCATGGGAGAGGCAAGTAGTGTTCCACAATGGGGCGAGACGTCTTCCTCTCTATCTCTCTCTCTCTCTGTCTGTCTGTCTCTCTGCTGTGATGAACGCGCTTGTGCACAGCTGGGAGGGCCTTGCAATGTCCTTTCAATTTGTGAGTTGGTTGATATGCAGTGAAGATCCAGCTGTGACTCTGTGATGGGTGGATGGCTGGATGTAATATCCTGGACGATCGACCAAGCAGACGGAAGCAGATGCTTGTGAATAAATTATAGCAAGCAGAAAGGACAGCCCGAGACGACGGTCAAGGCATAATATGGCAACTTTCAAGAGGGGCGTCTCCCTCCAGCGGCTAAGTGTATATACGCACTTATGTACGGAGATACCATGGCCTGCCTCCCGCACCGCTCTTCAGGCGAGCAAAAGGAACTCCCGCCCGCCGCCCACCTCCCTGCGGCTTGGGTGCTAAGTGCTACAAGTCCTTGCAGCCCCGGCCGGGGGGGATTCAGTGCTCAGGAGCGTCCTGCTCCCTGTCCAATAGAAGGGTTGGTATCCCATCTGGCCTGCTCGCCGGCGTATCTATAATTGGCAAATGAGCTGCAAAACGGAGCGATATCACACTCTGCTTTTTCCACTTGCATGGCCTGCATGACAGGGCTTCTTCTTTTTCGCTCTTTGCTTTTTCCAGCCGGCCAGGAAGAGCCAGCAAAGACGAGATATCTCATGCAGGCGAAGTGACGAGGAACGGCCAGCGTGCAGGACGGGCTGTCAATTGGCCAGCAGCCGGGATAGGGTGCCCACTGTCGTCTGCAAGGCCAGGCCGGGGTCATGGATGGGGATGGAATAATAATAGCATTCTCGTCTCTGCTTCGTCTGCTTCGGCTGCTTCGTCTGCTGCTGCTGCTGTCTTGCTACGCCTCGCTGGCTGTCTCATCTAGCTGTCGTTATATCCGCATATACTTAGCTGGCCGTAGTTGGTGAAGACGACCCCTGAGCCACGGCCTTCTGGAAGTAAACCAACAGGAGAGAAAGACGCTGGCCGGCGCCTACTCCTGCAACTAGAGTCTCAGCAGTCTCCAGGACGGCGGGCTTGACGCTGCCTCCCGTCGCTAGAGCCCGGATCTGATGTACCTTTCTTGCATGAACCTGCGGTGTCCGAACGGACTTAGGGGCTCGCGACGCTTGTTGACATGAGAGCTGCAGACACCACGGCATACGGACACAGGGACAGACAGGCAGACAGAAATACATACATACGCCGAGTAGACAGCATAGATGGGCCGTCTCACGATGAACGATCAATGGTCTAGAGCCAGAGACAGGAGACGTCGCAGAGTGCCTCATCAGGCTGACCTCGAAGCGCCGTACCACCCGGTTGCTGCGTGCATTACAACTAACTATCGCTGGCAGCAGCGTCAATGGCAATACGGAGTAGCGTAACAGACAGGATGGAGATGCTACGAGCAGTCGCTGTGGTCTCCAGCAGCCAGTCAACAGCAAAGGACGCGGTACCTCGAGCGTTGGTAGTCTCCGTGGCAGCGCTACATGCTATGCATAACATCACTACCTCCCCCCCCGTGTGTACCCAAAATACAAATCTCAAGGCCCCGAGAGCTCTCGTCGACCTGCCAACAGGCCAAGCGTGAACCCCGGCAAGCGTGGGCGGTTGCAGAATGCCCCTGATAGGCTCGCTTTGGGATCCTCTGGCACCGCATCCCCAAGGACCGAAGGACGAGTTGGGCTTGCTGCCGATGTGATGGGAACCTACGAGTCCTCCCTCCCTCTGGCTACGGAGGAGTTATTGATCAACCACGAGGGCCCGTTAGTTACGACGGCCGTGACGGTGAAGTGATAGGGACGACTTCTCCGCCGATATACGAGTCGGCAGGCCGGGTGCCAGCCAATTAACCAGCAGTACATCGATACTCTGGAAGTCCCAGGACGGCCACCAAGGCCGCTCAAAAGCCACCTTCACACCCTCATTGGCCTGTGGCGCTTCAAGATCGATGTCCTCTGAACCCTGCCAAGTGGGCTCTCTCTCCCTCTCTGTCTCTCTTCTCTCCGCTTATCTTTTTGAGTTATCCACAGGATAGACTCTCGCTTTGCTCTATCAGCGTGCTTTGACGGCCGTCCCCGCGCACGCAGGGGGGTGACAACACGGATGTAGTCGAATTCAACTTGTTAGCTACCTCATAAGGTAGAAGACAGGTCCAGTCGGAGGGACTATCGGTCTTGGTCTCCTCCCTCTTGACCGTTCTCACTGCAGAGAGTGGTGCTACGTCCAACACCTTCGTCTCTGGGCATCCAGGCCCCTTGCTACTTGCTCCCATAACAGCCAGGCTGAGTCTTTTACCTGTCAATTGCGGCTGTCTGCCCGGTATCTTTTTCTCTTCGTCCCTGGGAAGAAAAGCAAAAATAAAAAGGAAATAAGTTAAAGGAGCAAAGAAAGACCCCAAGGCGTTAAAACAGAATCCGCCCAACGAGCCATTTAGCGACAACGTCTACGGGATTATTTCCCTCAATAAACCAACAGACAAAGAGGGAAGCAGATAACAAACTCAGGCTGAACCAGATAATTATACCAACTCTGGTGTTTCAGCATGGCCTGATGGGCAGGGGGGGCCAAATCGACTTTTTTTTTTTCTTTTAACCGCCCTGCCAGTTGGCGCTTCTCCTGCTTGCGTATCTGATAATACATACTCATTCTCGATTACCACAAAATCGAACCAAATATCGAACCCTCGTTTTATGTAAAACAAACGTCGTTCGAGAGATAACTATCTTTGGATACCATCATCGATCTCAAAAACCTCCTTGCTGTCCAGTCCATCTACCTCCCCAGGTCCAAATCCGCTCCCGTACATATTCCTACCTACCGCACCCTCCGTACGCCGCGTCCGAAACCCTGCATGTTTGAGATGTGAGAGAAGGCAGAGGAAGACTTGTCATTTGTGAATCAACAACCAATCCATCGTGGATAACTTGTTACCCGTTAATTTTGCGAGCCCCCAATCGATTTTCAGCGGAAGATCGCTCGTCCTATTTTTGGAATCCGGGGGAATCACCAGGCAACCGGCGAGACAGGAAGCAGGATTAAAAGCCCGATTAGACGCTGGCCGCGGTGGCTAGCGTCAGAACCGGATCATAACGACGTGCAGCTATTAGACGTTGGCCACTAGGTTATTCATGGATTGGCCCGTTTCACCAGCACAGCATTATATCAATAGGGCTATAGTGGACAGGACGTGGAAAGGAGCCTTCGTCCACTAGCACCCGGAGAAGCACGGCTGCGGCACTGGGGTATCAGGCTACGGCGCCGCCCATTGCCTCCTGGCGGTGTCGTGCGCAGGCAGTTCTTTGCCGTTGTAGGTGCATTGGATATCTCGGTGCTTCCATTGGCTCATACCCTATATCCACTGGTCCTCCAAGCGCTCGTTCTACTTTCCGGATGCAATAAAAACTACGCCTTTGTGACTTTGCAATCATACCATAACCAGGCTACCTAATTTCACTTGAACCGGAGTATTCCGTACATTACGACCTCATTTAACGAATTTTCTTACGTTTTATCCATCTATCCGCTTTATCCCGCATTCGGTTTCTCTGTTGATTCTTTTTCTCCTCCCTAGAGTTGCATATTCCCCTTCCTTTGACGAATTTACTTTTGGCATCTTCTATTTATCCCTTCCTCTCTAACTTCCAGAGATCCGACTGAGCTTCGGACAACCTTCAGTTGGAGCCATCATGACGAAAAAGACTTCTTCCAGGTGGAAGTCGCATTTTAATCCTTCCAAACTATTCTTCTACTTCATTTTTTACGGGATTCAGATAGGCTTCTTTGCCTATGGATGGTATGCCGAAACCTTATCCTTATTTCCCCTGGACCTTAATTTTTGAGCAATCAAATTATGAAGTAGGGACACATTTAGCTAACATGATTCAACCAGGTGGAAACAAGTTACCGATCAAAGACTGGCGGCCCTCAACACACTCACTTTCTCAGTATGGATGTCTCGGGGTGCTGGGTTTGTTCTTTCGATAGATACAGCCCTTATTCTTTTCCCCATGTGCAGAACGCTGCTCAGATACGTCAGACCGAAGGTGAAATGGCTTCCTCTCGATGAAGCCCAATGGTTCCATCGGCAGATTGCATACTCCCTGCTCATCTTCAGTGTGATACATGTTGTAGCACATTACGTCAAGTAAGTACGATTGTTGTTTTAACCCTGCACAATTACCAACAGTCAGGTTTTAATGAAATGTTCAAACAGCTTTTTCAACATCGAGCGGAACCAGACACGTCCGGAAGCAGCTGTTCAAATTCATTATACCCAAGCTGCTGGAATCACCGGCCACGTAATGCTTCTCTGTATGCTGTTAATGTATACCACGTCGCATCACAGAATCAGGCAGCAGTCGTACGAGACTTTCTGGTACACGCATCACCTTTTCATCCCGTTCCTGCTGGCTTTATACACACATGCCACTGGATGCTTTGTGCGAGACACACCCGACCCCATCTCTCCATTTGCAGGTAAGAGATTCTGGGATCATTGTATTGGTTATGAGGGATGGAGATGGGAACTTTGGGGCGGTGGCCTCTACCTCATTGAAAGACTCTATCGAGAGATCCGAGCTGCGAGGGATACTGAAATTGTCAAGGTTGTTCGACATCCATACGGTTAGTGGACTCCTACACATGCACCTCTTGCATACTAAATTACTAACGTTTAATGAACAGATGCCATGGAAATCCAATTCCGTAAGCCCAGCTTGCGGTACAAGCCTGGACAGTGGCTCTTCCTTCAAGTACCAGATGTCTCTCGAACGCAGTGGCATCCATTCACCATCACATCGTGCCCTCATGATCCCTACATAAGCATCCACATCAGACAGGTAGGAGATTTCACCCGTGAACTCGGTAATCGGCTTGGTTGCGGTCCTGAGCAAGCGAAAGACATCGACGGCCTCGATCCTCTCGGCATGTACGAGATTGCCATGCAGAATGGCCAGACCATGCCGCAAATCCGCATCGATGGCCCCTACGGAGCTCCTGCAGAAGACGTGTTCAGCAATGATGTTGCCATCCTCATCGGCACAGGCATCGGAGTTACCCCCTGGGCATCCATCTTAAAGGATATCTGGCACTACCGGGCCGGACCTAACCCTCCAACCCGTCTCCGTCGAGTTGAATTCATCTGGATTTGCAAAGATACCAGCTCATTTGAATGGTTCCAAGCTCTCCTCTCCTCCCTGGAAGCTCAATCCGCAGAAGAAGCTCGTTCAGGCCAGGAATTCCTTCGCATACACACTTACCTTACTCAACGGTTCGACCAAGACACAGCTGCCAACATCTACCTCAACTCCGTAGGTCAGGAACTTGATCCTCTTACAGAACTAAGAACAGGCACCAAATTCGGTCGTCCGGACTTTGCTCGGTTCTTCCGTGCGTTGCGTGCCAGTATTATGGATCGTACATACATGTCCAACCTTGAGGCAACGCGTCGGGCTGATGTTGGAGTCTACTTCTGCGGTCCGAACCAGGCGGCCAAGCAGGTTAAAAAGGCAGCGAAGGAATGTACAAGCAAAGAAGTCAAGTTCAAGTTCTGGAAAGAACACTTCTAGCTCTGGCTTGCTTGGCTGTTTCCTTTACTCTTATATACCCATTCCGTCTCTAATATACATGGAAGACACATTTTATTTCCGTTTTTATTAATTAGAGTATAAATTTTTAAGCCCCGGCTCGAATACCTTTGTTTGCGTTTTTTGTCTTTGCCGTGCGGTATTTTGTACAGCTTTTATGGATTTAGCGCTTTTGTCTACCGAATGTATACCCGTTTCTTTTCTTTCGGTTATAAGGCCTGTCGTAAACCGCTGCCTAAAATATGATAATATTGTAGATGTAGGAGCACCTCATTACATATTGACTTGTGAAAATATACTAGGTCGTAAGCCAATAGTAACAGTTAGAGCCATGCCAATCTGACTCTCCTCCCATACCCAAGTGAAATATGCCTAAACCAGACCCTACAATAGTTTAATACCTTGTATATCCTCCGAAGCTGTGCCCTCGATAAGAGGTTCCTGCAGCTTGGCCAGTCATACAGCCAATTCCATCTATCGACCCAACAAGCCGCCTTTAGAGTCGTTCGTCGAGCCGTTCCTTTCGGTGTTCTATCCAACGGCAAAGTTAGTAGCTGTACAACATGAATGAGGAATAGGTAGCAAGAATGCCATACCTCTGATTCTTGCAGGTCTCCCTTCTCCAGTATCTTGGTAATACATTCCACCTCATCCGATGTTCCGAACTCATTCGACAGTGTTGCCTTGCTGGCTCCATCGTGGATTCCTTGTGCACCATGTCTAAAATATAGAAGTTAGATGTCAAGGAACAGGCCTCATATCAATAAGCAGGAGACTCAACGCAACATACCTGTGAGTGATGAATATCTTCCACCCACTGACCACTTGAGCTAGAGGAACTGTCTTGTCTTTCCTCCACTGCTTCACGCTGGCAACATCATCGACGTAGACGACGAAATCATCCGTCTCTCCCTTGTAGAAGACCTTGTAAACTCCGACGTTTCCGCGAGCCATGATTGCAGTATTGTGTCTGTGTCGTGCGTCCTTCTGGTTCAATGGATAGGCCTGGAATGACTTTAATGGCCGAGTAGGGAGCTTAAGTAGTTATAGATTGGCGGGGTAGAAGGCTGAGAAGGCAAAGCGTGTGTGTGGCTAGTTGCTGAAAGTATATGAGTCTAGATATCCGGTTTGTCAAGTGGTATGTAGATGTAGATGCAGGTGTTTTGACGAATGGTTATATAGGCAATTGGACAAATACCGAGGTGATGCTGTACTTCTAGGAGTGCAGCGGCGTCTCTATTTATGTCTGAGCCAGCCCACAATTCTCTTGCGCGTCCCCATCGCCGGCTCCTGCTCGTGCTATGCGCTGCAATTAATAGGGTGTACATCGTCGCCGTCCAGCTTCCGCCTGTGTTGCTTGTCACTGCTTCGACCGACGTCATAGCGGGCCCTGAGTCTTGGCGTTTAAAGGTAGTCATCCCTGATCACGTGTGACGTCACGCCTCTCCTTCCCCTTTTCGGCTTGCGGTTCTTCTATCAGATTCGGAGTCTTCTTGATCTGCACGGGAGATAGCGTCACTCAGCTCCACGAGGCACAGGAACGGAGCTGACAATGGAGTATTATAGGCGGTAACGAGCGGAACTGCAGCTTGCATTGTTGATATAACTAGAAGATGTCTCTGGAACCGTCTACCTAAGTACGGAGTAGGAACTAGTTACAAAGAAGCATGCTAGCTATAGGGAAGAACGCGCGAAGGAGCTCCTCCAAATCCCTCGTCTCCTTGCGTCCGGCAAGGGAGTGATGATACTTACACCTCAACTAGTCTGTTACGACGAGAGCGGCCGGGAGCTGTAAAAATAGAGACACCCCATCTGGTACGTTTGTCCATCTTGGTCCTCTCCTTGTATTTAGCGCGTTTCTCGAGAGCTTCGTGCTGCACCATCTCATCAGCATCAGACTTGATCTGTGGCAAGGCTGTGCATCCTGGTGAAGAACTCCTTGATTGCACATTGGCGTCAATTGTTTCATCGAACTCCCGAGTGCTATGCTTGGAGATAGGACTGGTGGGTGCTGTGGTGTTCGTCTCATCAGCAGCACCGCTCTTTGAATTAGAAGTAATTGACTGGGTCGTAGCAGATGCGATGCTGCTTCCACGGCGGGAGAATGGGCGGCGGCTACTGAGGCTCCGAAAGAACGAGCCAGCCTGAGCTCGGATGAACTGTCCACCGCGGCCTGGCATTCCTGGGTATGGAATGATATCACAAGTCCAGATATCAGATAGCCACCTCTCCATGCGCGCTCTGTCCTGACGGTTCGGAGTTAATGTTTCCATTGGGGTTATCAGGAGGGTTTGAGGCCGTGACGGTGACACGCTCGGGGTTTGATCCCGCCGCGGGGCGGCCTCTGTCCCTTTGATACGGACTAGTCTGCAGATGGGCTGAACCATATTACCAGCTTCGTTGATCGTTATCACGGGCCGTCTTTTAATTGGGAACATAACCCTCGTTCCAATCCTGGGGGTGTCCACCGTGATTTCCGGGGCTATGTTCAGCAGGAACTGGTCCTTCCACTGATCAGCCTCCTTTGGAGAGCACGCGGTCATGACGAGCTCAAAGGTATCGCCGCTGGCAACATATAGCAGCTTCCAGGAATGAGGTGTTCTCGTACATTGCAAGCCTGCTCAGGCATTAGCATCGTGATTTTTTAGATAGGTTTTGGAGCATGGAATGAGCAAACCTGGTTTCTCATTAACATTCTCGACCTTTGCCCGGGTTGTAGCAATAATGGCCAGTACGCCGAATTTACGAGTTTCGGCTCGAGGAACAGCTAGGATGATATGTGAAGCAAAGAGAGCGCAAGCCATATACTCCCCTACAATAGACTCCGTAGTCTCGTATGTAATATGCAGAACACCGCAGACTTTCAGAGGACCAAAATCACGAAGAATATCCCTCTCTCGGCCCTAAGATAATGTTAGTTTGGTAGTCAAATGGAAGTAGGTAATTAACCTACAAAACCTGTGAAGTCAAGCTTGTTACGAAGGAGTAACGTCTTTGCCAGGCGATCCTTGGCTACGGGGTCTCCGGTTGCTCGATTGATCTCCTGGACTGTATCAATCATGCATTGATAAACCTTCTCAAGAGCTTCGTGGGCTGCCGGACAATCGGAGGATGGCGTGCATTTCAATAAATCTGACAAAAACAATTGGTACTTGCACACCCTTTGAATTGGCTATCACCGAAGCTGGTTAGAATCTGACCGTTCTCGTGACTTTAGGATCTGAAGTTGTTCTCACCTTGGCAAGCAGGTCACCGATGGTAAGTGCTTGATTCGGGCTCAGCTCCTTGCACTCTATGGGCGCCAATGATCGAGAGAGCGCTTCAGTACCATTATCCCAGACCTCAAAGTCAACGGTTTTTCGGAGCTTCTCAACTTCCTGCAACACTAAAGGGTACTTGATGCCATATTCCTCGTAAACTTTGAACTTTGGGAGCTAGTTGAAGGATGGGTTTAGTTTCAAGTACGCCTAGAAACCTAGGAAGCATTATTTCGATCTAGCTTACCTTCGACATCAAAATTTCAGCTACCTTCTGTACTTCGTTAGGCTCTGCAGCAATGTTCCTGCACGACTTGATCCGGTGCTCAACGGATTCACGCATCCTTCGACTGGTCACTGATTTGCGATGGACGTCAGTGCTAGGCATTTTCGACGTTTTCTTCTTTGCCACCCATTTCATAGATGCCGCAAAGGCAGCTGTGGGAACACGTGGGATGGCAGCTCGAAGTGCGTCAAGAAATGTGCTGTGCAACCTCAGCAATGTTCCCACGCATCGTCCAAGTCCAGTTTGAGTTTTTATCGGGGCTATTACTACCTTATAAACGGACATGTTCAGCTAGAGTGCATAGAGTATGATTTCTGGGAAATTACTTACATCTCCTAGGGCTCGTAATCCAGATACATAGACGGCTTCAGTGCCTAGCAATTCTTGAAGAATCTGACGTCTCTGGACAGCGCGGTTCCAAGCAGCCTCATCGCAAGAGACTGATCTAGTCAATCGGTTGCTCTCAAGAGACGCTCTTGCTGCTTCGGAACTAGAGAACACGCTGGTGCTATACATAGTACTAGTCACCGTGTTTGTACGTGCTCCGTTAGCTACACTCAATGTTGCCTGGCTAAAACTTGCAGTTTCTATGTTGTTTATAAGGCCAGAGGAGCAGTCAGAACCCTCATCTGGGGGGCAATCTGGCTCGTTGTCAGGATATTTGATATAGCTTTGCTCCTCCGTATTCCCGTTAGGCCAGTTTAGGACAAAGTTTCGAGGAATCTGTACATCAGTTCCGTTATTACGGACACTCCTCATCCATTTCTTGAAGCTATAGCCATCATGGCTAACGGGAGCCACAGAATCGTTGGATTCCGTCGAACGTCGTCTACCGTCTGCCTCAGCTGGGGGTTCGCCCTGCGGTTCATTTTCAGGGTCATTTCGAAACAATTCAGACAATGCACAGTCAATGTCCAGTGGAAAGTCCACTACGGCATCGAGGGATTCCGTAGATTCCATGGCTTTTCGCGTAATATCGACGTGTAAAAATGAAGGACAAAAACACAGCAAGCATAGACAGTAAAACAAAACGAAGGAATGGCATACAATATGAAGGTCTAAGGAATGGAAATGAGGGCAACATGCAGTGGAATAGAAGAGAGGTTGGGGTGTGGTGAGAAAAATTTTCACCAGGCGTCCTTTCTTCCATTTTGGGGAAGGGGCAACAGAGAACTGTAGCATCCAAAGCCGCACTACGACTAAGCAAGGGGTAACCACTGTAATATAGAAGGAGACTATATACAATGAACAGACAGATAACAGTATAAGACAAGCAGTGTGTAGGCTGGCATATTCACAGCATATATTGATGTTGATAAATCAGCTGGCCCCTGCATTATCAGTGATCTGGCCTGCGTTGGTAGATAGGTCCTCCTATACAGAGACATATGTAAGAAAGGTAGAGATATCCAACTATACAGATATCTAAAAGAAGGGTATTTATATCACCCACAACAAGTAGTAGTTCAAGACTACTTCTATGTGCTCATGGGTGTTAATGCATCTTTATCATGATCAAGCCAAGGGCTCAAAGGGGTATAAGCATAATATATGAATTTATATATTTATATTGTTGTGGCAGCCCATACATTTTCTTTATTTTATAGAGACATAAGCACCAAAAAAGCTAGGTAGGTAGATGCATAGCTTTGTGTATGAGAAACGGATCGCCATCCAGCGATTTTTCGAGCTCAGACGCGTTTTCAAGTGAATAAGAATGACTAAGCCAGTCTCCTTTTCCTTGGCAAGTTTGAACTGTTTGCATTCGGCGATAAGATTGGGAAGCTGGCGACCCCTCGACAAAAGCGACATCTCACCTGTTTCAACCCCAGAGGTCCACGGTCGAAGCCATGGACTCCTAATCAAATGTGAGAGTATCATGGGCATTCCGATGGACGACATCCATACTCCTACGGTGCCTGCTGGGCCCGTTTCGGGTGCGGGCTCTACAAGCACGGATCTCTCAAAGGCGGGCCTGACGCAGCTCTTTGATGAAAAGGAGAAGCTAGAGGCGGAGTTGAAAATACTTAGTGACGTTCTCGTATCTGTATGCTGATGTCTATCCTATCCAGCCAGACTTTTATTAACGGAGGTCTAACAAATTGTTATAGCATGGCGTTGACATGAACACGAATCTGCTTACCGAAGACGGATTCCCAAGGGCAGATCTGGATATTGCACAAAGTACAGTGGCTTACTCTACCTCATTTCTTGGTGGCCTCTTCCTCTAACCTCCTTGTGGTGAATAGTTCGGACTACGAGAGCGCGGATAATACGTTTACGAAACGATTATAAGGCCGTCATGTTGAAAGTTGAAGATGGTTTAGCTGCGTATTTTGCTAGCACAAAAGATAAAGACGGGAATATTTCCGCTACTCCGTCTACCCGGCCCTCAGCAACATCTCGAAATG